TTTGCTTCCAAAAAAAATTGTCCCACTTTCTTCCAGCTGATCCGCTCCGTATCAATCCAAACAAAGCCAAATAAAATATGAAAAAAGCCAGAGAAGGAAGAAAAAAAAGGCAACAGGATGCGCGGCGCGGGAAGACACACACACAACAAAATGATGAATTGGGACGTTTGGATTTTGCGAACGGATGGAAAAATGGGAGAAGCTGAAGACGTCCTGTTTGTTTTTCATCAGAGATATCTCAGGGAAGAGGGGGGAGGGGGAGAATGAAACTGTGACGTCTTCGACCAGAAAAATAATCTTGGTAACCATAAATCAGTGGATTTGGACTGTATAGCTGTCTAACCCTTTTTTTCACACACTGTATCGCCGATCGCTTCAAGACCCTCATCGAGTGTTTTTCTAAGAATCGAAAGTCAGAAAAAAAAATGTTTGGTTGTCATAAATCAGTGGAAAATCGACCCTAAACTACCCGATTGGACTACAGAGTTGTCTAAACCTCCTCTTTTCTCATACTATCTCGCCAATCGTTTCAAGACCATCATCGAGTGTTTTTTTTAAGCCGGTGGTGAATAAACTATTATTGAAACACAGAAAAAAAGATTTTTGGTAACCATAAATCAGTGAAAAATCGGTTATAAACTGCTGCATTTGGACTGTAGAGCTGTCTAAACCTCCTCTTTTCACATACTATTTCGCCAATCGTTGCAAGACTCTCATCGAGAGTTTTTTTAAGCCGGTGGAGAATAAACTATGATTAAAACGCAAAAAAAGATCCGTGAAAACTATGAATCACCGGAAAATCGACCTGGATCTGCTGGAACGGACTACAGGGTTGTCTAAACCTCTTTTTTTCTCATACTATTTCGCCAATCGTTTCAAGACCCTCATCGAGTGTTTTTCTAAAAATCAAAATTCAGAAAAATATTCTTGGTCAATATAAATCTATGTGAGATGATAAAATAACATAAAATCGATCATGAGTCAAGAAATATACTAGAATCGTCGTCTAAACCTCTTCTTTTCTCATACTATCTCGCCGATGGTTTCAAGACCATCATCGAGTATTTTCTCAAGCCGGCCGTGAGTAAATTATTATCAAAACGCAGATTTCGCAGAATTTTCTGTCGGAAAAAGCCTTGAAAAAACTTTTACTGAAAATTAACATTTCCTAGTTCCAAAAAAGGATAGAAAACTATAGTCATCAAAAAGAAAATGAACCAGAATCTGAGAAATCTCCTCTCCGAGAGGCGTATCCCTTGTGAAATCCCAAAAAAAAACTCGACGAAAAATCGCCCCATATAACTCTTTTCATAACTACAACCCATTAGGAGATTAAGAAATAGGAATAGCTAAGAAAATGAGGCGATTTTATTGTGAAATAGGGAAAATCGCGTGATGAGAAAAAATATTTAAAACAACGAAAAATCGAAAAAAACGATAAATTTTTTTCATTCGCGCTTCCATATTCAAATTGAGTTCTCGGAATCTTTTTTTCAAGAATTTCATGAAAAAAATTGTTTTTTTACATTACCTATGTCACAAAAATAAACAAGTTATCGTGAAAAAAACTCAATAGTAAGCGAAAAAAAGTCAGTTTTTTTACAATTACCCGCGAAAAATTTGATTTAATACCAGGAAAAAAACAAATTCAGGCGAAAAAACTCATTTTTAATGACGAAAATGCAATTTTCTAACCAAAAAAATGGCTGTCAAGGATCATGAAACCTTCATTTTACTTAATAGAACTTCAAAATTGAAGAAAAAAATAGCTCAAATTGATTTTTTTGAGACAAGCTTTGAAAATTCTGAAAAAAATCTAACCGAAAAAAATTAAGTTTCTTCTTAAAATTCTTAATAATCCGGCTCAAAAATGAATTTATCTTGTTTGAACTGAAGGAAAATTTGAACTTTATGAAAATTTGTACTGGTAGGCCTTTTTTTCCATAACCCCCCTCGCTCAGAACTAAAACTAAAAATCACAAAAAGCCCCTTTTTGACTCAAAAATGCAATTAAAAGAGTTATTTTCAGCTGAAACTTTGCCAATTTTCCAAACCAACCAATTGGAAAATAAGAGAAAGTTATTTACGTCTGAAACGAGGAAAAAGCCGTCAACAAACAAAAAAAAAACGGAGAAGCTCTTGGAAAATGAAAAAATGTGATACAACGGCGTTTTGGCCGTGTGTCTGCTGCTGCAGCAAACAGCTGATATCGCCGTCAATCTTTTTCTTTTCTCTCCTTTTTTTCCCATAAACCTTTCAAAAAAAGCTCTGAACTTTGAGGAGTTCAAATGTTAATAAAAAAATTATTACAATCTTCTAAATAAGGATTGGCCTTCAAAAGCTCTGGAACCAATTTTCTATTTCAAGAATTCATCGTTTGAAAATTTTTTTAAAGTGAAAAATTCACAAAAAAAAAAATTTTTCAATCAAATCTGATCTTCTTAGAGCTGAAAAATCGGAAAAATATCTCGTTTTCTGGAAGATTTTTATTAAAAATTTTGGAAGCTCCGAAACAATTTTATACTTTCAGGGTTTGTTCAGACCCTTAATGACTTCGAAGTTTAATTCCTGTCTAAAAAAGGTTTTAATAATCAGATATTTGAACAAAAAAAGATCAAAAAAATCGGCTTATCAAGAGATCAGGCAGCCTTAAGAGACACCAGAGAAGCACAATTTTTCTCTCTTTCTCTGACGCCTCTTCAGGCTGTTGTTGATCTTCAGCTTTCTAAGTTTGAGTCTTTTTTTCAAACAGAAGACTGCAAGAAGGTAAAAAGTACTAATAGAGCTTCAAAAAAAAAATATCAAGATTCTAAAAAGTAAAATATTATCAGCTCCAGAAACCATAACTTCAACCAAATCTGACCAATTTCTACTGATAAACACTGAAAAAACTTCTAGATAAATATTTATGTTTACCCAAAATGTCTCTGAAACCAGGAAGCAGGTAAAAACAGGTATCATATTATAACAGCAATGTTCGGCGGGCCAAAAATTGTTGTTTTGCAAGAAAATCCGTCCCCAACAAACAAGACGCCTTATTTAGTAATTACTCCGGTAACCACAACAAAAAATAACGAAATATTGTCAGAAATGAGCTCCGAAATGCATTGGTGACTGAAAAAACAGCTATGAGACAAGGAAAAATACGGCTTTTCTGGAGTCAAAACAATGTTTAGATACGAAAATTACACGGCGGCTTTTGTTGCAGAGAAAAAATGCATATTCTGTTGGAAAATTACAAAATTTTCCTTTCATGTCAAGATCGCGATTTTTCGGAGGAGCGCGTTTTGAAGGGTGGGGTGCGCATTTTCTCAAAAAGTGCACGAATTTTCGACAAGATGCTAACAAAATAATCTGCGATAGGAAAAAAAAAATTTCTGAGGGTAGCTAGTTTTTTTGAGGTACGAGCGCGTTTTTTCGGGGAGGAACGCGTTTTTACGGAGAGGCGCGCCTTTTTACGAGGGGCGCGCCAGTTTTGCGGACTTACACGAAATTCCAGTAGAAGCTTCTTCAAAGTCATGAAGATGAATTTTTACAAAGAAATCGGAAAAATCACGAATTTCAAGGTGCACATTTTCTGAGGCGAGAAGCGCAGTCTTGCCAAAAATTCGAGTTTTCTAATTTTAGGAAACTTCCTAAACATCATCAAGATGTACAGAATCCAAAAAAGGACACCTTTTTCGGCTAAGCTCATATTGAATCGAAAAATTGAAAGTGCATCAAAATTCAACGAAAATGTGCAACACAACAAAAATCCATGGGAAACAAATTTTTCTCTCATTTTTCGGGGAATATTTTCTTTTTGCTCGCCGGTTGCCAACGCATAAATATATGTACGTATGTATCCGCGCTCAGCGAAAAAGTTCAAAAATCATATTTCATCCGTTTGATGCTCTTTTGAAGCTCTCTCCTAAGCTTTTAAAACTTTGAAATTTTACAAAAATCGTTTGGAACTACAAAAAAGGTTCATTGATTTGAAGAAAACGATCTGCTAGCAGTACCTTCTCTATGAAGAAAAACCATTAACTCGCAAAAATAGAAGATGAACAATATTCAGGATCAAGTTGAAGCTTCATCCAGATTATCTACCTCCATAAACCCTCAAAAAACTACGACATTTGAGGATTTATTCCAACTTGAAAAGCAAAACAAACTATTTTAAAAAAACAGGAAATCGAAAAATCAAGGATAGGAATCTGAAAATTGTTCAAAACTTAAAGTTATGAAATTTTCGGAAATACTCCAAAAAATCATGTGATATCGAGAACAGAAGTTGCAGCTTTCAGAATGACATAATGGCCGAATTTATCATAAATTAAAGATTTTAAAATCTATAGACCTTGATAAATGTTAGTAGAAACTATGGGTCTCAACTTCTACGGTGAGTAAATTAAGTTCAACATGAAATACCGTGTTTTTATCTTCTTCGAAAAGTTTACCTCGATTTAAAATTTTCAGATCTCAAGACTCGAAAAATTGGAACCTAAAAACTAACGATAGAGTCAAAAATTACAGCCAACGTTGTCAAAAATTCAGAGCATCCTGGTCATTCTCTGACAGTCTAGCTTGTCTGTGTGCTCTTTTCTCTCTCGGACAAGGCGAAAACAGTTCAAGAGAGTACAGACAGAGCAGACAAGGCTCAAAGTGTAGGAAACTTCAAGGTCAAACTGAAAAATCCACGAGGTCAAGAGTGTTGGAACCTCAAGCTCAAACTCAAAAATCTGCCTGGTCAAGAGCGTGGGACCTTCAACCTTATGATTCAGACTTCCCTCGGTAGAATGTGAAGAGAAGTTTCAGCTCGAGCTCAAAAAAATCCCCAAGGTCAAAAGTAGAGGAGCTTCAAGCTCGAGCTCCAAACTCCAACAGGTCGAAAATTTAGGAACTTCAGGCTCAAACTTCAAAATATACACCCTACATGATCGGAAACGCCATAAATCTGACACTGTGAGAATACTTGAATAGTAGGATCAAAAGCAGCTCCCCTGCCAATTAGGAGACCAATGCCTGGGCAAACATCAACACAGACATACAGACAAAGAAGGAATCACTTCGGATTCACAATGCAAACAGCCGTTATGTGCAGTCTGGCACCTTCTTTACATTCAACAAAGTTGAATCAGAACATGAGGTCTTCTTCTTCTTCTTCACCCTACGCCTTCGTACCGCTTAGGTGCCCTAAGGCGATAAAGCAAGGTCCTATCCTGATACTAGTTATAGTCAGTGGATTCACTCTGGTGACATATCCGTCCTTGTCATGGTTTCCCAACGTCAACATTTCTTGAATCTCTGGTTGGGTCGGGATGGAGATCGAACCCTTTGGAATAAAAAAAAACTAAAAAGAACATTCGATTGAGGTAAAAAAAACCGCAGGTTTCAGAACTCGTCAGAATAAAGTGGCATTGAAACTTCAGAATTCTGAACAAGCCAACCAAGCCCAACGAGAACATTTACTCGGGAGAACTACTCAAAAGTTCCTAGTCAATCTAACCTCGCTTATTCCAAAAGAACTATCAACACCCTGATCCTAACCGACGTTAGCCATTTTTTGTGAAGCCAATCAAGATTTTTTGAAAAACCAAGAAAACCGTTCTGAAGCGTCATCTCAATCGAAAATGTCTAGAGTATCTGAAAAATCAAAATCTTCTTCAACAAAGTCAAAGTGCCATTCGATAGCCTAGGTCTAGACAAGTCAGGTAAGAAAAGGTTCGATGGCTTCAGATTCAATCAAGCAATGTGGAAAAGGATGACCAAACCAAAGAACAGAATACCAGACCAACTTCCAGAACAAGTCTGGCCGAGCCGGGATATCAAGAACCTTTTCAACAAAATCAAAGAGTCAATCGATACTCTAGTCAAGTGCAGTAATGCAGATTCGATGACTTAAGATCCAGCCAAGCAAGGAAAACCAAACCAAAGAACGAAATACCAGACCAACTCCCAGAACCAGCCCCATTAAGCAAAAAAACTCAAACCGCGATAAGTCGGGACAAGCAGCTCGGCGTGCTCTTCTGTCGGGTCGGCTGCATCACCAGGTGGGACGAGACGCGGTAAAAAAGAAGTAAAATAAGGGCAGTTCGATCGTCAGACCGGCTCGCTCACGTTCCCGCTCAACTTCCACTCTCCTTTCGCTCACCTCGTATCCGAGCCCCCCACAGGACAAACGAACTTTGAGGCGGCTAGGGGGCCAGTCTACGCCTATGTGCGTATGTGTGTGTGTGCCACGCAAAAGGTCGACGTCGGCCCTGTTTTTCTTGCAGCCAAAGGACATCTGAACGACGTTCCGAGGACTACATATACACACACACACACACACACAAGCACTCCCAAAGTTCTTCTTCACGTGATAGACCAACCTCCTCTCGGAGTACTGTCGCTTCGAATTCCATTTGGGACTATTCAGTTCCAAATAGGAGCTTTTGATGCTTTATTTTTTGATTATATTATTCCTATTCTCCGTTACGGTCGTTAAAGATCCCTGCCTCTTTAAGTGCCATATAGAACCATTTCGTCCAGATTGGAGCTTTAGATGCGTTATTTACCGATATTGTAATCATCATGTTCTTAGCATGAAGCCAGTTACGGTCATCAAGGAGTCCTGCTCCTTCGAGTTCCATTTGGAACTATTCAGTTCCAAACAGGAGCTTTTGATGCGTTATTACTTGATATTATGTTATTCCTATTCTTCATTACGGTCGTTAAGGATCCCTGCCTCTTTTAGTGCCATATGGGACTATTCAGACCAGATTGGAGCTTCAGATGCATTATTCGATGTTTTGAACTAGTCCTGTATTCCGCATGAAGAAAGGTAGGTCATTAAAGATCCATGCTCCTTTGAGTCCCACTATTCAGACTAGATTGGAGCTTCTGATGTGTTACTTGATAACACTGAAGTAGTTATCTTCTCATTATGAAGCGAGTTACCGCCATTCAGTTTCAGATAGGAGCTTCAGATGCGTCATTTATCGATAATGTAATCATCATGTTCTCCGTATAAAGCCAGTTACGTTCAATGAGAGGCCCAGCTCCTTTGAGTTCCGTATGGGACCATTCAGTCCAGATTGGAGCTTCTGACGCTTGATTTTTTGAACTACCCCTGCATTCCGCATGAAGAAAGGTCGTTCTTAAGGAGTCCTGCCTCTTTGAGCTCCATCTGGGACGACTAAGTTCAGATTAGCTTCCGATGTGTTACCTAAAAATACTGAACTAGTTATCTTCTCTCTATGAAGCGAGTTATAATCCTTGAGAAGTCCTGCCCCTTCGAGTTCCATTTAGAACGTACAAATGTGTTATTCCACATTATTCAGTCCTGTTTCGAACTTAAATAAAGGTACGTTTTGAAGAAGTACTGTCTTTTTCGAAGCTTTCATTACAGGGGTGGGCATAAATATAGCACGGACTTTTCGATCATTGGAACTTTCTTTTTTGCCAATGGAATTTCAATCCGTTTTTTTTTTGTTTTCCACGAACCGTCGCTGGTTCTTCCACCAAAATTTTAGGTCAAGCTGCAAGCCCCAAGCTGAGAAAGACTCGTGCGAGTCCAAACTGCCCGATTTCAACACGGTCAAGGAATGGATCGGCTACTCACCAGATTCGAATCCCTTGATAATTCTGCTATATTATATTTGAAGTCGAAGGCCTGGACAAAACTCTATTTTAACCGGGACCTGCTGGTGGTCTCCATCATCAAGAATGGATGACAAGATCGATCTGTGTCCAAGAGTCGAATATTTTTTTGAGAGAGTCAAGGCGCTCAGTGAGGCCACTGAAAGTTGGAGCGAAAGTTGAATTATATGTGCTAACTTGGGTACTAGCCGATAAAAAAATTCAAACAATCTTGTCTGAATCCGTTCCACTTGAGAGTAACGGAATTTTGAAGGCCGTGCAATATTTATGCCCACCCCTATATATTTTTCCAGGTCCAAGCTTCTGGTCCGTTTCTTTTATGACAGATGCAAGCTCTCGGTGTGTCTTTTTTTTTCAAGGATATCACGTGATATTTGGAGTACTGTTACTTTGTTTTCTGAGTGGATCTGTTCTTATGGGAGTAAACCCCTGATGTTTCGATAGATGATATTAAGTTAATACTGTTCTCAGCATGAAGCGAGGCGCAGTCATTAAGAAGTACTGTCGATTTGTAGGCTCTTAAAATATTATTCATCTCTAGAACATCTTCTACCTAGTATTATTTCCCTTTTTCTATGAGAAAGCTTTTAGAATATTCCCAATTTCTGATTTCAGTGTGAAGAGAAGTACGACTTTTTGGAAACTCTTCATCTCTCGATGACCTCTTATCAATGAGATAAGAGATAAGTTGTCTTTTTGAGAACTATCTTTATAATCCTCCAGATAGAAGCTTCCAATTCTCAACCTTCTGTCTTCATTCCACGTTTGTTGTATTATGTGTTACGGTCATCAAGGAGCCCTGTCGTTTTCGAGGTTCTCGAGAGATTAACTTTAAAAAAAAACTTTCTAACTTAAAAAAAGCTTCTAATCAATAATACATTCTAAATCCACGATTAGATGTCAAATCATCATTTTGTGGTTCTAGATCTGTCCTGTGACTAGTGGGCAAAGAAATACGATCTGGAAAGTCCTTCGATTTCTACTCTTCCTTTCGGTTTCAGGTAAAGAGTCCTCCTTGTTTCCATCATTTTGTCGTTTTTATGAATTGCTGTAGTTTTCTTCAAGCTGAAGTTGAGCGAAAACCTCTACAGCAAACATCAACGTCTAAAACTAATTTTAGGTAAGATATTTTTGGAAACCAGGTCATTTCCAGGTTTTTCTTTTCATGACAGAATAAAAAAAGTAGAACTCCAAGATTTTTTTGTTTCATGAGAAAAAAATGAAAATTTGTTTTAAAAAAACAAACTATAGTTGAACACGCAAAAGGCTTCACTACGAAACCATACAAAGATTTTCAAAGCGTTCCTTTCTTACTAAACCGATCAGAGAGTCCAAAATAGTGTATTTTGCAGGAAGTATGAATCGAGAAATACGCGACTTTCTGTATATTTTTTTCAAAAAGTTCATTGTGATTTTTTTCGTTTTAAGAGAAAATATTCATTTTTTTGAAAAAAATGGGAGTCTATCTAATAAAAGAAATGCCGAGAAAGCCAAAAATCCGAAAATCCTCAAAAAAAGTCTTTTATTGTGCCAGATCAGTGAAATCTCTCAAGAGGATCCAAAAAATCCTACATCCTCCTTGTTTGAGACCTCAATGGATTTAAAAAAACAAATATAATTTTAAGCTGGAAAATCTGCAGATTTTCGATACTTCAGAGAAAAAAATGAGAAAAAAATTCCAGGATTTTTTTGAAATATTTCAAGCTCAATTTTAGCTATCAGGGAATTGAGAAAAACGATCAAAATTACTTATAAAATTTGAGCCCCCTTCATGAAAATGAAAGGTAAAATCAAAGTTTTGTGATCTTCGAAAAATAATATCTCTAAAAATAAAAGCCTACCCAGGTGGCTACTACCAGACACCTTAATAGGTAGTTTTTTTGAACGAAAGAAGAAACATTTAAACTTTCTTTTTATAATAACCTTTTTGAGAGGTGAAGGCCATGGTAAAAGTTCAGATTCCTTCATTCTCGAAAAAAAAATTCAAAAATTCAGGTTTCTTCAATATTTCAAAAAATCGTTAAGATCTAATCACTTAAGGTCGAGGCAGGAAAGAAAAAAACAGATTTCAGTAAAAAAATCTGGAAAAATTTTTCTAGTAATTCATAAAAAGCTCTTAAGATGAAAATATCAACTATATTATTTATTCATAGATCAAAACTCTATTTAAATTTGATCAAGAATCTTATAAAGTACATAATAAAAACTTAAAAACGCCCTAGTGTCCCCTAGAGGGGTTTAGAGTCTGACCTCTGAGGCCCTAGAGCTTAGGTGGTCCCTAAAGGGATATTTTCATTCTTTGTTGTGTTTTGTTGTTCATAAACGACTAGTATGCTCCCCTAGAGTGGTCACTTTTGCTAGCTTTGGTGAAGTGGTCCCTATAGGGGACCTTCAAGGGCCCTATAGGGACCTCTCTGTGGTTCCCAAATAAAACCTTCAAACGCCTCAGGTGTTCCTCTGGCATTCCCCAAGAATATTTATATCAACCAAGTCTAGAAGGAATAAAAAAACTAACCTGCTCCATGTCCCTTCCTTGTTCTTCTGAATCAGTAAAAATCAGACTCTTCGAATTAATTAGAAGTAGAAGAGGAATAAAAATAGAAGAATAGAATAAAAAACAGGGAAAAAAAGGTTGTTGAGCGGAGAGATACACACGCTCTCTCCCACACACGCGCAAAAGGGACAAACAAGTTGAGAGAGAGAGGCAAAAAATAAACGTAGTAGAAGAAGCAGAAGAAAAAGAAGAAGAAGAAGGCTGGCTGGCAGCTCCACCCACTTGTTTACCACTGTTTACTGGCCGACGGGAGGAAAAACGAAAAATGTAAACAGCCCCTGGCGGCCATTTTTCCAACACTCAACACTCATTCAACGCCTTGTCTGCACTTTGGCCCCGGAGATTCATCATAACTTCTTCGAGGGGAACAGCGAGGATCCACCAAGAAAAATCCTTCAAAGGGGATACCGAAATTCAAATATTATTGTCCTACTCGGTCTTATAAGATCTAGGAAAACATTTTTTCCCGGAAAAGCTTGCCAAGAAACGTTCCCAAGAAAAAAAATTCTCGCAATAGATCTTGTTTCTGAGTTATGGAGCTTCAAAGTGTGCAAAATACGCAAATTAGGCCAAAAAAGCGGTGTTTTGAGCTTTTGGAGTGTCCTAACTCGAAAACGATATCTATTGCGAGAAATTTCCTTTTTGTTCTGCAATCAGGTCCTCAAGTACACTTCACTGAAGTTTCATCAAAAGTTCAACTGGGGAGAAAAAAACGTTCCCTAGTACAAAATGTCTTAAAAATGGCTAACTTCGAATTTCGTCCTACTAGGAAAGCTAGAGTAGACCTTACAATAAGGTTATTTAACTTGAAAGCTCGAATTCTTCCATAGATTTGCTCAAAAAAAGGCTGAAGGACTAAATGAAGAATATCAAAAGTCCTTGAACTTTAATTTTTGAGGTTGTCCATTTTTTCACACTTCTGACTTGGCCTCATTATCAGGAAGAAAACTAGAAACCATTTTTTATTTGGAAAAGCTTCACCAAGCTCAAATTTTTTTCAAAAATCGAAGATTGAAATGTGTTCAAAATCATCATCGTATTTTCTCTTAGAACAGCGAGAACCTACCAGGAAAATTCCTTAAGAAAGAAATATTAAAATTCAAAATTTGCCCTACTGGGGAGGTCAAGAACTATCGGAGGTCTTTCAAGAGAGTTATTTCATTGTGAAGCTTGAATTTTTCCATAGATTTGCTCAAAAACGAAGATGAAGGCTCTCGAAACATTTTTTGAGTTTCAGTTCTTTAAAATTACAAAAAAAAGACCATTTTTTTATTCAACTTCACTGCACTTTGGCATTGAGAATACATCATTAAGAAAAAAACTTAAAAGTCATCTTGCATGACCATTTTTCTGGGAAAACGCTCCACAGTCTAAATGCTCTTAAGGAACTCCAAATTTAAATACTTTTACCTTCTAGGGAGGTCAAGAACTAGATTAGGTCTTATAAGAATGTTTTTTCATTGAGAGGCTTGGATTTTTCCGAGAAGTTTCTCAAAAGTTCCATGTAAATTCTTCAGTCTTTTTTTTGTCATTTCGAGGCTTCCTTCTAGAGCACGGTGTGCAACTACAAAATCCGCTACATCCTGAGCTCGTCAAAGCGCAACTTATTGGTCTACGCGCAGAAAAACGAGGAGAAGAGCCATGCTTTCAACTTGATCAACTACACCTTCGGACTTCTAGTTCGCCGAGGATATTCCGTGTAAAATCTTCACTCGAAGTGGTCGCTCTCATTCTGAGACTTCCACCTAGAGGGCTCCAGCACAACATCCGCTCTATTCTGAGATCTTCAAAGCGCAACTAGACGGACTAGGCGCAGAAGAACGAGGCGAAGGACTGTAAGACCATGCTTCCAACATGATCAACTACATTTTCAAACTTTTAGCTCGCCAAAGATTGTTAGTATAGCTTAAAAAGTCCTTGATCCGTGCCCAGTCGATTACATAAGACTAAAATAACAAAATAAATTATTTGATTTGATTTGATATAGCTTAAAAAGTTCTTGTTCCCCGCCTAGTCGATCTATGACTTTAAAAAAATGACTTATTGAATGACTTATATCAAAAATTGATTCCGTCAATTTTCTAATAAGAACAAGTCAGGTAATTGATTTTCCTAGTCCATTGTTATTGAGTAGATTGAACAAAAGGTCGCATTCATTCACTCAAAATATTGTAAACAGTGTCTCATCTGTTTTGGAAAGTGTCCGTATCGAAAAAGTAAACAGAGTTCCCCGGAGAAAAAAATCAATTTTTCAAGTCGCTTATCAAAACACATCAAGTAGAAAAAATGAAAAAGTGTTCAGAAATGCATTCAATTTTAAATATTTTCTGTTGAAAACTTCTGACTAAACTTAAGATGATTAAATATTTTCGGTATAGTAAAAAAAATTAATTAAGCTTTAGAAAACCGAAAGAAAAGCTTTCTAGGGAAATTTGACATGATTTCAAAAAAGAACAACTTCCAAAGACAAAGTGAAAAAATAAGCCGAGTTAAAAAAAAACTGTAGGAAACGTCGCTCAAATTGAACAAAAAGATCATTTAACAACATCGACGAAGAATCTTAATTTTAAAAAGCCGAAAAAGGAAAAAAAAGCATCATTTTTTGGTCTTTATCTTCAGTTCGAAAAATGCCCCTCAGCTTAAAATTAGGAGATATTCTGAAAAATCGGGTTCAAAAAAGAGTGAGGTTTACAAAAATCAAGCTTTTGGTCTAAATCTTTAAAAAATAGGAGCCATAAGTTCCAAATTTTTTTAAGAACTTTACCAATTTGTAAAAAAACCATCAAAATTTTATGAAAAAGGTCATTTTCAAATTTTTCAGGGGTCCTCTTTTATGTACAACCAACTGGTACCCTCAAGAACCAGTAGAGTTCTCGAAATATCAACTTTTGCCCTTTTTGGGTCAAAAGTCAATCTGAACTTTGCTCGAAATGCTCAAAATCGGGCACTTTTTTCAAAAAAAAAAATCTGCGACTTTTACCAACTTTTGTCCTCTGCATTTTTTCCCATAACTTCCTTTTCTTCCCGATTTCCGTCCGGAGAAAAAAAAAAGCGTGTCATTATCATCAAAACCTCTGTCAACAACTACAAATTCCTATCCATTTCTTTCGCCCCGTTGCTCTTTGTTCCCTAAATGAAAATAAATATTCTCTCTCCGAATACAAAACTTCCATCACCACAAACACCGAGGCACAATAAAATCAAAGAATTCAATAAGTTCTTTTTTGTCAAAATTCGACATCTAACAAAATGACCCTTTATTTGTCATTGAAAAGTTCAAAGGAGCAGGGAGGCGAAACTTATTAAGGTCTTGAATCGAAGAGCCTTTTTCAGCGTTAAATCAGGTCTTAGCTAGTTAAAAAACTTCAAAAAACCATTTATATCTTTTTTTCAATTCACAACAGCTTTTCCTGGTACTGGGAGGCTCGTTTAATAAACTTTGAAAAAGACTTTTCGCTTCGAGACCTTCCAAAATTTAGGCCATGCTCCTTTAAAAAGTTCAAAAAATCATTCATGTTTTTTTTCCATTCAATAGGTTTTTCTTGGTACTGGAAGGCTCGCCTAACGTCGAAAAAGGATTTTCGCTTCGAGACCTTCAAAAATTTATTCTATGCTCCTTTAAAAATTTCAAAAAACATTCATTTATTTGAACAGTCCATTCACAACAGCTTCCTTGTGTTCAAGAGCTCTAGAAACAACTGAAAAAAGCTTTTCGCCTCGAGACCTTCGCAAACTTCGTGCATGCTTTTTTAATAACTTCAAAAAAGCTTCTCCTAATAGACGATACAATGAAAACTCTGCAAACACATTTTTTTCAGATTTCCAAAGTCGTCATAGACCTTAAAGTCCCTAAAGAAGGCTCTTCTTCTCAAGACCTTTTTTTAAAGTTCGCCCATGCTCCTTTAAAGTTTTCCTCTATCTCAATTGAAAACTTATTTTCTACTCTGAAAATGAAATTCCATTTCCAAAGTACAAATTGTTGGGGGCATAATCCCAACAAAAACTGAATTGATGATTCAAAACGGGGCTAAAAGCATTGTGTGCGGCGGCCACACGTAAACAAACAGCCGCGCGGGCCACGTCGCCGTACAATGGGATATATATGTACAATATCTATAAAAAAATGCCCGAAAACGGCTCTTTTTGTGGATTTTTCAAAGGGAGTTTTGTTCCGAACTCGCTCTATGAGAGGTCAAAATGTTGGAGAAACGGCTCAAAAAAAGATTCTGTTCGAAAATTTAGAAAATACTTAATCGATGAAAGCTGTGGAAAGCCTTTTTCTGTCATTATTTTTCATACGAAATGCCCAGAAATTGCCCTTTTTTTGCATTTTTTTAAATCAGGAACCGTTCTTCTAAACGCTGACTCTAAAAATTCAAAATGAAAGCAAAAAAAGGGCTCGAAAAATTAATAAATTTAAAGGAGCATAGACATAGTTCTCAAAAAAAGTCTCATTGGGAAAAAAACGATTCTTTTTTTGGGATTTTCTTTTAAAATATTTTTTTCTTTTCAAAATTCCCTTTGAGAGGTAAAAAAAGGGTAAATAAGTAGTTTAAAAAAAATCTCAAATTTAAAGGAGCATAGACATAGTTTTTAGAAGAAGGTCTTACGGAAAAAATCGTTCTAACAGCCACGCACTGCTAGGAACTTACGCTAGGAAACAATTTTAAGCGGATATTTTCAAATTTTTCAAATGAATAAGGTCCCCCCGTAAGGGCTCCTAGCCTTTTTTGGAATCATTATTTTGAGCTACCTAATCAAGCTGATCACCATAAATTCGGAAAAAGCTAAATTTTCTCAGGAAAAATATTTGAACTGAAAACTACACCTTAAACCAACATGCCCAGCGTTGATTCAAACTAACAAACAGTTAGGTCTGAAATTCAAGCCCACAATTTGCTTAGAAGTTCGAAAGAGCATGTTTTCCCAGCGGAAAGCTCAAGTTCGGCCACGCCTGGTCCTTTTCAAACACTACGGTAATTGGTTGAATCAATACCTTTCCCAGTTCTATTCACAAAGTTCCATTCTGAAGTCCAATTCAGAAAAAAAAAGAAATATCAAAGTTTTTGAGTCCATTTGAATCTATGACAGTCAAACAGCTGGAAAATAGGAAATTTGAATCATTTCCAAGACTATCTTCCTCGAAAATTCAAAATTGGAAGTTGATTTCCAGTTTCTAGACCCTAGCAACTTTAATTTGAGACCTGGACAAGTCACAAAATCATCTTCCAAACTGTCCGTCTTTTCCAAGCGTCCAAAACGCCATAAAGGTAACTCGAAAATCAACAAATCTTATCTCAAATTACCCAATGACCAACACCACAGACGGAAACAAAATTAACTCTTTTGTATTGAAATCTTAATCTGAATCTGGGTCCAGTTTCCAGACACTAGCAACTTTAATTTAAGACCTGAAAAAGCCACCAAATCTATTTCCAAACTGGCCGTCGTTTACAAGCGTCCGGAAGCCTATCCAGGTAACTCAAAAACCAGCCGAACTGATATCGACATTGTCGCTGATCAATACCGCCGAAGAAAAGAGCAAGAAAACATCCTTTGTACTGAAAACTTGATCTGACTCTGGAACCAGCATTAAGGTTCCAGAAGCTTCAGTTCAAGGCGTGGAAAGCAACAAAATCATCTTCCAAACTGACTGTCCTTTCAAAGCGTCCGAAAGCTCATCCAGGTAACTCCAAAATCAGCAGAACTGATATCCACATTGTCACTGATCAGCACCAGAGAAGGAAGCAAAAATAAATCTGTTCCGAAAAATTGATCAGACTCTGGGTCCAGCTTCAAGGTGCCTGTCCGTCTTTTCCAAGCGTCCGAAAGCTCATCCAGGTAACTCCAAAATCAGCAGAGATGATTTTAAAACATTCTCACCGATCAGCACCGCCCATTGGTTGGATAAGTCATTTTGAAGCTTCCACCTTTTTTTCCCAAAAGTTGAAAACCTGTGCAGCTTGGAACTTTCAGAATGTTTAGCCAGTGCATCAAAAAGCATCTAGTAGAAACTTTAGAATGCATAGTGATCTGAATTTCTTTATGGGAAAGTCTCAAAGCATTGTCAAGAAAAAAGTTTCCATTTTTCCAAGCGTCCGGAGTCTCATCCCGATAGCTTCAAAATTAACAAAACTAATATCTAAATTCTCGCTGATCAGCACCGCCGGGAGCAAGGAGAAGTTACCGAATCTTACTGCCCAACTTTCAGATTAATTATTCCAATCTGATCTGACTTGAAAACTCCTGGACGCCAGAAACATCCATTTCAGGATTCAAAAAATAATTTCCCCCAACTATAAACTGCACAAAAGTTCGAACGGGGGAATCAACTGATTTCAAAACAATCTCGCTGATCAGCACCGCCGACGCCGGAAGCAAGGAACAATCATTCGTGACACGGCTCCGCCGGCGCCACTTGAGGCTTCCTTCATTCCATTTTTCCCACCGCCGCCGCGCACCCTTCCACTATTTACCCAACTGTTTTACCTATCGCCTTGTTAGGCGGAAGAGTCTCGAGCACTCTGAGAAACCAGCGAGTAGTGGACGTGCGGGCTCAAATTTGGCAAATACCTCGGCTTCTTCCCATTCAGACTGCACAGTCATGACCCTACTATTGTTCCTGCTTTTGGCAGCGCCTTCTTTGGCAAAGTCGGGTCTGTCCTCCCATATTGTTCCGTTGGCCTACGACCTGATGGTCAAGCTACCGATCAGGGAGTTCAATGGGTTCACGGCTTCCATGGTCCTTCATTTCAACCTCACCGCCCTAACTGACAACATCACCCTTCATTCCGTGGATCTGCACAGTTTCCGGAACATCTCGATAATTTCCGGGGAATTCGCCGAGCCCCAACTGAAATCCATCCGGATTCTGAGGCAAACGGTCGAATTCAAATTCGCGACCGCCCTACTTCCCGGACAGTACTTGTTGACCATCGGAGAGTACAATGGACGGATCAATAATGGTTCCTTTGGGGTGATCCACCGGAACAACTCCATTTATACCACTCATTTTCAACCGAATCATGCTAGAAGACTGATGCCTTGTATTGATCATCCTTCGGTGAAATCAACTTTTCGGATTTCCGTCCTTCATCGGACCAACACCGTCGCTCAGTCCAACACTATCGCCAATGATGTTCAGGTGAGTTTTTTTTTTATATTTGAAGATTCCCCAGAACTTTTATCTATACTGTTTAGATTTGCTTTTTGTTATGTTTTTTCAGAAATTTATTTTTCCAAGTTGGCTGTTGAGTTCATTAGAAATCAAGAAATCTTTCTGGATTTCTTTTTTTGATTTTTTTCATTGAACTATGGGTCTGTTCTGCTAGATTTTTTCGTTTTTTTACATCTATTTTTTTAGAAAAAAATGAAGTTCTCTTCAAAAAAATCCCTGGAAAACTGTTAAACTTCTTAAAAGTTTTGTACCTGCCTTATATAATTTTTTCGATTTTTCAGAGTTTTTCTAGCTTTTTTTCGGCATGTAATTTCGGCTTTTTTTAAAATTCCGTACTGATAGAAAAAAATTATTTTTTTCAACATAGAATCAAAATTTAGTAAAGAAGGTGAAATGATCTTACTTCTGAGTAGGTAATTTTACAGGTTCTAAGAAAAAAAAAAATTAAAAATTCCATTTTTCTAGAAAAGAGACAATATGTCCTCAGAAAAATGCTCAAGAAATTTTGGAAAAATCTGGGAAAAAATCAAAAATTCAGGTGGAAGACCAAGAATGGCAAAAAACGACGTTCGCCGCCACGCCACAACTTCCAGCCTACCTCATTTCGTTCTCCATTTTACCGGACACTAATCTACAGGTTTGTCATTTTTTCTTGATTTTTTATCGATTGATCGATTTTTTCTGGATAACTTTGTTGATTTCCATGTAATTGCCATTCAATTAAGGTATATTTTTTTCCTAAAGTTCAGATTTTTTTAAGAATCTCCAGAACTTCTAGGAATAAATTTTCCGAAATCATCCTAAAATTCTTCTCAAAATCATTCCAATCAGGGAAAAAAAGGGTCCAAAAAAATTAGGATTATAGCTCCATTTTTCGATAAATTTCGTTACTTTTAATGCAGTTTTTCAACTTTTTCAAGCTTTCAAACCTCACTCAAAGATGAAAGAAAGAACTTTTAGATTATTATCCATATTGAGCCCAAAATATTCTTCGGAATGATTCCCAAGCGTATAAAGGTCAAAAAATCGGATTATCCCTCCACACCTGGCCGATTTCGCCAATTTCAATGCAATTTTTGAACTAAATCAAGTATTCAAATCATTTTCAGCGGTTTCTCAAACATTTTTCATAGTTTATCCTCTAAGTTCAGCCCAAAACGGACTTCAAAATCACTCCAAACAGCAAAAAAATCGCTAAATTTTTTTGATAATTTCTTCCTTCTAATGCAGAAAATCTCTTATTCGAACCTTAAAAGTTATTTTCTAGAAGTCACAAATTATTTTTCGAAGAATATCTTCCAAATTCAGCACAGAATAAACCTTGACGTCATTCCAAAACAGCGAAAAAAACAAGTCCAAAGAGTAGAATTCCGAAAGAAAGGAAGAAAAGAAAAGCGGGGAGGGCAGCGATTTTGTTGGCGGAAAGTGCGCGCGCCTGCACTTTTTGGCCATTGAGAGCACAATTCCCATCGTTTTCTGTCGACGTTGGCGAGGACCCAAAGGGCAAGTGGGAAATATTTTTTGGAAAAGAAAGGGACTTTTTTTGCAGATTAAAAAAATAAAAGGTTTTTTTCGGACTTTCTGTAATTTTTTTCTCAATTCATTGCACAAAATCATCTCATTGGAGATTTTTTTATGTAAACTTTAATTTTTTTCGAATCTTTCTAGGCCCTAAAAAAAGTGAGTTGAAAACACTTTTGAAAAGAGTTTTTTTAGCTTTTTTTCTAAATTTTGAGTCTGAAAAAAAATGTTTACCGATTTTTTTTTGCGAAAATTCAACGTTTACAAAGCTTCTTTGCGAGCTCTAATTTTTCTGGCCTTTAAAAAAATTTTTTTATTTTTTTCAATTCTCTCATAATTTTTCAATAAACAACCTTCAAAAAAAGTCGAAAAACATCAAACTTCATTGACGTGGGCTTATGTTTTTGATACACATAATAATAGCCTTCGCGGAATTGGATCCTGCCTTTTTTTTGACGCGAAATAAATATGATTATTGAACTTTTTGACTTTCTTTGAAAAAGTAATGGTGCAAACAGAAAAATTTACTTGCGGGGGTTAAAATTCTGAAAAATTTTTTTCCACCATTTTTTTCCATTCAAAAAGCTCAATTATAATAGCAAATTTATCTTTTTAAAAATTCTTCTAGTCCTCTCAAAAAAATTTTTTCAAAGTCCAAAAAAAGAAACTTGATTTTTGAAGATAATTTCCTCAAAAAAATCAGAAATGAAATTTTTTTAAAGGCGCATCAAAAAAATTTCATAGGGTCTCGAAACGAAAGTCCATTTTCAGGTTTTTTTCTGTTCCCTTAGGAACGCCAGAGTGATTCCTATAGGGATCAGAGAAAGAAACAGCGTTTGTAGGACAAAAAAAAGTGCCTCCTATAGGGTTTTGAGTTTTTGGCATGGAAATGCTTCTTCTCATAGAGCTCATAACAATCATCTACTTGCATGTCCCCTTAAGAGGCCACTTTGTCAAGCTTTAGTGGCCACTATGGGGGGAGGTAAAGTGGTCCCTAGAGGGAACTTTGGCCACTTTTGCGAGCTTCAGTGGTTCCTATAGATAGAGGGAAAGTGATTCCTAGAGGGAAGCCTTGAAAGGGCCTCTAAGGTTGGCCCTCTAGGGACAACTCTGGAGTTCCTAAGTAAAACTTGTACGCCTTGAAAAATCCGACTTCTTTCTAAAAACTTCTCAACTCTCTCGAAAAACTTATCAGTTCCTCTCAAAGATTTTGTTTTTCCAACAGAAAGAAGAAAAAAAATTGATTGCCTTCGACCATCTCCACCCAAAATTTGTGTGTGCGTGTGTTCCCTAAATATTGACATTTCCAGGCCAATTCGCCCCTAAAAATCTTCATAAACAAACGCGCCCCCCACTGCCCAAGAAGAACATAAACACGCGAGCAAAGTTCGCTTCACAAAATTCGTTTTGTTTGTTGCTCCATTAATTTCGAAATTCGGCGTTTGCGCCGTAAATTGAGGGGTTTTTCGGATGAAAATGATGAAAGCGTCCTTTAATGATGATCTGGGGTCATGAAAATCGGCATTTACTATTCGTAAAAGGTATGAAATGATAGTATAACCGAATTTCAAAGAGAAAACACCTTCATCTGGGTTCAACTTGTTCTTTAACTAATTATTCAGAGATATTTTGAAGGAAAATATGGAAAAGTGAAATTTACGGTCCTTAAAATGCTCAAAATGATGCTATAACTGAGCTTGTTTAAACGAAAAAAATTATGATCCTTGATAAGTCGAATGAAATCTCAATTTAAATTATTTTTTTATAGCCTTTCCACCAGCGTTTTTGGTCAAAAAAATCAGGGATTTATAAATCATAGAAAATATATAAATAGAAAAAAATATAGAAAGGAACAAATAGTCTGAAATCTTAATAACTTAAGATCACAAGCCATCAATTTTAACCGAAAATTCAGGGATTTTCTAATATAAAACGAGAAAAACTATTACAAGTTTCCGTTTATGTTGATCTTAGGTCACGAAAAGTGACTTTTATAGCCCGTAACAGGTATTTATTTTAAAAAAAAAATAGAATACAAGTCTTTAAAATACCCTTCCAAGGCATTTGAAAGCCTTATAATACTCAAATTAACACTGAAATCGGCCGTTTCGCCTCAAAAATCAGCTTTAAAAAAGCTCTTTTCAGTAGAAAATTGAACAATATCTGATTTTTTGAAGGGTTCTAGCGGACAAATATACTCAATTATCCAATACAAAATGTTTGTAAACAAATATTGTCCGCAAATATGTGAATAACACTGGAGTAGTCCAACTCCATACAAAAATGAGTTCTAGCGCCAATTTTATGAAAAAATAAACTCTCAAAAGAAATTTCAAATGTAATCCCAAAATCTCAAGAAAAAAAATTATTTTTTTCTAATCTTCACAAGTTTTGTCAACGAGAAACAACAAAAGTGCCACAAAAGGAAGAAAAAAAAGCGACCAATCAGAGCGAAAAGCTCCGCCTTTCTTCAAAGAAAAAAAAAAGATATGGTGGGGGGATTAGTCCTTGACGTTGTTGGTCCCGTTACAAAAACACATTTCAAGGTTGCCCGCCTTATTTTTGATGCCAAAAACATGAATCTAGAGTCTAGACATCAAACTTTGCCCAACCATAAACACCTTCTAAGTTTTCTTTCCTTTCTAAAGTTTCTAGTTTGGAGTTCTATCCTATTCGAATCGTTATAATGCTTTTTTATCACATAAATGAAGTCTCAACATCAAACTTTGCTTTTCAGAGTGAAATTTATAAAAAAGGAACTGACTTCGATTGGAGACATGACGAAGATCCACATAGCTGTACTTTTTCTTCTTCTTTTGGAGCATCGCTCAAAAATTTCCATTACAGAAATATTGGCGCAAAGAAGCAACCGACGAGATTTCAATGAAGATGAACAAGAAACGAAAAAACGATTTATTTAGGAAATTCGGCTCAAAAAAACAAAAAAAGGAACTGAAACTCGTTAATGAAAAAAATACAAAAAAAATCATGAAAATTATGAAAATAGCAGAATTATTCTTCGCTCAAACAGTTATTCCTTTCAGAAAAAAATGGGCTTCGAAAGTGAATAATTTTAAGAAAGAAAAACTTGGATGTCTTTTTTTCGAAAAAAATAAGAGCTTTTTTTCATCAGAGAAACTATTTTACAACTTCAAAAATTTTTTTAATTCAATTATAAGACAAAAAGAAAAAAATAATTTTTCACGTCCTAATTTAAAAAAACACTTTCGCTGAATTTCAAGACATTTTTCCGCTTTGAACATTGAAAAAAATCGAAGAAAATTTCGAAAAAAAGACGGAAAAACTGTACCGCAAAAAAATTGGAAAAAAATTTGCGAAGAAAACCGTGAAAGCGCGCTCTATCGACGCTTATTCGTCTGTAGAATTGAAAAATTAATAATACTTTCTTTAACTTCAGTTTTTTTCCAAAAACTTCTTCTTTTTTTGGGTGGTAGACATTATTAGAAAATTACATGGCTTGAAGAAGAAAAGAGTCAAAAAAACTTTAATTAATCATTACTTTCTACCGGAGTTTTAACATTTTTAAATCAATTTAGAATCATTGGATATGGATAACTTTGAATTAAAAGGCATTTTTCAGCTCTCCCGGCAAACATCGTTCGGAGTAACGGTACGCGTAAATGGCCGCGTCCGCGGGACAGTTCTCCGGGTCTTGGACTGCGCCCTGGCGGCTTTCGAGCTTCTCGCGACGATCGTCGACGTTCCCCTTCCACTGAATAAGGTTTTTTTTTCAATTCATAAAATCGGCGATAAAAAACATGAAAAGGTCGCATAATCTGGGGATTAAGCTTAAGCTTTCATTGACATCAAATATCCCGCGATTGTTTTGTAAAAATCAGCTTGTTTGTTGGAGAAGCCTCGGGAAACGAGCGTGACAAACTACGAGAAAGTCTAGAGACCGAGAAAAAAAAAAACGTGTTTTGTACTATTAATCCAATGATTCAGAGACATGGGATGGGTTCAAGAGTACCTCATCAAGTTTTTTTAAAGGGAAAAAGTCGTAATTTTTTATCGAATATGTTAGAAAAATCCGTTACAAGAGGGTCAAGGTGTTGAACAGAAGAAGGACTGAAATTTTGCCGGAAAGAAGTTTATTATATTTGAAAAAAAGTGGCATTTTACTTGAAGGTTTTGGGAAGGATTTTACCAAACGTTCGAAAGTTTTTCTTTTTATTCTTTCCCTAACCCCCCCTTAATGGGGACTTTGATGAGCTTCTGCTCTTTTTCACAAGTTTTTGGGAAGGATTTTACCGAACGATCAAAAAAATTTCATTTTGTTTTTTTACCCTAACCCCCTTCCTAGGGACTTTGATTCCCCCTCATCACGCAAACCGGAAGCGCCCCGGAGTTTCTGAGCACCTCTAGGAATCACTTTAGAGGAGTCAGCCCTTTAAAATGGTTCAGAAATGTCCGGGGCGCGTCCGGTTTGTGTTACCAAGGACTGATTTTTGAGTAGATCCAAAATCAAAATTCCAGAAGTTAATTTCATCTTGATTTTTCATGAACTCCAAACGACTTTCATTTGTTCAAAAAAACCAAAGTACGACAAGAAAAAAGTAGAAACTCCTTTCTTCCAGCTCGACTTCATCCTGCTGCCCAACTACGACGGAGGCATGGAGAACTGGGGCCACGTGGTCCTGTCCGAGTCCCTTGCCGAACTCGGCGACGACGCTCATCTCATCTACATCGTCGCCCACGAGATCGCCCATCATTGGGTCGGCAACAAGGCCACCATCGACAGCTGGCAGTTCATTTGTCTTCAGGTTCTTCAATATCATATATTTCGAATAAGAAAACGAGCAGGATTTTGGATTTTGTTGAAAAATTGGGGACTTCAAGGTGCTCTTCCAGTCTAGATAAAGCACCTTGAAATCAAAAAAGACTTTTTTTTAAACTTATATTCGCGACTTTTAAGGATTCTTGGATATAATTATTTGATTTTCAAGTCTGAATTCTATAAATTGAAAATTAGGGTATTGATTATTGTGCGCTCCACTGCTAACTTGTTTTAACACACATTTTGGAAAAGTTCCTGCTGTAGTTATCACTTAAGTGGCCTTCCCGCCTTCTCAATTTGACCTTGAAGTGTAGTCCGTTTTTCGCGACTTGAAGGGACTTCTCTGCGCTCTCCTCATCTCTCGACGTCTCTCTCCTTTTTACGTGCTATTTCCATGTTTCTCTGACCTCGCCGGTGAGGGAACAGAGAGACGCAGACACGCGAAAACTGTCAAGTCGCGCCGGACGGACTATAGAAGCGTTACTAGAAGGCAGAGAAAGTTTCTAGGTTTCTGGAGTTTGATCCTACTTTAGGTCACTGTGAAAATGAAAGATTCTTTACGGCGTTTTTACAGAGTTCTTTGCGGAATCTTTTTTCTTCAAGGATTTTTTTTCTAGTCTAGTTACGACGCCTCAGAATCGAAAATAACTATTTTACAACGTTTAGAAACTTAAAAGCGCTATGAATCGACTACCAGGCAAAAAAAAACTTTTTTTGGATTGTGGAGCTCATTTTTCTCCAGGCTTTTTAGTTTGAATGCTTTTAAACCATACAGGGCTTTTTAAAATCAAAATTTAGCTTCAAAGAAAAAAAATCCTTCTGACGAAAAATGCCTAAAAATCATTCTCCAATACATTAATAGTTTTTGAAAAATTTCAAGTTCCAATATTCCTCCTCAGGCTTCATTTTTCTTCCTTTTTTTTCTCAAAAACCTAATCTAGGCTTACGGACAAGCTCCCAAAAACCATGTTATAAGGAAACGGATGATTCAAATCCAAGACACAAACAAGCGGTTCTGGTGCGTCAAACGTGGCCCAAATCGTGTTTGGAACGTGTCTTTTTTCGGGTTTTTAAGCGGTTACGGTAGGCTTAAGAAGGGATTTGAGAGAATACTTTGAAATTTTGAAATTTTTTGAGCCTGGGAAAATGAAAAGTCACAGTGGGGTTTTTTTTTTGAGGCGTTAAGACAATTTTCGTCTATTCAAGGCGAAAAATTAGTTTTGAAAATTTTTTTTCTGAGGAGACTTTTAAATGGGACTTGAAAATGATAAATTTTCCTTCGTAAGCCTTTTCGAGATCCGTAAAATTTCCTTTATAATGTTCCAAAATTGCCAGAAATGACACGAAAAAATGTATTTTAAATGATTTTAAGACAAAAATTGACTTCTTCAGAGTTTCTCCAAATAGCCTATTTTTACGGACTTTGATGGTTTTCATTGACTTCAAGGCGTCCTTTTTCAAAAATAAGAAAGTTGTGCAGGTTAAGACTTTCATGATCTTCATCTGGCACACCAAGAAGTGTTCTGGCCGATTTTCAGGAAATTCCTAATCGAAAAGTGAAATGACTTTCCTTGTAAGAAGTTTCTAAAATTAAGATTGTCAGGGCATAAAAATCTAAAGGTCTATTAAGAGGTTCTTAAAGGGCTACTTGGAGAGATCACTTAAGGGGCCACTAAAACCACGTCTATTGAAAACACTATCTTAGTGGCCACTACAGTAATTTTCTAGGGGTCTGGAAGTACCGCTTAGACTCCTAAAGAGGCCACTAAATTTCCGTCGCTTAAGTGGTAACTAGCTCGACTACTGTAGTGACCACTAAAACGTCAAATGCCTCTATAAAAACCACTATCTTTGTGGACACTACAGTGATTTTCTGAGGGTCTAGTTGTACTGCTAAGACTCCTTAAGAGGCCACTGAATTTTCTTCACTTAAGTGGTCACTAGCTCGACTACCATAGTGACCACTAAAACGTCAAAACCCTCTATAAAAACCACTATCTTAGTGACCACTACAGTAGTTTTTTGACGACCAGTAGTACCTTTTTGACTCCTAAAGAGGCCACTAAATTTCCGTCACTTAAGTGGTCACTATCTCGACTACCATAGTGACCACTAAAACGTCAAAACCCTCTATAAAAACCATTATCTTAGTGACCACTACAGTAGTTTTGAGGGGTCTAGTAGTACCGCTTAGACTCCTAAAGAGGCTACTAAATTTGCGTCACTTAAGTGGTCACTAGCTCGACTACTAGAGTGACCAGTTAAACGTCAAATGCCTTTATAGAAACCACTAACCTTCTAATGTGGCTTTAAGTCACTATTTTCCGTTTTAGTGGCAACTTCAGTAGTTTTTCATCCAGTATTCCTTCCAGTAACTCTGATAATTTTATAACAAACAGATTGGACCAGTTATGCTGATCCATTGACCCCTAAAGCGGCCACTGAGATGTTTAGTGGTCTAGTTGTAGCGCTTAGACCTCTATAGTGGCCACGCCACTAATTTTTAACCCCTTAAGTGGCCACTAGCTCGACTACTCTAATGACCACTATAACGTCAAAACCCTAAAGTGGCTTCTAAAATTTATTCCAGGAAGCTTCTTTTTGGGAATGAATGGGGTTCTTATCCTTTCAACCTACATCCAAATCCAAAGAGCAGCTATTCAGATTCCAATCCTCCTTATCATTCGGCTCAATTAGATGTTCTTTGTCCATTTATCAACAAGATTAATGTTTGAGCGGATGCGGTAGGCGAACGCCATTAATCCCCGAGCTTCTGTCCAAAACGTTCGATGATTTTGGCACGGGTTAAGCTCAACAAAAATCAACGTGCGTGTGGGGGTGTTTCCTTGTGGGGACGGCGAGGAAAAAAAAGGGATTTTGGGATGGAAAATGGGGACTGACAAGCGGAAAAGCTTCAAAAAGGGTTTAAAGTCTTCAACAGTTAAAAAACTTCATGGATAGTGATTACAAATCCAAAAAAAAAATTACTCGAATAAGAAAACTTGAAAAAAGGAAAAAAAAAACTGCTAGTTTCTTACAGGATTCATTCTATCCATGGAGCGGAGAAGCTCAAAACTTTTTGTATTTCTATTTTTGTCATTATTTTTCCATAGTCCTACTGAATCCTTCACTTTTCATCAAAAAATATTTAATTCTCACGGCTTTAAAAAAAACCCTGGTCGCATGTAGAATGGCTCGATGCGTTGCGGTCGCGATGCGGTCCATATCCGGACTTTAGAGCTTGCTTTTTAGGACCCTATCTAAATGCCGCACCGCGCAAGTCGCTTTTAGGTCGGGGGCAATTTTTTTAAAAAAGCTGTTACGCATTTAAGCCATCCCATGTGCGACCAAAGTCTTCGAACATTTTCTGCAGACTTTCTGTTATGACTCAGGAATTTCAGAGTGGTTTCTATAGGGGTTAGAGGGAAAACAGCCCATATTAGGAGTAAAAAAGTGGTTCTCATAGGGGCTAGGGAGAAAAACAGCGTCTCTAGGAACCAAAAAAGTGGTCCCTATAGGGATTTAAAGTCTGACCCCTTAGCCCCTAAAGCTTAAGTGGTCCCTACAGGGGTCGTTCAATTTTATTCAAAAAGATCATTTTTTCCAGTTTTTTTGCATGGAAATACTTCTTCGCCTAGAGTTCATAAAAATTATCGACTAGCATGTCCCCTAAAGGGGCAGCTTTTCTAAGTTTTAGTGACCCCTATAGGGGTTGGTAAAGTGGTCCCCTCAAGGGCCCCTAAGGTTGCCCCTATAGAGACCACTCTGGAGTTCCTAAGAGAGAACCTTTTCCCGAAAAATTTACTGATTTCTAGAAATTTTGTGACATTCGAATAGAGTATTCAGTACAAAATCCATTCTACCTGATTTCCGCTCTTTTTCCAGCTAATCCCATATTTACGTATGTCGTTAACATTCTCAAAAGGACGTAGGAGAATCTTTCAAAAGGGGGCAAAACAATTGGAAGGCTTCTTTTCTCATGTGATGATGTTGTTTTCTATGATTCGAAGCCTTTTCTAAGGTCACGAAATGCGTTTGAAGCTTGTTTTTTAGGATTATTTGTTTGGTTTTGATTCTTGAACGATGTCGGCAATGACTCATTTTCAGGGGGAATAACTTGTGATTTTTCAAAGCTAAAAATATTGATTGATGCTTACAGGAAGACCTGGCGGACTGGCTGGCAATGAAAACCGTCAAAACCTTGCTGACCGACGACGAAATGTACAGCCGGTTCAAGCTGTCGCAGTACGTCGAAATTCAACTCGCCGAAGATTTTTTGAGTCCGAATCATTCTCTGTTGATGCCTGAAGAGATTGATCAGGAGATGGTGAGCCTTGGATTATTCAAAAGTTCTACACAAATTCTGAAATATTTTGGCACCTTGTAGAACTATTTTTGTGTTTAAAATATGTACTTTCTCAAGAAACTTGGAAGTGTTCTTCGAAAAAATGAGATAAGGGGGAAATTCTTCCTCTAAAGCGCATTTAACAGAAAATTCGAAAGCAGGGCCACTTTTTGATCATTTTCTTGCGGTTCTCAAAAACTTCCTCCGTCATGAAAGGTCACAATTTCCATAAAGTTTCGGGATAATAGCTACTTGGGACTTTTTCGACCTTTTACTGCTTTGGCGGGAACTTCAGAACGTCAGAGTGGCTCCTATAGGGGACAAAAAAGTGCTCCCTACAGAGGAAAAACTGAGGTGGACCCTGAGGATGTTTCAGTTTTTGCTCAGATTTGAAAATTTAAATGGCAATCTTTATCTTCTTCTCAGAGTTTATAACAATAATCGACTTGTCCCCTATAGGGGAAGGTAAAGTGCTCCCTAAAGGGGAACCTCTAAGGGACCCTATAGGGACCACTCTGAAGTTCCTAAGGAGTTTACCCTTCTCCAAAAAAAGTACCAACTTTCCCGAATTTTCGTGTGTTCAACGTTATTTTGTGAAAATCAAATCAGCCGTCAGAGAGAGATAACTAAATTTTGGAGGGTCAGAGACAACTTTGAATCTCACGGAAATAAACTTTACCACGGTATGAACTCTACAAAAAGACATCAGTACCCTATTGCTCATGTTTATTAATTCTATGCTTTGAATAATAAACTCTTTTACTGACTAATAACCTACAGATCTCCACGCACTGTTACCTGAAAGGTGTGGTGATGCTGGAGACGTTGGAGAACGTCGTCGGCGAGGCCTACATGCTGAGCGTCGTCAAGAACATCGTCAGCCTCCACACTTCCTACAATCTCCAGACCTTCCTTGGCCATTTCGACGAGATCCGCGTCGATAGGAACGCCACCTTGGCTCAGGTCAGCTTGAAATTCAGCTCAAAATGGGGCTTCTGATGCAGTTTGACGCGCTGATTCTGAATCTTCGACTAAAAATCGTTGGAAAGGTCTTTTAACAAATGTTAAAGCTCTTTGAAATTTGAAATTTGAAATTTTTATTCAGTCTTCAGAGTAAGTTCTCTGCTGAATCATGGAATAATTGAAGAGTTGTTTGTCGGTTCGCGATAATGTCGTTGATCAAGCGTAGGCGCGTAGAGCATCTCGCCTCTCTTGTGCTAGTAGTAGACGATTTTCGAGCGTTTCCCACGATCACTGCAAAGCTCTTTAAGTTAAAAAAATAAAAGTACAGGCTATATAGCTGGAAGTTCTTGAGCTGATGAGGAGGATACTAGGAAAAATCACGTTTTGGGTTGAATTCTCCGAAAAAAAATCAAGATTGGGCCATTTTTTTAAAAATCAAGATGTGGCTCAAATTTTTATGAAAAAAATTGAGGTCAGGCTCAAATTTTTTTCGAAAAAAATCGATGTCTGGCTTTAATTTTTTTGTTTGAAAAAAACCAAGGTCCGGCTCAAATTTTTCTGAAAAAAATCGAGGTCTGGCTGTAATTTTTTTATTTAAAAAAATCAAGGTCCAGCTCAAACTTTTTTTGAAAAGCGAAGACCAGGCTCAAATGTTTGGAAATATCGAGTTCTGGCTCAAGTTTTTCCGGAAAGTCAAGGTCTGGCTTAAATTTTTTTCAAACAAATCTAGGCCTGGCTCAAATTTTCTATCAAAAAAAGCATGTCTTTAACTCAAGTTTTTCAAAAAATCAGGAACATTTTTGAAAAAATCATACTTCTAACTTGAATCGAGCCGATTTTGTTATCGTTTGAAGTGTCTGCAAATTCTGAGTCAAAAGAAATGTCTCAGACTTCTGAAGGAGCCCTGGAAGAGCCGTTTTTTGCAATCTTTCCAAGTTTTCAAGTTCGATTTCCGTGACACACGCCATCTACATTCTGATTTTTCCAAATTCTGAGGTCTATAATTTCTTTCAAAGACGTTCTTAGCTTTTTTTTTCCAGCGAAAATTCGGAATCAGCGAGAAATTTTCATCTTATTAAATCCCTTAATGACCTGATAATCATCTCTAAAAAGTGAAAAATCAAAAATTATTTTCAGATCTTCGAGTACTGGTTTACCCAAGGCGGTTTCCCATCGGTCCTCGTCGAGAACAACGGTCCGTCTTCACGTCTTCAGCAGATGACGAAGCCACTCTGGCCCCTGAGAATGACCTCGACGCTGTCCCTTCCCGAGTTCGTCTTCTCCGAATCCATCGTCTTCGCTTCTGAATCTGCGCCGCTTCTCGTCAACCTCAACTTTACCTCTTTTATGCGTATCAACTACGATCCTTTGACTTGGACTTCCATCTTCAGGTCTGTCTGGGCTTCAAAAAAAAAATTTCTCTATAAAAAAATAGTTTCACATTCCTTCAAAATCGGAAGATTTTGAGAAGCTTCAGCCAAAAATGATCTGCTTGCTGTATCTTCTTTATGAATTTTCCAAATCAAAAAAAGGTGTTGAAGCTGCGCTACATGCTAAGTTAGTAGAACAGAAAAGTGCTCTAACTTTTTTCTGAAAATTATTTTTTATTGAAGGTTTTTATGGTATTTAGGAGCTGATTGGTCCCTATAGGGACAACTTAAGATGCCCTTTGTCAACTCTTATAGGGGCCACTAATACTTGCAAAAGTGGCCTCTATAGGGGTTTCAGTTAGCGGCTTCGATAGGGGAGATGATAGTCGATAAATGTTATGAACCCTGAGTGAAGAAGCTTTACCATGGGGAAACTGAACGAACGTTTTTTAAATGAACTTGAAAGACCCCTATAGGGTCCACTTGAGCTTTAAGGTCAAAGGGTCAGACCCGAAACCCTTATGAAGACCAACTTATTTTACCCCTCTAGGGACCACTTTTTTGGCGCTTATAGAAGCTGTTTTCGACAATAATCCCTATAGGGACCACTCTGGAATAAAATCTCAATTTTTAGACAAAAATAATTTTATAATTAACTTCAGTTTCAATAACCATTGACAAGAAAGCTAAAAATTCCGAAATTCGATCTTATTTTGGAAACTTCTTGCATGCCTGAGATCATCCTCTCAAGACCGAAAAAGCCATTCTTAAAGGTACATGCTGGACGAGCCTCAACTCTTCTCCCCAGTGGGTCGTGCTCAACTCATTTCCGACTTTTGCTACTTCAACGCCCACAAGCAAATCGTTAACGGCTCCTTGATTCGGAACGCTGTCGTCGACATGGTTTCTATTTTTTTATTTCTTCCAAAGAATGGCTCAATGGGTCGCGGTTACCTTGGGATCCATTCAATCTTCTGACTGCACCCGAAAAAAAACTACTTTCGCGCTTCGGCATCTTTTAAGATAGAGCTAAAGAAAGTACCAAAAATGAAAATACCTTTTCAACTAGAAAAACCGTACCTTTTTGAATCATTCCATGCAAACAGCTCACCCAAATTTTAAAGGAGCATACGCGAAAAAATAACTCGTTGCTATGTGCCTTTAAAAAACCCCCAACCTGTTATGAATGACCCATTTGCAAAATCCAAATTCCAGGTCTACGCAAAGCCGGAATACTTCGAGCTGTGCGACTGGAACCTGTACTGGTGTCACTCCACAACCGACGTGTCCTTGTTTTCCAAATTGGTCAGACGGCTCGCTTTGGGATTCACGGTCATTTTCGAGAGTTCGGCCGCGTTCGGCTGTCGGAATGGGATGGCTGTCCGTGGAGTTAACACCTTCTGTGAGACGCTTTTCGGTGTGAAATGTGTATAATTTTTTTTTTGATGAAAAAGTTCCACTTTTGAGTTTTTATTAGCATTTTCAGGACACAAGCTCTGTATTTGACGAAAAAGCTATTTTTTGGATTTCTAATTTCATCTCCAGTGTCCTTTAAGGACAGTCTCATTATAATTAGCATTTTTCATTCTCAAAATTCATTTTTAATGATTAAAATAAAAATAGACCCAATTTTTTTCAGGTCATTCATTCAGCCAATCCATTCAAAAATGACACCAAAAAAATAAAAAAATTTGTAAAATCAAAAAAAATTTTTTCAAGTAAAAAGCCTCGTGTGCTGACAAAGTATAATAAAATCAAAAAATTGGGATTTTCCATTCGAAACCGATTTTTTTCTACGAATCTGACCCAATCTGAATATCTCTCTCAAAATTTTGCCTTTCAGAATTTTCTCTAGAAAACCGAAGCATGTTTTGAAATGCTGCATTTTGGAGCATTTTTGCTCATTTTCATGGATTTCTGTGCATTTCGAAGCGGTTTCCTTGTTTCAAAATATGCTTTATTCTATTTTTCAAGATCGAAACCTTCGAAGGTCCCCTCTGTATGTACTTCCTTTTCCATTTCCAACGAATCTCATTTTTTTTTTCCTTTTTTTCAGTTCGAAACGAGCCTCAGATATATTCAGTTTATTCATTTTTTGGTGAAATAAAAAAAAGCCCCGGTGAGATTAACATACAACAATTGTATTAGGCTTCAACTTTCATACGAGTCTTTTTTTACCTTTTTTTATTTTTATTTTTCTTTCTTTTTTTCGTGTTTTAATAAATTCTTCATGCAACATTTACTTTGCGTATTGAAAAAAATGGACAAAATTACGAAAAATCGATCAAAAAGGATGGTCGACTCGTCCGCCGGTAGTTTCGCGCAAATCGCCGCCAAATCTTAAAAATTTTCAGTTTTTCAGAAACTGGCACAGTTCCAAAAAAATTGAATTGTCTCTTTGACAGAAAAAAAAAAGATTTTTCACATAATTTCTTTATTATTTAGATTTTCGAGCAGTTTTTTTGACCAAAAATACAGACGATTCGGCTTAGTCGCCTTTTTATCAATAGAGCGCACTTGAATCTCCCTAAACAGCCTTCACCAAAAAAAAAAAAAATGGCTCTTTGAGGCTGATAGAAACAAAAAATACGTATAAGGTTCAAAATGAACATTTTGTCCATAGAGCGCACTTGATTCTTCACAAACAGCCGACAAAAAATCGGCTAATAAAAACTAATAAAAACCAAAATTCGGGTTAAGGATTCGAAAATGCGACTTTTCTTAATGGAGCGCACTTGATTCTCCCTTAAAAGCCTATAATCGTATCAGATAGAAACAATGAGTTGAAAATTCATAAATAACAAATCTGTCGATAGAGAGCAATTAATTCTGACAAAAAGGCTTTACCTAAAAATCAAACATGCTCTTTGGATAAAGGGAGCAACAAAATTGCTCGAAATGAACATTTTGTCAATAGAGCGCACTTTAATCTCCCAAAATAGCCTTCCCCAAAAAATCAAACCTTGCTTCTCGTTGGCGCCCAAGAACATGGTAACAAGTTCGAAGCGGGAAACTTGCGACAGCGCCAAAAGTCTTCTGGTGACGTCACTGACGTTGACTCTCTGACTCTCCACCAAAAGAGCCAATCCCTTCAGAAGAAGTGCAACCGACTCCGTCGTGATCAAATCATCGAAAAGTGATGAATAATCGCTTTCGGGGATTTGCTAAAGTTTCCATTAGCATTTTTTTTTCAAGCATTTTTTTAACAGACCAAAAAGTATTGAGCAAAAAGATCCGGCGAATCTGACAGATAATTGGCGTCGGCTGCGAAATCCGCAAAAGTCTTCGGCAAGGTCGGAATCGACTTTTTGTTGTCGATTGGGTCATTTTGGGTAGAACAGCTCGCCTGAATATCCTTTTTTCGGAAAAATAATGAATTTTCAAACGTCATGAATTTTTTGAATTATATTCTCTGTTCTTAGTACCTTTTTCGAGGGGAAAAAAAAAATAAACTTGTTTTTCCAAGAAAAAAAAATTGAATGACCAAAATTTCCAACTGAAAAATCCCATTTTTGAACAGAAATCGAGGTATAGTCAATGTTTCCCGACTTGAAAGGCGAGGGAGGCGGGGCAAGGGGCGGGACGCGTAGCGTGTGCGTTCGCGGTTCTTGGCACGAGTTCAATTCAATTGCCGCCGACTATTTAAAAAGCTCGGCAACCGCTTTTTTTCAATTTTTTCTACTATTTTTTGATGCACACATAAACATAATCAATAAATAATTGAAAAAGGAATGAAAAGAGCAAAAAACGGGCTTCTCAAAGGGTCGATGGCGGTTGAATTGAACATGCGCCAAGGACCGCGAACGCACACGCTACGCGTCCCGCCCCTTGCCCCGCCTCCCTCGCCTTTCAAGTCGGGAAACATTGACTATATGACAAAACGTGTCGCTTTTTAAAAAAGACTGAATTTTCAACATAGGTCATGAACAATTTAAATTCTCTATTCCCGGCCATTTTCTTGGAATTTTATTCACAATTCGGTCTTGAAAACTGTGACAAAAGATTCTATTTATGAAATTTAAAATCGCATTTTTTTTTTTTTTCGTTCATCCTTTAATAAAATAGAGCTTAGTGACAAAAATTTCCTAGAGAAATTTCGAAATTTGAGAGGAAAAAAAGTTTTTTTATTTCGAAATTTTCTAAACTCTTTAGATTTTTTTGAAAATTACCTCCTGTGCCACTGGAACCACAGCATCGCATTCTATCGGAATATCCAAAAAAATCGACTTGACTCGCCAAATATTCATCTCTCTCCACTGCACTAATGTCAATAACCGCAGCATTGGTCTGAAAAAGATTTTTTTAACTGCTAATAAAAAAAGAAAAAGACGAATTTTGAACTTTTTTTAGGAAAAAAATCTGGTTTTTTTGAAGGTAAATTCACGACTTTTTGAAATCCTCTAACCAATATCTTTGAATAAGAAACGATTTTTCAAAGTTCGAAAAAAATTTCGGCGATTTCAAAATTGACGCGTTATTCGTTTGAAACTTTGCAAAATAGGTAATTTGTAATTTTCAATGATAGATTGCTATTTTATGACTTTTCTAATCAAAAAATGTCCTCGAAAAGTTTTGAAACCCCATACACTAAGAATAACTGACGAGATAAACGCGAGCTCGGTGGCGGTACATTGACTAACTCGCAAAAAAATGTCGCTTTTTTTCTAGGCGCGATCCAGCATTTTTTTCTCGGCGCGACCTCGCATTTTTCTCGGCGCCATCTCGCATTTATCTTGCATTTCGGAAATTTTCAAATTGCGAGAGAAATGCGAGCTCGCGCCTAGAAAAGTGCGAGCTGGCGCCCAGAAAAATGCGAGACCGGCGCGAGAAAAAAAGCGAGATGTTTGCGAGCTCGTCAATGTACCGCCAGTGTCTCGCGTTTATCTCGGCAGTTATTCTTAGTGTAGTGGCCCCTATAGGAGTTCGGGGACCCCCTGCTTAGGAGTTCCAGAGTGGTTCCTATAGAGGTTAAGGGAACTTTTGCAAGGTTTAGTGACCCCTGAAGGGGTCAGTAAAATGGTCTCTAGAGAGGGACCCATCATGAGGTCCTAAGGTTATCCCATAGAAACCCCTCTGAAGTTCCCAAGTAAATGGGACGAAATCGCCTCTATAGGGTGAAGTTTGGGTGATCATTATTTTCTGATTATTGTCCGAATGGCAATGCTTCTAGAGTTCATAAAAATGATCGACTAGCGTGTGCCCTTTAGGGGCCACTTTTACAAGCTTCAGTGACCCCTATAGAGTGTTCCCTGAAGAGGGCCTCTAAGAACGCCCCTATAGGGACCACTTTGGAGTTCCTAACTCCAAATGTCACCTTTCCAATCAAAGAGTCCAGCAGCTTCTTCGTACTCGGATCCTCGGCCAATCTCAAACATTTCTCGGCGTCCTTTCTCGCTTCTTCGTACAGACCAAGCTCTTTCAAAGCGAGGGATCGTCTGGAAAATACACATAAAATGAAAAATAATGATAAAGTTCAATTCGTCCCACGAATGATCCTCGAAAAAACCTAAAAATGTAACTTCGAAATTGTGTTTTTTTATTATTTTTTTAGAATATATCCAAGACATCGAAAATTCTAATTCAGAACTCTTATTTGCGATCAAGTAACTACTTTAGGGACTAAAAGCTTAGTGACCCTTTAAGGGCTTTTTTTGTGATAGTAAATCACTACTATTTTCAGCTCAACGTAACTAGACAAAATATTGGCCCCTTGACTGGATTGCCCCCTATAGGGGCCACTATTACAAGCTTGAGTGACCCCTATAGGGAGCGGTAAAGTGCTTCCTGAAGGGGGCCTTTGAGGGCCTCTAAGAATGTCCCTAAGAAGTGTTCTTAGAGGCCACCTTGTGTCCTCCCCAAGTGGTTCTTGAGGAACCACTCAAGGGGCCACTAAAGATTTTCCTAGTTCTTTTCCGGGAATTCTCGCAAACACTGCGTAACTAAAACCAAATCTGAGCAATTCTAGGGGTCACTTAAGGGTGCTGACGCTACTTAAGGGGTCACTAGACCGACTCGACAGAAGAAGCGAGAGCTTTCTCAACTACTACAGGGATCACTAAAAGCTCAAAATTATTCAAGTCACTTTCTAGGGGAAACTTAAGGGATCAGAAAAGGCTGTAAAATTAGACTTAACTTCAAGTTGAAAAAATAATTCTTCCCACAAATTTTTGAAAAAAACGACCAATTTTCAAGGAACTTCAATATTTTTTCCTTATTTGTTACCTGTAATAAGCTTTCGGCAACTTCGGATCCAACTCAATAGCTCTGGAACAGTCCATTTGAGCCAATAAGTACTGTTTTAGGTTGATAAAAGCTTGGGCCCGGTTTCCTACAAGAAATTTATACAAAAATCGTCGAAAATTGGAATTTTCCAACCAAAAACAACGGGATCCGCCGAAGATTCCAAGCTTTTCGTGTAGCTCAACACGGCGGCGTGGTATCTTTTCTGTTTGAAGGCTTCGTTGCCCTTTTCTTTGTGGAATTTGGCCTCTTCTGATGACATTTTGGTGGGAATTAAGCTGGAAAATAGGAAAAATGGATCAATCTCAAAAATCTTGGGAAAAAGTTAAGACGACGGAAAATGGATAAAACCATCAAAATTAGAAAAAAAAAGTTGTCTTCAATCATTCAATTTGATTCCCAGAACATTCTCCATGATAAACGCATAGAAAACAAGCGTAAGCGAGAGAGTTGAAAGCCGAAGAGATTCCAGAGAAAGAGAGAAACTCTAACTTCTCTGGCGTCTCTCCGGGGCGCCGTTGTTCTCTCTGTTTTTTCTTTATTTTCACTGAATCCAGCTACTTTCTCGAAAAAAAAAGTTTGAATGACTGGGAATTGATATAAAATAAATCTCAATTCTCATAAATTTACCCACCAGAAAATCAAAAAACCAATAATTCAAACCTTGAGACCATTATCGCGATTCCAAAAACTAGAAAAAAAAATCAAGAATTCTGTAAAAATGGTATTTCAACCAAACCTTCACATAAAAACACAAGAAAAGTCAACAAGCAATAAAAATTTATTATCATATCGACATTCAGGACCCGTTTATACATAAATTCAATCGAATATCCAAATCCTAGATACATTATCAGTTTCTCATAAGTAAAGGCATCAAAATTTAATAGGCTCGAACATTTTTGAGATTCTTGAAATCGACGCGGAGTTTGATGAAATCCTGGATCAGGGCTCGGTCGACGTTTGACTGGAAATAAAAATATGTATTGTAATTATCTTGTCCAAGTGCGATTAGGAAGGGCTGCTGATGAGACGAAACGACCCGGGATTACCGCAAAGCGCCCGGGGCCACCCGGCGAAACTGTCAATTGGTCAAAAGGCCCGTTTTTTCGCAATATTTTAACGAGCAGAACTCCCTAATTTTTCAACTTTTCGGGCCGGGTTGACCCGGAAAACGCCTTCAATTCGCGGGTCGCCCCGTCGGCGGCTCTGGTCTCCGGACTCAACCTCAGGGTTGTCAAAAACCAACTTTCTAAACCCAAAAAGTACCGTATCGCGAAGGACTTCTACAGTAACCTATAGTGATAACCAGTGAAACTAACTACAGTACCCCAGGTAAACTTTCACTTAAAAACTCCTAAATTCAATTTTGCGAGTCGGGTCGACCCCGGGGTGACCTCTTCAAATCACGGGTCGCCCTGCTCTGTTTTCCGCGTTCAAGCTCAGGGCGAACGAAACTTCAACTTTCCTAACCGAAAAGTACCGTATCGCAAAAAAAAACTTCTACAGTAACCTAGGATCATATTCCGCGAAAGTTTAACTACAGTAATCTAGCACTGAAAAAGTTCCTGAAATTACGCTACCTATCGACTAAAGTACAGCAAAAACTCTTCAATATTTAGATGTGCAGGTGCCTACCGTAACCCAGCTACAGTAAGCTACGGTGAGCGCGAATGGCTTTTAGAATCTACAGAGAGCAAACACACAAACAATAATGAATAGAAATTAATTCCCAAAACGCGATCGCGACGCTTCGAGCCATTCCAAATGCGTCCACGATTACTTACTAAAAGTGGGCTCTGAGCGGCGTCGGTCAGATTATCCGGCAGAACGACCAACAAATTCGTCAGCGCCAATAGACTTTCCCATTGGGCTGCGGCCTGGAAATATTATATCTTATTTTTCAAATCGATTTCAGTCCCAAAACCTCGCCAACACTCCAAGAACAGACGATATTTCTCAATTCCCGAACATCGCACATCAAGTTCATGGCCCCGGCCGAGTTGTAAGAGAACTGGAACTCGAAAAAATTTGCCAGATATTTTTAGAAGCTTCTTAAGCTCAAAAGTATGCTTGTAGAAACCTCTTTATCTATTGCTCGGGGTTTCCAGAATGAACCCGTTCGAACGAGCTCCCCACCCGTAGGTTAAATTATTTGTTAATGGGTCTCGAAACGATTTGAACGGAGGCCGCGTTTTCGATCAACTAATCTGGACAAGGCTTGTAAGACTTATTTTTAAGATGAGGGGATGATTCTTGATGATTGCCTAGTTTATCAAATTTTCCATTACCTGCTGAATATGAGCCAGCATGACTTTATAGAGCCTCGTCGCCAAATCGGCCTGAAGAGTTTCGATATTCTCTCCGTCGCAGCCGCGCTCCATGTGGTTCATTTGAATAGACAGGAAACGACCGACCTAAATTTTACAACTGAATCGGAATTTCCAGCCTGTTTTTCGGAACCTCTTATAAGGGAGGTTACTTCCTTTTTTGATTGAAAAAAAAAATCAAAATGAAAATCGATTCAAAAAAATCAGCCAGAAAACTCCTTGATGTACCAAAAGAAGATTCTGAAAGCCCCAGCCTGTACAACCTTCTAGTTTTCGATAAATCAAGGCTGGAAGCTCAAGGAAAAGAGGAAAATTCTGGTCGATCTTTGGGAAATTCCCAATAGTAATGTAGAATGACTCTTATAAATAACTCTTTGATAATCTTCCCAATCTGAACAAACTCTTAGTTGGAAAAAAAATCATAAAAAAATCAAAAATCCTTTACCTACCATTTTACACTGCTGGGAGATGCCCAGATCGATTTGCTGAGACTCGGGTCGAAAATCGGCTTTCTTCTGCTCGCTCAACAGATAGCGACTGTATCCGACGATGGAATTGAGCTGTCTTTCCAGTCCCAAGTTCATCTTTTGCTCCAGGGAACGCAGAGACTGCTGCCACTTTTTCGCCACCATTTGTTCAACGATTGAATTTCTTGAATTTCATAAATGAATTAGAAACTAAGAAAGTTCGTAAGGGAAGCTTTGGAGTGGGCATTTATTATTCGGCTGGGTTTTAATCTTAAATTCAATAATTTTTCCGGTTTTTCTGGTCCCTCATCGTTTTTCTCAGTTGAATCAGTCAATTAAATTGTTAGGCGTTTTTTTCAACTTGAAAAAAATGTCTCAAATCCTTAAAAAAATGTGTCTTTTTTTGACAACTTTTTGAAAATTTTTCGAAAATTCAGCTTTTTCGGTTTTTTTCAGTTAAGACAAGTTTTGATTGAAAAAAACTTCAAAAAAATATGTTTGATTATGATCATCATTTTTTTCATTTTCTAGTGATTTCCCTGTTCTTTCCACTCTCAAAAGCTTCGGAAATGGCTCAGAAAAAAAAATTCCACTTCACCAACCCCTATAGGGGGACACTAAAGTTTGAGGAAGTAGTCCCTATAGGGGACATGGTGGTCGATACTTGTTATAAACTCTATGCGAAGAATTATTTCCATGTGAAAAGCATTTTTTGAATGAAGTTGAAAGACCCCTATAGAGTCTACTTGAGCTTCTGGGGCTAAGGGGTTAGGCCCTAAGCCCCTACAAGGACCACCTTAATTTTACCATATAGGGATCCCTTTCTCGACCCCTATAGGGACTGTTCGTTCCTCTAAACCCTATAGGGACCACTCTGGAATTCCTGAGTTTAAAACTTGTTTCTTTTTCTAAGCCTCAGTCGTTTCTCATACGTTCAGAAAACTTTTTAAAATGAATTTACAAACTTGATGATGGGAAAAATGGAGTCGTCGTACTGCTTGACCAGCAGCAAGACGATCGTCGTGCACTGGGAAACGACGGCGAAAAAATAAGGCGGAGGTTCGGTTTTGGGTTCGGCCAGGGAGATTCCTTCAAACTGAGGGTTATCATTCGATTGTTCTTGATTCAAAACCGGCCAGGCCAGTTTCAACGGCGTAGTCGAGATGTTCGCTGTACAAGTACTTGAGGAGGACGTCGACGACATTTTCCACGTGCTGCGGGAGTTCTTCGGGCTCACAGAGCTAAACAAATTTTGAATCCGGGTTAATTTGAAGCTGCACATATCCTTCAAGGCTGGCTTAAGCCATCAAAAAAAAAGGGTCCTGAGACGATAATAAAAGATACAGTGCCTGGTTGATGGAGAGCGCAGACAGGCCACGCCCCCTAAGCGTCCAAAGCTAACCGTGAATCGGCTAAAATTACTTTCACGGTACCAGGGATCAAAAAATCGGTACTATTCTTCCTTCGTCACATCTTGAAACAGTCTAATCTGCCTTTCCATAGAGATCATAGAAACGTGAAAATAGCACGTGAAAACGAGAGAGTCAGTGAGAAAGAAGAGAGCGCAGAGAAATTTGAATTACCCGAGAACCATCTACTTTGATTGTCAAGTAAAATGACGTCATTTTGAAACGCTCCGTGGATGGCTCGCTCTCTGATTGGTTTAACGCGTCAGTAGGGGCGGAGCTTGAGTAACGACTTCAAATTTAGAATCTGTATAGACTACAGGGACAGAAATGCATCTAGCCGATTCACGGCTAATTTAAGACGTAAAGGGGCGTGGCCTGTCTGCGCTCTCCGCCAACTAGACACTGTCTTCTTACTTATCGTGTCGAGACCCTATTATTCCGATGGCTCAAGCCAGGATCAGCTATAACTATACAACTTTTTTTAAAAAAGATGTGTATAATTCATTTTTTGATGAAATTCTACCTGAGCAGCCCTATTGAAAGCGTTCTTCGTCTCTTGAAGCACTGAAATCGCCACGTCTTCCGACAAAAAAGTCTCTCCGCCGTAGGTCTCCACGTTCATCAACCTCGCCGCCACGTCTCTTTTCAGCTCCTGGAGCCTGGAAAAGCTCTTTTTTCACTTTATCAGTATTTTCCTTTATATTGAGCTGACAGATCGAGAACATTTTTGAATAAAAAAAATCAATCCCGAAATTCGACAAGTCCATTTCAAAAAAGGATGGAAAAAATCCTGATGAATGGATTTTTGAGAATGAATCAGAGAGCGTAGAATCTTGAAAAGATGATAAAAATTTTTTCTCAAAGTGAAGGCCTAAAATCGCCTTTCTAGAGGTATCACAGTTAAATAATTTTTTTGCCACTCTTTTTCTTCGAAATTTAATTTTTTTCCTTCTAATTTTAAATGTTCCAGTCTTGTAATTTTTCAAATAACAAACTTTTAAAATACAAAAAATCCCTCAGACTGCTCAATTCCTTTACTAAACTCCTGCGTTACCCTTTCTTTCACTTTATTTTCCAAGATCTTCTAAGTGATTTTTGAGAAAAAGGCATATTCCTACCCTCCACCAATCTGCTTCTTCACATGTTTCTTCGATTCGTAGAACTTGGCCAAAATGTGGCCGCACTGTTGGTTCAAATAGGAGAGTTCCTCTTTGCAGTACGTTGAAAAGGTACCTAAAAAAATTCAAAGTTTGAAAAAAAATAATTCATAAAAAAATGAGGAAAAAATCTTGAAATTGATAAAAAATCTGATAACTTCCTGGAACTTGATAAGAAAAAAATTTGAAAGCATTTTGAGATTTTTGTCTTTCAGTGGGATCAATTCAAAATTATCTAACAAAAAAAATCCAGAATTTTTTTTTTGAATTATTATCAGAACTCTCTACAACCTTTTACAACAAATGTTAGGAAAATTTCAAATTTATTTTTTCCGAACCTGTCAAAAATCGATTTCGTCAAGGTGGCCAAGAAAGCGCTATCGGGGCTCACGTGCAGCTTCTCCAGTTCGGTACACATTTTCAAGGTGCTAAAATTGGAATTTAATCAAAAAGCCATGTCCTTTTTCTCACGAAAACCTCGAATAAGACGCCGCCAGGTCCTTCAAATACTGTTCGTGATCTTCGGATTCTTTACAATCTCGTAATTTCGCATATATGTGCTCCTTCATTTTTCCCGTAAACAGGTTGAGGACCTGAAAATTTTTGAAGTTAACTGTATAATCTGTTAAATTAATGATGAATTCGAGTAGAAATAATCAACTCAGAGGAAATGGAATGAGACTTGTTCAACCAATGAATGAATTGATCAAACAACGCTTCCTAGATTATAGAGTCATACCCATTGGGAACCAACTGGAGAGAGAAACTATCATTGATTACGAAATCGGCAAGTTTCGGATTATGCTCGCCTCATGGTTTGAATCAAAAAAATCGTTTTCAAAATCATTAGATCCTACTAAAATCTAGAAAAATCCTAATTTATTAAAAAACCAAAGAACAAACTTAGATACCAAATGGGGGTTAGCACCGTCTATTCAGACAATCTTTTCCTCCAGCCGTTTCCACAGATCAGCTGTTAGATTTATTAGATTGTTTCGATGTTTATTTAACATTTGAAATGAAAATCAAATGAAAGTCCTATCAAAACCCAAAAAAAAGTCAAAAGTGAGAGAAAAAAAAAGAATGAGAGAGCAGCGTCGTTTGAAGAGACGTCAGAGAAGTAAAGATGTCTCTCTTTCTCGAATTCCTCTTCTGACGTTCTCGTTAGTTTTCAGCCTTTTTCTTTGCAATTTTTTTGTAAGTTTTAGAGTTTTTTGACGGGTTTCAATCTGTCTAATCTTTGGATTTTTCCAAGTTTTTTGAAAATTCCAAGCCTACAGTTGAAATTAACAATCAAGTTCAATATAGTCTGTTTTATGGGACTTTAAACATGTATTTTTCTCTGCGCCCTCCTAGTCTCTCAGCTACGCTCTCATGTTGACATGCTATTTCCATGTTTCTCTAACCTCACCGCTGAGGGACCAGAGAGACGCAGACCCTCGAGAAATTTCGAGTAACGGTGATCAGATTATTTTTATGATCAAACCAAAAAAAGGCTTTCTGACACTGATTTTTCCCCTTGGGCCCCCTTAAAACTACGAAATTGCGCCCCTGAATATTAACCTACCAATTTCTGCATGACGGTATGAGGTGAGGGGAAAATGGCGGTGATCCTCGGCTGCTGAGTTCTGCACAAATGAAGACAATCGGCCAGGATATCGCCGTCATTACGTGGATGAACTGTGGCACAGAGGAACTCTACGTACCGGTCGACACAGTGGGAATATCCCTTAATAAAAAAACTTTTTCAAAAAGATAAAAAAATTGGTCATTTCTCAAGAGGAATCTGAGAAGGTCATAAAATATCTAAATTATCTAATTTTTCAACATTCAGCGTAAAATCCCTCAATATCGAAAAAAATTACAGCTGGAAGCTCCAATTAATAAAAAAATAAATCCAGTTTCGATAAAATTGAGCATCATTTCTTTTTCACTCTTCGAAAAAAAATCGAGAACGAGCGGAAATCCATTTTTTTAGAATGGCCGAAAAGCTATGAAAAACGATAAAAACCGAAATTTCAGAAGAAAAATCGAAGGAAAAAGGTGTCTTTTAACTTCTTACAAGTTCGACGTTCGATTTTTCCGAAAATTGATTATCAAACTTCCTTGGAGGAACAAAATCTGAAACTTTTTCGAAGTTAAGAGTATAGACAACGATTATGGAGAAAAAAAGAGAAAAATCACATTTTTTTCATTCATTTCAAATTTTTCATATTCTGCATATGAAGACAGTGTTGTGAAGAACATAGAGACGAAGAAAAATCCAATTTTCACTCAATGTCAACATTTTTTTGAAAAATGTGATTTTTTTATTTTCAAACTTAATGATATTACGCGTTTGTCATTTAAAAAGTTTTTCAAAAAAATTCCAAAAATTCCATAAAGTTATTTTTTTCAAGGGACCGGTTCTTACCTTGAACTCTGACAAAACTTTGGCGACCTCGGCCATTTTTTTCTCATCTCTTTGAGACCGAGCAAATTCGTCGATCAAAAGTCTCTCCACAACTTGATACCTGAAATTTCAATTTTAACTTCAAAAAAATCATTTTTCAATTTTTCAACTTCAATTAGAGATCTTCTTTCTGAGCCACTGCCAAAAAAACTCGGAACAAACTACGTTCTCTTAAATTTTTATAAAACTATTAAAAAAATTCAAACTTCTATCAGTAATTTTTTTGAGATACTGCCAAGAATAATCGATCTTAAAACTGATTAGCGAATTTTTCCCAATGATGAATGTGACAGAGAAAAAAACTTTTTTTAAAATTAATTTTGAAAAATTTTTCATATCAAACTGAAAGCCCTATTCTGAATTACTATCCATAATACTTAAATAACAAAGGTTCTTTTTTTAAATCACCTAAATACGTGAGAAAAAAATAAAATTATCGTGATAAATCCATTTTTGAAAAACTATTAACAATACATTCAAATTTTTTTGTTTCCTCACGGTAATAATTAAAATACGGGTATTCACTACTTTGAAAGTTTTATCAAAAACTTTTTTTAATTTACTAATTATTTTTTTCCCGGGAAAACTAGAACCTTTGGGCGATCCTCGCTTGAACGGCAGCGAACTTTTCCTTGTTCAATTCCTGGGAAATCGAGTACAATTTCTGGACAAGATCCGCCGATTCGAGTAGTTTGTCCGGGTCGGTGAAAATCATCGAATTCAAAGGTTGATCCGAGAGAAATTCGTCGAAATGCTGCATCAATTGGAAGGCGTCGTGGGCCCTTGATCGGGGTTGATCCACCTGAAAAAAGAAGAAAAAATTTTTTGAGAATATGTATTAGAAAAAAAATATTTATTTAACAGCTTCCGATTGTAAAGAAGAAGACAATCAAGCTAAAAAAAATGTTTAAGATTTTTTTCTCTAAAAAATTTGTTTAAAAAAACAGCCCGAAAAACCTTAAGTAAAAAGATTTTTTTCCAGCTATATTCAAATTATTTTTCTTCAAAACATTCATTTAAATCTTAAGATTCATCAAAGCTTCTAAATGTAACTATTGAAATTCGATTTCCGAAAAAATAAAGAAAAAACCGATTCCAGTTGATCCCCCAAGTAGACGACTTTCGTTGAAACGTTTTGCATCGTATCTTTGAGCTTCTAAAAAATGAGAGAAAATTTAAATTTGACAAAATTTTTCACAGCGAAAAATAAAGGAAGAACTTTAAAAACTTGCGAACTTTCAGAATAAAAATTTTTTTAAAGTTTAAGAACGGAATTTCTGTTGGAATTATACACGGAATTCGATACTTAACCCATTTTATCAATTTATTTTCATTAAAATCCGAAATATTTCCGCGATTGTACTTATTTTACAAGCTTAGAGAATTCCAAATAAAAAAAGCCTGCCAAGCTGGAAGATTTATATGAAACTCTTTCCGAAAATTACGTAACTTTTCACGAAAAAAGCTTTTTAAGGTCCCCAAATGATCTTTTTCTTTCTTTTTCGCACATTTTTCGCATTCTTGAATGAAAAAATGCTGGGAAGCAACTGAAAATACTCCAAGAGATTCAGAAAAAGGTCCTCGGAGGCTATGAAAACGGAGCTTAAAAATCTTTTCTTATAATTCTTGGAGCTTTTAGTGGAAATTTCTAAATTCATTTCGAGAAAAATTCCCTTTTCACCTATAAGCTTACTATCTTAATCGATTGAAGACAAAATTTCGTCAAAACCTTCATCTTATCAATAGCTTCTGAGTTTTTCTCATGAAGTCTTTGAAGCTTCTGAGTATACTCCCGTTTTTCTTCGTTCAGTTGTCGTTCCAAAGTCGATACTCTGTTCTGAAATCATCATTTTGGTGACGTTTTTCATTTTCTGACTACTTGAAACTGATCGCAGAGCATTTGAAGGCCTCCAATCTCTTCCTCGAATTTATTCTTGAGAGATTCCGGGTCGGTTATCGTTTCGGCGCCGCCAGTCATCCTCCAGGCAATTCTTTCCACCAAATCCATCGCATCAAATGGTTCCTAATATTCCAAACTCAAAAAAAAAAATCTTTTCTTTCGAAAAAAAACCTGCTCCAAGTCCTCGACATATGTGGCGAAGTACGGCGCCCCGCTCATTATGCCTGAATTCCACTTTTTCTAAGCTTTCTTCACGAATGTGTTGTTAAAATATATCAAATATCAACTAAATTCGAATATTTTCAAAGGAAAATTTGGGCAGAAAAATTGGCCAAGCTTTTTTTCCATAGAAAAATTATCAATTTAGGGGGTTAATTCAAAAAATTTAAAATGGCTCTTTTTTTAGAGAGGCTCAATATTCCTACTTATTGCGCCCCATGGTGATTATCTTTCTTTTCAAAAATTTCTCAACCTTTTCGTTAAGCTTCAATGATAAAACTTCAACACGTACCATGAAAATTGGCTAAAAAGGTTCAAATTTTCTATTAGGAACTTTAGAGTGATCCCCTCTAGGAACCACTTTACCAACCTTTATAGGGGCCACTGAAGCTTGCAAAAGTTGTCACTATAGGGGTTTCGTTACTGGCCCCTATAGTCATTTCCTTGAAGAAAAAACTGAATAACTGAGCGTATTTTGGAAGAAATGGGAAAACCCTAAAGGGTCCACTTGAGCTTTGTGGGATAAAGTTCAGACCCTATAGGCACCACTTTTTCGGCCCCTAAAAGGGTTGTTTTTCCCCTAACCCCTAGAGGGACCACTCTGTAATTCCTGAGTACTGCGCGATCAAAAAAAACCAACTATTCTGCAGTTTTTCTTAGCATCTTCGAAGTTTCAAGTATTCAACTGATCTAACAAGACAACTCTTTTCAAAACCAATACAGAAAACACTATTTATACACACATTCAATAGAGAAGTCGAACTTTGGCACACGAATACTTCCAATCGGGATTGAAAAAAGAGAATGACAAGAAAAAGAAAAGACTAGTGACCTTGAAATATATATGGCAACGGTTTCGGAGGAAAAGCACAAGAGGAAGGCAATATACAAGTGAAAAGCGTCTAGAAATCGACAGAAAATCGTTCGATTCATAACAACTTTCTGATATTGAAAATGTTCGTTTTGAGACCTTCTATGCTCCTTTAAATCATCAGAAAGTCCTATGAATCGATCGTGATAACTATACATGTACTTCATTCACCACGATTTGAAAAAAGGGCTGACTTCTCTGCATCTCTTATCATAACTGAGAGCTTCTACTAGAGAAAAGAGGGTGCAGAGAAACCAGAAATTTTCCATTTTTTGGCGAACGAAGTATCAGAATAAACTTAGAAGCAATGGCACACAAAAAAACGGAAAATATGGCAGCAAAATACACGATTCATTATGCATGGTTAGACTAGAAAATAGGCAAAAAAAAACTGAATTAATATATGAAATATCTATCTACAAAACTAGTTATACATCAGCCATGGTCGCATTTGGAATGGCTCAACGCGTTGTGGTTATTTCCCGATGAATTTTTGTTCCAAAACAGTCATTTTTCAGAGGGGCGCAACCCGTTTCACGGTCGGTTGCTCTTTCAAACTAACCGCTATGCGTCGAGCCATTCTCCGTGCGACCGACGTTCATTGAGCAAAAAGAGGAGATTTAAAACTGAGGTGAACTTTCGGAACAAGAAAAAGAAAATGATAAATAACATCTCCCTTGGTTTTTAAAGGCGCATACCCTAGTCTACACTAGAGCGCCTTGAGACCTTTATAATTTGGCCTATGCGCCTTTAAAAACCCCAAAAAGATATCGCGAATTGAAATCAAGGTAAAAAAGAGTTAATTTTCGTTCTTTTTGTCCTCGTCGTCGAAAAAGAGCAACGGGAACATTCCAATCAGGCAACCGATGGTCAGACCACAGGCCCTCGCCATATTTGTCGTGTAACGAGCCTGTGAAAACCGTCTTTTTTTTTTATTTTTTTAACACTAGATTTTCTGATTTTCATACACTAAAGGGTCCCGTCCAATGAAATGGGAAAAGATTTTACACGTGTTTCCTGAAACTCAAAAACTACTTCAGTTAGTCTTTATTTACATAGCAATCTGTCCTTTTTTACAATATAAAAAGTTGAAATTAATGAATTAACAAATTCCTGCCTTCTCTGTTCTCGGAAAAGTAGCGAAAAATCTTTTCCGAATTTATAGCTAACGGTATTTGTTTGATAAAACAACTTTTCAATGAAATGTTTTCAAGAAATGTTCCTTTTAGGGTAACAAAAGTTCCTATTTTGCTGCCTTTTTGCACCCTTTCATCGGCTTTTATGCACCATTTTTGCTGCCTCTCCCTTCTTCCACCGTTTCTTGAGCCTTTGAAATCCCAAAAAAGAATGGAAGGCTCGAAAAAGGGACTTTTTTGTTTCCTCTCTGCGACCTTTTTTTAGCCTCTCCCTTTTAGCGACCATTATCTACCATTCCGACTTTTCCGAGACGGAGGTCCCGCCTATTGGTAAGTAAAAATTTTTTTTTTACTTTTACCGGTTATTTTTCTGGGAAGAATTTCCGATTTTGTTATCAACAAGGCTTAGTTTTTTTTTCTCTGAAAAACACTCCAATGTACTAGCCTTCAAATGACCTACAGAAGCTGAAAAATGAAAGCTTTTCCTCTTTTTTTTCCCGAAATTTTCAATTTTTTTAATTATTCATACAAAAAACCTTGGAGCTCTCCATCTGTTCAGGCGTCAGAACTGGATGTTTGATTCCAGCTTTATGGACACCGATTTCGACATAATGGGCCAAGCCGACGCCGGCAATGTCAGATATCAAATTGCCCAAGGCCGCCGCCGCCATTGTCGAAATACAGAGGACCGTGCCCAGTTTCTGAAGAAAACGTTAAAATTTCTGAAAAAAAATTCTCATACATACTGAAATACTTGTTACAACAGCCCTATTGATCCTTTATTTTGATTCCTTGAACTTCGAATAATAATAGTTTATTCACTGATATTTACAAAAAAAGAAAGTGGAATCTAAAAAAACTTCATCTCCCCCGGCTCAATGCCGAGCAACGCCTTCATGTTCGAAGAAAAAAAATTTTTTGCCATCGAATTACCAATCCCTTTTGACTTAAAAAAAAATTGCTTCTGCCAGTCAATTGAACTTTACAAAATGAATTTTCGATTTTTTTTTTTAAAGTTTTTTGCCAACCCTCCATGATTTCAGGACATTGTCTGCCAATTTCGAACCACGATTTCGTGACAGAACTCTTGAAAATCTACCTGATCAATATACTCGCCAGCGAGGATCATGATCATATTGTCCAGAGTTCCGAACCCAATGAAAGGCAGTGCGTTGACGATAAAAAGGCCTCGGACCTGGTCGCTAGTCAGCGGCAAATCCTCCTAGAATTTTCTTGATTTCATTGGAAAATCGAGATTTTCTTACATGCTTTTTCTCGGCAGCCACCGCAATCAAGGCCTCCTTCAGTAATCTCTGCTCCTCGATATTTAAGCGGCTGGCAATCTTAAATTTGGCATTGTTTTTTTTCATTTCAAACCATTCAATTAGAGAGGTTTTAAAAAACACCGAGGCTTTTTTGCATCTTTTTTAAATCGCTGGAAAAGATATAGGACACATTGGGAGGTTTGAAACTTTGCAGAAGGCCTTTTTATCATCTTAAAAAAGGCCTTTCTGCTGCAAAAGTCTTCGAAAAGTGCTAATAATTCTTATAAAAAGCTTATTTCCCTCCTTTTAGGTGCTTTCTTGAATAAAAAAAGACTTCGAAAACACCTCTGAGTTTTATAAAAGCCCTTTTTGAGATTCCCCCAACCTCCAAAGCATCATCCCGGGTCTCGATGATGAGCTTGTCGAGGTGTCGGAAGGCGCCGGTCGTCGAGCACCTCTGAGGCGTTTTGACGAACGACGACGCCGTCGCCTCGACGAGTCGCCCGTGGAAAATCGCGCCGCGAGTGCGACAAGCGACGCGAAGAAGCATGTTCGGCGACATTGCCAGCCCTTTGGAGAGAGCCGATTGCCTTGTTGGCACTGCCTCAAATTCCAACTTCATATATCCATCATGAAATCAATGAAAACAGCTCATTTTTCGAAATTTTCGGGGTAATTGATCTTGAAAAGGATTTTAAGGGAAAGAGGTGTTAAAAAATGATGGGTCTAGACCGGTCTTTGAAGCTTTCGTAACTCGAAAAAGGGAATTCTGAGTTTTTTTTTTTTGATAGAAAAAAGTCAAGCGGTCACTTAAGCAGGAAAATCCGAGTAGCCATTTGAAGGATTAAAAATTATTCTCACTTTCTCAACGATACTTGGAACGAAGGAAGAGATCACGATTTTCAAAAATCCAAATTATTATAGCCCTTCAAAGCTCAAAACTGAATATATTGAGAATTGAAGATCTTTAAATTAAACTTGAGATCTTTAATTTTTTTAAAAATAAAAAAATTTAAGAACTTTTTATTAGATTAAGATCTTCAAATAGATTCAAACTTTATTAATAATTTCCCTAAAGTGGACGCTCGTATCAATTAAAACACAAATTCGCTAATCTAACTAGATTTTATCAGTTTTCTCTAGAGGTTGATCAACTTCAAAAACAATCATCTTCTTATCAGTATAATTTTTGTACTTTTAATCTCCTAATTGAAAAAAAAAATTTTCAATCTTGAGAAAATTATCATTTTCGAAGATGAAGGGATTCAAAAAAACTTTTTAGAGCCTTGGAAAAACTTTTCAGAAATGTAGGAAGTAAGATCGACTAAGCAATTCGCGAAATCCTTCAGAAAATCGTGATACTATTCAAAGAATCAAAGTATATTTGGCGTCAAGAAAAGAAATAATCAAATTTCAAAGAATCAAATGCAAAAAACAAGAAAACTTCTTTTTCAACCTATTTTTTAGAAAATATTGTTTTCGAAAGTTGAAATACTCTTTTATAAACCATCTCAAGACCTGAAAACTACGAAGAAAGAACTTTTTCAAGGAAAAGGTACCCTACAAACACTCTTAATATAGCAACCGTATCAAACTTCTCGGAGATTATCAATCGAGGAATTTCGGAGCTTAAATTATACCGGTTCTTATCAAAACTCTCGGAAAATGAAGAGACATTCAAATAAACATCAGGGTGATGTAAAAAAAAAACCCATGAGGAATATATTTTTCGTTTTGGCCTCTTTTTCGAGCTTCAAAGGTTCAAAAAAAAACCAGGCACTGACAAAATAACTTTGGAAAAAAAAATCAGGACTCAAATAGTGACTTTTCTGTGAAAACCCAAGAATTGAAAAAAACTATTTGAGTTCATAAAATCCCAGAAATAATGAAAAAAAATTCGACAAATCCAAAAAAGGTGGAAAGATAACCAATCAAAGTGAGCGGCATCAACTCAACTTTTACAGGAAAACAATGTTTTTTTAAAAAAATTAATCTTTATTAAACTATCTTCATATCAACAATCAATAGATACATAAAACCCATCAAATTCAAGGCTATATAAAGCTCTATAAAAATTTACAAAACCAGTAACATATATGAACATCGGGACAAAGTTGGGTTTTAACCGTTGGAAAAGGGCAAAGGGTGATAAATTAATAATAACAATGGGAAAAAGAAGAAGAGGATCAATAATGGCCACGACCGCGGTTGCCACGATGTCCTCCTCCTCCACGGTGACCGCCTCGATGGCCAGAATCGTTCCCGCCGCGGCTGTACTCTGCGCGGACCTCAACTCGCGGAATTTATCAACAGAAAGGGGAAAAAGGATACCGGATCATTTTCACACGAAAAAATCAGTTGAAATCAGAGATCATACAAGAAAATGGGCGAAATTAGAAGATTATGACCGCCAACTGTTTTTTTTTCACAAGCCCAAAAATATCCTACTTCAAAAATAAACTCTGTATAAATTCGCATTATTCTCACAAAATTCGGTTGAAAAGAATTGAAAAAGAGACTACTATAATTTTTTTCTACTCGAACGGTTTTTATAATATTTTTCAGTTTTTCAGCAAACTTAAAAATAAATTTTTCTTTTATCGTTGGTCGTGTTCACGAAATTATTCGAATTTTTTCTTCATCAGCTCATAAATTTCTGCCTAAAGACTATAAAAAAATAATTATGCCATAAGAAATTCAACCTTGTTTTTTTAAAGGGGTGGGGGGTTGAGAATCAGTTTGAAACAAATCACTGTTAGAAAATTATAAAACGATATGACAGTCATTGCAGAAGGATCAACGTACCTGGTCTTCCTGACTTTTTTGGAATCCTCCACCGTTTTCGTCTCGTCTGCCACCTCTGAATCCGCCTCCGCCACCTCGATTACCTCTATGGCCATGTCCGCCACCGCCTCCACGACCTCGGCCTCAAAATTTACTACTTGTGATTTATAAAAACATGATGCTTCGTTCACTCTTGGGTTTATAAAGCGACGAGATTCATGGGGCTCTCAAAACGAAAAGTCTCTGCCATAATTTATTTCTTAAGGTTGAAAGGTTTTTTTTTTTCAAATTCCTAAACCCTCTGGTTCCTCTCTCTCTCGAAAAAAAAATTCCCAGAAAAGCTTACCTTTTCTTGAAAGTTTGTAATGAAAATTTTGGCGGCAAAAGAGAATTTTATTGTCAAAATAAACTATAATAGAGATATTTTGCTTTTTTAAGAAAATTTTTGAAAGTATTTCAAATTTACCATGGTGCTGATGGCGGAAGGATTCGTTCTGAACCGTGCCCATTTCAGTGGTCCTTCCTCCTCGATCTTTTGGCTTTTCTCCAGAAGCCAGTGGATGAGCTTTACTCTTTGTGTTCTTTCTGGAACAAAACCATTTCAATCTCTACTATTTTTCTCAACTCATATCCTTTCAGAAAATTTCCAAAAATGTTTCGTTTCTGTTAAAAAAAACCGGGAGAAATTTGCAGAACAGTGTAAATTAATTCGTTACACCATTAGAACCGCGTACTATACTTTATTTTTATAATACGAAAAGTCAAGAATTAGTAGATTTTTAGATGACACCCCACATAGCAGTGCTGAACACTAAAAGTTTTTGTTTTGTCACAGGCCAAAAACAGAAAAATGCGCTAGTAACACTTTCTTCAAGAAAATGATTTTTTTGGCGAATCTACAAAAGATATCGAAAATCTGTAAGTTCCATCCGATTCAGCGTACAAAATAACGTATGGCACCAAAATTTCATCAACCTTTCTCTTTTTCCTTATTCATACGCCATCGGTAAAACGGTTTTTTGACTCCCTATTAAAGATAAGACCACCTAGAAATTATGATGTTTTCTGAAATTTTCCGTCTTTTTTCATTCTAGAAAAAATAGCTGAAGTTTGAGAAACATCGGTTACTACAGTAATTAATAATAGCTGGAGGAGTTTACATGGGTTGAATATCATGAATAATCCAAAAAAAAAACCTGAACTCCATGGCACCAGCCTGATGAACCCTCAGAAGATTATCAGAAGCGGCTAGAAGATGAGGAACGTCGCAAGTCGACCGGATCGCTTCGATTTCCTTGCGGCGAACGGCCAAAATCTCTCGAATCTCCTTTTCCAAAGGCTTGATTCGGTCACACCTGGTGAAAATGAGACATTATTGGACTTTCGATGGATCATGTTGGGTAGAATGAATATTTAATGTGAAAAAATGACTGAAAATACCTCCTTCTGAATAAAAACTTTAAAAAAAAACCATAAAAAAGAGGCGACTGTGACTTCAAGGCGTCGGAGGAGAAGGACCAGCCGGCTGTGAAAATCTTTGGACAGGATTTTGCATACCTAAAAAAATCAGATTTTTCGAAAAATCGAGAAGTGATGGAAAAAAAATGAAAAATTTCCTTTAAAAATGTCGAAAAACCTAGGAGAAGTACTAAAATTGAGCGGAAAAATGGATAAAAAAGATACGATTCTCAAATAACATTATTCAAAAAATTGAGGGACAGCTTCTTGATGATAAAACAAGCAAGTTTTGTTTAGCAAAAATTAAGAGATTTAGGAGCGGAAAATGTCGAAAAATAGTGTTAAACTTTAAGAAAAAGCTGCAAGAAGCTCAGAACACAAGCTTAAAGGATATTTTAGAACAACATCAGCGAAATCATGAGCCACTGGAAAATTTCAAATGGCTTTGAACATTGTCTAAACCGAAAATGTGTCTAAGATTACCAAAATAGACATCCTCACTGTTATCATAACCTACCATTTTAATGTCCTAACCATAAAATAGCCATAAAAACCTAACCTCCAAGATGCCGCTCAACTTTTTGTCGTCCAAACTAGCCGTAAACAACGGATTCGGCTTTACGTTCAAGTTTTTCAAACGTTTGTCGGCCTCAAAAAAAATTTTTTTTGAACAAAAAACAAGAAGTTTAAAACCGCAGAGGCAAGTAAATCGATAACGTGATTGGCGTTATTGGAGTTCCCAGGCTTGGAAATTTTACAAACGTTCAGAGCGGAAGCAATGTATGGAGTTAGCTCTTTGTCACCAGAATCTTTGACCTGAAAAAATAATTTTCGTTTAAAACCATAGATTGAATTTTTACTACCAATTCGCCGGAATCGAGCCGCCCTTGAGCGTATACTCGGGCCGCTCTGAGCTCACAAACGAGATATTTCACAAGTACAGCACAACTTTCAGCAGAATCGAATCGATTTACCAACAATCCACACGTCAGCTCTTCATAAGGACACTCTAAACGCAAAAAGTTCAAGTTGCACTCAAGTCCTAGACTTTTCCCCTAACCTAATTCCAGCAAAAACGCGCTGAGATCATAAAGAAACGGCAAGACGTCGTTTTGCTCAGCCTGGCGGACGGATTCCTCCATCCCATACAGCTCCTTGATCTCAGAGCAAAGCATAGAGACATTATTCGCGAATTCTGGACTCAAACCGGAGTTGCCCATCGAAATGAGGTCCTCCGGCCAATCGGACAAGTTTCCACTGTGATATAAATTTTCAACTTTTTACGCAGAAGCAACAAACCTCAAATACTTGTCCATGATTTGCGCGCAACGGCTCGATTTCAGACTAAAATAAACAAACGGAACGAACAAAATGAAAAATTGCACAAATTTTTGCAATTTTAAGAGTATGGTATCTAGCGCTCGAGTGTATGCGGCATTTGGCGGTGGTTCAGACTTGCCTGCGACTTGTTTTTTATTTTTTTTTTTATTACTTTTTTCTTGCGAAATTTTGTGAATTTTCCTTTTGTTTGGATATCTCACGCTTACTAGGAGTATGAAAAACAAAATATTTTTTCAAAAAGTTTTCTTATGTTTTATTCGAAGCCTTTTTATTTCTAGAAATGCCGGTCGACAGCGGTGGCGGTGGCCTGTCCAAGGAAGAGTTTATGCTGGTTCAAAACCAACTTCTTGAACTCCGCAATAAAAATTATGAGCTCCAAGAAGAGCTCCGTCGAAAAAATGCCGAGCTACAAAACAACTCATCCAACTCGCCGCGGAATGAAGCCCTCCAATTCGCTAGCAAAGTATTTCTAGTTCAACTATTTTTTAATGTTTATTTTTAGTTAATAAATCGAGGAAAAAGCTCTGAAAAATACGAAGTTGAAATTGACGGGCTTCGTCGAAAGCTAGCAACACAAGAAGAAGAGTTCCGGTTACAACAGCAAACTTTATTTGAAGAGATGAACAAGGTTTATTTTAAAAATTTTGAGATCCACTTGATGAATTTTTGCAGTTGGCAGCTCAAAATGAAGCTTTAAAATCTGGAAAAGAGGTTGGAAACGATACTGGACAAGCTTCAGAGGAATTAAAAGATCAATTAGAAGGAAAATCGGCAGATTTGGAGAAACTTCAGAGTACTTAAATTTGAATTTATGAAATTTGATGAGAATGTTTTCAGAAAGGTTGAAATCTCTAGAAGTTGAACGGAATAATTCAATAGAAAAGGAGAGTTTCTCGAAAAAAAGCTGATGACCGACCTCGAAGACAAGCTTCTCGATTATAAAAAAACAAGCAAGTTTTCGGGAAGTTTTAAAAAAAATAATAAAATTTTCAGAGTGGAAAATGGCGAAAAAGACGTATTGAACTTGAAGGAGAAGTTGAAAGAAGCTGAAAACCGAAATCTAGAAATAAAGGATAAATTGGAAAATCTTCAACGAGAACATGACCAGTTGAAAATGATCTCTTCAGAGGTAAATTAATCGATTTTGTGATAAAATTCCGATTTTTTCAGGAAATTGCTACATCCGTGAATCTTTCCGAAACCGTCACTCAACTTCAATTAACTATCCAAGATTTAGAAGAAAAACTTGAAGGCTCAAATTTTTCGAAAGAACAGCAAAATTTGTATGAAAATGCGCTGGAGGAGAAGGACTTGAAAATTGTCAATTTTTCTTTGATTTTCTTGTAAAAATGATCTTTTTTAGAGGACCCTAACGGAAGAAATCGGCTTGGAGAGGGATAACAGAGAAGAATTGAAACTTCAATTAAAGAATTTTGAGGAGGGTTTAATTTTGCAAGGTGAACAGTTTGAAGAGGTAATTTTTTTAAAAAATCTGCTTGAAAACAATATTTTTTCAGGAAATCGCTAATCTTTCCGAAAATGTCACCCAACTCCAATTAACTATTCAAGATCTTGAAGAGCAACTTGAAAAGTCGAAGAAAAGCTCAAATTCCTCAAAAGAGCAAGAGGATGTGCTTAAAAAAAACAATAGAAGAAAGAGATTTGGAAATTGTACTTTTTTTATATTTTTTTCTTGGTCAAAAAAATGTTTTTTTCAGAAAGCTCTAACCCAAGAAATTGGCTCAGAAAGGGATAATCGAGAAGAATTAAAGCTTCAATTGAAGAATTTCGAGGAGGGCTCACTTTTGCAACGTGAGCAGTTCGAAAAGGTAACTTTCAGAGGGATTTCAGAGTGGTCCCTATAGGGTTTTAAGATCTGAGCTTTTAGTCTCTAAAGCTCAAGTGGACCCTTCAGGGGCTTTAGTTTTTCCCATGGAAATGCTTCTTCACTCAGAGTTCATAAAAATCATCGACTAGCATGTCCCCTATTGGGACCACTTTTCCAAGCTTTAGTGGCCCCTATAAGGGTTGTTAAAGTGGTCCCTAGCGGGGACTATCTATCGGGACCATTCTGGAGTTCCTAAAAAGTTTTTGTCAAAAAGATTATTCTAGAAAATCGCTGATAACGAAAAAAGGCATTCGGAAACTGTTCAAGCGCTGGAAAATCGACTGAAAGATGAGAGATTGGAAGTTGAGAAGCTCGAAAAAGAGGTTTTATTTGTTTTCCAGTAGATGAATTTGAAGTTTCAATGTTTCAGGTAGAAGAACTTGTCGAAAAAGCGGCTTCGGAAAACGAAAAACAGTTGGAAGGAAGGGCCTTGTTGTTGGAAAGTCGGTTCAAATTGGTGGGTTTTGACAAAAAGGAATAAATAAACTTAGCGCGGGAACGCGCCGGGTGTCTCTTCTCATTTTTGCCTTTTTCTGTAGAATTTGTCTTTTTGCTTTCATGCATATTTTTTTCTTCATGATTTTTTTAGGTTTAAAACAAAAATTGAAGGCATTAGTTTCAACGATTCGCAATTTTCATTGAATAGTTGAAAAAAAGGAACAAAAAAAACATGTTTAAATAGTGAATAAGAATACTGAAAAAGCATTATAAAAATTGAAAAAAACCATTTGAATTGATTTATTAGACATTTTTTTACTCAAAATGAAATATTTAGAGCAAAAAAATCCTAATCTCTCCCCCGCTAGAGCCTGGGGAAAAAAATTAGAACACCTGAATTTTTATTTATAATGTGGAAATTGCACTTCCTGTCAATTTTATGCATTTTTTGTAGTTGTCAATGTTTTTCCCAACAAGGAAGGTCATTTCACTTTGTGGCTGGGATTTTCCTGAAAATTGGCCAGGACACTCCTTGATGTACTAAATGAAAGTGCTGAGAATCTCAACCTGCAAAACTTTCTGGATTCTGAAAAAGGACACTTCAAAGACTGAAAAAGGCCTAAAAATCCTTTGAAATAGGCTATTTTGAGCCCTTGTTTTCCAAAAACCAGGGAACTGTGTAGGTTTAGACTTTCACTGTATTTTTCTAGTACAACAAAAAATTTCTTGGCCCAACACAAAAAAACGACTTTCCTTGTAAGTCGCTAATTTCCCATTAAAATCCACTCCTTCAGGAAATTGACGACCAAAAACGTGACTTTGAAAAAATAAAGGAAGAATTGGAGCGTAGTGTCACTTCGCTACAAGAACAGCTCAAATCCAAAGATGCTGAGAAGGTTGGAAGTCTTGAAATGATAAGAAAAAATACGATTTTTTCAGCAATTGGCCGTGAAAAAGCAGTCGGCGATGATGAAAGAACTCCAGAAAGCACTGAGAGACGAGAGGAAACGGGCGGATTCGTTGGAGAAAAAAAGCGAGGAAAAAACCGGGTGGCATGTTGTATCGGACAACGACGGCAACAGTAGCCATGTGGGATTTTTCGAATGAAAACGCAAAACTCTATAAAAAATATGTCTTCTCAGTGATTATCCCGATTTCTGTTTTTATTTGAAGATTTTATTCCGGTCCAGTTAAAGTTCAAAACACTAAAGTGACCACTTTCCTCTTTTTTTCCGATTTTAAGTCTCAATTTAGAAGTTTTGAAAGAGCTTTCCCGGCATATTAGGAGCTGAAAACACTAGAGTGATCTCTTATCAATTTTCCGGACTATGTTTTTCCATTTATAGATGTCGCATGAGCTATTGCGATCTAATAGAGTTCAAACCACTGAAGTGATCACTTTTCTCTTTTTTTTCGACTCTTCTAAAAAATTTAATGAAACTGCATAAGCTTTTGTGATCCAGTGAAAGCTTAAAACACTAGAGTGATCACTACAGTTTTAACTGCAAGGTTAATTTTCAAAAAAAAAAAAGAAGATGAAAAGTCGATAAAGACTGATCAAGTTTATGGTTGTCTTTATTTGAAGTTAACCAAATTTCAATTTCTACATGTTTTTGTCCCTAAAGTGTTTACTAGCCTCTCATTTTTGATTTATAAGTGATGTTTTTTTCTAACGATTGTTTCGAAAAAAATGCGTGACAAAAATGAGCAAAATGATTTTTTTAAGTATATGAAATCTGCGATTTAAATTGATTTTTTGAAATTAGTATACTGTCCTGAAACTTCTTCGCTTTGGGACAGTGAACTTTCCAAGAAAAAAAATTTTCTCTTCCAGAAGTTTGACGGCAATGAAAGCGTTTCTTCGTTTTCGGCCATTGAATCCGAAAATGTCGAGCTGATCACCCGGCTTGCGACGCTGCAGCGTCTTCACTCGGAAAATGTGGATAGGGTTGGTTTTTCAATTTCTTAGGTGTATTTCGATGTTTCTACAGGTTGATACGTGTAAAAAGTGGTATCAAAAGGCACCTCTATCGTACTTGTTTGTATTTAGAGCTGTGGAGCCTCTTTTCTAACCAGAAAATCAACTTGAAAACCCTTTTTCTTTTATATTTTTTCGAAGTTAAATTAAATTCTCAACGTTGCAACCTCTATTTTTGCATTATTTCTAACCAAAAAGTCAATATAATAGTTTAAAAAAAGTTTTTTTCCAAACTAGTATAAAATTGGCCATCTTGCGAGCCCTACTATTGGTCGAAAAGCTTGATAAAATTCAGGAAATAAGAATAAAATTTATTTTTCAGCTGCTTTTCCTCGAATCGGAAAACTCTCGGCTGAAAAGAGAGGTCGAAGAAAAGGGAGAATTGATTGAAAATTGGATCCGTGACCGGCCCGTCGGTTTTGGCAATACTCCGAATTCGACCCCCGGCGCCACTCCGCAGAGACAGGAAGGTCTGTTTTGCCAGGAACTGAAAAAAAAACATGATCCTTCTCAAAAAATTCTTCTAGTGGCCACTTGTTTTTGAACTATAAACCCCCTAAGTTGTCCCTTGAATTATCTATAGAAAAACGGAACGACAAGCTTTGAATAAAATGCGACTAATTTTTGAACACGTTTAACGGAAATTTTTCAAATTACTATAGTCTTTTCAATGTCAAGTAAATGACGTCATTCGAAAGCGCTCTGTGGATGGCTCGATCTCTGATTGGCTTACCGCGCGATAAGAAGCGGAGCTTGAGCGACAACTTGACAAAAATCATCCGTTTTTGCAAAAAAAAAAATGTTGCATTTTCTCAATTTCATTCAAAGTTGACGTCTGAGAAGAAAGAAGTTGAGGTTCAATATGGCGTTTTATGCAGAAAACTACTCATTTCTTCAATTTCAAATTTAAGATGCACAATCCCTAGGATATCAATTAATTCAATCAATTTATTCAGTCTTCAGAGTAAGATGAAGAAAATCTCTGCTGAATCATGGTATAATCGAAGAGTTAGTCGTCGGCGCGGGTTACGGTCCACAATCGTTGTCCAATACGTCCCGGCGTGACAGCTAGCGTTGGGAAATAATGTTGGCCCGTTGGTAGTACTAGCGAATAAACTGCTTCACCAAGTTGGAACAGTACAGCGCCCAGCTTGTCCAGGGCTGACGGGCGTCGGAATATTATCCCATGAGAGAGCGGCAATGAGACCGACCAGTCGACGTGATGAAATGAGAATGGAATTGAAATGATAATTTTCTAGAATGTTGCCTCAGAATCATATTAAAATCTTTTTTTAAATCATTAGTTACATATTGGCTTTGAAACGTAGGAAGACGGGTTCAGATTCAAAGCTTTGTTCATAACTCAAGATCTAGCGAAACCGTTCCATACTGAGGAATTTCAGAGTGGTCCCTATAGGGTTCTAAATCTCAAGTGGACCCTATAGGGGCGTCTCAATTTTATTTTAAAAAAACGCTTTTGTTTGGTTTTTCTCATGGAAGTGCTTCTTCGCTTAGAGTTCATAACAATTATTGACTAGCATTTCCCCTATAGTGACCGCTTTTGCAAGCTTTAGTGGCCCCTATAGAGATTGGTAAAGTGGTCCCTAGAGGGGACCCTCCAACGGCTTCTAAGGTTGCCCCAATAGGGACCACTTTGAAGTTCCTAAGTAAGTTCGAAAACCCCTATTTTCAAGTAAAAGTGGGTGAAATAACTTGATCAATTTTCCTTTTCTTGGTTTTCCACTCGGTTTTTCATTAGGAATCCCAACTTTTATCCATTGAAATAGTTTTCCAGGCGGTTTCCGACGCCTTCTCAACGTCACTTTGGGCAACGAAGGAACCAGCGACGTGCGAGAAATGAACAAAAAACTTCAGCGAATGTTGGAAGAAACCCTCTCAAAAAATATCATCCTTCAAAGGGTCATTAAAATGAATTCCTTGAAAAATAATAAATTTTCATTTTCCAGGACCTTCAAACTCTGCTGGAACGAACTGAAATTTGAAATCTATTGCCTTATGTACATAGTTGTAAACTTGATTCGCAGAAGCTTTTTGGAATTTTAAAGGAGCATAGGGGGATTTATAAAAAAGGTCTCAGGACGAAAAGCCCTTTTTTGTCTTCTGAAGCGCCAGAAAGCTTCTGTGAATGAATTGTACTCATATTTCATAGTATATTTATTGTTTTATCTGCGTAGCATTCCCAACGGCCGCTTCTCAACACAAAAAATCATCACTTGGCATCTTAAACTAATAAATTGTGCATAATTTCTAAACACAAGCTTAATAAAGTTTTTTTTTTCTCAATTTTTTTTCGTGCTTTCGAATGGTTTTACGCATTGAATATCTTACCTTCCCACGTGAAACTGTGTGAACAAATTCTAGATTTTATTCCTTGAAGTAGACAGCTCGGGTGCTGTAAAGATCCCTGCAGGACCCTTTTTTTCTGAAATCTTTATCAATTTTTTTCTGAGTTCATTGGATTTTTTTACGTGTTATGATATATTCAAAAAAATGTCATGTGCTTTCCAATTTTTTTCTCAAATTTTTTTAATTTCACGTTTTTGAACATATAGTAAATTGAGATAAAACTCTCAAAAAAAGGTCCCGACGCGAATTCATTTTTAAAACTTTATAAAATTTAGGCGAAAAAAATGGAGATAGAAGCGCCGGGAGGGTCCGAATCGTTCACGGAGGATGACATCCAGAACTTGTCACTACAACAGGTTTTTTGTATAATTCCTGGTCGCATTTGGAATGGCTCAAAAGGTCGTCCTGCGGTTCAAAGAAGCCTTTTTCCTTCGGTAGCCCCTTCAAACTCTCATGTTGGCCAGTAACACCCGCGGATGCTATAGCTGTTTCACGGCTGGCTTGAGCAATCGAAAAAATGGTCCTGGCACGAAAATGCACGAGATAGCGTCTACCTCGTGGAGAACGCAGACAGGACACGCCCCTTAGCTTCCCAAGCTGGCCCTGCATCAGCTATACCGTTGGTTACTCGATTACCCCCAACCCCCGAGCACCCAAAAACCAATTTTTTTAGCCGCGCATAGACCCCCCCTCAAGTACAGCGGATCTAGGCAAGTGCCCCCCCTTAAATCCAGGCGATCACCCGAAACGTCTAAAAACACCGGGTGATCGGGCAGTAGCACCCCTTTCCCAAAACTATGGCGTAATAGGCCAACTAGTGCATCAGAGAAGTTGCTGCAACCCCTTCAGCCATTCTCCATGCGACCAGAATAATCAATCGGAAGGGCTACAAAACTACAATTTTTCAGATAGACCTGCCCGAACAGGACGCCGAGACGGCCTCCATAATGGAGAGCGACGAAACGGTCTTGGACCGATTGGCCTGCCTACCGTATCAGGCCTTTGTCCTTTCCGAATATGGAAGGCCCATTTTCGTTAAGTGAGTTTTGGAGAGAGATGTACTGACCTCTGGGAACTTCTTTTGGGTAATTAAAATTTGTTTCGGCATCATTCTCTTCGTCGAACTTTGAGGGAAAAAGTCTGAAAATAAAAAAAAAATTTTTCGGTTTTTCTGCTTCAATATTTGTTTCATTTTATGTTTGTAACTTGCAATATTCCCTGGTTATCCACTAGTTCAAAATTTGAGCGAAGTAACCGAAAAATCGACTGGCCAAGCGCTTAGAACACGTACTCTCTGAATTGGAGCGCCAAATGGGCGCCACAACTCTTTCACTGACATACACTATTTTGTCGTTATCTCGCAGCTAGATAACGACGAAATAGTGTGTGTCAGAGAAAGAGTTGTGGCGCCAATTTGGCGCTCCACATCAGAGCTGTACCTTGGAAGGAAGTGGAGTGGATTCAACTTGAGATTAATAGAGGAAAATAATCGAACTTCTGTTTTTTTTTTTTTCAGTAGTGGTAATGAAGAACAACTGTGCTCCTTATTCGCCGTCATCGGAATCTTCGTCTCTCGGGTCAAACTCTGGGGCGACGAGCTGATGACCATCACCTCTAAGGATCGACAAATTCAGTTCCTGCACAGAACGCCGTTGATTTTGTGCATTGGTTAGCTGTGAACGGGCTTGTGCGTCGGGCCGGCCCGGCTCGGGTTTCGGGCTCACGCTCTTGATATTTAAATGAAAAATGAAGCCGAAACGGGGTTTTGGTCCTAGACAAGTCTGACATTGGACGGGCAGAAAAATTGAGATTTGGGCCCGCTTAAGCCTCGTAAGACTGACGGGCCAGCCCTCGCACAAGACTGGCTCTATAAAGCTTCGATGAACCAACTATCAAATTTTTTAAGTATCGAAGTACGGTGAGAAGCTCGACGAACAGCTGGAAGTGCTTTTCGAGCAAATCGTCTCCACACTTTCGAGAGCACAGCTCGAAAGTGTCTACCGTAAGAAAGGGGATAATTACGATTTGAGGAGGTTGCTCCGTGGAACTGACAGGTTTGTCATAGAAAGGCATACTCGGGCAAAGTCGGAATGGTGGATAATGGCCGCTAAAAGGCTCAAAAAAGGCAGCAAAACGGGAGCAAAAAGGCAGCAAAGAGGGTCCCTTTGTTGAGCCTTCCATCTTTTCTGGGATTTCAAAGGCTGGAAAAAGGGAGAGGCACCAAAAATGGTGCATAAGAATCGAAAAAATGGCGCAAAAAGGCAGAAAAAAGAAACTTTTCTATGAAGCCTTCCAGCAGCCTTTAGGAACCCACGGAGGGCCCTTCCGACTTTGCCTATGTTTTTAGAACCTTTTTTAAAATTTTTCCCCTTTTCACAGGTCATCCGAAGTCTAAAAACGAAACGACCGCATTTTACAGATTAATCGAGTCGTCGGTGTCCTCCTGGCGCGGCACGCTCTCTTCCATTCACTCGGCTATTTCGGTTCTACCCATGAACCCAGGGGATCGGGAATTTCTCTCCGCGACCATGTCTGGCTGCTTAGGTGCCGCCAAGCTTGATGTAAGGTATTCGAGGTGTACTGTAGTTCAGTGACGCCATGAAGATTTAAAAAAATTAAATATTTTTTTTTGAGATAGGTGGAAAGACTGTAGATGACGTTAATTTTAATTTAAATTGCTGTAAGTTTATTAGGAGGTACTTTAGTGGTTTAGTGACGTCATGAGCGTCTTTAAACATTTTTTTTCTATGACGGCATGTGTTTTTTTCACAAGGAAGTGTACTGAGAGGGAGGGATAGTCAGATTTCAAACTGAGAAGTTATAACGGGAGAGAGTTGGAGCGGCCAGAAGAGACGGCAGAGAGATAAAGTAATTTTGCTTCTCTGGCGTCTCTTCAGTGGCCCCTGATCTCTCGCTTTTGTCTTTTTAGTTTCACTGCGTTCTCAACCATATTTTTCACGCTTCCCAAGCTTAGAAGTTCGCTCCACCGAATGAAGCTTTTGATTGGCTGGCCACGCCTCTTTTTTAACTTTTTAGGCCAATTAGAAGCATTCCTTGAAGTGAAGAACTTGTACGGAGACTTTAGTAACTTTCAAAATTTTTGAAAAATCAATTTCAAGTCATTTATTTTGTCGTTTTAGTCAGATGTAATCGTCTTGATTTGCCTAATTTGAAGATGATAGTTTTTTTTTTCAGGGCGCCTTATTCGGTGTCATGGTCGCCCATAGACAAATCGCGTCTTACGTGCGATTTAAGGTGGATTTTGGGAGTTAAAATTCAATTAAAAATTTTTTTTTGCTGTAGAACTACGTGATGCACCCGAGAGACATGAATATCGTGATAAATTTGGTTTCGGACAAGTCTTTGCAAGTCGCCGAGGCGCAGACTTGGACACCCATTTGTCTGCCGCATTTCAATGATACGTGAGTTTAGGTTGATTTATGGAAATTATCGATTTTTGCACAAGTTTAAGTCAAATATTGTGATTTAGAGCCTTTTTTCTACACTTTTCTTATTGAAAATGAAGATTTTGAAACTTTCATTTTTGAATTTTTTCGGCTGTCTTTTTTGGCCTTTTTCACTTTCTTTCGATCTCAGAAATGTTCATTATTTGATATTCAAGCTTCAATTTTCCTATGAAAGCCAGAGGGGTCGCTATAAGGATCAAGAGAAAAAAGGCCCTACAGTGGACGAAATAGTGCTCCCTAGAGGGAAAAAGCTCAGGCGGTCCCTGTAGAAACTCAGGTTCTGACAAAAGTCAGTGAGGTATTGGAACATGTAAGGGTTGTCTTCCGTAGATTTTTCCTTTTTGGTTCCATATATTTTTTTGGTTCCATATATAATTTACTATATAGTAAATTAGATCTTCTTTGGAACGCCAGAGTGGTCACTATAGGGGATAGGAGAGAAAAAATCCAGTGGACAAAGTGATTTCAATATGCTACGGTGTGAACCCTAAGCCCCTAACGCTCGAGCAGTCCCTTTAGTGGTCTTTTTACTGACTTGAAAGTTAAACAGACCTATAGGGACCACTAGCAGTGATCCTCTAGAGTGGCCACTTTTGCAAGCTTTAGGAACCCCTATAGGGAAAGGAAAGGAAAGGTGAGCCCCTTGAGTACCCAAGGCTGCCCCTATAATGACCACTCTTATATATGGAATGTGCATGACTGGTGACCACCAACCCCCACACTTCTACCTCCCCCCCTTTTTTTTTGTCGTTTTTCTTGCCAAGTCCTCTCCCCGAGACTATCCCATGTATGACCACTATGAAAATGATTAAAAAGCTTTTTTGCACAAGACTCCCTAGGGCTCCTAAAGCTTGCAGAAGTGGCCACTCTAGGGAGCATGCTGCTGGTTATTTGCTATATTTTGGATTTAAGTCATGAAAAAAAAAAAAATTTTTTTCAGAGGCTTCTTCTACGCTTATATCGCTTATCCATGGGAAGCCAAGGGGATTCCAGCGTGTTTGGTACTGTTATCAGTGAAAAGGGACCACTTTGATGGTCTCAATGAGGTAAAAAAATTTTTAAAATTTAAAAAAATAACGGAGCTTAAGGTCAAAAAAAGAATATTGTTCAAAAAAATTGGAAGCGAACGCGAAATTTTTTTCGGCAATTTTTCGACAGCCGTCGTCAAGCCGAACCTTTTTGCCATTTCTCAGGTTTTTTCCTATCAAAATTGTTAAATGTGAATTCAAAACATAAATTTTGAATTTCAGATAGGTTCAAATAGCGAATCGCTGTGGTCATTCGTGTACCGGAACCATTTATCGAAACAAGTTTGCATTTCGGCTTCAAAGTGAGTTTTTATGCAGATTTCGAATTTTTCAAAAATTCGCTTTCCTACGTAGATTCTCCTTGAACAAAAAAAAATGGGTTTTTTAATCTTAGAATCGCCAGAGTGATCCCTAGAAGGGCAGCCTTAGTGACCACACCCCTTTATGGGGCACTGAAGCTTGCATAAGTGGTGACTCTAGGGGAGCTTTCTAAAATTCCCCGGTATTACAATGAAACTTTCAAGCTCTACTTGAAGACCACTTAAGGGACCACTTAAGCTTAAGGAGAGTTAGAGGTCAGAATCTTGAACCCTTTAGGGGCCACTTCGGCGTTTCTCGTTTCTAGAAGTAACGGCAGATTGGACTGAAAACTTTTTCACTACTCTTTTTCTCTAAACCTCTTCTTTTATAGCATTTTTTGGATGAAAGAGAGGTAAAAAAAATCCTTGAGGTCAAAAAAGAGGGAGTATTGCTCGAATTTTACATAAAAACTAAACTTCTTTCAAAAAATTCAAACTTTTTTGCAATTCCATGTACAATCTCTTTAATGTGACTATTTTTAATTTTTCGGATTTCGGTTACAGTAATCCACAAAAGGGGCGGAGCCTGTCAAAACCTTAGCTAAAGTTCTCAGTAGCTTATGTAGTTGTTGTGATAAAAGTATGAGCTCGAAAAAGGTAACATGAATTAGGTACCCACTGACTTTTTTACTCGAAAGATCTTCAGAATTCCGTTAATTTCCCGGGAAGAACGCTGGGACTCGAGAAGCGATTTGAGAAAAGCCGACGCTTTGGTTTCTAAAGAAGGCCATCTTCGAACCCTTTTTGTTCGCAACACGAAGAACAGCCTCTTGATTTGGGTTGGTTGGCGGGATTTTTTGGGCCAGCTCGGGCCGGTTTAGAGGCCAAATATCAACCTAGTTTACAACAGAAACATTTTTCTGCTTCAAAATTGAGCAGAAATGCTGGTTTCAAAAGCAATAATACTTCTTTTTCGTGAAATGTTACAGTTCAAGTCCGCCTTCGCGACTTGAAAGGCGGGACTTCTCTGGGCCCTCCTTATCTTTCGACGTCTCTCTCATGTTTACGTGCTATTTCCATATTTCTCTGACCTTGCCGTGGAGGGAACAGAGAGACGCAGACATGCGAAACAAAAAAAACGTTTCTCATTCAAAAAGACGTCAAATTCGAAAAAAAAAATACAAAAAGTAAGGCCCAAAGCTCAAACCGGGCTGGCCCGGGCCAGACAACCCTGAGAAGAACTGACAACTTGCCAAGTTTGGTCTCCTAGGTGACGGACAAGTTCTCGCTGCAGTGCGTCTTCGGGCCGTTCGTCTCGGCGATCGTCGCCTTCACCGTCGTCGACAAGCTTCTGAAGAGCCTCAAAAGCCACGAACAGCGATATTTCATCATCCATACGCCTTCTTTTTGATTTTCTTGCCTTGATTTTCTAGCTTGAAAACTTTGGATCAAATTCTAATCACTTTTTCTTAATTTTAAAGATCTTTTCTAGAAGAAAGTTGTAATGGACCTTTAAAGAGAGCCTGAAGGTTTTTAGAAACCCAAGTGGTCACTCTAGGGGAATGAATTTTTCAAAAAGGCTCCATTTACTTCAATGAAGCGAAGGCCTAATTTCCACTCAATTTTCAATATTTTTAGAGCAATTTTGGACTTGAAAACTTGTATTGGACCCTGATTTTGATTTTCTAGCTTCTTGTAGATGAAAATAGTCACTTAAGGGTTAGAAGTTATGAAAGGCTCTATTGTAGCTGGCTTAAGCCATCGAAAAACGAGTCCTGACACGAAGAAAATAGAGTGCTTGGCTGGTGGAGAGCGCAGACAGGCCCCTCAGAGTCCCAAGTTAGCCGTGAATCGACTATAACTCCAATGCAGCGAAGGCTCTAATTTCACTCGAATTTTCGCTTTTTTTAGAGATTTTTTAGACCTTGAACTCTCAAGGTTCTTGGAAATCTTAGTGGTCATTTTAGGGTATTGAAGTTCCGAAAAAGGTTCCATTTACTCTAATTTGACGGAAGCTGCCAATTTTCAAGCTATTTTAGGCCTCTTTGTGAGAAAAAGTTGTAGTAATTCAAAATATCGATATTTTTCAATGAATCCTAGTACTTTGGGCCAGTTTTCCAAACTTTTTTTACTGACCTCAAAAAAATCGTGACGAAGTTTGCATTAAGTCTTTCTTTCAATAAATGTACCCTACAATTTCTCTATTACTTTTCGAACCATCCTATGTTTTTTCTACTCATTTTCATCCATGTGGAACTACGCCCATTCTTCATTTCCATGATGTTCTATTCACCACGCAAAAAATTTTATTTTCTTGTTTTTGCCATTTTTCTAGTGATCTGATTATCACGAATTTCACAACTTTGCATATATTATGGCCCCAGAGTTATTTATTTCCGTGTTCGGGTTGCTTTTTTTCTGTACAGTGACGATAAAAAAACTTTTTCCATTTTTTTAGTTAGGATAAAATGGTTGTGGACCTTTGAATGTACTAATGAGCCTCTGTATGAATGTGAAGCATGAAGTAAGATTTAAAACTGTCTTTTTTGTAAGAAAAACCTTTTTTGCCATTTTGAGCTTAAAAAATCGGTTCGAAATAGCGAATTTCGTGCAGAAACAGAAATGTTAAGGTTCTGAAAAGTTAAAGAACTTTTTCTGATTATAAAGAAACCTCAGACGCTAGTCATTTTTGTCATTTTGAGCTCAAAAAGTCGGTCCGAAAATCCGAATTTCGTGCTTTTCACGTCTCTAGGCCAAAAAATGCTTTTCGAAAAATTTTACAAAACGTAGAACTATAAGGTTCTAAAAAATTCTAGATTTTTGCTGCCTACAAAAACACCCATTACGCCTATCCTAATTGGCATTTCGACCAGAAAAAATCGGTTCGAAAATTGAATTTCGCGCTTTTCTCGTCCCGCGGCCGAAAAAAATTCATTTCGAAACTTTTTCCAAACCATAAAATGTTAAGATTTTGAAAATATCTAGATTTTATATTCATTTCTGTCTTTTTCAAAGTTCAAAAAAAGCAGTTGCTTATTCAGAATTTTTCCACTAAATTCAAAAAAATATAAGTGATCAAGGAAATAATAAAGTTATATTATTTTTCAAGACCGAATGACTACGCCATGAAGAAAATTTGAAAAAAATAAAAAAATTTTTCCAGTTTACTCGAAAAATCCAATGCTTTAACCTGTGCAAAATTTTTCCGCTGAACCCAAAATTTCAAGTTTCACGTGCCTTTCACGTCCCCAGAAAACGCATTCTCCCACAATTTTTTTAACAGAAAAAAAATTTAATTTTTTTAATAAAAAGTTCCCGAAATGCCAGTTGCGTGTAATTTCGCGACTTTGAACACGACATTCGTTTATTTATATTTACAAACGCCTGGCCTTGGCCGCTGTCCTTCCATTACACTGCGAGTTTCTTCCCCCCGTCTCCACACTCAACTTTGGTTTCGCGCAAACGAAAATTAACTGAAAAAGGATGCCGTGGAAAAGCTTCATGTTTCTCGCTTTCTGGTTAGTTTCATCGAATTTTCATTAAAGCGGAATTCGCTCGTTGATCAGAATAATTTGGTCTAGGGTACAATTTGTTCGGTTGTTTGATTAGCTGACAAGGCGAATTGATAAGATTCACCGCGTTTATTATATAAGTTTTGTGGTTTCTCCGTGTTTACTATCGTTTTCTCATATTCCGTGGAGCATTAGGACTAGTTTTTTCTCTGGATTTTCTGACCCTTTTTGAAGACATCGAAAAAATTATTTTATTAATTCGGTCTTATGCATATTTTCTTCAGCATTTCTTCAATAGTTTTTAAAATTGGTTTTGAAAATAATTTCTAAGGATTCGAACATAATTTCCGCTTTAAATTTCAAATTGCAATGTACGCAATGTTTGTACACTGTTTTGGCGCTAAGAAAAAAAATGCAAGCAAAAATTGATGTTTTCAAACCAATTAAAATATCCCAGGTTTCTCGGAACAGCCGTTTTCGCAATAATTAAATATCAATTTCAACAAATCGACAGGTGGAAAAAATCTTAATTTTCTTCTAATTTGCAGCTGTTTGTCTGTTCATTTCGTGCAACTTTTCTCCATTTTCTCACTTTTTTCTTATCAGTTTTTTTCCAGCGTCAATTCCTCGTTTTCAAGCGAAGAAGAAGAAGATCCAGAAATGGCTGACCACAAGACCATCTACGATTTCACCGTTAAAGGATCGGATGGACAGCCGGTGTCTCTGGAGAAGTATAGGTAAGAAATGAAGGAATTTTTTTAAAAGTGGAAGGAAAAAAATTAGAAAATATTCCCAAAAACCGTCGAGGAATTGAAAAAAAGATCTCAACCGTGAAAGTCCTTTCTTTTTCGCGTTTTTTTAAGAATTTTTTTCTTTTAATATTTTTTTGATATTTCTTTTTTTATATTTTTTTTATTTTATTAATGGTTCCAAATTCCATACGGTATAATTGGCCCATGCCGAAAAAGCTCCTGTTCAATTTTTTCCCCGAGAACTCCTACAAAACTTGTGCGTCATAATTATTGACTCACTCTGTTTCAGTCTCAAATTTGTTTTTTTAATGACTTTTCTTGCATCTTATACTTGTGTAGATGAGAACTCGAAAATTCATAATATAGTAGAAAAAAAATTTTTTTGAAGGAACTTTTATGAGAATTTTCGAATTTTCAATTAGCGCAGGAGCTCGGTCAAAAAAGTTTTGAAAATTCAGTTTTCTAGACGATTTTGCAAATAGCCATTCTCATAAGTTTTTCTTTTAATCTTCAGAAAGTTTATTGTTAGTTTTGAATTCCAGATAATAGTTTCGTGAGTTTTTTTTGTATAGCTGCTGTGATTAAGAAGCCGATTTTGAAAAAAAACATAACATTGATTTGGCGGCATATTTAGCCGATTCACGGCTAGTTTGAGATGTTAAGAGACCGACACCATCTCTCCTTTAATCGTGTCAGGACCATTCATTCGATGAGAGTGGAAATAAAGCTTGTTGTGTGATGAAAAAGTTCATGAAAATGAAGAACTAGCGTAACTCCACATGAAAGTCGTTAAGTGCCTCCGGAGACGAAACTCTTTTCAGAGGCCAGGTGGTGATCATCGTGAACGTGGCTTCCGAGTGCGGCTTCACCAACTCCAACTACAAGGAGCTGAAGGAGATCCAGGACAAGTACTTCGACAAGGGACTCCGTGTTGCGGCTTTCCCTTGCAACCAGTTCGGCGGACAGGTGATTTTCAGCTCATTATAGTCTGTTCAGATTTTGAATGTCAAGTCGTCGCTCAAGCTCCGCCCCTAATGGTGCGATAATCCAATCAGAGAGCGAGCCATCCACAGAGTGTTTTTCAATGACGTCATTGCACTTGACATTAAAAATCTGAACAGACTATAATACAAATTTACGTTAAAAGTGTCCCCTCAAATAGAATTTCGCAATAGAGCAACTTTGCTGCAACAATAGTTTTCTTGAAAAAAGACCTGCCGGTTCACGATTAGCTTGGGACGCAAAGAAGCGGTGCCTGTCTGCGCTCTCCACCAACCAGACACTGTCTCTTTACTCATCGTGTCAAGACCCTATTTCGATGGCTCAAGCCAGCCGTGCGCTATTTTTTACGGGAAAAGTTTGGAATTTTCAGGAACCAAGCTGCGAAATCGACATTGCCAACTTCGTCAAGGAGAAGTTCAGCTACGAGCCGGACCTTTACGCCAAGGTTTGAAATGAAAACGACAATTTTAGGGATGAACATTTCCCGCAGAAAAGGAAATAAATAACTGCCCGTTTATCCATTAGGAGAAGCTTTCTCAGTATCGTTAAAAAGAGAAAACATCTGCGAAAAATCCTCGATAAAATTTTTTCACTGGTTCTTATGAGATGAAAAAAGATATGCCTAAAAACTTGAAAGAATTCATGGAATTTATAGGCTTCCGAATATGGTAATGAATATACTGAACCCCCCTTCACGAGTCGAACAAAAAAGTTAGAAAAACCACAGTATACTGAGATTTTTTGCGCGTTTCGCTTTGAGACCTGTGATCTGAATGGTATACGGTATTTTAGCCGATAAAAAAACGTGACAAGCTGCTGCGGAATGGCCTATACTCCGTTGAGAGAAAATTCCATGAAGAAATATCACACTATCGTGAAAAAATATTTATTATGGAATTTTTGAAAACTGTCGAATAAGAGCGATAAATAGGTGAACGTCAACGGCAACGACGCCGACGAGTTCTGGAAGTTCTTGAAGAAGGAGCAAGGAGGCGTCCTCCTTGACGCCATCAAGTGGAACTTCACCAAGTTTGTCGTCAACCGCAAGGGACACGTCGTCAAGAGGTGGGACAGTATATGAATCAAGGGCTTCGCGTAAAGAAACGATTTCAAACGTTACCTCTGCGCCTGTAAATTTGGCTTTTAGTTTGAGAATTGAAAGTTTTAAAATTTCGAGTTTGAAGATTTTTTTTGAGCTTGAATTTCATCTATTTAGCGATCTGATCAAGTTTAGAAGCTCCGGAGGAGAATTTGAATTGAATAATTGAAAAAAAGTTGTAGCTTTTTAATCAATTTAGGCTTGAAAACTGCTTTCATGATCAATTTCTATCTTTAAATCTGAAGAGAAGTAAATTTGAAGCTCATAGTTTTTTTTTATATCTCTGAAGTGATCACTTTTTCATATTATAACAAAATAAAATAATGATTTTTTAGGTACGCGCCGACCGCTTCGCCCAACTCGTTCATCAAAGAAATCGAGAAATTGCTGGCAGAATCCTCATAACTTCTTTTTTCCATGTACTAGCTTTACCGTCTTGTAATATTTATTTGATCGCGATGTGATAAATGAAAATGAATCATTTTTAAAAAAAGAAATCCGATTTTGTGGATGTTGAGATCGTCTGAAGACACCGGCATTCTGAAATATTTTTTATCAAGAAAAATTGGAATCCTTCTTATTTCTCTGTTCTCTTCTTTCTCTCAGCCGTGCTATGATTTTCATGCGTTTTCACTTTTTCGGTGAGAGAAAAGAGAGCGCAGACATGTCAGACTGTTTCGAGTCGTTCCAGAAGAAAATACTTTTTTTATAAGTTTCATATAACTTTGAGTCTAAAAATCAGCTTAAACGTTGTAAAAATTAATTATTTTGTTCAATTTCCTTTTTTGAAGTTACTGACAGTTGGATATCTCGGGCAAAGTCGGAATGGTGGATAATGGCTGCTAAAAGGGAGAGGCTCAAAAAAGGCCGCAGAAAGGCAGCAAAAAGGCAGCGAACGGCAGAAAAAAGGCAGCGAAAGGCAGCAAAGAGACTCCCTTTAACGAGCCTTCCATTTTTCTGGGATTTTAAAGGCTCGAGAAATGGTGGAGAAAGGGAGAGGCAGCAAAAATGGTGCATAAGGGCTGAGAAAATGGAGCAAAAAGGCAGCAAAAAGAGAGCCTTCATCACCCTAAAAGGAACATTTCTATGGTCCTTTATGGACCCTCGGAGGGCCCTTCCGACTTTGCCTATGTATGAAGCAAAATACTAAAATCTTTTAAGCGCTCCCTAAAGCGGTCTTGAAGGCTGAAGTCAATGTTACTGAAAGGCTATAAAGGATCACTGAAGTGGTGCCTTAATTTGATTTTTTCGAAGGTCTCTGAGCTGTTTAGTGATCAGTAAAGTGGTGAGCTTATTTCATCGTTTCAAAGCTTTTTTCATCGTGTCCTTGGGATTTTGAGTCATTAAATCGTCAATGATGAAACGTTAAAGTGTAAAATGAAACTCTCCGAACATTTCTGAGCCATTTAGTGATCACTTAAGTGGTGCTAAAGCTTAAAATCGATGTTTCTGAGGGACTCTGAGCCATTTAGTGATCACTTAAATGGTGTCACAGCCTTAAATTGGGATGTTTGAAGATCTGAGTCATTTAGGGACCACTAAAGTGGTGTTCAAGTCTTAAATGGAGCCGACTTGGGATCACTGCAGAGATGATAAAGACTAAACTGAACCTCCTCAGCCACGTCCTCGACCCCCGCCACGACCTCCGCCACGACCGCCTCCTCTGCCTCCGCCGTTCCAGCCTCCACCTCGACCTCCGCCTCGACCTCCGCCGCCATTCCAGCCGCCGCCATTCCGACCGCCCCAACCGCCTCGATTACCATTCCAACCGCCACCCCTACCACGACCTCCATTCCAGCCTCCGCCGCCGCCTCGACCCCATCCGCTGAAGCCACTCCAAGGGGGTCGCATCAGCCAGAATGCTGAATGGATAGGTCAGTATTACGAGGAAGGTCATTGAGACGTTGAAGGCATAAGGGAGTCAAAAATCGAGAATTCTTGTTCAGGCAACACAATTCAGTGTGTTTAATCAATATGACGGGTGAGAAAGTACATATGAAGAGGACATTACTATTTTTTTTACTTTTTGAATTTCCGATACTTTTTGTGATCACAGGAAAAGTTTTATCAAAATATTTCGATCTTATGAAAGCGATTTTTTTACTTTCCGTATGCCTTTAAAAAAGTTTAAAATGACTGAAACTTGAAGGAAAGCTCAAAAATTGTCGGTCCATCACTTCATTCAGGAAAAAAAAAAGCTTTATTTTCAAAAAAAGGCGCAGTAAAATTTAAAGCCTGGTTTTGAAGCTCAAAATTTAGGCCGTAGGTTGAATTTTTTTAAATTTTAACAACTACGAGATAGAGTTTTCCTGTCATTTCATTCAAGGACCCAAACTAGAGGCCTTTTCATAACTTAATATTCTAATTTACCGTAATTAATTCATGGTCAAATCAAAAATGTGTTCAAAGCCTTGGGGAACTTACTTAGTGTTACGAAATTGTTTTTCAGTTTTTTTTTTTGAAAATTATGTCAAGTTGTTAAAATTTTCCACATTGACTTGAAGACAAGAAGAACAGTTTATTTTGACGCTGAATTTTCGAGAAGTGTGAGAAAAAATACGCGAGATTAGTGCAAGCTTGAAGAGAAGCCAGAGAAAGAGAATTCCTTAGTTTCTCTGGCGTCTCTACTGGCCGCTACTGTTCTCTCGATTTTTTTTTTGATTTTGAATGATTATCAGATTTAATTTTTATCAATAAAAGATAAAAACAACTCACGCGGTGGCGGGAAGCCGAGAACTGAAAAAAAAGAACTTTACAGAAAAATTGGAAAAACCTACATTGAGCATCGCAAAAAGTGACAAGGAAGAGAGTCGCGAACAGAATCACCATTCGTCGCATTTTTCCTGGACCTGACTGACTTTTTTCTCATTTTCCTTGCTGTACATTATTCGGTCAGTTTCACATTACACTTTCTCAGGCGAGTTTCGTCCTTGGGTACACAATTAGTTTGTTTTTTTTAATGGGTCAGCAGGGGGACTGTTTTCTTTTCCTTCGATAAGTATCATGTTTGTCCGAACTTCTCGTTTTTTCCAGTTCTATTTCTAGATTCCAGTTTTCTAGTCTATTCAATAGTATGCATCAAAAGTTCAAAATGAAGAAAAAATAAGGAATTTCCGAAAAAAAATACGCAGGTTGGCTTGAACCATCAAAAAATGAGTCCTAAGAAAAGAGATAGTGTCTGGTTGGTGGAGAGCGCAGACAGGCCACGCCCCAAGCTAGCCGTGAATCGGCTATATGCATCTTTGTCCCTATAGTCTGTCCAGATTTTGGATGTCGATATCAAGATCCGCCCCTAATGTCCTCATAAACCAATCAGAGAGCTAGCCATCCAGAGAGCGTTTTCGAATGACGTCATTGTAGTGGACATTAAAAATCTGACCAGATCTCACTGATCATTTCAAGACCCTTTTCTCGAAACTGCAATGATCCTTTAAATTTTTCGAGTAGAGTTTAGTGAACTTGTAAAACTTGCCATTTTTTCTGAAGTTCCAACAAAAATTTGCTAGTTAGGATTTATTAGATTCAAATAAATAGAATACAGTTTTTACATGGAGATTGTACAGCTAATTACATTGTGTCATTTGTTTTTTTGGAAGGTTTTTTGAAGAGTTACAGCAAAGGAGTTGGCGAATGAGAGACCCGAGGCATTTTGTACAGCCGTCTTCAAGCGCCTGAAAATTTTATATTTTGAAAAAAAAGTATATTTTTCTCGTTAAAAAATGGTTCAGCAATCTTTGATAAATAATTCAATAAACTTTTATTTTTCAATTATTGGCTAATAATTATAGTTCATTTGCTTCTAGTTGAAATCTAAACCCTGAATAATACGCTTTAGAAAGATTTAAACAAAAGGAAAGCAAGTTAAGTTTAAAAAAATGATGAGTCTCGAAATCGATAATTTTCTAAATAGTCCGAAAATTTTGAGAAAGCGAGACATCAGTGGATCGGAGAGACGCCAGAGAAGGCAGATTGTCTGTATTTCTCTAACGTCTCTTCCAGCGTTGAACACTCTCGCTTCAAGCTTTAAAGTCGCTAAAAGTGGCATGAACCAATCAGAGACGTTGTTCGATAGAGCGCACTTTGAAAGATTGCTAAGCTGCATTTAAATGAACTACGGATCAAAATAAGTCAAAAAGAGTGTTTTTAAACTTTTTTTCTTGACTGAAGGTTGCTCTTCAAGATTAAGTGAGCTAGATACTTGAGAATATCTTTTTTTTCCAAAACCAACCGAGTTATCCCCAGCGTCCACGTCCGCGCCATCCGCCACGTCCCCTCCAGCCGCCGCGTCCCCAACCGCCGCGTCCCCAGCCGTGGTGGTGCCATCCGTGGTGGCGACCGTACCACCCGCGTCCGCCCCATCCGCCATAGGGTCCTATCGCTGAAATTCAACCACAATTGGTTGAAGTTGGGAGGGTTAAGGACTAATAACGACTTTTTCTCAATTTTAGGCTGATTTTGTAGGAACTTCATTTCTTCTGTAGCTTTTCAAGCCTAAGGATATATGTCATGAGGTTCAGAATAACTAGTGATAACACCTTTTCCTTTGATTTTTGGCTGATCTTTCAGAAATTCCATGTTTTCTATACCTTTTCGAGCCTAAGGTTATGTATTCAGGTTCAGAATAAGTGGTGATAACATCTTTTTCTTAATTTTATGCTGATCTTGTAGAAAATTGTATATCTAGAGGCTTTTGAAGCCCAAGTTACATCCTCCAAAAGGTCCTATTGCTTAAATTGAACCAGAAATGCTTGAATTTCTGAATACTAGTATAATATTTCTTCTAGTAGCTTCTCAAGCCTAAAAACATTTTAAATGAGGTTCAATCGCGGAAAATCAGCAGTTTTTCGTTTATGCCTCTATGAAAATCGAGTACTAGTTAATCTCAAACTGATCTTTTTATCCTTTCTGGTGACTCTAGAAGGTTTTTAGGCCTTGAAAGTCCTCTCTAGCCTCCTCTTTCTCTACTAAAATTCTGCTTAAAAACTTCAAAATCATACTTGAAGTTGAGAAATAGCTATTTTCTTTCAAACTATGCCTAAATCTGTCTCACGAACTAAATTCCTCGAATTGAAAAAAAAAATCAAACTCACGGAGAGGAACAGGGATCGGAATAACTGAAAATCAGAAAATTAAAACCCGAAAAAAAATCAATAAGCTCACTTTGAGATTGAGTCGTTTGAACGAAGACGAGCAGGAAACTGAAAACAATAAGCCAATGCATGTTTCGAATCGGAAGAAGAGAAGAAGATGCTGTTGAATTGGAAACTTTTCCCACTTTTATACTAGGCGTCGTGTTTTTTGCAACTGACGGCAACTTATTTGTGCTTCAGAAATCACTCTAGGCAATCAAGGTCACGCGCTAGAAAAACAGTAATTTCGTATGGTAAGATCACTTTTTTTCTTCCGAGATTCCGCAAAAAACATATTTTTGCGAACGAAATCGAAACAGTTTATTGGACAACGTGGTGGTAAAGAACAGCAAAATAAGTTAGGACAACAAGGAAGTTACTGGAGGGCGACATCTTCTTATTTACAAGCCATTTGATGATCGAAACTTAAAACCCAAAAATAAAGTGGCAACACAGATTCATTTCTCCTTTTTGCTATCCCTCCAGTATCTCAAACAACAATTTTTGTAACAATTTCTAGGAAGATAGGATGGATTCTTGGGCGGGGTAGGCCTTCAAAATTCGAACATCATTTTTCGGGCGATCGTGGTTGTCAGTGTCCACTCGGCCGATGTTGCTGACAACCTTGAAAGTATTTTTGATTTTTATTTTGAAGCTTTCCTCAGAAATAACCTTCATTCCTGCGGCAATTCTTCCGAAAATCGTATGTTTCCCATCGAGATGTTGCGTTGGAGCGAGTGTGATGAAAAATTGGGATCCGTTTGTGTTTGGGCCTTAAAAATTATCAAAATGCAAAGTTCTTAGGATCTTTCGTAAACTTGTTTCTTGCTTTAAAAAAAGAAAAGGTCTTTTCTATCGCCTTAAACCTTGCTTAGACAAACGGAGCAGTCGAACCTCTTTAAGTGATCACTCAAAAACTTCAAGAGGTCGCTTAAGGCATAATTGAAGGGAAAAGATTATTCCGCTTGTTCACCGCAAGTTATAGAAACGAAAAGCTTTATAAAAAAAGGCCTTCAAAAATAAAAAAATGGGACAAAAATTCTTTTAGTTTTCTTTTCGTAAACTTGAAAAACCTGCGTTAGCCATTGATAATATTCCAGCGCCTGTATGCTTTAATCTCGCATCAATCTCATCAGCAAAACGATCTCCATAAATAGAAGCACCACCACGGCCTGAAAAATCTAATAATTTTCGTACATTTGTCCAAAGAAAACCAGTTCCAGTCGGATCTCCCCCTTGGATCATGAAATCGGCGATAATTCTGTGAAACACCGTGCCATTGTAGTATCCACGTCTCGCAAGCTCCGAAAAGTTTCGACAAGTCCTCGGAGCGTGATCCCAGTATAATTCCAGACATAGCTTTCCCATGCTAAACAAGTTTTAAATGAAAGATAAATTCTAATAAATTAGCGACCTCGTCTCAAAAATAACGAAGGGAAGCTGATCGGACGCAAGCGGCATAGTCTCTGATTATCCTGAAATGCTGTTATATGAAATATAAAAGAACTTTGAATGAAGATTTAGAAAATAAAATGGAAATAAGAATAAACTCGAATCCAAATTTTTTCAAATTTTCAGCTAACGGTTATTTTAAAAGTTCATGCGTGCTTACGGGAAAGACTCAAGCTCACGACACATAGGCGATTTCTCATGTGATCCTTCGAAATTGCTCACGGTTTTCGTTCTTTCTGGTCATATACCGTTTTTTCTCTCATACATATTCAAGCCGAAATGTTATTTGATTAATTTTCAGGCCCGATGGACCTTCAAAACCTTGTAAACAACGTGAAAAGCGTTTCACTGAGTGTCGCCGAAAAATTCACGCCAGTTCTCAAAGAGAGCAAGTTTAGGTACAAATATCAAGTTTTAGCAAGGTTAAAGCCTATTTTTTGATTTTTAGAGAAACTGGAGTTTTAACTCCGGAAGAGTTCGTCACGGCCGGCGATAATTTAGTTCATCATTGTCCGACTTGGAGTTGGGCGCGCGCTTCTGATCCTTCGAGGTTAAAAAAACCGTAATTGTATTTTTTAAACGAGTAGTTTTTTCAGAGTAAGGTCATTTTTGCCGGAGAATAAGCAATATTTAATAACGAGAAATGTTCCCTGCCATAAGCGATGTCGACAAATGGAGTACGATCAGTCCCAGGAAAAGGCAGGATTTATCGATTTTGACTCTAGAAGCGTCGCGGAGGTGTTAGAGGACGCAAGAATGCTTTGTAGTTCAGAATAACATCTGAAAAGCTTCTTCGCTTAGAAATATTTACGAATTTCGTCTGTGAAACATTCAAAATGTATCGAAAATCGTTTTCAAATGTACTTTTCCACTGAAATCGAAGTTTGAATAACGATGGATTGGGAAATACCTTGAAATTTTTGAAAATCCATGAAATTAAAAGTTTAAATCTTTCAGATTTTAACCTCCATGGAAGTTGGGGCTGAAGAAGGCTTTGCTGGAGATGAGGACGGCGGCTGGGTCGACACTCATCATTATAATCAAGAAACCGGCTCCTCTCAAGCTTTGGAACTCGGCCAGGAGGTAAATTTGGCAATATCCAAAATCAAAGATTCCATTTTAAAAAATTAGAACTTTTTGCAATACAAGTACGGTTTAGGAACGTAGAACTCGAGCTTAATGAAGTTGGAAGGTTAAAAATTTGTAAACTTGTCCTTTGTGTTCAATTTATCTAGAAATTTCGTGCAAATCTGTGAATACAGGGTGGCTCAAAATTACCCGCACAAGCTATAGATGCTGTATAAGAAAAAGTAAAAGTCAGAAATCCATGGGAATCAACAAAAAGTTTATTCATGATCATAACAACAATTATAAGCTAATCCTGTTCCATTTGACTTCCTCTCTTTGCGATGACAGCACGAAGACGCCGAGGGTACGCGACGATAGTTGCACGCAGGTAATCTGGCGACAAAGTGTCTCATTTCTAGACCAGGGTCTTCTTCAGGGCCTCGATACTCGAGGGGGGTTTGACGTTGACCTTGTTTTGCAAAACCCCAGAAGGAGTAGTCCAAAGGTTTGAGGTCTGGTGAAAACGGTGGCCGTTAGTCCTTCGGGATGAACGCAGGCAAATGGGTCTCGGAACACTGTTGCGACAACTTGGCTGCGTGTGCTGGAGCACCGTCTTCTTGGAGCATCCAGTGACGTCTATTGAAGTCCTTCTGAGTCCAGGGAAGAGGTGTCTTCTTCAAAATCTCCGAAATGTAGACTTCCTTGTTAATTTTTACTTCTTGATCGACAAATAGCAATGGTGTCTTGCGATCAGCAGACTCTGCTCCGAAAACCATCACACTAGCGGGGTGAGAGGCTCGATGAATGGTCCTTCCGTTGCCAAAAGCTTCGTCAGACGTCTTAGCAAGTACTCGATGATTTTGAGGGTTGAATTCGGCCTGTACCGTGATCAGCTTCTCGTCAGAGAACACTGTAACCAAGTGTCCTTCAGTGCGCGTGCGCTGAAGGAGCTCTCTTGATCTTTCGAGCCGTTTCTTGGTTGTAGCTTCCGAGAGAATTGCTGCTTTTCTTACATAGTAACAGATGAGCTTCAGCTTGTCTTTGAGGATCCTTTCCATCAAACTTCGACTAATTTTCATATCTTTCGCCATCTTTCTGATGCTCCGGACTGAACTTCTTCTGGTTCTCTCTTTCTCAGCTTTGATCCGATCTGGAGTGACGACTGTTGCTTTTCTTGCTCTCTCACATCTATCCAAGAACTTGCTGAGCTTTTTGAAACGAAAAATCAAGTCATAGACGGTTCTACTTGGGACTGCGAGCCGTTTAATGATGTCAACCGGAGCGACTTCTTTTTTGAAAAGGTGCAGAATCGAAGAGCGATGTGGATTCGGTGGTGCCATTTACCGAAAACAAAACCGATTGATCTGAATTTTGGCAAAATGGTAAAAAACATACAATTAATCAAAATTTTATGTATTACGAGCAACAGAATTGCGTTTTCGCCTTGCTGTATAGCGTCAAACTTTTTTGCGGGTAATTTTGAGCCACCCTGTATAGGGTGAAGTTATAGCAATAAAGTGAAAATTAAAAAATATAAAGGAATTTTCCAGATGAACGAAGACGACGATGGCGAGGAGGAAGCGTTGGATTTGGACGATTTGGTCGAATCTGGCGGTCTGGAAGATCCTGATCCGAATAGGTATCGACTGATGACGTCATTGGTTATAAAATTTTGAAGAGACTCATGACGTCATTAATTATGATTTTTCGAAGAGATTTATGACGTCATTGATTATCTTTTTTGAAGAGATTTATGACGTCATTGACCATTATTTTTTTAAGATTCGTCGCCGCTTCTAACAAACCGACGAGTGAGGTCGAGCGCCCACGAACCTATGATCTTCACATTTGCTACGATAAATATTATCAGGTTCGGACTTTCCTCCACTTTCGTTTAAGTACAATAATCGTACATGAATATTTAAACACCATACTTAGAGTGGCCCCTACAGGGAACAAAAAAAGTGCCTCCTATAGAGGTTGAATTAATGTGGGAGTCTGACCTCTCAGCCCATCAAGCTCAAGTAGCTCCTATAGGGTCTTTAAATGTTGTCTTAGTTTGAATATTAACAAGGAAACTTAATAATTCTTAATAATAATCTTGTGTTTATATATTTCGTTCAATTAACGCTATTTTTTTTTCACTTGTCATAGAGCTCAAAACTTTTTTTTTTCACTTGTCATAGAGCTCAAAACAATAAAAAACTAGCATGTTCTCCTATAGGGACCAATAATTAAAACTTCTAAAGGGGCCTTTTTTCCAAGCTTCAGTGGGGAAGTAATTTAGTCTCTAGATAAAAACCTTCAAGGGCCATAAAGATGCTCCTTAAGGGAACAATCTGGCGTTTACCTTGATAAAATATTGTTTCTCCAGGTCCCGCGCCTTTATCTCGTTGGCTACGACGAAAATAGACGACCTTTGTCAGTGGAGCAAACTTACGAGGACTTTTCTGCGGTAATTTTCGATTTTCAAAGTCTATTTTCGGGGTTTTCACTCCGCGCAGATGTCTGAATCTCTCGATTTTACGAGATATTTTGCTTCTAGTTTAGAAAAGATTAGTAAATATTGTCTCTAGAACCAGCGATGAAGAAGATGTATAATTTACTTTTAAAAATACGCCAACAAGCGGTTTTTTTCCGAGCTGTTTATTCGATGTTATATTTTTCCTATTTCGTTTCAGGACCATGCTAATAAGACGATTACGGTAGAATCCCACACTTCTCTGGATTGCGACATGCCCACGGTTCACCCCTGCAAACATGCCGAGGTAAAAATTGATGATGATTGTGAAATTCACTTGGGTTTTTAAAGGAACATGGAGACATTTTGAAAAAGGTCTCTAGGCGAAAAGTCGTTCTGTACTTCAAAAATTTAATGTAAAGCTTTTTTTCTTAACGTATTGAAGTACATCAATATTGATGGCGTGATCCAAGCGGTTTTTGGGAAATAGAAAATTATCTCTGACTTTCTAAAATTCAGTTATCTCTCTCACTCTATGATAGTTTTTTTTTTGAATTTTTTGGGATAACTTTGAACACGCCATGATTTTTTTATATGCACGTATCGCCAAAAACTTGAAAAAGGCTGACTTCTCTGCGCTATATTTTTAAAAGTGCTTCATGTCTCTATGACCTTTCCATCGAGAGAAAAGAGCGCACAGACACGTCAGACGCATTTTTTTTCGTTTCCAGATGATGAAACGACTTTTGGACCAGTACGCGGAAAGTGGCAAGGAACTGGGAGTTCATGAATATCTCCTTCTTTTCCTGAAATTTGTCCAGGTTTCAAAGAAAAAAGTTTTCGTTTTCATCAATTTTTTCCAGGCCGTCATTCCCACCATCGAGTACGACTACACGAGAGCCATTCAATTGTGAAAATTTTCCCCCCGAAATTGCGCTTTTTCCCTTATTGCCGTCCATTTTTCAGGTATTCCATCACATTCATGTTCCAATTGTTTTTTTAATTTTGTAGAATTTGAAATTTTTTTACCCTTTTTTTCATATTGAATTTTTTTGTACATGTGTTGAGATAAAAAAATGAGATTTCATAAAAAGATTTTTTTCGAATGAAAATGAAGGAAAAAAACGAGTCGAGTAATCAAAATTCGTTTTTTGATTTATAGAAATTGATTTCAGGTAATTTTTTTAACTTGAAAATTGAAAAACTTTTTGATTTTTGGTCTTGAAATTGTAAGAAGGAACTTTAATATGTAGTAAAAATTTTTTTAGGGAGGCCTAGGATTTTTTTCCGAGTCTGACTTTTTTTGCTTTAAAAATCGGATATTGGAAAAAAATACTCCTGTTTTAAAAATTTTTCAAAATTTGAGCCGAAAAAAACTCAAGGTTTTCGAAAAAAACGGCTTATTTTTCTTAATAATAGCTCATTTCTCGAGATTTTCTCGAAATAAAAAACCGGATCCTCTAAAATTTCGAATTTTTTGAATCTTGAGAAGGACGAACTATGTATGAACTCCATTTCTGTGTCCCCCCCCTTTTTTTAGACTTTCAAACCCCCTCCCCCCCAACCAAGAGTTTTGAATGAAATTCAGCCAAACTGCGCTTCTATGACTTAAAAAAAAAAGGAAAAATGTGTTCTGCAACTGGTTCTCGGCCGCTCAAAAGACCATATATCTAAACGAAAAATTTCGGCATCCGTTATCAACAGCGGCGGGCTTTTCCCAGGTAACAAGCAGGAGGGTAAAAAGTTGGGATTTCAATGGTGGAAAGAGGCTGGATGATCGCGGTGGCGGCTGCGGTTTTTGTGAAATGGGCCAAACGAGGCAACCGATTGAGGTCTCGTCCCTTTCTTCCGGCGTCCCGTGACCGCAAACTGTTTTTTTTTCCCGTGCTTTTTGAATTTTCTCCCTGAATGGCCTGGCATCTGCTCCTGGCCACCACCGTTTTCCTGTTATCTTCGGTTCTTTTCTGGAAATTGGCCGAAAAGGGCAAAACGACGTCTCCGGCTGGCGCTCCCACCTTCATGTAGGTTTAATTCATTTGAAAAATCTTGGTGGGTTTTTTAAAGGAGCATGGATGAGATTTATAAAGGTCTCGAGGCGAAAAGCCTTTCTAGAGTAATTTTTGTTCATTTTAAGCTTTTTCACTTCTGGGGTGTTTCTATAATCCTTTTTGAGATGATTAATAATATTTCTTTTTATGAATATATTTATCATTCGCCAAAAAGCTCTGACCCGTCTGCGCTCTCTTGTCTCTCAACGGCGAGGTCAGAGAAACCTGAAAATAACAAGTGAACACGAGAGAGTTGCCGATAGAAAAGAGGTCGCAGAGGAATAAGAAATTCTGAACTTTTGGCGAACGACGTACATTTAGGGATTAAATTTACAGAAAAATGGAAATTTTCAGTTTGAACAAGTTCAAATTTTCATTCCACCCGCCAAAAAAGTCCCAAAACAACAGAAAGAACAAAAATTCGACAAAATACCTTTTCAGCCGCGATTTGAGCGAATCGAGGCTGAATCCAAGCTGTAAATGGCCGAGTATTCTTCCGTTTGAAATGCGGAAACCAACAGAATCAGTGTAAATTTTGACTTTTTGTCAAATTTTTGTTGAAAACCAAATCCTGATATCTTTTCAATTCAGAAGAAGCTTGTCTTGTGACACCCAAATGCTCAACTGGACAAGTTTTACCGACGAAGGAGTTCTTTCCATTTCTACTGATATCTACACAATGCGCAACGTCGCTCAAAACGACAATTTCGTGTTTTTATTTGAAATTCGATTTTTGAAGTAGTGACTTCTTTGAAGATGTTACTATGCTGAGCTGATACCTGAGAACGAGATGGACGACAAAAATAATAATATTACGCTCGGACCGGAAAAAAGGGTGAGTTCAAATGATTTTTCGTGAATATTCTTGTTTTCCTGCTCAAGTTCGTTTAAAAAAGTGTTACAACTATAAAATTAGATAATCAAAAATTCAATGAAGTTCGAATCGTAGGAATACTTTTTTTGATTTTTAATTGTACGTCTTTTCATATTTTAACCGGATCGAACAGTTTCCATTTCAGAAAGAAAAATTTCAAAAATAATAAAAATGGATATTTTAACACTTCTTTTGGTAAATGCGCTCCACGGACGATTCGGCGATCGAAATTTTTTTGGTCGCGCGCTTTTTTGGCCACAAACACGCGCCGTCAGTGTATTGCCGAGTTCAAAGCTAATTTGACGCGTTTATAGCAAAAAAGTTTTTCTGGTTCAAAACCACGAGCCAAAACGCAGAAGACTCCCACGACGTGATTGGTTGGCTCCGCCCAGCTGCCAAGAAAATATTTTTAAAATAAATTCATATTGGCCATTTGCCAAAAAGGCGGAGCCAACTAATCACGTCGTGGGAACCTGCTGCGTTTCGGCTCGAGAGTCAAATTAGCTTTGAACGCGGCATATGAGAACCTTGTTTTTTTGATTATCCATTCTTCAAGTTTTTATATCTTTTTAAATTCACTTTTTAAAAAAATTTTAAATTTAAAAATAAATAATCCATTTAGCAAATGCTTAAAAAGCTTTCCCGTGTTATAACGTAGCTTTTTTAGAACGGTATTTGTACATATCGCCTCACGTAAAATGACAAGAGATTTGTCATTGGGGCGCGCTTCTTCACACTCTTTTGTTCTACTGAATTTTCGCAGTGCCTATGCCGGCATTCTGCAAAAAAAGTTGCAAACATCTTGCAAATCAGAGCTTTGCATTTTGCACAGAAGTTCCTCGCGTTTTGCATTTCTTTTTGGGCTTACTTTTGTATAGTCTGTTCTTATTTTGAATGTCAAGCAGCTAACTCCACCCCCACGGCTACAATATCTTTCGCGTCAATGTTTTATCTACAGATGACGATGGCCCTTTAATAGGCTGCATTTTTGACTTCTTTCTCTATCTTTTAGATCAAAAAAGATCAAAATTAGCCCTCGCGCGATAAAACATCGACGCGAAAAGGTACCGTTTCAGCAGGGGCGGAGTTAGCTGGTTGCCAATCAAAATCTGAACAGACTATACAGACGAAAGAAATTCAAAATGCGAAGTACAGCTGTGCAAAATGCAAAGCACTGATTTGCAGAATGCATGAATTCATGAAGCTTTTTTCCCAGAATGCCTGTATAGGCACTGCTCTTGGCCAAATTTCAGTAGAGCATCTTTTCGGACATTGGTAACGCGAAATGTTTCGAAGAGATTTCTTTTAAAATTGATTCAAAATATCGGTCAGAGAGTGTGAAGCGATTTCAGCCTTTGAGAATTTACTGTTATGTATTTTTTCTTCATTCCTCCTTTGCAAAGTAACACAGAACAAAAAACCCTCAGCTGCTTTTAAGAGCATTGGGCTGGTACCTGGTATTGTTTAGTAGCAGTAGATCGAATCCCGTCCGCCATGGACTATTTTGAAACTGTCGTTATCACTTTCATTATAGAAGACGGCGTCATCGCGGTTAACTGAAGATAAAATACTTTCGAATGCGGAAAAAGAGGATATACAAAAGTTGAATCAAAAAGAATTGCTCGTAGAGTTAAATTATTTTTCCGCAGCCAAAGTGTCTGCGGCCTTGTATCATAATCGATTTTTTTTTATCGCGATATATAGTCTGTTCAGATTTTAAATTTCAAGCAGCTAACTTCAAAAATAGTCCCGCGCGATGAAAAATCGACGCGAAAAGGTACCGTCTCAGCAGGGGCGGAGTTAGCTGGTTGACATTCAAAATCTGAACAGACTATAGCGATAAAATTTTGGGGGTATGAAAAAAAACACCAGCGAAAATTCAAACGGCGACTTTTCCGATTTTTTCATATTGCTAGAGAACTTTCCGACGGCTACCTTTCCGCTGAATTTTTTTCCGACTTTTTTTCTCGATAAACTCTTCGTTTTCAATCTTCCTTTAAAAAGTAGGCAAGTTATTCATGATTAAAACACAAAGAAATTGGAAAAAAATGTTGATAGATGTTTGATAAAACGAAAAATATTTGGGAAAAAAATTCGGAAAGGGATTTGGCCGTCGGAAAGTTCCCTAGCGATACGAAAAAAATCGGAAAAAGTCGCCTTTTGAAATTTCGTTGGCTTTTTCACACCATCAAAATTTTTGAGCACGCTCAGCCTTCTTTTTGACATTGTACAATTTTTGAAATTAAAACCTTAAAAACTCACATTAATCGTTCCAGTAGGAGTCGATTGATTATTGTTCCCAATTTTTGATAGTATGCTCGAACGTTCTTTCTAGAAAAAAATAATTTAAAAAAAGAATTTTTTTCAAATATCAAACTGCACTATTTGAAGTTGTCGTTGACCTCCATTGACTGATCCGACCAAGTTAGTTGTAAGCTTCCTGCAATAAGTTCAAGATTGAAAAAAAAAACAAGTCGTTTACATCATTAGAATCAGAATTTTTTGACTGATTAGCTATGTAAAGTCTCAAGTAAGTTAGGAAAGCTTTATCGAGTCAGAAAAACTAACTAGGCGGTGCGCTAGAGCTCCGCTCTGCCTTTTCATAACTAATCCTAGACGCCGAAGGCCGTGACGGCATTTTCCGCGGGGGTCCCATCATCGCTTTGTCAGTATCGCGCTGCCAACAGTTTCTGCTTCGGCCACAGGAATGGGCTTCAGCGTGACTTTGCGTATCCAGTTTGCAAGCAAAAAGGATCGGCACTCCGGGAGTCCCGCGGGCCTAATCTACTAGCGCTTATAGCTCAGAAACTATTTTGGCAGTTAGAACTTTATGGAAAACTTATCTTGACGTTGAAGAAACGAGACGAAGTCGTGAGGAAAGCAGAAATGATATTTGAACCCAGGTCACAAAAAGAAATGACGTGTTGTCACGTGGCTTTTGTACGTGTTTATTTTTTCGATATCCCACGGGTTCACGTTTTTTTGCAGAGAATTAAATCTTTTTTCTGAAAAAAGTGGGTCATATGATGAAAGTTGTCATCTAGTCTCTTTGACTTATTTTAAAACCGGTTTCGTGTAACTTAGAGTCAAATTGAATTTGCTAATGCAGTTTGAAGTTTTTTTATTATATAAATGGTCTTAATTACATTATTTTTTTGTAGTTTTTTTACGTTTATTTCAACTTGATTAAATATTCCGCCGTACAAGGTTTTTCTTTCTGCTTTTTTATTTATCAATTGTTTATCTGATACATGAATGATAAATCTCTTGTCAATTTACCTGAGGCCTGCTGTAAAAAAATACCGGAGGCTATTTTTTTATAATCACTTGAAGACTTTTGGACTCCGTTCCATATTTTTCGCTGTTTTTTTTCTTTATTTGACAAATAACTACGAATGTTTTCAAGATCGAGCCCTTGGCCCCGGTCGAAATCCCTTTCGTGTCTTTCGCCGTACTATGTCGCGATCCATCAGAAACGGTGAATCATCTCAAGACTTTTGTCAATTTTCCGTCTCTTCCATTTCAAGAGAGGGGAAATGAGTTGGCCGCGGCTGATCCGGTATGATTTTTCGGGGTCAATATGTCTATGAACAAGAAAGTTGCAGTTACGACCATCTTTAGCCATTCTGGCGCTGGGCCAGGTTACTTATAACCAATTTCTTTGGAGACTTCCACGGCTGCAAAAACTACGAAGAGATTTGGGTTTTGTTGACTTCCAGTTTTTTAATCAGGTGGGGTTTTGGCTTGAAAATTCGTTATATAAAAACACGATTTTCGCTATAGTCTGTTCTGGTCAGATTTTGACTGTCAACTACAATGTCGTCATTCGAAAACGCTCTGTAGACGGCTCGGTTTCTGATTGGTTCTTGACGTTTTTAGGGGCGGACCTTCAGCCACGAATTGATATTCAAAATTTGAACAGACTATAGAAGGCACTATTGGTTTGATATTGAACTGATAATTTTTCATTTTCGTTTTTAAGTTGAGGAGAAGAGGTCTTATTGAGGAAGAAAAACAAATGAAGCGTATTTTATGAAATTTTGTTCAGATCAGCGGCGATCCAAATGAGAATTTTTTGACGTCCTTGAAAGGTGTTGGAGATGATCAAAGCAGTATTTGGACGAATATGCGAGGTTTTTTTTTTCTGTTTTCAAGATTTTGAATATTTTCTGAAGTCCATGTGTCTAAAGAAAAAAAAAATTTAGAATCGAATCAATTTTGAAAACAATTTGAAAAGATAATTTTATTTTATTGTATTTTATTGTATTTTTCTAGAGGCCTTTTATTTGAAGAAAAAAAAATTGAGGATTGATTCGATTTCGAAAACTATTTGAAAAGATAATTTTATTGTATTTTTGAATGCACGGCCTAATTCTATAACGTAACACTGAAAAACTACCTTTTTTTCCAATTTTCTACAAAAAAACCCGACGAGATTGAGTGAAATTTTTCGAAAAAAATTTCAAAAAAATCACGTTATTCAAAAATTAAAAAAAGTTTTTAAATGTCCTAAAATAACACAGAAGTAGCTTTTCGCCTTTAGACCTTCTTGAAATGTGGCTATGCACCTTTAATAGCTTCAGCAAGTGGCTATGCTCCTTTAAAAGTTCTAGCTTTTTTCAAAGAGGATTTCAGACCGAGGCTGTGTGACCTTCCTAAACGATGATCAACAGTTGAAATCGCCTTTCGGCTCTTCTTCAGCCAGAAATCCCGAGTTCGACTACCATCCTCGAGCCTACCATCTCTACAATCAGCAGAACCTCGTCCAGCCCAAAGGAAACGGTCATTGTATGATGGACGGCAGGGTAAGGTGGCCAGACGCGTCGCGGCTCACTCGCGGTTTTCAGCTTAACGTCGAGGACTATTTCCGGGTGTGGCGTCACTTTCTCGTCAGACATCAGAAGAAGTGCCATTTCTCGATCACTTATCTGTCTGACGTCTCCGGCCACGAAGACGAGACATTGGGTCTTGCTGATGACGTCATTGTGTATGTTATCACTTTCTAGTATGGAGAAAAACATTTTTCTTTCGAATTACTGATTTATTGAAGTTTCTTTGCGATCCTACTCTCTATTTACTTTTTATTCTTCGAATTTTGAACAATATTCAGCTGATGACGTCAATTTTAATTTTATGACGTCATTTTTAACGAAAAAAATTTTTTTATAGTTAAAAAGTTATATAATTCAATATTTCGTCTCCCTATTTTTTTAAATTCCAAATTCATTTTCGAAGGATCTCTCCATGGCGATAAGACATTTTGTGACATCATTTTAAGCATTATGACGTCACTCTTTCATGCGAATGATTGAAAAAAAACGGCATTTTTTTTAAACTCGAAATCAACTTTCTGAAAATCAGTCTGACGTCTGCCTTCAATATTAAGAGGACGTTGACCTTCCTATGACGTCATTTTCTATTGGATGACGTCATTATGTAAGACATCCCAATAAGGATTCGAAAACACATAGCTGCTCTATAAAATAATTGAAGAAAGTCCAAAGGATGTCAAAAAAATCGCGAAAAAATGAAGATTTTCCGATTTCGAACTTACCGGAATAAGTTAAGATGTCCTGAAAGTGCAAAAAAAATTTAGGTCGTTTTTGAATGATTTGAACTCGCGTGGAATTTTAAACAGCACCGCTGTCGTTATTTTGTCCGATGGGAAATCTGGGTGGGTCTGGAATTTTTTTGACTATAGAGAATCTTTCGGTTTCAGGGAAGACTTGGAAAATAATCAAGGAGTTTTCATGGTTCGAATGCCGGATTCTTACAAAGATTCGTTTTCGGAAAAGATTTCCACCCTTGATTGGAATAGTAAGAGGTAAAAAAAAAAGAAATTTTCCGTTTTTTTAGTAACTCATTTTTTAGAAAGTGATCAAGTCGAAATCACAGCAAATTTGTCAAAAAAATTTTTGAAAATCGGTAATTTGTTTTTAAAAAAAGGGTCCTGAGACGATGTGAGCATTAGATTGGCGATAGAGGGGAAAATTCGAAATTTTACAGTATCCTAGAATTTTTTTTGAACTCCATATATGAAGTTATCAGTGAACAGACGATTTGAAGAGTTTAGACTGAATTTAAAATTTCAATCGTTTTGCTGAAAAAATGCTCGACTTACTTGATATTTCTTTGAAAATTTTTCCGCCTTGCTAGATCTAAGATTTCTTCTCAACCAATAATATTTTAGACTGATTTCCAATCTTGACGTATTCGAAACGCTTCGCGATATCTCCCTACCAGAAAAAGGTTCAGCAAAAATTTTCTCGAAAGATTTGAATTTTTGATCATTTTTAGGAAGTTCAAACTCTTTATTGTCAAAGAAATTGTCAAAAGAGCGAACTTGCCAAGATGCTGGTATAGATCTGAATCAGTGCTTGTGCAGAACGAATGTTTATCTTGAATCTACCAGAAGGTTTTCGAAAAAAATATATTCTTTTTTAAAAATCTGCTTCAGAGAAGTGGTGAAACAAGCCGTTGAGGAAGTCATAAAAAGCGAATTTTCTCCTTTAAAATGCATCCGACGAGTTGATTTTCCGGATAGTCCGGCTTATTGGAATGTTTCGATTCCTGGGGTCAGCATGAAGTGAGTTAAATCAGTTTTGCGCGTGAAAATTGGAGAAAACGTGTATTGAGTGCAGACACCTCGGCGTATAATTGCATGATTTAGAATCAATTTTTTTAGGAGTCCTTACAAAAGCCTTGTTTTTATCGAATTAACAGCAACTGTCGAGGCAATACCACGCCAAATGGTTGGAAGAGTTCCGAGAGAACCGGTGAGTTGGAAAAATATTGGCCGCACTTGGAATGGCTGAGAAATTTTTTGCTGATTTTTTTTTTGCGCAACGGAGAGCTCTTATGTCGTGTGGAACTTTATATGGAATTTTTCGATCTTCTTATTTTTCTGTTGTTAATTTCTACAGAGAGTTTGAAAAAAAGGCTCTAATTAATAATGTGTTTATTTTTCAAATGAAACTTCACAACGGAAACAAGCCCTGGAAAAATTCCAGAGATTTGAACGCAAGAAAAAATTACGTCTATTCTACGTGCGGCCACAGCTCTCAAATCAAGAAAAATAACGTGAACCTTGAATTTTTCCAGCTTTTTATCGATTTTTCGGCTGATATCCGTTTCGATTCCACTTCTATCGAGGCGGTCCTCGTAGGAATCAAAGCGATTTCTCGAGAGTTTTCGTCTTTCGACAGGTTTTTTAAAACATTTTTTCCAGAGTCTTCATTTATTTGTTTTTCCAGAATATGCGAAGAACTGTCCGAAACGGAAACAAAGGACAAGTGAATTCATCTCGATTTAGAAGTGAAATCAATTTTTTTCGGTGCTTTAACATTATCGGTTCAAATTATTATTTTTTCATGACAAGCTTTGATTTTTGTTTGTATATATGATTAAGAGTAATAAAGATTATTTTATTTGTTCGTTTTGAAGCTTTTTGTGGAGTTCTTAAGAGTCCTCTTTTTATCCTGCATATTTTTTTATTTTTCAGAAGAAACTAAAATAAATTTTTGGAGGCTAGTATTTTTTTCCATTTTTCCTTTTTTTAATGATTTGATTTGGAGCTAAGCAAAATGGACTCTAACTAAAAAATAAAACTGAAAATTTTAATTTTTTTCTTGAGCAAGTTCTCTAAAATTTAAAGATGCCAGTAGAAATCCTGCTTTGAAAACGTTTATATATTCTATTTTAAAAATAATTTTTTTAAACTTTGACACATCAATTATACTTATAAAGAACTAAAGACCGTTTTTTTAAATAAAAATATTTTTCCATTTATAGTTGAATTTCGGAAATTTAGAGATGATTTTTGAATTTCGCAAAGATTACTTTGAACACTGCATGTGTGAGAGCGCCGCAGTGCATGCACACGAAACACTACACTTTACGGAAAAAAATGTGGGCGGGGCGTCGGTAAAAAAAAATGCCGTGGGCTTTGAAAAGAAAAGAACTCATGAAAAGAAAGATATTCGAATCAGGATCAACTACTCCAAAAATCTTCCAAAAAAAGCATTTTCTCTTGAAATCGAGGGCCACAGATCAGTTTTTTTTTCCTCCACCCGCTCACCGATTTTCAATCGCCTTTACAACATTTTGGATAAAGTGACGAATTCATTCTCTTTTTTTTTGAGGCACAGGATTATTGGCACGTTCCCATCATAGAACGGGACCAGTAAGCCGCAAGGTCGCGGCGCCTCAGGCGCCATTTTTTTGTCCTTTTTAAAGAATTTATTGCGGATATTTTAGGCAAAAATGCTCTTTCTATTGCTGTTTCGTACTTTTAATCTTTAGGAACGTTAGAGTGGTCCCTATAGGGGCAACCTTAGGGGTCCTTCAAGTATCCCCTTTAAAAATCATCCGGAGTGTGTACTTAAAGGGTGCATTTTAGTGATCCCTGAGCTTGAGCTTGAGCCCTCAAGGGAGCCCTATAGGGTATTTTTTCTCCTTACCCCTTTAATGACCATTCTGAGGCTCCTAAGGCATTTTTCAGTATCTAACCAGTTTCAACTCATTTTCCCCTATTTTAGGCGGAATTTTGAAAATATGGTGAAGGGAAGAATTAAAGTTGTGATTTAGAAAATTAGAATCTAGTTCTCCCTGTAGAAGAATTACCATGCAGGGTGTAGGAAAAGATGAATTTTTATCTTGTTGAAGTTTCAAAAAATTATTTTCTGTCATTTTTCTGAAAGTTCGAAGGATAGTCACCTAATCAACAATTAACATTACACTGATACATGTGATAAATTAGTCCCATAAGCCTTTGAACTCGATGTTTTATGGGAAACTTCTGCTGTTTGGCACAACTGAGGCGTTTTTTCGGAAAGCTTGAGTCAACTTGTTTTCTACCCAAGGATCCTTTTTTCAGTTGTTTTCATAGTAATTGATGAATAATTTCAATTTTTACGGCCTGCGGATCTCTTGTAAGCCAAAATATCATTCTAACCGGCTGTAGGATAGACTAAAATCGAAGATTGAGTGAGTCTTTTGAACCAAAACCTCATGAGGAAGCAGATTTTTTTATAAATTGGATTAACATTTTTGAAAGAATTGCTCTCGGACCAACTTCCGCTGTTCTTTTGAACCAAAAATCTAATTTTCGAAGGTTTTCTAAAAATTTAGAGTTCGAAAGATCGACTGAAGGAAGAATGTTAGGACAGATATGGATCTTTAAATCGAAACCCAGCTATTTTTTTGATTTTGAGCCGTAGTTCCGAAGCTTTATTTGGTACAACCTTCAGTGATTTTTGAACCAAAGTATGATTAAATTTCCTTATTTATTCTCTAACTTTCGTCCTCAGCTTTTAAAAAGAAGCTTTTTAAAGTTTTTTCTAGTTTAAAAGCGATTCAGACCAACTTTTTCTGGTCTGTCAAGCCAAAATCTCATTTTCTTCTTCTTGATCATCAGATTCAACTTCTTCAACGAGGTTTTTCTTTCGAAAAATTCCAATTCGAAGTGTTAAATTTTATTCTGATCAACTTTTACCAGTTAAAATTTGATTAAGGAACATTGGGTACCTAAATTACGGCTCTCAAATTCTCAAATGAGGCATATTTTCGATTTCATAGCCACTTGCTTTTTGAAGATCCCATTCAGACCAACAGTTTTCTGGACTTTCAAGCTAAAATCTAATTTTTTACTAACCTAAATTATGGTCCAAAAATATATTCAGATATACATATTTTCGAATTCATTCCCACTTTCTCTTGGAGATTTCATCTTGACCAACGATTTTCTGGTCTTCCCTAGCTTCTTCGATGAAGTTTCCCTTCAAAAGTTTTCCAAGATCAAGTTCTAAATTTAATTTTTAACAACTTTTGGACGAAAATTCGATCAAAGAACACTTGGAAACCTAAATTTCGGTCCTCCACTTCCCCAAAGATGCAAATTTTCGAATTCCTCTGAAGATTCCATTCAGACCAACAATCTTCTGGTCTTCCAAACCGAAATCTCATTTATGTATGTATCTTCTCCGGGTGTTCCCCCCCACGAAAACTTCTTTCCAAGAAAGCATTTGTGTGCATCATCCTCGGAACAAGAGCCAAATTGTGTTTTTGGCCCCCCTTCTTCTCGCGATTCGTTTCCGCCGTCCCGTTTTTTTCCCCCCGTTTTTCTCGCCATCCTCAGGCTCAGAAGCCTGCCAGCCTCCAGAGAGCCCGCGACGAAATTGAACGTAAAAAGCAGAGGGGGAGGGAGAAAGCAGAGGGGAAAGAAAAAACGGCTAGAGGCTTCTTACTGCTTCGTCTTCGGGAGTTGCTGCAGCTCCGCCGCCGCCGCCTGTCGCTATCGATTGCGCCTTGGCTGCCGACGGAGCTGGAGGAGCTCGAGGAGCCACCTACTGCCGGCCACGCCCATTTTTCTAGCTCTCTCTCTCTCTCCCTCGTCGTCGTCGTCGTGTCCTATGAGGCGAAAAAAACGCCTTTGAACCTGCCGAACTTTCGGATTGCTTTGTTGTGATTTTCCTGGGAGTTTGTTTCAAAGCGCTTTGTTGGAATGAGCCGATTTTCATTTATCCACACTTCTCGATTTTCGACTCCTCTTCTTGAATAGAATGTCAATTAGAGCCTGAAAATGCTCAAAAATTGATAAATTTGGATTTTTAATTGGATTCGGAGCTTAATTTCTTTCTTCGTGGTGTTCTTTGAGGCGAAAAAAACGCCTTTGAACCTGCTGAACTTTCAGATTTGCGGTTCATTTTTTTTATTTTAATGGAGTTTGTCTTGAAAATCCGCTCTGTTGAGATCAACTGAGTCGATTTGGATTCTACTAAACTGAGCTGATTTTTCAGATCTTATCCTGTTACTGAATCCCAAGGAATCTATCATTTGTGAAAACTTACCTGATTTTCGAATTTTTCAGCTTTTGGAGCATTAATGGAATGTCTATTTTGTGATTATATCCTCTTATTTTTTTAAAGAATCCTATCTTTTTATTTTTTTAAACTTGTCTCTAACACCACATAACTAAAAAAATCGGCAGTATTTTTATTTTGAAGTTTTTTTGAACGATCAGCGACTTTGAAATTCATTTTTGGACACCTAGACAACTGTTGAAATTTTTTTTTTGGTTTTCAAAATTTTTTACTTGTTTTGAAGGTGTCATGTAGCTTTGAAGCAGTTGTCAATTGTTTTGAAGATTTTTCAAACTTTGGAAATGGTCCACTTCTGTTATGACTTGAGGAAAATCCAATATTCTTTTGAAAATTTAGAATTCTTGATTTTTTAAAATATCATTTCTTCATTTCAAATGAAAGATATATATATCATGAAAAAAGGATCTTCTTTTTAAAACTCCCGTCAAAATTAATTTCCAACAAGTATGTAGTTTGAATCAGGTCAATCGTTGATGCCCTTAATAGAAAAATTATGAAATGTTTTTTTGAGCAAACTACATTTTTTTCTCACGTTTCTTCTATTTTCACCTTCAAAAATCAATTTCGAAAAAATATGTAATTTGATCGTAATTTTTTTTTATCAGCTTGGGAGTTTATTCGTACCTTTCTTGGCAACAGTAGCAAGCTTACAACTCCAGATCCATTTTTCTCATTTCCACAGTATCCAAGTAAACAAGTCGAAATTGTTCGTTTCGAGACACCAAAAGAGCGATCGTTCGTTGAATCTCGGGTCGGGGGTGGCGGGGTTTTTTTGGGAGGGGTGGACGGGGATTTGCATGGCCAATGAGGATTGTGTCCAAAACACACACCCGACCACTCCATTCTCTTTTTTCGCATTTAGTCCCCTTAATTCGGTCATTTCGCCTCTATGGCCGTTTCCGGCAACACCGCCTACTACTGTAACTGTTTCCATTCAGAGATCAACGTTGGCTCATTTTTTTTTCAGTCGGGAAGCTTTTAAAGTGCGGACAGTTCTTTCTGAGCTTTGGTTTTTCAGGATTCAGACGAAAAAAATTCTCGAAAAATAATATTTTTTGAGCAAAAAGAAAAAAAAGCTGTTTTCTGAAGTCTCATTACAGTCATTTCTTGAAAAAAATGAGAAAAATTAGAAATAATCATTTTTTTCAAATTTTTCTCAAATGAAGTTTTTTTGAAGAAGATTTTTTTATTTTTGCTCGATCTTTGAATTTCTCAAGTTTTTCATTGATTTTGAGAAAAATTCCAAAAGCTGTAGGATTTAATTCCAGACTTTTTGAAAGATTGAGATTTTTCTGATCTCCCTTTTTACATCTTTTCCCTGTTGCGTTTTTATGCCGTATTTTTTCGCTATTTTTTTCAATTTTTAACATGGATTTTGAACCTTTTTTTAAAAGCAAATTTTTAAATATAACCATGAAAAAAATCGCGAAAAGCTTTCAAATTTGATCTAGAAATGATTAAAAAAAGCATCTATCATTTTTTTGCTAAACTTTTTAGTTTTTGATCGAGAACAAATGTTATTTTTAAGTTCAGATCAGCATTTTTTTTTTTATTAATTTTCAACTTTAATCTATTTTTTTAAGTTTTAAAATTTTTGGCTTGAACACAACTGTATGTTTCTTACTTATTTTTCAAAAACCATGGATTTTTCGAGTTTTTGAGGTTCCAAATTTTTTTCTCAACGGACTCATACTAATAAAAACGGCCACTTTCAGTTCCTCTTAATGTGGAGAATTTTCTTGATTTTTTGCTTCCTCTTTCTGAATATCTCACGACAAATGTGTTCCGATGAAAAAAAGCATTTTTTTTTTCTTGATGCGGAACTTTTTCCTTGAGACGAGACAGGGAAATTATTCCCACGCGCATTTTTTTTTTGAGTTTTTCCGATGGTTTCTCAAGTTTCTGTCATTTTTCATATTGAAAAATCAAAGTTTTTATTGAAAGTGGCGGGTTTTTTTGAAGAGAACACGAAGCTTTTTAGAGTTAAAAAAAATTTTTTTTCAGCGAAAACGGGTTTTTCTCACGGGAGATCTCTTTTTTTAGTGATTAGAAACCAATTTTTGGAGCTTCTGGAAAAAAATAACTTTTGATTTTTTTGAGGCCGATTTTTTTCTTGAAAAACGTTATTTACGAGATTTTTTGTATGAGGACATGTCTTGTTGATTCCTGGATAGGATGATTCTTTTAAAAATATTACTTGATTTTTTCCAAAATCAATCTTTCGACAAATGAACAGAAGCACGAAAAAAGCGAATAAGTAGTGGTTTGTTTTGCGACAGGGCGCGAATTCTCTCACGGATCATTATAAGCCGGATTATTCGGCCGTTTTCGTCGTGTTTTCCTCGTCACAGCCGCCGACGTTATAACCAAATGCTCATTATTTCTCAGTCAATCACGAAAAAAAGTATTTTTCTTGGGAAGGTAGCAAAAAAGAGAGATTTTGTGAAGATATGACCATTTGGAAGATAATAATTTGAACTTTTTCGTTTCTTGATCTTTGAAATATTAAAAATAGCGAAAGTAACACTGAAGATTGCTCATTTACATGGGAGGTCATTTTAGCGTAGCGTTCAGAACTTTCTCTAACTTTGCTCGAACAATCTTTAATGGACTGGCTTAATGGATACTCTTAAAAATTTCAACATTTCCATGAAAATTCATGAAAAAAATAGTGGCAAAAAAAACTTTAACGACAAAAGGAGCCGAACCATCGTCATAAACTCCGCAGGCTAACACGCTAGCCACTGCACCACGCTCCTAACTGCCGTGCAATGGTTGTTGGCGCGGCCAGATTCCTTCCAAACGGTGAAGCTTAGTCTACGCAAATTAACGAAAACTGCGGACCTTGGTCGTTTTTTTATAAATCTAGTGAAGCGTTAATTTTATGTTTTAATTCTCGAAAAAAATCACGGTACATGAAACTCTGAATAGAAATATCTAAAATTATACCTTTTTTTGACTTTCGAAAAAAATTTAAGGGCTGCTGATTATGCACATTTTTACATCAGTAGAAGCTTAAAAATCGTTCATTTCCTATTTTTTTAACTTTTTGAAATTCAAAGCTTCATATATTTATAATTGCCTCTTTGGAAAATCACTCTTTTCTAAATGTTCTGGGAAAAAAATTCTAGAGAATTTGGGTTTTTTTTTTGGCTTTGAAACACTGAGGACTTTCATTTCTGGACATTGTTTGAACAGTAGAAGCCTAAAAAGCGTTTTTTGTTAAATTTTTCAATTGTTGGGATTCTCAAAGACGAAAAATGCTCCCAATTAACAAACGAAACTGAGGATTGCTACTTTTGGACAGCTTTTGGAACAGCAGAAGCCTAAGAAAACGATCTTTTCTATCATGTTGTCCCTAATTTCCATTTCAAATTTGTTCCTTGTATCTTCCTTGACCCAGCCTTGTTCGATGGAAGAAATAATCCCTGTAAAATTCGGAGTTTGCACTCCTTTTTTTCCGCTCTGAAAAAGAGGCGAGGCAACAAAAACTTGCCCGAGGATCCCCGAGACCCATCCATCATCTGGATGTTTCGGCACATTTGTTCTCTTGCTCGGGCCTTCGAGTTGAGTTTATCAAGCGAGCGAGTTGTCTGAGAAAAGAGTTCTTCTCGGCAGAAAGGAATTTGATCAAGTTTTTCGTCAAGCTTCTGGATCTTGAAAGGAATATCCGTTTGAGAGCGTTTTGAGAAAAACGTTGCACAATTTGAGCTTAACTTTCATTGGTAAAATGAAGAAAAAACGTTGAAAGAAGGATTTTGGGCAGACTTGATACATTTAATAGTTTTTTTCAAGCTTTATTAAGAAAGCTTCTGGATCTTGAAAGGAATATCCGTTTGAGAGCGTTTTGAGAAAAAGTTGCGGTATAGTCAATGTTTCCCGACTTGAAAGGCGAGGGAGGCGGGGAAAGGGGCGAGGCGCGTAGCGTGTGCGTTCGCGGTTCTTGGCACGAGTTCAATTCAACGGCCAGCGAGCATTCAGAGAGCTCATTTATCGCTCTTTTCACTTCTTTTTTAATTATTTATTGATTATGTTAATTTGTGCATCAAAAATTAGTAGAAAATACAGAGAAAGAGCGGTCGCCGAGCTTTTTACATAGTCGGCGGCGATTGAATTGAACTGGCGCCAAGAACCGCGTGCGCACACGCTACGCGTCCCGCCCCTTGCCCCGCCTTCCTCCCCTTTCAAGTCGGGTAACATTGACTATATCCAAGCTTAACTTTAATTAGAAAAATGAAGAAAAAACCTCGAAAGAAGGATTTTGTGACAAGATTTATGATATGAATACTTTCCGCTACACAGTTTTCTAGAAACAATTTCCGATTTTGGCAGATTTTTCAACTTTTTGTCAAGCTTCATGGGAAAAGCGTCTGGTTGTTTGAAAGAATATCTGTTTTTGAGAATTTGACGGAGAAGCTGCTCAAACTGAGCTCAATTTTGATCAGGAAAATGAAAAATCCCGAAAGAAGGATTTCAAAAATCGATTTTTTGGAAAACACAACTTTTTACGGAAACTTCATAATTGGCCGTTTTTTTCAATTTTTTTTTTAATTTTGAAGTTTAACGTTTGAAATTTTTGAGTCCTTAAAATGATTGTATATTGGTTTTAATTGGACTAACACGATTTTAAGAATAAAAAAAAAGTGAATATTTGAATACAGTACTTTTTTTGGAGCTTTAATGTTAACCGAAATAATTTTTTTGTTTGAAGATCTAGGGCCTTGAAAAAAAGTTTTCAGTAAATCACTTATTTGTTCTAGATTTTCAGCTTCTATTGATATTTTTTTGAAGAAAAGTTTCAAATGAGAGCAGTTCTACTTGATTTTGAAGGCTTGGATTCTTGATTCTCGGTTTTTTTTAACTTAATCCTATTATGATTTTTAGCCGAAAATTCCACTTGGAAGTTGTAAAAAACCCTCTAGTGACCACTCTAATCGATTCCCAGCATTTCTGTGTAAAGTCCAAAGTTTAGACCACAACTGCGGCTGAACTTTTTATTTCTCTCTCTATCTTCCTAGAAATCTCAAGTTATTCATAGATAACCATCATCGCCGACAGAAAAAGGGAAAAAAAACGTTTTTGGCAAGGTTAACCGCCTCTTTTTTTTCTCTCCCTCATTTCTCGCAAAACCGACGGCCGAGAGTGTCGGGACCATTTAGCCGATGGCGGCGGTTCATGCGTGAAATTTCGTCTCGGAGGCCTCCCAGAGAGACCTGACTGATGTCATCCGATCGCCGTCTTTTTTCTACGTTTAGGCCTTTTTTCCTTGTTTTTTGGGAAAGAAGTTCATTTTTCATAGTGATTCTGAATGAGCATAAGATCTAGGTGATTGCCGCATATGTCTAAAAAAAATTTAGGGGCTCTCAAAAGTCGAAAATTTCAGTTTTACCGATTGAGCTGGAGGGGGCTGCAGATCTTGTCCCTCCTTGTAAGAGACAAGTTATTTTTTTTTTCTTAGATGAGTTTCTTGGCCAGTTACCTATATAGATCTGCTAACATAAAAAGACATTTTTTTCGGGAAATTATTTTTTTGATCTGCTGACCTTCAAAGGAGATTTCAGTGTTATATTCTTTTTTTCTTCAAAAATCGGTATTGTATCCGGCCAAATTTCAGAGTGAATATCTTGGAAATTTCAGGTTTGCAGTTTTCAAAGTAGGAAGCTTTGGACTTGGTTGTGAAAGAAAATGAATTTTGGAGATTCGAGATGACTTGAAAAATGATAATTTCATATTCTTTCCGTTGTTGACTTTTTCTAAATTCTTTTCAAGCTTCAACCAATCAATATTTTTTTGTTATGAAGCTTTTTTTCTATACCGAAAAAAAGATTTTAGACTTTCCAAGTCGATTTTTTTGGTCTATAAGCTTTCTAGAAAAAAGATTACTCAAACAAACTAAAAATAAAATTGACCTTTTCTAAAAGTTTCTTCTTGCAAGTTAGTGATCAAAAAGATATTTAGGAACTCCGAAGGAGGGTTCCCCTCTAGGGACCACGTTTACCAACCCCTACAGGGGCCACTAAGGCTTGCAAAAGGGGTCCCTATAGGGACAGCTACTAGATAAATGATATAAACTCTGAGCGAAGAAGCATTTTCATAGGAAAAAGTCACTTATTTTAGGAAATTCCGTTTTTGGAAAAGAAACTTTACGTTTCTTTGGTCTGTAGCATAATCCCTCAAGTTATCACTTAAATGTTTCTAAACTTGAGATCTCCAGATTTAGGGGCAACTTTAGGGGCCTAGGGACCACTTTACCAACCTCTACAATGGCCACTAAAGCTTGCAAAAGTGGTCCCTATAGGGCAGCTTCTCGATAAATGTTATGAACTCTAAGCGAAGAAGAAATTTCATGAGAAAAACTGAATAAAAATATGTTTTTTGAATAAATAGCAGAAACCCCTATAGGGACCACTTGAGGTTCAGGGGCTAAGGGACAAGACTCTAAACCCCTATAGGGACCATTCTGGAATTTTTAAGTATGCGTTCCTTTTCAACCACCTTAAGAAATAGTCCCTGACAACTCCGGAGCTTGTTGTCAGGATTCCTGTCCGGAAAGCAGTTTTAACTCTCGGCTGCTGATGGCGGTGGTTGTGGCTGTGTGTGTGACGGTGGCAAAAGACGAAAGAAGGCGCTGTGTAAAGCCTCGCCGGGGGCTCTTCCCTTCCTCTCCCTCCAGCGGCGCCGTTTTCTTTCCGGATGTCGGCTTTCCCTTGCCTTTGCCACTACCACCAGCAGCAGCGGCACAGCCACCGCCGCCGTCGTGTTGCCAATTCCCAATGCGACCCTTCAAAACGCTCTTTTTTCCGCCCCTTCTCCTCAAACTTCACGTTTTTGAAATGCTTGAAACGACTCAAACTAGACACTTCCGAACAGTTCCTTACTTTGCTTTGCGGTCCTCAAAAATGACCAGATGACTTCCTGATGTACCAAAGAAGATTATGAAAGTCTCAACCTGCTCAACTCCCTGCTTTTCGAGAAATAGAACTCATAGGCCAAAAATAGCCCGTTTTATCAGTTTTCCGTACTGCTCTCTGTAGTTTTATACCGCTTGAAAAACGAAAAAAGACTTTTTTCAACTTTTTCACCTTAAACTTCACGTTTTTGAAATGCTTGAAACGACTCAAACTAGACACTTCCGAACTGTTTCTTACTTTGCTTTTTGGTTTTGAAAGATCTACCAAAAGAAGATTATGAAAGTCTCAACCTGCTCAGCTCTTAGTTTTCGAGAAGTAAGGACTCTAGGCCAAAAATGGCCTGTTTCAGCAGTTTTGGGACTGTTTTTTAGTTAATTTTTACCGCTTAGAAAACGAAAAAAGACTTTTTTCAACTTTTCCACCTTAAAATACACGTTTTTGAAATGCTTGAAACGACTCAAACTAGACATTTCCGAACTGTTCCTCATTTCACTTCTCGGTCCTGAAAGATCTACCAAAAAAAGATTCTGATAGCCTCAAAATGCTTAACTCCCAATTCTCGAGAAGGGAAGACTCATAGGCCAAAAATAGCCTGTTTTGGCAGTTTTGACTCTGCTTTTTAGTAGATTTTTACCGTTTGAAAACAGCCTTTTTTCGATTTCTCCATCTCAAATTTCACTTTTGCGAAATTGTTGAAATGACTCAAACTAGGAATTTTGGGACAGTGAAGTCCATAGCTCATCATAATCGTTTTGAAGGGTTCAGTGTTGATAAAAATGTTTAGTCTTATTGTTTTTCCTTTCGATACATCGTTGTTTGATGATTTGAAGTTACTTCGATTCTTTTGTCCTTTTCTAAAAATTAGTGTCTTCGAAATGCTTGAAATGAATCAGACTAGATTCTTCCGAACAGTTGCTCAAATTCCGTAAGATCCGAGAGGTACTTTAAGAGATCATGATACAAATTCATACAAAAAAAAACTGCGCCTTTCACTTTTTCTTAAAGCTAGAACGCCTCAAATATACTGAAACACTCTTTTTTTTTCTTCAGGTCGCCATTTTTTCTGTTTCTTCCGTTTGTCAAGCTCTCCGTCTTTGAATGCTTGAAACGTCTCAAAAGAGATACTTCTGAACAATTTTTCATCATTTTCCGGTTAAGAAATAGATGAAACTTTGCTAAGAGGTACTTTAGAACACCCTGATTTCAAACCGGTCTGAAAAATATACATTTTGTCAGCATATAACTTCTTTTTTTCTCCTCACTGAAATGGTAGGAATTAACCTTTGAGGCTTTATAACTCCAATTAGAAGGTCTTTAATCGACTTGTTTGAAATTAAGGTGTCCAAAAGTACCTTTTCATCCATCGAATTTTCAGCCGGAAACTTTTTTTTAGTGTCCGAAGTTTTTAAAAATTATCACTAAGATCGATTCTTTTTTTGAAAAATCAAGCTTTTAGAGCTTCTCCTGGTCCAGAAGACGTTTAAACTTCTGAAGGCCATATCTATCCAATATGAAGTTCGATCGGTTTTTATGCGCAGCTAACTTTGAAAGTGCGGCCGACCCAATACGACTTGCGCGCTTTGGCATCGGAAAGAACAAGATAAAGCCGCGACTCTTGCAGCCATTCCGTTTTCAATGTTCCAAAGGATTAAAGGCAAGAAATCTGCAAATTCGCGGGTTTCGAGACAGCTTCGCGTGTCAATAACTCCTCAGAGAAACCCCAAAATTAATAAAACACAAAAAATAAGTGGTACGTAGCCGGAAGCGTCTCTTATGAGTCAGAAAAAAGGAGAAATTGATGGTTACCCCACTGAAAATTCTCCCTTTTCTATTTTCCAAGACGAGCTGAGGAAGGAAAGGAAAAATTGGAACTCCTTGTTAACACATCCAAAAATATCCTTTCTTTTCCTTCTCCTCGAAGGCAATCAGACCCGTCTGGCAAAATAGAACTTCTCAAAGAAAAATGAGATATACTAGTACTAAATTTTTTTTTTTCGAAATTTTTATTTTTCTGCCCTTTTTTTCCAATCGACTTTTTGAACTTGTTTGGTCTCCAACTACTCAAAATTTCAAATAATTGGAAGATTATAGACTAATTGAGCTTTGTGCCCCCCTTCAATCTTAACTTTGAAAACCGTAGATTAAATGATCAAAGGATCAATATACGGGAATCCCTACCTTATTTTCACTAGGAGCTAATTTTTCTCCCTCTCTGCTGGATTTTCATTCTCTCTACCCTGATTCTGCCTCAAACTAATTTTTTAAAAATCCCATCCGACCTTGAAACGGTTTGCGCAAAACTCCATGTTTCAACATTTCTGTTACATGAACTGCGGGGCGATCGTCGCAACGCTGTGAACCACCTTTTCAAGGATATTCATCATCAAAACTTGAGAAAGTTCTTTTAAATTGAATGCTCGATTATTATAATGGTTTTCGTGTTCTATCATTATATTTCCCTGCGTCTTTAAAAAACTTCACCAACTTTTATTCTTTTAAAAAAGTCTGACCATTATGAAAAGCGCTTTTGGATATTATCTGTTGGATTTGATGATATTCTGTTTAAAAAAGAATCTAGCCGTTTCTTAAAAAGGCGAATGGATCATATCCTGTGTTTTGAAAGTCCTTCCAAAGTTTGAAAAAATCCTGACAAACTTTTAATAGCACCTTTTGTAATAGAAACTTATTTTTCAAGGTAGTCGAAATGCTTTTTTTTTCATTTTTATTGGCTTAACCGTTTCTCGTTCCTTGTTCCTGTTCATAAAAAATCTTCATTCACATTTTTATTGCAGAAATCGTCCTTTGGAAGACGTTTTTTCGGTTTGGTTGGAATGGCTCGGCGCTGCGACGAATGGCTATCGTGTTTCGCGTTTTCCCATACAAGGGTCCATTTCCCGTCTTTTTTTCCCCTTCTCCTCCTGATTCTATTGTCTTTTCTTTCCTGGTTCTCGCCCGTTGCCCTGGGACTCGGGCCCGAAACTTCTGGATTTGACATTCATTTTAAATTTTTTGGCGAACGGGGCAGAATTTATTTATTGCGTTGACGACGTGGCTTTCAGCTCATTTTTCTGAGCAAAAATGGATTTTCCGTAGTTTTTGCTGGACCTTGAGCTTTTGAAACACGCTATGGAGCTCTAGAGCGTGTTTTGAACTTATTTTTTTGACGTTGGTGAACAGGCAGAATTTATTTATTGCGTTGACCACGTGGCTCATTTTTCAGAGCAATTATGGATTTTTCCATGATTTTTGCTGGGCTTTGAGCTTTTGAAACACGCCCTGGAGCTCTAGAGCGTGTTTTGAACTTATTTTTTTGACGTTTGCGGACGGGGCAGATTAATTGCGTGGCATTTTTCAAAGCAAAAATGGATTTTTCCGTATATTTTGTGTACAACTAGATTCAAGGATAGGGCTTTTCGAAACACGCTCTGGAGCACTACAGTCCAAGAGCGTGTTTTATAAACTTTTTCTTTTGACTTTTTCAAAGCACTAATTGATTTGGAAGGTCTAAAACTACCTTATTTTTAACCCAGTTTCGAAGGAAATTAGGCTATCAATCTTATCTTGAACAATGGATGGAACAACTAAGAGCTTTTAAAAAAAAACTATATTTCGTTTAAAATTCTTGAAGGAGTTTTTGAAGGAGCATGAGCCTTTGTTTAAAACGATCTCGAGGCGGAAATCGCAGTCTCCTGCGCCTTTAAATATTTTAGCAAAAATGTTGAATCCTTTTTTGAACTCCCCGAAAACTCTAGCCGTTGGTGAATGAACCATAATCTTGCTCTTCAAAATCAAGGCAAAAGATTGATAAAAAGCATTTTTGCCCCATTAATCATTACCGATAAATTTAGCACACACAGGGCCCTTGCGTCGTTTACAATAATCGCCTACGTCATTGCCAGCTTTTGGCGGCGATCATAAAAAAGCGTCGCGATTTCTCATGTTGATTTTTCCATCGGCTCTTTGTTGACTTTTTCGCTGATAGCGGAGTCCCTTTTTGACGTTTCTCCGTTTGGCTTGCGTCGATCAAAGTGTTTGTCGCCTTTCAAACTTACGCAAGTCCCCCCTACAGTCCTTCCCATTGGCACCCTTCAGGCGACCTTTGGCCATTTTCGTACTTTTGGTACCAAAGAGAACCCTTATAAGGCCGGATTTTCCAAAATAGAAGGATTTATTTTTTTGTACTTTCCATTGACAAAAATTTTTTTCTTCTACAGGGAAAAAAATCCCTTATGAAGCCCGGTTTTCGAAAAATGAAGGCTTTGTTTTTTTTTTGTAACTTCCAGCAAAAGTATTTTCAGAAAGAGGACTTTGAGAATCATGAAAAATTTGCTGAGGATTTTCGACTATAATTTCAAAGTTCTGCGATTTTTGAGATGAGCGGTTGATTCGAAATTTGAAGTTTAAAGTTGATTCTAAGTGATTTTTGTACTTTTGACACACGAAAAATCGTCTCTTCTACAAGAAAAAACCCTTGAAAAAGGTACGAAATGTAGCGAAACTCCAACTATCCTTCCTGACTTCTCTGCGCCCTCCTTTTTCCATGTTTCTATGACCACACCGGTGAGGGAAAATATGGCGCAGACAGGCTAGAATCTCTGGAATGAAAGAAATGATAAAAATAGTTTCAGCAACTCCAAATTTTCAAGAAATTAATTTCGTGGTTTTTCAAAGATTTTCAGAAACAACACTTTAAAAATAATGTACCATAAAGTTTCCTGCTAAAGATTTTCGACTAGAACCTCGAAATCATGCGGTTTTTATGTTAAATTAAGCTATTTATTTGAAAGTTCAAAGTTGACTCTCTGTGATTTTGGATTCACTATAAACTGATTTTTTTGGTTTTCGAAAAAAAGCTTTTTCTGAAAAAGATTATTTTTTTAATTAACCAATAATTCTAGTGCAAACTCATTAGAGCTCATATACTCATTACTTGGAATATTTTCACGTATTATTTTTTTAATTAAAAAAATTGTTTACTCTGAATTTTTCTGTAATAATTCTTCTAATTCCTATGACTGAATCAACTGTTTTTCCTCTATTTTCCTATTGTTTTGTTATTCTCTCTTTTTTCCAGAGTTCGTCGATCGCCTAGATGTTGACTAACCTTATTAATTCATGAATGGCTTTTGTTGCCTTTTTGCGTTTTATTTCCAACAAATTCGACCTTTTTCTCATCCTAGAGCAGCTCTGAAAGCTGAGGAAAAAGTTGTGAGATTGGAAAAAGCGGGGAAATTTTCGAGGCGAATCAAAAATTCTGGCGTCAACCGCCAGAAAGAAAACGAAGAAGGCCCTTTTTCCATATTCAGTTTTTCTTCGGCCTTTTCTGAAGGTCGGCTTCTTTTTTCGCACGCCTTTTCCGTAGCTTTTTGAATGGGATTTTTCTGATTTTGTTGGAAGTTTTCATGAGATAAATTGTTATAGACTAAAGAACCAACACAGCCCTAAAAATGGTCTCGAAAAGACTTTTTTTCAGCCATTTTATACCCTTTTTTGTCACTTTTTGGAACCTTTCGACATTTTTCAATTTTTCAAATCCTCTTGTAGAACTTCTAGCTTCAGAATTGGATCAAAGAATTTGCGAAAAGGTCCCAAAATTGGAGTAGATTTGTTCGAAAAAGGCCCCTATTCTCTTGGCGACTATGAAACCAGTAGTACCTCAAAAAGGGCCTCGAAAACACTATTTTTCAGTCATTTTTCACCCTTTTTCTGCCCTTTTTCAACCTCCCGGCTTCTTTTAATTTTTCGAACGGTGTTATAGTACTTCTAGTCTGAAAATTGAACCAAAAATGTTGCGAAAAGGTCCCGAAACGGCCATGAAATGGTTTAAAACAGGTCCCATTCTGTTGTTGAACTCCTTGGTGACAAAGTTCAAAGCGTCAATTAATTTCTGATGACTGGGTTTTTAGTACTTTGAAAGTCAAGCCTTTCCGAGTTTTGAGTGGTTGGTATTTGATTTCGCGTTTGTGCGCCAAAATGTCAAACGATACCCCCCTATTTTTTTACCCGTGTTTACCTTCCATGTTCCCCTCGTTCCAACCGGCACTCAAATACACATCGATCCTTCTTTTAAACTTGAATCTGTAAAATATTTAGTCTTTAGAAGAAAGATCAAAGTTCGTTTCAATTATTTTCGCCCCTTCAGCTTTTCCGAAAACATTGGGAAATGTTGCAGAAGCGTTCATTTAATGGGCCATAAAACTCATCTCAGCAGAGCTCTGTTTTGTTTCGAAAGCAACAATTCGTGAAAAATACTTCGAATAAGGGTCCCTAAGACCTTGAAAAAAAGAAACTTGGAGAAATATCTTCGGCTTCTCAATAAATAATTTAAGCACTCAAATATCAGAGCTATGGTTTTTTTTTTTGAAGTATCAGTTCAATTTTGGGATTGTAAAGTTTCGCAAGTACGACAGCATGTTCAAAAAATGAAATATATCCACTTGAAATTTGTAAAAATGCTTGCTTCTTGTTGCGCCCGACCTGAAACGGTTTGCGCGCCGTAAAAATGTAAAGTGTGATTTCGGCCCAAGTTTCAACTTTTTTTCAATTTTACAATTTTGAACTCATGCAGAAACGACTGAACATCTGAAAAATGCAATATATCCACTTGAAATTTGTAAAAATGCTTGCTTCTTGTTGCGCCCGACCTGAAACGGTTTGCGCGCCGTAAAAATGTAAAGTGTGATTTCGGCCCAAGTTTCAACTTTTTTTCAATTTTACAATTTTGAACTTATGCAGAAACGACTGAACATCTGAAAAATGCAATATATCTACTTGAAAGTCGCAATAATGCTTGATTTGAGTTGCGCCCGACCTGAAACGGTTTGCGCGCCGTAAAATTGTAGAGTATGACCTCGGCCCAAGTTTCAACTTTCTTCCAATTCAGTGGTTTTGAACTCATGCAAAACTGCTATTTTCTGCAATGTATCTACTTGAAATTCCCAAAAATGCTTGATTCGAGTTGCACCCGACCTGAAACGGTTTGCGCGCCGTAATATTGTAGAGTATGATTTCGGCCCAAGTTTCAACTTTTTTTCAAGTTTACAATTTTGAACTCATGCAGAAACGACTGAACGTCTGAAAAATGCAATGTATCTACTTGAAAGTCGCAATAATGCTTGATTTGAGTTGTGCCCGACATTAAACGGTTTGCGCGCCCTAAAATTGTAGAGTATGATCTCGGCCCAAGTTTCAACTTTCTTTCAATTCAGTGGTTTTGAACTCATGCAAAACTGCTATTTTCTGCAATGTATCTACTTGAAATTCGCAATAATGCTTGATTTGAGTTGTGCCCGACCTGAAACGGTTTGCGCGCCTTAAACTTGTAAAGTATGATTCGGCCCGAATTTCAACTTCTTTTCAATTTTACAATTTTGAACTCATGCAGAAACGACTGAACATCTGAAAATGCAATGTATCTACTTGAAAGTCGCAAAAATGCTTGATTTGAGTTGCGCCCGACCCGAAACGGTTTGCGCGAAAAACGTCGCTTTTTGAACTTTTCGAGTTTAAAATTAAGTCTTTTTTTCGATCTTCCCATTGAAATTGAGCTCATTGATTCCAATGAGAATGTCGAATTTCTCAAGTAGATCAAAAGGAGAGATCATTGCCCTCTGACTCGTATAATCCTCCGTCGTTTACCGTGACATACGCACTTTCCCAGCCGCCGGCGACAAGACAAGTCCCAGATGCGTGGCGACAGAAACAGCTGCGGATGGCGGTTATAAACAAGGCTCGCAATGTGGCCGCCACTGCACAAGGTACATGAAAACCGAAATTCCGACAAATTTCGTTTTTTCATTGGTTCATAGGAAGGGAATCGAAACTTAATGAAAAATTGACGAAAAAAAAATTTTGCTTCTATAAATTTATTTTTTAAAGTTTTTCACAATGAATTATGAGCAAAATAGTGTCTTAGGAGTTTCAGAGTGATCCCTAGAGGGGTTAGGGGGATAAAAATATTCTATAGGGGTAAAATCAAGGTGGTCCCTATAGGGCTCCAGGGTCTAACTCCTGAGCCCCTAAGGCTTTAGTGGTCCCTATAGGGATTCATTTAGTTTTTCGCATGGAAATGCTTCTTCGCAAAGAGTTCATAAAGATTATCGACTATTTGCGAAAAAAAAACTTTCCAAAAAAGAATTATTGGCAAACACAGAAGTATCGTGGTAAAATAAGAGGGTTTAGAGAAAAAAAAAGCGATTTTCTATCAATTTTTTTCGCTGATTTTTGGCTCTTTAATTTCAAAGTTTATCTTTTTCCCATCTGATCTTCCAGTGGTTTCAAGTTTCAGACTCGTTTTTTTTCTCTCTGTTTATTCTGATCTCATTTTGTTGACCCGGAAAACTGACTCATCTTTTGTGGGTTTTGCTCTTCAGTTTGAGATTTTTCCGAGTTCTTTCATTAATTTCATGTCGTAGATCATGAAGGTTTTTTAAAATTTCAACAAAAATCCGGAAAAACAGGGATTTTTCAATTTTTTAAAGGAACATAAGCATATAGAAGACCTTCAAGGTTCCATTAAAAAGCTTAATTTGAGTAGTTTTTTTATAACTCAAAAACGCAATTTTCAGGACAAAACGTTTTAGCTTTATTCAGAGTTTCGAGCCCCTTAACATCATTCAAAACTCGCAAAAACCAGAAAAAAATCTAAATTTATTAAATAAAAAGCTCTAAATTTTAACGGCTTTTTTTGTAATCCTGTCCTTTTATCGCCCCAACCACCACCATTACTCGACGAATTACACTGGCCGAACGGTGTAATTCCTGCCGGAGATCGGCTCCGACGCGGCTCGCGTGGCGGTCAAATCGGAGGGGGCACAAATGAATCCCCGCGCGTCCCCCGTACAAACAAACGCGCTCCGACGGCAATTGCGCCGGACCGCCTTTTCTCGTGGTCATTTGATCTTCTCGGACAGGCGTTCTTTCTGTTTTTTCCGTGTTTTACGAGGGTTTTATGCCGTGTTCAATTTGAATCCGCGAAATGCAAAATACCCGTTAGAGAAAGGAAAAGATCACTAGATTTTGGAGAGTCAGAGATCATTTTGCATTTCGCGGAAATCAAATTGAACACGGCATTAATGTTTTTCATTTTCTTTAAATGAAAATTTGACCTTTTTATTCTTGTTCGATAGATTTTTGGAAAAAGTACCATGTGTCGTTTTTGCAGCAGTTTTTCTAACAGTTTGTCATGTTTGATTTCAAAAAAAGTCATTTTTATTGAAATTTGAACATTTTGAAATCCATAAAAAAATTATCGGACAGGCGTTCTTTCTATTTTTTTTTATGTTTCACAAGAATTTCAGTGTTTTTTTAAAATTTATTTTTATGGATTTTTTGGCAGTTTTTATCCTTATTTGATAGATTTTAGCTGAAAAAAAGTACCGTTCGCCTTTTTTTGAACCATTTTTTTCCAGAATTTTTATTCCAAAAAAATGTCATCCTAAGTGAAAAAAATGCCCGTTTTTTTCTACCTCTTCAAATTTCTTTTGACCGTTTTTTCGGAAGTTGGATCACATGCTTGATCAGATTCTAACGAAAAATGAATAACTCATCTTTAAAAAATACCAAAGTTCTTATTTTTCAAATGTATAATGTACTGAAGGCTCATAGTGGTCAGGATCACTATCAATTTATTTTTTTTCTCGATTGTTTTTTTCATTTATTTATTTTTTTACCAGCCTGGATTGTTCAAAAAAAGAGGCTTCAAAAAGATTGAAAAGTTAAATCATGAGAAATTTGTCTCAACGATCAAAGCTTCAGCTGGGAAAGTTAAAATTCAGAAAATTTCGAACTTTCAGTAAGAATCCTTCCTTGTAAACTTCTAAGAAAAGCCCAGTTTTCAAGAAAAAAGGACCCTCTAACCAAGCTCATTGAGGTCTCAAAGCGAAAAGTCGTCTTTTCAAATTACCCAGATTTTTTCCATGTCAGACAGTTTTTGCATTTGAGTCAGATCCACAATCCTTCGAAGAAAAGCACAATTTCCCTTCAAAAAATATCCCTTTTCTTCTCTCCGGACGATAATTTCACCGGCTGAAAAATGGAGCCTATTCAACGGCTCCTCCGTTGCTTTTCATGTCCCATCCTTTGCCAAAGGCCCCAATTTCCTCGCCCAAACTAATCATTTCGTGAGGAGAGAGAAGAACATGCATGGATACATATTTATTTATGTATTTTTTTTCTTCTCTTTCTCTCTCTGTCGTCTGGCCGCCCATAAATTACATTTGGCACCACCACATCCGATCGTTTTCGGAGATAACTCCTAGGTATATGTCCTAGAGAATTTACGGGCCACATCACGTCATTCGTTCCTTTTTTTGCAAGATAGCCTTTGCACTTTTGATTTTTTTCTAAAAAGTTTTTTTCGTATTTTTTTATTGGGGGGGCTAAGGATTTTTTTGGAGGAGGAGTGCCTGAGGATGTTTAGGGGGGGACTTGAGGTTGTTTTTAGGGGGGGTGAAAGGATGTTGAAAAGCTGGGGAGAACCTAAAAAAATGAAGTTTCTTAGAAAGACTGGGATATGCTTTAATATTTTAGAACTACAAGTGAAAAGCATAATAAGAGGCTCGAAATCCGCCAGAAAAAAACTTTAATTGATGGTAGTTTCGTATTTTTCAATGATTGGTTAGGGTTCTGCGCATTCTTTCCCAGTAACGAGATTTCCTGGAACTTTTTTTTTTTCTAAGATTTGAGAAACGTTGATATAGTTTAGAAGAATTTTGAAAAAAATAATTGTTCACTAGTTTTTGATATCTGTTTTTTTCGAAGTTTTGGACAAGTAAAGGTTTGCGGTCTAGATATTTTTAATTTAGAAATTTCAACCAGTTGAAGTTTTTTTAAATCAGATCTTTTTGGATATTTTTGAAGCATTTGAATTATCACTGTTTTTGAGGCGTTGATACGTAAATTTTAGGTTTTTTTTGTTCCTAGAGCCAAACTTTGACAAGTTTTACGGTCCGGAAATGAGTTTAAAAGAATATTCATACTCATTTTCGGCTTTTAATAACTGAAAACTCGTGTAATCTGGCTTTTTGAAAGATGACTTTATTTGCCCCGAGCCGCGGTACCTCAAAAAAAGACTCTTTTTGTCCTTTCCCTGAATAGAAAACGTGAAAAAATGCAAGCCTTTCCAAACTTTTATCGACTTTGAACTTAAATTTTTTTTTAAAAGACCATTTTCAACAAACCCGTTTTTTTCTGTACCTCAGAAAAAGTCTTTTTTTTTGCCCTTTTTTTCAAATAGATATTATTGGGAATTACGTGGGGAGAGCACCCGACTGAATGCAACTTTTTGTTCCACCCAACCGAACTTAATCTCCATTCAAGGCGAAAGCGGCCTTATGTTGCACATTTTCTGGTGCTCCACGGGCGGGAAACTCAAAAAGGGAAAGAGAGAGAGTATTGGCCAAAAAAAGGAAAAAAAGAAGAAACGGCACTCTCGACACACTCAAACTCACGCCTCGTTTTTGAGGCGAAGAAGGAGTGGTTTGGCCCAAAGCCCTGCATGTTATCGATTTCGAGAAGGTTTTGGCCTCCCCCTACTCCCTCTATTCCCATTTTCTTTATTTTATTTTCTTTTTTGTTCGAAGAAAGTATAATGTTTATGGCGGGTTCATCAGATAAACGGAACATGCTTCAAAACAAAAAATTGTGTTCATCGGCGCGCCAAAGTTGCTCCAGTACTAATTTTTGTTTTGGAGAAATTTTTTGCGTTTCGATTTCGAAGCAATTTTCGTTCTGTCCCATGAACACGCCATAACTAATTTTTTCCACTGTTTATTTCATTTGTTTTGGCTTGTTTATCAGAGAAACGGAGCATGTTTCGAAACGCGAAGTTTTTTTCTGTTTGTTGTCACGAAATTACTCTAGAACTCTAGAATTTTTTGAGCAAAGGTCGATTTTTCATAAAAAAATGTTTTGAGGTAGATTTTTTTTTGGCGGCGCTATTTGTAAGTTCAGAAACAGCTTTTCGTGTCGAGACTTTTTTTAAAATTTGTCTATATTCCTTTGATAAGCCCAGTGGTGAATTCCAGTGATTTTTTTGCTCTTCTGAACGGAAATAAATACCTTACTAGCCGTAAAAAAAGCTATACGAGTGAAATTTTAGAACAAAAATCGTGTTGCTTTTTTTAAAAATTCATTTTTTTAAGACCTTGGAAACAGCTCTGCATGTATGGAAATTTTACAAAATTTATATTAAATTATCTTTTCTTTGAATCAAAGAAAACAAATTTATAACAAAAATCCGAAAATTCTGCTAAAAGACATATGAAAAGCCTTTTTTTTCTTGCAAATACTCATTTTTTCAAGCCTTTGTGACCGAAAATGTCCCCAAACTTGTAACCTCTCCAATGCCACCAAGATTTCCGTGTCAGCCCCTTTTTTTTCTATTTTTTCCCGCAAAAAAAAAAATCAGAAACAAAAAGGTTTGTTTGTGTCGACGGCGGCGGTGTGTGTTTGGTATTGACATTTTGACGAATCGCTTTGCCCATTGGGCCTCGCGTTTTGTGTTTGAATTTTTTGGTTTTCTCATTTTTTTTTTCCCCTGCCCGAAAGCAGTTCCACACAATCGACGTTTACTCGACTCAAAAATTCGTGGTTTTTGCGTTTTTCCACGCTGAAAATGTGCAGTTTTGCGTGAGGAAGCCGACGCCACCTGTCAACAGGCGTCCTTTCTTTTTTTTTTCCTCCTGCCATTTTTTGTTTACCTCGGCTTTGGTTACTTTTCAAAAAATCCGCGTTTTCTTAAAATATTGTTGAAATATCCTTGTTTTCCTGTTTTTCCTTGTTTTTGTTTAAAAACGGCCCTCGAAAATCCATGTCAAGGAGTTTGAGCGATTTTTTTTTTGAAAATTCTCAAATTGTGACAGTTTCTGTGTTAATTTTTTAAAGAGAACGTTTCAATAATTTTCAATATTCTTTGAGTTTTAAGCCAGGGATGTTCTTTTGAAACTCAGAAAGTGTATCGATCAGAAAAAAATACTGCAGAAAACCGGGAAAATTCGAGAAAACGACCGCTTTTTCGAATTTTTCTGCCTTTTTCGTATATATCTTTGAATATTGAGCTTCTGTCTATTATTTTCCTCTAGATATCATTGCTAAAAATTGCTAATTTGTAAAATTTTTCTTTTTCATTTTCACGATTTTTTTGAACTTTTTTTGCTTCTCATTTTTCTGCCAAAAATTCAAACAAAATATTAAGTTAAGTTCAATTTTATTGGTTAGAATGACAAAAGATAAAAGAGACGTTTTTAAATTAATAATTTTCGCTTCAGAGCACACTTTCTGCAACTTTCCGCCCGCCAAGTTCAAAGTTTTTTTTGCTTCCGCTCATTTTTTTTTTGATGTGTTTGTTTTGTTCATTTGATATATATAGCTTTCACTCAGTCTCTTTGAAATTGAAAACATTCCCTTTTCCTACTTTTTCTTTTTCGAATAAACTACAAATCTACGTTTCAACTTTTATTTTTTGTTTCTCCTTCACCAAACAAACAATAAAAGCGAAAAAAGCGTGTCAAAACGCATGAATAACATATCGGGACTATAGCTTTTTCCATCAATTTGAAGGGCTTGCCCAACTTTTTTGCTTCCAACGATATTCATTTGTATCAACTAATTCCATTTTTCTCTAATTTTCTGCCCATTTTTTCGGTTGGGCCCATTCAATTATTTTTGTTTTTCGTGCTCACATCGCTAATGGGCATTGAATTCGATCTCGTTTTTTAGTTATATAGATATATATATGTCTACGTTATTCGATCGCATCTCGCCGTAATAACACGTTTTTTCTTGTAAAAAATGGGAAATTTTCCAGGTATTTGACGGCGGCTCTCGTTGGATTTTCGCGGTCCACAGAGCATTTATTCCGTTGGATTTTGGGTGAAAGAACGGCATGGAAATAGCGTCGGCCTGAAATTTTCCACGCTTTTTTCTCCGCCCCCCCAAAACAAGAACATCTTGGTGATTTTTAACAGAAAATTATGGAAAATGAAGATTTTTAAGAAGTTATATTGAACTGAAATTGCTTTTTTTATTTTTCTCGTTATTAAAAATTTTAGTCGATTTTAAATATTGCTCTTTTTTTTAAAGAAAAGTCGTTTTTGATCCTTTTTTGGTGAAAATTGATCATTAAGAAGTTTTTTTGTTAATATCAAAAAAACACGTAATTTCCCTCATTTCTTATCTGAGCTCCTTGGGTCGGGACTTCGGAAGTTTTTTTGATGATTACTTTTTGAAAATGATGTATTTTTTTAAGCAATATTTTTTTCAAAAAAACACGAAAAATTATTCAAGAATTTCATAGGAGTGTACTTGAATTTTTACAAGAAAGCTTCAAAATTCATGAAAAAAATGCTAAAAATGAAATAAATTCGTACTTTCGAGCCCTCAAAAAAAGCGGAAAAAAAGCGATTATTCCCGTCATTTGAATAATGTAATTGAAAAAAATTATTTGCTTAAATTCTAGGTTAGAGATTTTATCGACTTCTGTTGCTTTGAAAAAGCTTGAAAAAAATCAGGAAAGTTTTGAAGTTTAAAAAAATAAAAAAATTTTTCATATTTTTTTCTAAATTTCCTTCAATTTCAGCCTGAAACGACGCCATCCAGAAACATCCCGGCGAACTTTCAACAACTTTTTCGCCTTTTTTCTACCCATTTTCCGGAAATTCTAATAATAATCGGAACAGCTCAAAGAAGACTGGCGGATTACCGTTTTTTCCATTCGTCGTCGAGTTTTTGAAGTGCGAAACATCAAGACAACTGCTGCTGCTGGGGGTTTGTTTGCCTTTTCGATTAGCCCGTTTTGAAAAAAAAATGTGTTGGTTTGGTGCGAAAAATGACGAGGTTTTAGGTGGTAGAAATGTAGAAAAATCTTCCAAGTGCTCGAAATTATTCTTTTTTTTGTGAAAATTTACACAAATTGTTCAAAAAGTTTGTTGTATTGGCGCCAAAAATTAGCAGGTTTTATAGGAATTTTTGCAAAATTTGTTAGTTTGGCGCTAAAAATGACGAATTTTTTTGGAGCTATTTGTGTTTTTAGAAACGTAGGAAAGCTTTCAAAGTTCTGGAAAATATTATTTTTTTAATGATTTTTCACGAATTTTTTTGAACAATTTGTTAATTGAGAGCGAATTTTGCGATTTTTTTAGTGATGAAGCTCTGGAAAAAAAGTTTTTTTCGACCATTTTTTTCAAGATTTTTTTGTTTTTTTATTTGGCAGCAAAAATGATTAGGGACAGTTGTGTTGTAGAAATATAGAAAATATTCCAAGCTCTGAAAAAAAAAGATTTTTTCTACCGTTTCACGCGAGATTTTCGAAATAATGTTGACTCATATCACTTTGAATTTATAAAAAAATGACGGGATAGTTTTTTTGATGTTTTTGTTGTTCTTATTTGAGAGTTATCAAGCCATTTTTTTGTCTCAATCGTTTTTTCTCCAGAAAATTCCTTTTTTTATAAAAATTCATGCAGTTTTGATGAAGATTTTAATTTTTCCCCTAGGTTAGAATCCTCGCGCATTTATCGACTTTTTATCTTTTTATTTTTTTCAAAATGCCAAGTTTAAGGGTCCTTTTTACTAATCTTATAAGTGAGGTTTTTTTATGGGCTTTGTTGACCTTTTTTTAACCAAATTTTTTTGAGTTTTTTTAGAATTAGGTACGTTCAATAGACCCCCAATAACTTAGACGCGTTTATTTTGGTTTTCACTGTTTTTAAAATGACTTTCTGAAGTGTTTTTCACTTGGAGGTACTCATAATTGATTCGATTAAATTGACGATTTTCTACGCTGGGCATTTTCTGCTTAAAATTTCATTCTAAGTTTTCTTAGTGATTTTTATATAGTTTATAAGTAATTTTGAAAGCTTTATTCAAGTTTTAATGAGAATATAAAAACAAAAAAAGACCGCTCAAATTTTGATAGAAAATACGACTTTTCTTTTCATTTCATGCTTTTCAGTTAATTTTAAATGTTAAACTTGTTATAATTTGATGAAAATGATTTTTTTTAAAGTTTTCAAGCCGAAAATATGACGATTTTCTGTTTTGAAACTAGAAAGAATGTTCAAAAACCGATAAGAAAGGGGACTCTTACTCTCCAAATTTTTACACTTTTGCTTGTTTTTCAACACGGTTTTTCGTTCTTTGCTTCTGCAAATCGTCAGGAAATCAATATCTTTGTTTTTTCTTCACAGTTTGACACTTTTTTGAAGCGATTCTCGATTCTAGTTTGATAATTTTCGTCGCATTTTTGGAATGGCTTAACTGGGGGCCTTTAAATTGCGGCCGACCGAAAAGTGGTTTACGCGCGTTGAAAATAGAAAGTTTGAGTCATACCAGAGAATTTATTGGAATGCAACGCGTTGAGCCATTCTAAATGCGACCAGAAAATTTCGGTTTTTTGAATTGAATACGCCTGAATTTTTATGTGCTTAATAAAAAGGGCCCTTAAAGGTATCACCTGAAAACCCCAGCAGGGGTGACTTAAGCTTCAAACCCTAAAAACGGCCGCTTGAATTTCACTATAGAACTGTTTTTCCCTCGATTTCTATAGGGACCACTTGTTGAGCCATTCTAAATGCGGCCGGGAAATTTCGGGTTGTATCCAATGCCTGAAATTTTATGTACTTAGAAACTCTAAAGCGGGGTCCTTGAAGGTTCCCCTCTAGGGACCACTTTTATAGCTCCTATAAGGACCACTGAAGCTTTAGTGGCGCAGATTTCAAACCCCTACAAGGACCACCAAAACTTTAACTATAGGGGCTGTTTTTTTCTCCTTATCCCTATAGGGAGCACTTTGACCATCATTGTCTAAAAAGGACCTGAAAAATGTAAAATTTATTGCTTCGTAGGTTGATTTTTTTGCCCGATAGAAAATATACTTAAATTAAAAACTTTTCGTGATAAAAATGCTACAAAAATGGCGTTTTTTTTTCTGAATTTCGAGCCTTTTCCCCCCAAACTTTGCTCCTGTTATCGGAGAAAGTATCACTGCAAACGTGTTATTCGGGGGGCTCGAAAGTAAGTATCGATGGGCAAATAATAAAATAAATGAAACGCGAGCAAAACAACAATTGGCGCCCCCTCCCGTCCGTTTTTGCGTTTCTGCCGCTGCCTCTGCCAACGGCTTCTCCCCGTCCCAATAATTTGTTCTTTCGCCTCGAAATTAGTTTTGCTTTACTATTTTCGCGTAGTATTTTGGGTTACGAAAAGAGATTTTTGAAGATTTCCGGTTTTTAGATAGTTTCAGAGCGGATTTTGAGGTTTTAACTATGAAAAAAGGTTCTTTTAAATTTTGTTCACTGGATAGATTCTACGAAAAAAAATTAGCCTTATGTGGGGTCTTTGAATTTTAGAACTAAAATTTTTTTTCTGACCGTTTTTTTGTTGGTATTTTGTGTATTGAAATAGAAAAATTGGGTCGTTTTTTTAGGAAATAAAAAAATAAATTAGAACGTTTTTTTCAACTCCAAAGCGATTTTTTTAATGTTAAGCCTATCAAAAAAAGTCCTAATTCACTATTTTTAAGTTTTATTGAATTTTTTTGCGCCCTGAAGATAACTTTTTTCACTTTCTGAAGGAGCTTGGAAGTTTCAGCTTGTCAGAAAAAAGAAAAAATGATTTTTTCTTCGAAAAATCGCTCCTTTCCCAGTTCAAATATGAATAGTTTTCGACAGATTAACACAAGGATTATCGAAATATCCGATCGCATTTTTAATGTTATTTGGATCTCTTCTGCAAAGCGAAACGATTTTTTATTTGTGCGGCAAGTGGCCATTGGAATTTACGAGCTGTGTGGTGTGGAAGATAACGACGTTCCGCCGTTTACACCCGCGGAATCTTCCCCCAAAAACTCTTGTTTTCACTGGTTTCCATGCTCAATTATTCCTACATATTGTTGGTATTGAAAAAGTTTGATTGGATAGTTCATTCGCCATTTCTTTGGAAAAGTTGTATGACCTGTCTGTGCCCTCTTTTCTCACATCAGGAGGTGATAGGAAGAGGAAAATAGCACTGTTTTTCAATTTTTTCGGCTTGAGACGGAAATTCACTATTAAAGGGACATGTAGCGGGCTAGGAGGAAAATTTTGTCGCGAAAAAATTCAGATATATAGGAAGTTAGACTTCTGATCTTTTCTAATCACTTATCTTTTTTTTTCGATAAAACTTGAGTTTTTGGTGAAATTTTCGTCAGAAGACAAGATTTTCTGGTTTTTTTATCGAAACGTGTCCTTAAAAATGGTTGGTAACTTTTTTAGCTGCCATTTTTCATCCCATGACCATGTCGGTGAGGGAAAAGAGGGTGCAGACAGATCAGACGGTTTCATTTCCTCACATTGATTTTTTGGCTTTTTCAAAAATCGCATTGTAGTTGTAGATCAAAGACGACTGATCAATATTTGATAGGATTTTCGGAATATTCGCGAAATAGTATGCCAAAAGAAGAGGCTCAGACTTCTCTGCAATATTTTCGTCCCAAACTAGAAATGAATGAAGTTTAGAGTTTGATAAAAACGTTTTTCCGATCAATCAGCTTAATCGACTATATTTGGGGACAACCTCGTTCTAAAACAAGAAGAATGGGGAAATGCGACGTAATCGTTGCTCCTTTCTTACCTGTGTTATCGATAAATCTCCTCCGATTTGCGTCTTGATTGCGAATTCAATACGTAGTTGATAACGGCTGCTTACGTCTTTTCCGCGTTTCGATAGGCGACGACGGCCAAAAATTCATTCGCCTCGTTAAGCTTCATCTCTTTATCGTCTCTAGTTGAATTTGCCTTATTTTAGGATCGAGACGATTTTTCCTGTCATTTTTTGTACAAGCTTGATGAAAAAAGACGTCCGTGAATGGACTATATGGGTAGATTTTTTTGATCTCATCTTTCAATTTTTATCAATTTAAAGTCGAAATTTCTTTTTGTGAGCATTTTTAAAGTTACTGAGGTGTATTCCATTCATTACCAGGTTGTCACAAAAGTCTCGTATTTTTATATTTTTCCTTTTTTATCTTTATTTTTCATTCTTTTTGCCTATTAGTACAGGTATGACGCCTCAAAGAAGCCAAACATTGTCACTTTATTCACTGAAAATCGATTTTGAAGCGTTTAAATTCGACAAAAATCCTAATAAATCGATAATTTTTTTTTCTCAACGGATCTGAGGTAATCAGACAATTTTTAGAAAACTTAGAATTTTTTCACCCTTTCATCCTTGGCTAGCAAGAAAAATCAAAGAAAGATGCATTTTTTCTATTTTTTTTTTTCACCCTCCCATTTCCGATTGTTGGTCACACCTTGATGGAGAATGATTGCCCGTTTTCCTTCCCGATTGAATTGATGACACTCCGTAGCGTAATTTGTCAACAAGCAGAATCGATCATCAAGTTGGGAAATTCCTCTTCCGCTTGACTCATATCTGTTGCAAAACTCGGCTTTTCCCTTAATTTGATTATTCGGAATTATGAATAGAGGGAGATTTTCGGAAGTTACCTGATGATTAACAACTTTTTCGTTACAAGAATTGCGCAAATTCCTAAAAATAGAACATTTTCCAAATCCTTGATTAATTAGACTCACGATTGCAGTCTGTGAAGCTCCATTTTCATATTCTCGAACACTTTTTTAACTGATATTTTAATCTCTTTGCTGACAAGAGTCAAATTTCATCAAGCTGATTAAGCTTATCAGCATCGAGAAGCCCTTTGAAAGTTGTGACACTGATAATTTATCTCTCCTCTCTTTCCATTTCGATTTTTAGGAGATAACAATTTTTCTATTGGCAAGTTAAAAAAAGTTTATTGCTTTGAAAGTTGGAATTTTATCTTTTATTGAATTTTTAAGTTGATTCAAAGCCATTTTGATAGAAAATGTGTTGAATTTTTAGACTATTTTTTTTGAAAAGACACTTTTAAAGCTTCAAAAAACTCGAAATTGTCGAAAAATACCTCGGTTTCAGTGTAGGTGTCCCCGGGTACAGGTACACAAAGAGTCGGTCTCAAAAAACAACAGCGAACAAAAAAAAATGGCAACCACTTGTCGCAAACACTTGAAAATCGCAGTTCTGTTGATTTTTTTGCGCCTTGCTTTGAAACAAACGTGGCGTCATTCTTGAGCCACGTTTTGACTCATTTTTCTTGACTTTTTCATATTGCTCTCTTAGGGAAATGCTCGAAAATTGCCTAATTTTCTAGAAAAGACGCTCAAAAATCAGTTTTTTAAACGATCAGATTGAAGAAACTAAGTTTAATGAATCTAGTGTATTTTTCCCATTTCCCGCCATTATCTCCATCAATTCTGAGTCATGTTGATAACGTAATCTTTCTTTTTAAAAAGGTTAAAAATACATTCCCACCCTTGCTATTCTTAGTCACGCCCCACGCGCCGCTTGTTACTCTTTTTTTTCCGTCTTTTGTTGTCTTTTTAAATGTGTTTTCTGAACGCCTTTTGGTTTATTTTTTGACTTAGATTAGGCTTAGAAAGACTCAGAATGTTTTGAGTTTGGTTCAAGTAGTCACTAGAGGGTTCTTAAGAGATCTTGAAAGAGTTTTATTGCGAAAATTTGGCTTTTTTTTCATTGAAATTGACTTGAAATGTCCAAAATCTGCTGTAGTCGATTAAAGTGGTCACTATGGGGTTTTTAAAAGATCGTAAAAGAGTTTCATTGGAAAAAAATGACTTTTTTTTATTCAAATTCACTCGAGATTCTCAAAATAGCTGAAATTGATTCAAGTAGTCACGAGAGGGTACTTTATAAACCTTGAGAGATTCGAAAAATAGCTTTTTTCGAGTTTTTTGTTAATTTCCGTCCAAACCGACTCAAAATGTACGCTGAAATTGATACAAGGGGTCACTAGATGGTTCTCAACAGGTCTTGAACTATCCTTGCATTGCGAAAAAATAGCTTTTTTCAGTTTTTTCGTTGATATCAGTCCAAACCTACTCAAAATGCTCATAAGCTGAAATTGATTCAAGTTGTCACTAGAGGGTTCTTGAATTTTTCAAACTCTACTTTGCCGCCTTTAATTCATTTGTTGACCCTTTTTCTCTGTTGATTTCAAGACTTTAACTTTTTGAATTTTCAGCAAGATGGCCGAGTACGGTGCCTCGCTCGAGGAGCTACGCGCCCTCATGGAATATAGGTATTGATTTGATTTTTGTATTTCAATCGATCAATTTTTGTTTTTTTTTTCGGTCATAGAGTTTTGGAAAAATTTTTTTGAGTTTGTTATGATTTTTTTGAAGTAAAATGCACTGGGAAAAGAAGTTTTTAACTTATAAAATTGGTCTTTTTGATGGAAAATCTTCAAAAATCGAAACTTCTCTTGATAATTTCGAACCCTAATCAAAGTTTTAATGATTTATCCAGGTTGTAGCGTAAAAAAATGTTCTTTTTTTCAATTTTATAGTTCTTTTTTGGTAAAAGTTATGAAACTTTCGGCATCTGAAAGCTTTTTTTAAGTTTTGAACTCTTTTTTTCAAACCATTTTCCAAGATTTTTTTAGAGTTAGAAGTGAATTTTTAATCGATTTTTTTCGTTGTGAATTTTTGGCGTTTTTCTAGGGTGTAGATATTCTTGGATTTTTTTGTCAGTTTCATGGATTTCTTTTTCTCTTTTTTTGTATATATTTAGGTTCTATTTTTTTCCTAATGTTCCGGGATTGAGGAGATCTTTCGAAAAATTTTTCAGAAATTCAAGAAAAAAATTCTGAATTTTTCCCGAAAATTGAGCAAAAATTTGGCCTTCTCCATGTCCTTTTGAACGAAAAAAAGACGGCCTTCTTCCGTTTTTCTTTTTTTACACTTTCAAGTAGGTAATTAGAAATAATGGGAAGTGTGTGTTCTTCATTACGTTTCTCCTCTCTTTTTCTACTCTTTCAATTTTTCTTGAAGTCGTTAGAAACTCGGGAAAAAAATAAGCTCGTTTCGAGGTTTTTTTGTAATTTTTTTGAAAAGTTGGAGGAACTTTTTGAGTGGCGAGATCACTGGAAAAAATATTTATTGACGAATCTGAGAAAATATTGGAAATCCAAAGTGATTTTTCGAATAATTTTGAGTAAGACGGCTCGAAGTTTGGCTAAGTTTATTTGAAGGTCATTTTTATCCTGGTCTCGTCCGAATTTACTCAGAAAAACTGATGGAAAAGTCGAAAAATGCCGAATAACTGATGAAAAAGGACTCAAAATAAGGGAAAAAAAGACGAAATCTATTCTGAAAATCAACTTCTTTCAAGTGTTGCTTGAACCTACTTTGGAAAAAAAAAAAGAAAAGTCGGAATTTGGTCATTTTCATTCATTTTTCTAACTTATTTGACTTGAAAATCATTTATTAGATAGAAAAGAGCAAGAAAGAATCGAAAATAAAATTTTAAAAAACGTTTTTTTTTTCAAAAGGTTATATATTTTTTCCCAATACACAGTTCCATCAAGTTGCTAATTTTTTTCAAGATTTTTGAAATTACAGGGGCGCGGAAGCGAAAGAGAAAATAGAAGCCGATTACGGTGGTATCAATGGACTTTGCCAGAAATTGAAAACCGACCCCCACAATGGTTAGTTGAGACTTTCGATAATTTTTGAGGGTTTTTTTGAAAATTTTAAGCTTTGAATAATGAAAAGTGTATCGTTAAGGTCTACCCGCTAGTGATTCGGAACTGGAAAGGAGGAGGGCCGTTTTCGGCGCCAATGAAATCCCGCCCCATCCGCCCAAAATCTTCCTCCAACTCGTTTGGGAAGCTTTGCAGGTATCAGATGGCGTTTTTATTGAGAAATGGGCTGGAAATACGGAATTTCCGGATAGAAATTGGTAGTTTATCAAAGGGAAGATGGGTGGGTTTTTTTTTTAAAGATTGAAAATAACGATTTTTGAGTGTTTTAGACGGTATTTTTCTGAATTTTCGTTAAGTTTTGGTTTTTTAAAACTTGGATTGTGTTGAACTTTTTTCAGAGGTCCATGAAGACCATGATCATTTCAAAAATTCCAATTTTCATTTACCCTACAACAGAAAGAGAAGCTGAATTTTATTCCCGATGGCTTCATTTCTCTACTTTTTTTTTCCAGGATTTCCTAGCTTTTTTGAATTTCTTCAAGCTCAACGACGCCTCAGACTCGATTGACAGAAATATTCTGTTCATTGGTCATTAACATTTCAACTGCGATTTGAGAAAGGCGAATTGACAAGGATTTGAAGCTTGAAAAATATCAAAACTTGGTTCTCAGATGTTTTTTCTTGTGAGGAAAATAGAGGTCATTCGAATTTTTATTCTCCAAAAAAACCCCGTGAAAAGGAAGAAAGAAGTCAAGTTGAAGCTTGGTTCTCAGGGGAAAAATATTGCTGCTTCTTGAAAAGAATTTGGGGGACCAAAGGGAGGTTCCTTTCTCTTTAGTGAACACTAGGGGTTTTAGAAGTTTGAAGAGAGTCTATTTCGGCTTATTTAGTGTCCAATAATCATCTGTAGATCCTCTAAAATCTTCTTGTAATTTTGTTATGTATCTCCAGCGAAGTGTAAGCTTCGATTTTCCCTAAAGTGGCCACTAAACGTCCAAGTATTGCTTCAAGCTTGAATCTCAGAGAAGAAAAAAAAAAGGGTTTCTCTCGATGTTTGGAAAGGATTTTTGGGAACGAAACGAGGATTCATGCCCTCTAGTGACTACTTGGGGTTGTAGAGATTTTGAGATTCTATTTTGACTTCGATAGTGACCTCTTGAAGCTCGAAAGTCTCATAAAAACCTTTTTTAACCCTGTCTTGGATTCCGAGCCAAGTTCAAGCTTTTTCATTCAAAAAATATTCCCTTAAGTGACCACTTAACGTCCAAATTTTGGCCCAAGCTACTCTCTTTCGGATCCCAAGCCAAGCTCAAGTTTCGATGTCCGAAAAAAATATCCCCTTAAGTGACCACTAAAAAGCGAAATCTTGGCTCAAGGTACTTTCTTTTCTATCCCAAGCAAGGTTGAAGCTTTCTCATCCACAAAAATTTTCCTTAAGTGACCACTGAAAGTCCAAATCTTGGTGGAAGCGACTCTGTTCTGGATCTCGAGCCAAGTTCAAGTTTCTTCATCCGAAAAATACTCCCTTAAGTGACCACTTACAGCCCAAGGCTCAAACTGTTCTGTTTCGGATTCCAAGCCAAGTACAAGCTTCTTCATCCGAAAAAGAACCACGAAAAGTACAAATCCTGGTTCAAGCCCGGTTCTCAGAGAAAGAAAAAGAAGTTTTTTCCTGCCGTTGGGAAAGAATTTGTGAGAACAAAACGAAGTTTTCTGTGCTCGGCGAGCCCCTTCCAAAGAAAAAAGAAAGCTCATCACATATGTATGAGCTCTGCCTCGAAAAACCTTTCTCTCTGTGTGTTATGCTTGAACAGAGAACGTTTGAATTTTCAAATGTGTCCTCGCCGCTTTTCGCTCATTCGAAAAGAATCAAGGCGAAATGCCTCGAGGGCGAAAGAGTCGAAAAAAGAAAAGAGAAAAAAGAAAAAAAGAAAAATGAAGCACTCAGTGCCGTTAAATCTGCGAAACGAGGGCACACGTATACAATTGAATTGAATTGGCCTCGCCGAAACGACGAAGAGGAGAAGGAGAAAAAATGTTGCTCCTGACGTCGCTTCTTCTTTTTCTTTTTCCACTTTTCTGGCTCTTGTTCACGTGTCGGAGAGGTGATTCGGATTTTAGAACGATAGGGGACTTTTAAGGGGCATTTTCGAGACGATATCAGCAAAATAGATACAAACAGGGATGGAAAGTGATAAATTGGAAGCTTCCAATATTTTGAGAAAAACACAAAACTAGCAAAAGAGGTTCAAAAGAGGATTGAAAATGATAAATTGATGGTTTCAACAACTAACTTGAGGAAAAATAACAGATTTTTTAGCTCAGAAGACGAAAAACGGAAAATTTCGCTGTTAAATTCGATAGGAAAAAAAAAAGAAGCTCTTCGTGAATTTTTGAATGAACTGCGAGCAACCCTAGTGGCTACTTAAGAGGTTCCTTAAGGATTACGTGGAGAGAACACTAAAGTGGCCACTAGAACAAGCCCACTTCTTAGTGCCCACTATAGTAATATTAGGTGGTCTAGTAGTACCCTTTAGACCCCTAAAGAGATCACTGAGTTTTAGTCACTCTAGTGGCCACTAAAACGTCAAAACCCTCAAGTGACCATTAAATATTTTCCCAGAAAGGAAAAAAAATTGATCATTTTTGTAAGCTCGGAATCGGAAATAAAAAGCTACTTTCTTTTTTTTTCAGGATGTCACGCTGGTTATTTTATTGGTCTCGGCCATCGTCTCGCTGGCGTTATCGTTTTATCGGCCACCGGAAGAAGGAGGAGGTAAAAATGATCGACTTTACAAACCTTGAAACGTCAAAAAACATAGAAGTTTCGCGGATGCGCTGCATTTTTATATAGCCGCGTTAGACCTTCAGCGGTTTTTCTACATGTTGTAGAATACCCCCGCGCGCAAGCTGTTTTTGGTCGGGCGCATTGAAATTTTGAGCCCTTTTTGCGACCAAACACCCACAAGAAAGGCCATTATCAGTTTTCAAAATTGACCAGAACTTGGAGAACTAGATGAGGATCCTAAAAGTCTCAACCTGCAAAACTTCTTTTTTTTTTCCAAAAAGGAGACCTCCAAAGTCGAGAAAACCGTTAAAATCTGTTAAAATACGCAATCGTGAGCCTATTTTTCAAAGTTAAAGTGATTCTTCTAAGACTATCAGTATCTTCTTCTGGTTCATCAAGGAGTATTCTGGCTAATTTTTAAAAGTTCCTCAACAAAAAAGTAAAATTACCTTACTTGTCAGACGTTTCAAGCCCTGGAAAACGAGGAATTTCGAAACTGAAAGGGAAAAAAAATGTGATTTTTCCAGGCTCTGTTGATGACAGTGAACACGACGCCGGATGGATCGAAGGAGTCGCGATTCTGATTTCAGTCATCGTCGTCGTCCTGGTCACCGCCCTCAATGATTACACCAAAGAACGACAGTTCCGAGGTCGGTTTTCGAGGGACTTAGGCCTTTAAGGGTTACTGTAAGACTGTTAATGTAAGGCAGTTAATGGTTACTGTACTGAGGTTGACTTTTGAGCTTTGATTTTGTATTTAAGACAAAAGAAAGTTTCACTGATTCTTTTAGGTTTATGATTAGGAAAATGTTTTCGTAAGTCCTGGAAATTCTGCTTTAACTCAATTTTTCCACCCAAAGTAGTATTATTCAAGGTTCTTACAAGGAGTTAATTTTTTTCGGAAACTAGGAAAAAATCCTTCTCTATGAACTTTAAGTACGAGTTGCATTTTCAGGTCTCCAAGCGAAAATTGAAACCGAGCACCGATTTTTCGTCATCCGCGGCGGTCAGTCCATTCAGGTCGTCGTCAACGAGTTGGTCGTCGGTGACGTCGCTCAGATCAAATATGGTATGTATTATATGCAATTGAACGAAACCTTTACCGAAACTTTTTCTGAAGGGGTAAAAAAAATCTCAAAAAAAGGTGCCTTTTTCCGTCTTTAACCAGTCTTTTCTTTACTATTTCCACTCTCTCTTCACTTTTTCAATCTTTTCTTTAGCCCTTAAAATTCTAGGATCGTGGGAAGCTCGATAAAGACCTCAAAAATGACCTTTCCTGCGACTTTTTAGCAGAAATTTCCAATTTTTCCCGAGTTATTTTCCTCATTTTTCCAGGTGACTTACTGCCCGCTGATGGTGTCCTGATCCAATCCAACGACTTGAAAATCGACGAATCCTCGCTGACCGGAGAGTCGGATCAGATCCGCAAGAGCCCCGAAACCGATCCGATCATTCTGTCGGGAACCCATGTCATGGAGGGATCTGGAAAGGTGAACAACCAGTGTTGTTTTTTAATTTTTTAGTGATTCATGAATGAATGATTAGATAAGTTCAACTTCGTTTTCGAAATTTCCAGAAAGTCTGTAGGGCATATTCCTATTTGGAAAAAGAAATTAGGAAAAAAAGTTTTTTGGATTACGTTCCTTTTGAGGTCTTACCTCAAATAATCATGTCAACTGATAAATTGCATAGTTTTTGTTGAAATTCTTGTGACCCCAGGACCTTATTCGCGACCTCAATTGAACATGAAGATGAATATTTATAAGAAAACCACGATTGAAATAGTAGCTATATTTCGGTCAAAAAAAATCAATATTAGGTCGTACTTCAGTTTAAAAAAGATTTCTTGAAAAACGTCCGGAATTTCCAAAACAAAAAAAACCATAAAACGAAATTTTGGTTTTAAAGAGTAGAGTGTTTCAACAGACCTCGGTAACGCTAACCGGACCCGTCCCGGACGTTTCCGAGCATTTATAGTAACATTTAAGTAACGTCCGAACTCTTAAGTGACCTCTTGATATGTCCCGACGCGTCCGGTTCGCATTTCTCAAGGCCCGAGAATTAAGACGGTAGTTCGGTAGAGCAACTTAGACTTAGTCCAAATCGGATATTCCAACGAAAACCAAGTGATTGTCCAGATGCTGGTGACGGCCGTCGGTGTCAACTCGCAGACTGGTATCATCATGACTCTGTTGGGAGCCGCCAAGTCGGTGGCTGAAGAGGAACGGAAAGCGGCGAAACGCGAAGGTTTGAACCTTCTTTCTAGAATTTAACCGTCTTTTTTTGTCCATTTCTCTCGGTTCTTCCTCTAACCCATTCCTCTTCATTTTGACATTGCTTGATTACATATTAGATTCTATTGGGGCATTTTTGTTATTTTTTTTTCTTTGGGAGCCCTTCGTAATAGCATGGGTACCGTACCATTTTTATTTCATTATCTTTTGATTTTCATTTTTATTTTTTTCGTCATATTGTATCATTTTCTTGATTCTTTTATTCTGGATTTTCGAAATGAGAAAAGAGCTGGATTTTGGAAAAATGGGCTAAAATTTTTGAAATTTTGAAAATGAGCGATTACTTTAGCAGCATTTGTGACCCATTGAGAAAAAATCGCGAAGAAGAAAATGAAGCTTTTCTGATTTTTCAAGTATTTTTCTACAGGAAAATGCATGAAGGATGGTTCAAAGAAGTTCATTTTTGTCATTTTCAGCTTTTTTTCTCAAAATTCCCTAAGATCCTACTAGTTGTATACTCAATTTGGGGCATTCTGACTTTTCTGCAATTTCCATGTTTATGTGACCCTGTCGGCGAGGGAAAAGAGAGCGCAGACAGGTCAGACTGCCTCGAAATTCATGATTAACATTTTATTTGATTCTCCTTTGTTCACCCCCAAGGCCCGGAGTTTAGAACGTCGGTCGAGATCTTCGGTCAAATCCCACCATCATCATCACCACGGTGGCTCGTCTTCACATCCAAATGGTTAGACCTCCTTCTCAAAACAGATAAAAAATCAATTTTGTTTTGCCGTTAACAGTGTTGTCTTCTCCTTCTTCTTTTTTGACCTGTCTTTGACCCTTTCCTATCCTTTTCCCACTTGCCTGTCGAAATCTGCTCTTTCCATCCTTTCCTGTCCCTTTCTCGACCTGCAAAAAAGCCTGTCCTGCACACCTTCTCTTCTTCTTTCCATGCACAAACGATGTTGTTTCCGAACGATCTATTCTCTTTCTTTCTTTTTTCGGTTCCTCTCTTTCTTTTCAATGTCCCGATGGAATTGGAAGGCATGGCACGATAATAGCGACACTATTTTTTCGTTGTTGTGATTGTTGATATTCTGGAAAATGAGAGGGGAAGAAGCATGTGAGAATTGAAAAAGGGAAAAATTTGAAGATTTTAGTTATGAGGAATTGAAAATTAATTAAAGCTTGAAATTAATTAGGAGAAAAAATAGCCGCAAAAATGTCAACCAGCAGTTGCGCTCCAATGATAGACTTTTGCGGAATAATGGAGGTTTTTTAAGCTTCACCAAAATTGGAAAAATTTTGACGATTCGCTGCGTCCAACCCTTTTTTCAAGTTTTATTCAAGTTCAAATTCAAAAATCCTTGACAGAAATTTTGGCCAGTAGTTGCGCTCCATTGATAATTTTCGCCAAGCATGACTTTTTACTTATTGAATCGAATGGATATTCAAAAAAATTAGTATGGAGCAAATTTTAAACGGCTCAGATATTGGTAACGCAAACTGAAAGCGCCCCGCGCGTTTCTGAACCAAATAGTGATCACTTAAGCGATGCTAGTGCACTTAAGAGATCACTAAAAATGTTCAGAAACGTCCAGGTCATTTGCGGTTTTCGTTGCGGATATCTGATGATTCCCATGGAGCGCAAAAAGCTGTAGAATTATTGACTATATTTTTCAAATATTTTTGACCTTTTTTTGAACGTGAAAGATCAGAAATTGGGCGATTTTCTTGATATAATTTTTTTCAAAGAATCATACATAATCAATGAATTATAGACCATCAGGATTTATCCAACTTTTTTTGTTGTTTTTGGGGGCGGGCGAAGATGTTAGCTAGTACGTTTGTTGTTTTGCAGGCGGCGACACCCAGGGAGCTGAGGAAGGAACGGCCCAGGCGCTTCTTGGTGAGTTTTTCTGAGGATCTGTCCGACAAGAAGAAGAAGAAGAACAGAGATGGCAAGGAAGAGCCGTGGGAAATTCAGTGTTTAGTGAAAATTGGAAGAGTTTCGCATGGATTCAAACCTGGGAAAAAGTTTTTGGATTGGATTAGTACTGAAGATTAGGCTTCCATATTTTTGAATCGGTTAGGAAAATTATTAGTTGGTTTTGAACCAAGGAAAAACGGTTTTTAGACAGGATTAGTACTGAAAAAAGGTCTCAATTTAGATTGGCACAATGAATTTTCAGTTTTGAATAGGTTAGATAACTGAGTAGTTGTAAAATAGCCTTCAAAAAAATACCTCGTAGAAGAAAAAAATAGTGATATATATATATAAACCGCAATATTTTTCCAAAAAAAAGTAGTTCAAAATTAGTGCTAGATGGAAGAAAATCGGTCTTGGACCGGTTTTTTGCTGTGAAAGCGATTTTTTTCAGCCAAAAGAGTCCTTGATTTTACAATTTTTCCAATTTTTTTCGAGAAATAGAAGCAAAAAAAGTAAGAAATTTCAAAAAAAATATCTAGCACCAATAATATCGAAAAATTTTTCTCTATGTGGTAGTGTGACACCTGGCGCACGTTAAAGTATCACACTTTTTTTAGTTGGAAAAATATTAGAAAATTAGAAAAAGTATCTTTAAAAAAATTTGAACGTTGCTCGTCATTGTACCGATGTCGTGCACACCATTTTTCTCAATTTTTTTCACTTTTTTTGGAATAGTTAGGCCCACCTGAATGTGCTTTTTTTTTTAGTTATTTTTGTAAATTTCTAGTAGAAAATAATAGAAGTGTATTCGTTTCTTTTTCCATTTTTCGATTATCAAATTTTTGAGAAGGGGGTTCTAGCCGTGTTTTTCATTTTTCTCATTCAAAAAATTTGAAGCTCAGGATTATTTCGGTAAAACTGTTCCAAAACATGATATTTTCATGGTAGAACACTTCAAAGCTCTTAAATTAGAAAAAATGGCTGGGAAGATATTTTTGAGTAAACGATGGAATTTTGAGACACGAGAGCAAATCGTCTAAACGGATGCTTTGTAGGTAAAAAATCACATTCTTAGGCTTGAAATTGAATTTTTAAGTTGAAGTTTATTCCTTGGTTATGTGTGCCGATTTTCAGACAAGGGCGATGAGGCGATGGCCAACGGCAAGATTCCGGCCGAAGACGCCGGCAAGAAGGAAAGATCCGTCCTTCAGGCCAAACTCACCCGGTTGGCTATCCAGATCGGCTACGCTGGTGAGGATTTGATAATAAATATGTTGGAGGAGAAAATCTTGAAAGAACCACTTAAGGGGCTCCTCAAGAAGTTGTTGTAGAGGACACGAAAGTGGCCACTAAAACCTACTCTATAGAAGCCAATTAGTGGCCATTATAGCAGTTTCTCATGATTCAGTAATACCGCTTAGACTCCTCAAGAGGCCACTAAATTTCAGTCGTTTGAGTGAACATTATTTTTGACTGCTATAGTGGCCACTAAAACGTCAAAAACCCTAAGGTGGCCACTGAGAATTTTTTTCCAGTTATTCTATGATAGAAAGCAAAAACCTATTTTTCTTTATTAAATTGTGAAAATTAGCGATTTTTTTCTTGGGTCTAAAGAATTTAGTTTTTCAAAAAGACGAAGTTATTCATCGAGGTTTTTTTAATTTAATTTCGAAAGCAGTTATTGAAAGTTTTTCGAGCTTTTTAAAGAAATGAATGGAGCAACTATAGGAGTCTAATTTCTAAAAAAAATCATCATTTTTTTCAGGTTCCTTCGTCGCCGGTTGCACTGTCTTGATCCTGGTGATTCGGTTCTGCATCTCGCGCTACGCCATCGAAGAAAAGTCCTTCTCCCTCGCCGACTTCCAATACTTCATCAACTTCCTCATCATCGGTGTGACTGTTCTCGTCGTCGCCGTCCCCGAAGGACTCCCCCTTGCCGTCACACTCTCCTTGGCCTATTCCGTCAAGAAGGTGGGATGAAATTAAGATTATGCGACAGAAAAGCCGCGAAAAATGGTGTATCCCTGTGTTTGTGCGCTCCACTGATAAAAGTCGAAATTTTGGTTCTAGTTTTTTTTTTTAGTTTGATTCAATTTTGATCGTCTAGTAGGACATTTATTCACTCTTTGTCTACTTTGTCAAGAAGGCGGGTTAAAATACGGTTATATGAAGAAAAAGCCGCGAAAAATGAGGTATTCGTGAACTTTTGCGCTCTACGGATAACATTAGAAATTTGGGCTTTTTTTGGGTTTTCGATTTAATTTTGATCGTCTAGCAGAGCGAATATTCATTTTTTGAGCACTTATCTATTTTATTTTGAAAAATGAGGAGAATTGTGTCATTGGGACCCTAATAATAGTTGAAAAGTAGTTCCAAAAATGACGATTTTTTCACATTTTTTGGAATTAATCGCTTTTTTTCGGCCTTTCGTAAGCATTTTTTGATAATTCGAACGTTTATCGAGGTTATCATTACCATTAGAGCCTGAAATCCTTGGAAATTAACAATTTTGGCGGTCGTTATCGATGGAGCGCAAATGATGCGCAAATTTTTTTTGGTCCTTTTTTCGCAGCTTTTCCGTCAAGTACTTGAAAAAAAGTTTCATAAACACTAAAAAATCGCTCTTAAGATGATGCTGGATAATAACCTGGTCCGACACTTGGACGCCTGCGAAACCATGGGAAATGCCACTTCGATTTGCTCCGACAAAACCGGAACTTTGACGACCAACCGGATGACCGTCGTTCAGTCCTATATCAATGGTTTTTTGAGAAATATGCAAAAAAAAATGAGAGATATTTTGAAGATGTGCACTACAAGGACACCCCAAAGATTGAGTCCCTGGAGAAAAATACGCTGAAACTTTTGATGGACTGCATTTCGATCAACAGCAGCTACTCGTCGCAGGTGATTTTTGGGGAGAAAGGGAAAAATGGCAATTTTTTGATTGCATTGGAATTCAGGGAGATGGACTAGAAGTATTCTTTGAAAAATTTGAAAAAAAATCAAGTTTTTTTATTTTTTTCACACACAAGTATCGTATTTACGGAATGGATGTTGCTATTCAAAAATCGATTTTTTTAAAAAAATTTATAGACTGATTTTTGGATTTTTCGGATAATATTACCTGAGATAGGTACTTGAGAAAGAAAAAAATTGAAGATTTATTTTTTTATTTTTTTGGAGAGGTTGTCAGTTGAACATGAGCGCTACAGAAAGTCATTTTACAATATTTTTGGCTTATTAAAAATTTTTTTTGACCTGGAAAAGTGGAAAATTACGCAAAAAATTTTTTTTACATGTTCATAAAGGCATTGGGGACAGTTTGGGAATCATTTTTGGATCCTTTTTTGAGACTTGTCACGATTTTTTAGAGCCATACCTTCAAATTCTGTAGATAATTCAAGAATTGTGCGTTTTTTGTCGAAATTATGAGTTCCTTAGTCAGACAGGAAGTAGGGAAATGTTTAGAATACTTCTGGAAGTTATTTTGACCTTATTAAAATTATTCAGGTGATCATGCCGAAGGTTTCTGGAGAGCAGCCGACTCAACTCGGAAACAAGACCGAATGCGGTATGCTCGGCTTCGTTTTGGCCCTTGGAGACAGCTATCAGAAGATCCGTGATCGTCATCCCGAAGAAACTATCCCGAAGGTTGCTTCTAACCGTCCTATCGAGTAACAATGAAATCTTCCAGGTTTACACCTTCAACTCGGTGAGAAAAAGCATGTCGACGGTGGTGAACCTTCCCGACGGCGGCTATCGTGTCTTCAGCAAAGGAGCCTCCGAAATCGTCACCAAACGCTGCAAATGGTTCCTGGGCAAGGGCGGCAACCCGACCAAGTTCAGCCCGAAAGACGCCGAAGCCCTTGTCCGCGACGTCATCGAACCCATGGCTTCCGACGGTCTCAGAACCATCTGCCTGGCTTACAAGGACTACGTCCCCTCGGACAAGAAGACCTCCGAAAATCAGATCGGATACCAATCGGAACCCGACTGGGAGAACGAGGAGCAGATCGTTGGAGACATGACCGCCATCGCGATCTTGGGTATCCAGGATCCGGTTCGACCCGAGGTCCCTGCCGCCATCACCAAGTGCCAGGAAGCCGGAATCACCGTCAGAATGGTCACTGGTGACAACATCAACACCGCCAGATCCATCGCCACCTCCTGCGGAATCCTCAAGCCTGGAGAAGACTTCATCGCCCTCGAAGGCAAGGAGTTCAACGCCAGAATCCGTGACGAGAACGGCGAGGTCTCCCAGGAGAAGCTCGACCAGATCTGGCCCAAACTTCGCGTGTTGGCTCGTGCTCAACCTTCTGACAAGTACACGCTTGTCAAGGGTATCATCGACTCCAGAATCACGGAACAACGAGAGGTCGTCGCTGTCACCGGAGACGGAACCAACGATGGACCTGCCTTGAAGAAGGCCGACGTTGGCTTCGCCATGGGTATTGCTGGAACTGACGTCGCCAAGGAGGCTTCGGACATCATCCTCACTGACGACAACTTCACCTCAATCGTCAAGGCCGTCATGTGGGGCAGGAACGTCTACGACTCGATCGCCAAGTTCCTCCAGTTCCAACTCACAGTCAACGTTGTCGCCGTCGTCGTCGCCTTTGTCGGAGCCTGCGCCATCCAGGACACGCCCCTGAAAGCCGTTCAGATGCTCTGGGTCAACCTGATCATGGACACCCTTGCCTCCCTGGCTCTCGCCACGGAAATGCCGACCATGGAACTCCTCAAGCGCAAGCCCTACGGTCGTACCAGCCCGCTGATCTCCCGCACCATGAGCAAGAACATCCTCGGTCACGCCCTCTACCAGCTGGTCGTCCTCTTCGTCCTGATCTTCTACGGCGAGAACCTCTTTGGCATTCCCAGTGGACGATGGGCGCCGCTTCACTCGCCTCCTTCCGTCCATTTCACGATCGTCTTCAACACCTTCGTCATGATGACCCTGTTCAATGAGATCAACGCCAGGAAGATCCATGGCGAGAGGAATATCTTTGTGGTGAGTTTTTTGGTTTGTCCAAGCGAGACGCATCTATTTTTGAACCTTCCAGGGACTCTTCTCGAACCCGATCTTCTACCTCATCTGGATCGCCACGTTCATCTCCCAAGTTCTGATCATCCAGTTCGGTGGCCGCTGGTTCAGCACCTCGGCTCTCTCCGTCGAACAGTGGCTCTGGTGTCTGGCCCTCGGCGTCGGAACCCTCCTCTGGGGACAGGTAATTTCAGTTCTCTTTACCTGTAGTTCGATTCACTTGTAACATGAGTGCTCCCGGGCGAATCTTGAGATCAAAACTTGAATTTTATCATTTTCCAGGTCGTGACCTCGATCCCCACCGGCTCTCTGCCCGCCAACATGACGATCGGATCCGGCGAAGCTCCCGCCAACGACCCGCTCATGCCCGACTACGAAGACCCGGACACGCACGAAAAACGCTCCGGGCAGATCCTCTGGGTCCGCGGGCTGACCCGACTCCAGACTCAGGTTGGTCCCCGGAGCCTTGCGTTTGTCAGAAAGTTGGATTGGACTTTGGAATCAGATTCATTGTTGAAAGGAAAGAGAAAGGAAAAAGAACCCTGCCCTCAAAATTTTGTAGGAGAAGAGTGTATGAGGGAAAGATATGAGAAAAATGAGCCGCAATCGAGGAAATGATTCTCTATGGACAAAAATGAAAAATTGAGCTTCTAACGCAAATTTTCGATTTTTCGAATTTTTATCGAGTTCTGTGAGTTTTTGGAGAGTTTGGATGGACAAAAAAGCCAGTTTTGATCAGGAAGTACATTTTATAATCGATCTAGAGCACTTGAATTTTTTATCCAACTCATTTTTCTCGATTTTTTCTTCTTCATACACCCTCAATTTCGGATTTTTATAATTGTTGAGTGTCAACCAGTCGCTTTTTCATGATTATAATTTCCTAAATGTGAACGTTTTTCATACGTATCAATAACACTACGAGGAAACGACGACATTCATCGGATTTATGTTTTTTTCAGTTTTTTGAGTTTTTCTATGATTTTATTTTTACTGTACTTCTTCCTCAGCTTTTTGGTCCGTCCTCTCATTTTTTGCATGCTACAAGGTTTTTTTGAATTATGAATAGAAAAATGGAAAAATGAAATTTGAGGGCAGAGGTTTCATAAAAAAAAAGTTTGGAAGGAAATTTGTCGAGCTTTTTTTTTCTTCTACTTCTTCTGATGCGCCGAAGCTTTCGTGTTGTTAATTTTCAAGGAAAAATGGTGATTCTGAAGGAAATTACTCGAAAGAATGGCTGGCAATCGTTGTTGTTCTTTTTTTTCGAAAGTCTTGAAAATTCGGCTTCAAATCGGCAATTTCTGACGATTTCGGACCAATTTTTGGGCCCTGAATCGGCAGAATTTGACAGTTTTGAGCCTTTTTTGGTTCTCATTCATTTTATTCGCTTTTTCTAGGTTTTTCCAAGAAGTTATGGGGAAAAGAATTGAGTTGGCGCGTGCTTAAGTTAAGAAAAAAGTATTTTTTTGATTTTTTTTTTTAACCCAAGAGTTTTTTTTTTGATTTCGACGCTCCGACCCCTGTTGATTTTTTTTTTGTTTTCTTGTCCGTCCTTTACAAAATACGTTTCTACCCAATATATGAGTATTATATATATTTTTCATAATTATTTTTTGGCCGTGTATGCGCAAGTTTTTATTGATTGGATCATATCACGAGGAATCAAGCTTTTGTGGGATTTTTGGGCAGTTTTTTGGGTTTGAAGAAATTTTTTCTCGATTTCTTCACACTCTTGCTTCATACGGTAATTTACATTGGATTCAATCTTTTTTTTTGGTTTCTGGATGGCTTGGGACTTATTTTCACTGTGAAAAATTCAATTCTGACTTTTTTGAATCGGCTGGCGGAAATTCTGATTTTTAAACTTAGCCGTGGCTTATTTCCAATTACGAAAGGGAAACTTCGGCCGCGGCCTGAAATTCCAAATTAAAAAAATTCGCTCTTGTTCAGAATTTTGATTTCGATTTGGAAAAACCGGCCACACCTTGAAAAATTGATTTTAAAGCCAATGTTCAATCTTGGCTCATAGTTCAAGGTTTTGAACCGAGAAAAAAAAAATCGTGACCTGGTTTTCCAAATTTTGGAATTGGAAAACCCAGCCGCGGCCAAGTATCAAGTCATCTCTGAACCCAAAAAAAAAATATTTTCTAAGTTTTCCAAATTTTAACCAATGTACATTACCGTGAAAATTTTGATGACGAATGTGCTCGTTTTATGCTGGAAATGGTTGATTTAACTGTAGTCAATCTATTATTTTATCATTTCGGAGTATTGTGAATAGATCGGCGCGCAATGATGATGGGTTACGACGAGAAATTTCATATATACATATTTTTCCCCCTTTTATGTGCTTACTGTGAAGTGTTCGGTATATATATATATATATTCTCTCTTTGTAGTAGTCGTTTTTTTGTCCTCGAATACCAGCCGACAGCCAGCCAGTTCAAGAAAATTCTTAGTTTTCCGATGATGGAATGAAAAATTTGGCTCAAAATGAGCCATATTTTCTCATTCCATCAAGGTTTTTTTTTGTTCTAACAACCGCTTTCCCTAATTTTGCTTCCGTGGTTTGATGAGCACAAGAGTTGAGAGAAAATCGAATATTTAAAAATGTTAGATCTGAAGAAGAGAATAATATTGAATGGTGAGACGGAAAATGAGGCTGAAAGTCGTGGAAATTAAAGTGATTACTTGAGGGCTTTTTCTGTGAGCTCTGGGCCCTTTTGGAAGCTTGAATTTAAGTTTAGAAGAAGCTCTGAGCCGCCAAGTGGCCACTTAAGAGGTTTCAAAAGTCTCTTCAAGTGGTCCCTTGGGCAGAATTGTCTCTTTGGACACCTAGATAAGGGTTATCGGAACTCTGAGCCACCAAGAGATGAAAAGAGTAATTTTAAGCCTCTTTTTTAAAGGAATTGAGATTTTTTAGCTTCTGAGTGCGAAAAGAGACATAATTTACAAGTTCACAGGAATTTTAAACTTCAAAAAATGCATATTCAAATGCCCTTGAGTAATCTTCTTTTTTTTTCTTCAATTTCAACGATTTTTAGCCTCAATTTTTTCCGTTGATCCTAGTTATTTGCTCGATTGGCGTGATGCACATTTTGAGGGGTATGTGCTTGCTTTTTTATTTTGATTTTGGTAAGGAAATATTCACAAAATCACGAGCACAATATGGCAGGGTTTGACATGATATGATGATGATGATGGAATTAATATTGGTTTGTGGGGTTTTTTTTCAAGTTTTTTTTTTCATTTTTAATTTATATATTTTTTTCAAATCGTTTTATTGATTGTCCTGGAGTCCATCAACGTCCGCGTCCATATGTTTTGTGTTTCACACAGAAGTACGTTCCGCAATCACACATTCACACAATCACACAGTCACACACACACAAGCAGTATATATTCACGTTTTGCACCTTTATTTTGTACGTTTATGTTCTTGTCACAAACGTTGATATCCATGGTTCTGTTCGGTATGTCTTAAAGATAAAAAATAACGATACAAGAGTTTTAAGAATTGGTACGAGAGGTTGAGCGGAAAATATGGAAGTTTAAACAAGTTTACTTTTTTTCCGAAGTGAAACGGACCATTTTCCATCAAGATATTTGAGATTCAAAGACACGACCGAGTTTTCCAACTCTAAAGTTGGATTCCCGACCGCGGCCTTTTTTTCCAAATCAAAAACTTTAGGGTAGGCCGTGGCTGAAGTTTGGTAGTTCCAAATAAGAAAAATTTATCAGTAGCTAAGTTTTTTTAGCCGAAAACTGGACTTTCAAGTCGTGGCCTGACTTTCCAACTCAAAAGTTTGAACTGAGACTTTCAACTTGAAATTTGGGTTGGCCAATTTTTTTCCGCTCAACTTCTCTTTCACCGTTTTTGGACTTTTCCAACGATAAGATTGTGTTGTGTCGCAATATTTCCTGAGTAAATCTGACATGCTGAAATGATAGATAACTATTTTTTATTCAATTTAAAAAACAGAAAAAAAAAGATAAAAAGATTGGTGAAACGGAGGTGTTTGGGGTGGCAAGTCTTGTTGTTTTTCTTGGTTCTGTTCCTTTATTCTTTTTATATTTTCCTTTAGTGCTTTATTTGCCGTTTTTCATACATCTCCCTACCCCGTTTTCAATATGATACCTGTTTTACCCTCAAAAAAAAAGAGAGATTACTGGAAAGTTGGAGAGTTAAAGATAGAGAGAATAACTATCACTCTCCACCTTTTCCATGATCTCTAACCATTTTGTATACCTATTTTGCTGTTTTTATCTCCTCAATAATGTACTCAAGGGCTGTATGAATGAAAAAATGAGTTCTCAGGGTTTTACGGACCGTAAACCTTCATTCATACGGCCTTTTCCCTTTCCTACTGTGCTTTAATCCCGAAAAAGCTTCACTTATTATCTCATTTCCTAAATTTTCATTGATATCACTTTTCAAAAAAGCTTATTGGTTAAAAAAGCATGCGCTTACTAACAAATAATAATATTCTCAAATAGCCACGGCTTGAAATCCACCTGGTTACATTAGGAATGGCTCGCTGCGAACAAAAAATCCTGACGCGCGAAAGTCGTTTTTTGGTCGGGTGCAAGTTTTGAATTGACCGCTTCGCAGCCGAGCCATTCCCACTGCGATCAACGTGTTTCGAGTCGTGGTCGATCCACTATAACTTGCAAAAATCTCTTTATTTCACAACTAACACTGGGGAAATGATCAATTGATTGCCACCAATGAAAGAACAACAACCTTGCCAACCCACAAACACAATTTTTGGTGTAAATTCAAGTTTTTTTTTTGCTATTCACGCCAAGTTCCGCTTGACTCATCACACATTGCATTACAGTAACGAAGTTGAAATGATTATCAGATTTGAAAAAATGCAAATATTCAAACGAAATTGTAGATGTCTTTGACAAAGTAATCGTCATTTATGCTCAATTTTTGACGGTTTTGAGTTGATTTTCCGAATTCCTGGCTGAATTATGGACCGGAAGTAGTATTTTTTGTACAGTTATCGGTTTTTAAAAGTCTTATGGGATCTTGAAAAGTTTCAATATAGAGATTAGAAAGAAAAAAGAACTAGGCTAAGCTGAGAGATCAACTGCGTTTGAAGAGACGCCAGAGAGACAGAGAAACTCGCTTTCTATGGCGTCTCTTCTGACCCACTCGATCTCTTGCTTCTACCACCGAGATTACTTCAATTTCGCTACTGTAATGCACAGATACTTTCACTTTCTTAACACGAACGCTAGGCCTGGACTTTGTTTTATGCGACGAATTTTCTTCCGACTTGACTTGCCCCATCTGGATTCTCCGAGAGAGCAACGAATTACAGTTGCGAGTGGTGAAGGCGTTCCGATCGTCGGTCGATGAAGACGAGAGGAGGTCGATCGCCTCGACGCACTCGGTGCAGTCGATGCGCGGCCACTGGGGTCGCCATGGATCATCGCCGGACCCGACGGGAGCCCGTGCGTCGCTCGCCGCACTGTCGCACCGACAGTCCCCGCAGCCTTACCCGTACTACCACCACCAGCAGCCCAGGACGCCCTCTCCTCAACCACACATCATCGTGGAGAATGGAGGGTCGGCGGTGGCGGCGACGTCGCCGGTGACTGGAAACGGCAAAGTCGAAAAAGTGCCCCTCGTCCAGAAATGGTCCCCCGACACCAACTCCTCCTACACGCAGACACAGCGTAGCATCAACAAGAGCATGTCCCTTGATACGCCTGTTTCCGTTGCTCATGTCTAGATCTTAGTGTTCGTAATCTATCAACGTCCAGAAACAAGAAAATCAGTCCGTTCGATGCTCTGGAGGTAGAAACTCCAATTTTCCAGAGATTGTCGTCGATTGTATTGTTTGGTACGCAAACAGCAGACTTGACCAAAAAAGAAAAAACCATTTTCGGAAAATTTTTTTACAATGTGTCGCAAACATTTGACGAACACGTCTTACAAAAATTGTGAATTTTTGCGTGAAGTCTGATGCTTGCGGACCAGGCACTATATTCGACGACGATTTTCTTTTTCTCAGCAGCCTCAAAATCTTCAAATTTCTGGACGTTGTTACTTCATCATTACTTTTCAACTCGCTTTTTTCTGCCGAGCCTTTTTTTTTCATTTTTATCCGGGTACCTCAAAAGTTGGTAGTAAGACTTTAAGACTTTTTTTTCCTAATATTTCTATTTTATTTTGGTGTTGCCCACACACACGCCCATCATTGCCTTTTTTATCCAATTTTTTTCGAATTTTCAATTATTTTTTACGAGTTTCTAAATTAAGAGTAGACTCGCATTTGTTAATACAACTTGTTAGTTTGAAATTCTGCTCAGTTTGCGAGAGTGTATGGAAAAAGAGGAGACGCAGAGGTCTTTGACGTCAGATGTCTCTTTTTTCTCATAGTCTCTAATTTGGCAAGATTTATCTCATTGGAAGAAACACTATTACTGCTCATAATAACTTGATTTTCCGTGTAGTTTTTTATTCTTTTTGAAACATTTTTTCAGTTCAAAATGAATCTTGTCGGCGCCGCTCACTTGTCTCTTTTTTTCTCGAAAAAAAAATCTAAACTCTTCTTTCTGTTTTTTCTTCAGGGTGTTCCTCTAGCCCTAACAGTGGTTTAGATAGGCTTGTTAGGGCTTTTTCTTCGAACTTTTCTCAAGATTTATAGTTTTATTCTGTTTGGTTTGAACTTGGTGACATATTGTGCATTACTTAGCGTGTTAGAACAATTTTCTCTTTGGAAAATCTCAATTTCGTATTTTTTAGACTTTTATTACGATTACGTGACACTGCACATTTATGTATGAATGAATAAATTTTTCAAAAACTAACAATTTTATTTTTGAAGAAAAAAGAAAAAAATAGAAAATGTTTGTGTACGTGCTTTATGTGTTTTAATTTCGTGTTTTTCTGCATTTTTGAATGTCAACACTGCAAATAATTGGATTTGTTCGTCAGATCGCACATTCTGTGTGATTTTCGTGGCGATTTTTTCATTGCTCCCCGTGAAGCTCACATTGTGTCACGGACGATTTTTCACTTTGCATTTGGGAAATTCAACAAGAAATATCCTATTCAATAGAGCTGTACCCTATTGCCGCCTGGAGGAAAAACTGAGAAATCGAGCTTTCCCCTGAAGCTTTTCCCACATAAACTTGGTCTTTTTTGGCTTTTTCGTGGGGATTTTCTCAAGAAAAAGCCGTTTTTATTATGGTTGGCTGTGCGATAAAGTTTGAGAAATTGGTATTTTTCAGTCTTTATCTGCGAAATTTCAGCAGTTGTCGTTAATTTTAACGTTTGGTACGCAAAAAATCACATGTGAAAAAAAAGTCTCCAGAAACGAAATTCAAACTCAAACGATTAGGTCGCATTTGGAATGGCTCGACGCGGTCAGGTAGTAGTTTTTGGTCGCCTGAAACTTAGGTAATTCACTCAGTGTTTACGTACCTGACATTATAATTAACGACAAATTCAAAAAAAAACCAAAAAAAGTCTTTTTTCAAACTTTATCGCTCTGATTACCTCGAAATAAAAGAAATCTAATAGTCGCCACTCTAGTGACCACTTCAGACGTTTTATCCCACCAAAATCACCTCGTTTTTTTTCTTGGAGTGTTACGCACATTTCCCCCCGTACTACCCCATATCGTGGAAGCAAATGAATTGAAAAAAATTGGATTTTCATAGAAAAAAGAAAATATTTTTTGGGTAATTTCCGGTATGTCGGCTGGTTGTATTTGCAGGTGATTGGAGGTGAACGGTCGGACCATCTAATTCCAGTGCCGCTGAGCAGCGCTCCCACTGACCAGGCTGTAAGCGTTTACCAGAAACCCCATTGGTCGATTTCGCTCTTTTAATCGCTTTTTTTAAAACCATTTTTTTTCGTTTTTCTTCTCGAAAAATGGTGGATTTTTGAAGATTTGTTTTTTTCCAGTTTCTAAGAGGGTTTCCAGTTTCAGCTTGGTGAAAATGGCCTCGAAGTCGAGAGTCTTCTGCGCTCTAATGATAAATATGTCACTTCAAGAAATAGCAAGTTGACGGGAAAAAATAGCCTTGAAGTAGCTTGTCTTGTGCGCCCCGTTAATAAAATTAGCCTTGAAAGCGAATTTTGGTGAAAAGGATTTTTGAGGCTATTTTTTCTGTTAACAATGACTTCAAAGTGCTATTTTTAATTGTCAGAGTGTGGCAATTCGATTTTTCTCAAAAAAAGTGCATAAATATTTTTTTCGAAACTAGATTTATCATTAGAGCGCGAATAAAAAAAAGTTGGAGGCCATTTTTTCTCATGATTTTCAAAATAAGAATATACTGGTTTTTGCGCTCTAATTATAACTCAATTCATTAACGCTTGCTTTTTTGAGTTTTCGACGATAACCTTGGTAACGGAACTTGATGACGCGCCCCGGACGTCTCAGAGCATTTCTAGTGAGCACTTTAGTAGCGTCACACCTCTTAAGTGACCCCTAGAAACACTCAGAAACGTCCGGAAGGCGTCCAGTTTTCGTTACGAAGGTCAGAGTGCTCCGGACGTTGTTGAGTAGTTCTAGGGATCACCTAAGGGTGCGACGCTACTAAAGGGTTCACTAGAAATGCTCTGAGACTTCCGGGGCGCGTTACCAAGGTCCAAGTATAAAAAGCTTTAACCAATGAAACTGAAAACCTTACGAGAATAAGAAAAACGAAGAAAATTGGAAGAAAGAAGACGAATTGAAAGAAGCGGATCGATCTTGTGATGTGGTGGTGACGTGTAGTGTATTAATATAGTGCGTTTAACATATCCCCAATAATCAAGAGCATATGTCTATTCGGTAACAAATCCTCCTCCCTAACAAATTAACAAAAGCAAACAAAAAAAAACAAATCGAAACGAATCCCTTGCCCGTTTTGTGTGTGGCTGCATCAATGCATTCTCCAACTTTTACACACTTTGAATTGCGCTTTTGTTCGGGTACCTTTTCATTTTTTCTCATTTTGGGCCTTTTAGAGCACGCTTTTCTCATTTTTTTACTTCAAATTCATCTCAAATTAGGCTTTTCCTAACCCCCATACTTTAAGTTTCGCCGTTGGACTCGTTTTTTTCTGTGGATCGGAGTGATTTTTCTTAAGTTGCTAGAGAGTGCGTGAAACGTGGAGACTTCAGACGCGCAGAGATGTCTGCCGTCTCTCGCCTCCCCATGCTATTTCTTCATTAACAACCGTTTCGAATAAATGTGGCTCTTTTTTAACGCGCTGTCGCAGTCTTCTTGTGTTGCGGAATTGAGCAAACCAAAAAAAAAAACAGATTTGAATTTATATCCTTGTTTTCGCTATACATGTAAATATAATGGTTTTCTCTCAGTTTTTCGGTTTTGACTTCAATATTAACTGAAACCAGATGGGGTGTTCATGAGCGGAGTTTTTTGGATTTTTTTGAAGGGTCTTGTAGGTTTTTTCACACCAATGATCTACTAGAAATTCCTCAAAATTTCCCATTTTCGAGGACAATGGGCTTCAAAATGAGAAAAAAAACTTTATTTCGGGCAAAGTTGCTCTATTGATAAAAATATTTCCTGGTTCTCAGTCTTTTGTAACTAGACAGCTTTCGAAACGAGAGAGGGCATAGAAAAATACAAATCTCTCTGGCCTCTCATCTTTCTAACGCTGTCTAGCTTACCAAGGTGAGGGATTTGAAAATGAGCGAAAAAGTATTTTCGGGCAAAGTTGCTCTACTGATACAAGTATTTCTTGCATTTTTTTTTGGTAGTTCTCCGTTTTTATAGCTAGATAGCCTAAGAAACGAGAGAGACCAGAGAAAAATACGAATCTCTCTGGCCCTCTCATCTTTCTAACGCTGTCTAGCTTACCAAGGTGAGGGATTTGAAAATGAGCGAAAAAGTATTTTCGGGCAAAGTTGCTCTACTGATACAAGTATTTCTTGCATTTTTTTTTGGTAGTTCTCCGTTTTTATAGCTAGATAGCCTAAGAAACGAGAGAGACCAGAGAAAAATACGAATCTCTCTGGCCCTCTCATCTTTCTAACGCTCTCTAGCTTACCAAGGCGAGGGATCTGTTTTGAAGATGAAAAAAAAGAAGAAAAAAAAGAATTTTTTTCGACTTTCAAGTATTTTTTTAAGCACAAAGCCATTTTTTTCCCGAAAAAAATAAGGTTTTGGCCGATTTCAAATGGATCATTGGATAACGTGAAATGAAAAAAATATTTAAAAAAACGGTTTTTTTATTGAATATTTTTTTCTATCATTTCAATGCTAGAGGATGAAGATTTCACAGCATCTCGCTCATGGATACTCCTGGATTTTATTTTTCTGGGAGTTTGGGGCCGTGAATTGATTTCTCCTTTCAGATCCGCGTGGTGAAAGCTTTCCAAGCCGGCTTGGACCGACGCGAACCGAGTTTGACCGGCCAATCGGCGGCCCGACTCCGAGAAATTTCCCGCCAACTGCGGTTGCAAGTCGACAGCGAGAATCGGGGTTCGTTTTCTTCGGAAAGATGGAATTTTGAGTAAAACTGTGACCAACAAGCTAGGCCAAAACGAAAGGAGAACGAAAAAAACGTTGAAAAAAAACTCCTTGCGTCTTTTTCCCGCAGACTTTTGTACCTAGTTCATTCATCAGTGGCTTAAGGTAGCATTAATGAGGGTCTTGACACGATTAGTGAAATAGTGGGCGAAAAGAAGAGGTTCAGACGTCCAAATTTTATTTATCGCTGCGTCTGGTTAGAAGAATGAACTGTAGTTTTTTTGAGGCATTTTCAGCTTTTTAATAAATTTTATTGAAAAAAAGGTACATGAGAATGACAAATTTTAGTTCCTACAGAAAAAATCCAATCTTTAACGCGTAAGGTAAGATTTTTTCTACGTGAGGTGAAATTTTTTTCGGAAGTTTTTTCAGAATGTGATTGAATATCATAAGTTTTATACCCACTTCAAGTTGGAGAGGTAAACTGGGAAAAAAAGTGATAAAGGACAGTCGGGAGCGAGAGAGCAAGAACGCCTGAAGAGATTCCAGAGAAAAAGAGTTCGCCTACTTCTCTGGAGTCTCCATGAGACCCTTGATCTCTAACTTTTTGAGCTTATTGTCTAAATTTCCCGATTTTCAGCACGTTCCTCATCTCGAGCCAACATCAAGGACAATTCAGAAACCAACAATACTTCTGTTTGAGCCGACTCTTCAAAGAAAATTTCAGTTTTCTTGTAATGAAACAGATTTTTTTTTCCCCTACAATTTCGATGCCTTACACCATTTTATTTTCTTTTAAAAACTGTGCTTGAAACCCACAAAAACCGTTATTCTTTCGCGTTCTTCTCCTTGAAACCAGTATTAAAATGTTTTTTTTTTTTTTGAATTCCTAACTTGTCCTTAGAATTGCCCCGCATAGGATATTTATTTCATTTTTTTTTTCTTCTCCTGCATAATTAACTGAACTTTTTGTCTTGAAAATTATCGTTTACTCCCGTTTTTTCGTGTTTTATTTTTTATTTTTTATTTTACGGTTTGCACCGGTAGTTGTTGCTTTTTTCTCTCCCTTCTCTCTTGTTCTCTTTGAATTTTTTCGTATCTCTCATATTTGTATTATTTGATTTTTTGTTGGAGAAATCCCCTGCATTTTCTGCAAAAAAAGGTTTCCCACCTACTGCCAATCTTTTTTTTGTGCGTCGTCATTTTGAGAAAAAAAAGTAGGTAATTTCGAGCATAATTTGAGCCTTTGTTCTTCATTTCTCTCAATTCAAATGTCTCCGCCCGTTTTACACAGTTTTATAAATATAAACGCTTTTTTTTGAAAATCGTTTGCGTCGTTTTTTCGTTTCCAAGCATGAAATATTTTGTGAAATCATCTTTTTCTGGAAAGTTCGGACGGTTTTTTTGACAGTTTTCAGAGTGCGGTCATTGGAATTCAGTTTTTTTGTTCATTTTTTTCAAGGTCAGAGTCTTATTTCTCAATTTTTTTCAGAACTTTTTTTAAGCTTTCCGGAAAAAAAATAATCAAAAAAACAAGGAAAAAGAAATTTCAAAACTGAGCGAGAAAAAAAATCGTATGAATTTTTCAAATTTTTTTGCGCTTTTTCTCTTCAAATTCATTATAAACTTCAAAATCTTTCAAACTGTCCGCACTTTAAAACCGTTCAAACTTTCCTCTAAATATTTTTTGGGGGCAAAATCTCCTTTCGAAAAGATTCATTTCCACTGAATCCGGATATACAAAGACGACAATCGCGAAAAGAATAAAAAGATGGGAAAAATATTCTCATTTTCGAAGGACTTTTTTCCGTGAAAGCTACCACTTACTAGCGATTTTTTTGTGGTTACAACCAATAAGTTTTTCTTCCATTTAAGAGAAAAGAGAATAAAACAAGAACGAGTAGTGGAAAAGAAGAAAAAAGTCGATTTAGTATCAAAGGAAGACAAGCGAACTTGTATTCGCACCGCAAATCATGAAGGCTTCTGTTTTTGAAAATGTATAGATTTGATGGATAGATGGACATAAATTAGGGCAATACTCAAAGGATTGGATGAAAAATTTACAAAAATCAAAAATAATAATTGTAAGATGTTGGTGTGGGGGACAGAACTAACAAGGGAGGTCATTTCACTTTGCGATTTGGAATTTCTACAAACTTTCTCAAACACTCTCTGAATGTCTCGATTAAGACCTCTCATAGTCACTACCTGCGCAAAATTCTAGTTTTTGAGATATCGAAGCTGCAAAAAATGACCTTCAAAATTAATTTTCTTGAAAACTAGAAGCTGGCGCGGGTTGCAACTTTGATAGAGCCTAATATAAATCTTCAGAGATTGCTCGAGCAAATTTATGGAAAATTCCAAGTCACACAGTAAAATGACTTCCCGTGTAATTAGGAGGACTTGGTGGACATTTTATTCATTTAAATGTACTGGGAAAGCCAACGGAATCCGTCACCGTAGCCCTGACGCCGCAAAACCGAAACCGTGAACACTTCCAATGGGCGCGAGGCCAAATCGTTGCGCGAAACTTCGCCTTAAAGTCATTTATTAGTTCATAGGGACTAGATGAGCTTCAAAAGTTTGTTTCTAACACGGGCAATGCAAAAGGTCGAGGTATTGGAATGAAAATTTGTACCGAGGTAATTTAAGACCTCCTGAATCCAGAGGTTGGGAAAAAGTGCGCATTATTGGTTCTAGTCGAGTTATGGCGCTTCAAAGGCAAATCCTAATGCCGTGTTCAGAATAATCACGCAAAATTAAAAATAGCCAGGGGAGTGAATAAAATGACTAACTTTTGGAAAGTCAGAGAAATTACTTTAGGCCTGAGTTCTTCTATTTCTCTATTTATCCCGAAGAGTTTAGATTCGAAGGGAAATTGCGTCATTTTTGCGCTAATGAAAGTGTTTGAAAAAAAAATTATAGATGATGCTTCGAAGATTAATCTTGAGAGTTAGAAGGTTGAAATTTTCAAGCTGGATTTAGCCTGAAAAGGAATAAGAGCCTCTATAACTTTTGAAATCATCTAAAAACGCCAAAATTGATCGACATCATCACGTTAAAAAAATCTTAAAAAAATCATGAATACTCAAAGATTTTTTTCCATCGATTTTCGCAAGGCTCAGTACTTGATTGAATTCTGAACTAAAAGCAAAAGCAGCGTAAAAAAAATCCAGGTAGTTTTCTAGAAAAAGTTAGATGAAACAATAACCCTTTAAAAGTATCGATTAGTTTGAAAAAAAACGACTATTCTTCGATTTTAACCGTTTCCCTTTTCCTGGAGGGTCTCAAAGGGTGAAAAAACGGCTAATCTTCAATTATTTTACAAGTTTCGTAAGTTTTTCTACTCCTTAAGGATCTCAATTGAGGGAAACATGTTTTAGTTTGAAAAAAGCTATTCTTCAAATTTTTTTTTACAGCTTCCCAAAATTTATTCTTCTTTATAGGGTCTCAGGCAAAAGAAAAATGTATTAGTTTGAAAAACCCGCCTATTTTCCAATTTTTACAACTTTCCTAAGTTTTTAACCTCCAAGGCTCCCAAAAAGAGAGAGAAAAAAAAAAATAAATGAATATTCACCTTTTTCCCGTACACAAATGCTGAACGTTGAGCTGCCACTTCAGCTGATCCTCGCCCAGCGCGTTCGCCTTGTCGATTTTTGTTGCCCAAAATAAGAACTGGCGCCGAGGCGACCTTCATTTTTCGATTTAATTAATAATTTTCTCTCGATATTACCTGCTCATCCTGGAGCAAAGACTCGAGTTCGGCGCGACTTTCCGCGATTCGCTCCAAATCGGCACAATCGACGAGAAAAACGATCGCATCCACTGCCGGGAAGTAATCTTTCCACACGCGGCGTGCTGAAAATTCATTGTTTTTTTATAATATTTCCAATTTTTTTTCTAAAAACCTTGTGCGTGGCCGCCCAAATCAAAAAGTCGTGAACTGGATGCCACCCAGTGAAAGCTGCTCCGAAGCTGAAAATTTTATAATTTGAGTTTTTTTCAAGAAAATAAGGGTGGGGCTTTTTGAATGGAAAGAAAAAAATGACGAAATTTCTTATCTCAAAAAAATGGTTTGTAGTTCTATCTTCGGCTAGGAAAAACGTGCAGATTTTTCAATAAACCCAATTTTTTTATTATAATTAATGAAATTTCCGATAGCAGTTATTATATGTTTACTTCAACGCATTTCGATCATATTGATTTTTTCTCTTTTATTTAATTTTTGATGTTAACTCTCCCCCTAAACTTTCGAGATTTTCAGTTCTAAACCTAGGATCTCCAGAGTTGTCCCTTTAGGGTCGACTAGAACTCACGAAAGTGGTCCCTATAGAGGTTTTAGTTAGCGGCTACATGCTAGTCTAAAATTTTTTTTAAACAGAATGAATAAGCGTTTTAAATGAAATTTAAAGACCCTATAGGGACCACTTAAGCTTCAGGGCTGTTATTTCCCCCGACTCATATAGGGACCACTTAGGAATCCATAAGAAAATGCAACTTTTCGCGCTATGGCTAATCTTTATTGCATAAAAAATTTTCTTACGCTTTTTTGTATGTTCATTAAAACCGTAACTATCCCTAACGATTCAAAGACTCGAATATTTTCTTTAAAATGCAACTTTTCTCGCTAAAAGGATAATCTGATGTCCCTGATCTGCACTATGACTTTCTCAAGTTCAATACAATCTTCAATGTCACGATGGAGAAAAGGAGAGAAAAAAGTGGCGAAGTGTATGACGTCACAAGGCGTCCAACACTGTCTGGCCGGTCTCTCCGTTATCGTCGTGTTCTTTTCGGAACGCACCATCAAACAGATCAGCTGATTCTCCATCATGATTTGAAGTTCATTTTCTCTAGCATCCAGTTCAAAATACATAAATTGCACCTTGAAAGGCTCAAAATTGACGGAAATTGCTTTAAATTTATTTTATACGTAAAGAAATCAATGCCGGGTTCAAAGTAATTTTCGAGGAATTTAAAATTATCTCGGACTCTCCAAAACTTAATTATCTTCTTGACTTTCTGACGACTATTTTGAAATTTGTGTAACCCCCTCGAACATGGGACAAACTAGAAACTTTGAAAACTTATAAAAAAGTTTTTTACTGTACGAATGAAGCGAAAATTCGTGAAAACTATCGGATTCCTTTATTTTTTGAAGTGAACTATCCGTTATTCATCAAAAAAACACTCTCTTAAATCATATAAAACCATCAAAAAAATGTCTTTAAAAAAAGGTTTGAACCATAATTATAATTATAGAATTTGAAACATTTGGAACAGCTCAGTAGGTAGTTGAAGTTTGGAAATAGATCTCAAAAACGAAATGCCACAAAAATTATAAAAAAATTTAGTTTTATATAAGCAATCGGAAAAAAATTTTTATTTTTCGCCTTGTTCGAAAAAAAGACTGAACGAAAAAAATAATAAATTTCAAATCTAAAAATTCTAAATTTCCTCAGCCAATTTTTCCAAGGAAAAAAACCATGAACAGTGAAACTCGTTCTCTTACATAATCTGCCGAAAAAAAGTTTTTCCATATAAAAAAAGTGATCAACAAGAAGAGCGCATATATCCCCAATCGAACCGGTTCCTAACGTTGGCGGATACACAAAAGTTGGGCACATAATATCATGAGAGAGGCAAAAAAAAGCTTCCTTTTTCCGCATTAAGAAACCCGATTTTTTTGTGGATATCATTTTGAAAAAAAAATTATAAAAAACAAACTTGGATGCAAGGTTGGCACATGCTGCGCCATCCGGTCGTCTTTCAACATGTGCAAAAGCGTCGTTTTTCCGGCATTGTCAAGCCCGAGGAACACCAGCTTTCCTTTTTTATTGGCCAAGCCTAAAATTTACGAATACATCATTGAAATCACCAGAAAAATATACCCAACATGTTGAGCACGCTATTGAACCAATCCCAAAGGAAAGACATTGTTCCTGGAAAAAAAATTGATTGAAAAACCACGACAAACTGGTGAAAAATAAAAAAAAACTTCAAATTGGAGTTTTGTCAGACTTTAAAGAAAAATGAAGAACAAAAATGAAGTTTTTAAAAAAGTACAAGCCTTACGCGACCGGAAAGATCATTGAAAAAAGTTCTTTGCCTTGAAAAAATTTCAAAATTTATTTTTGCTGCTTCAAGAAGCACAGCAAGGCTTATTGAACTAACTTTGTTATTAAAATAATAAGAACAAAGCTGATAAGCAGAAAAACAGCAAATAAAAAGCTTGCATCACTTATTTAATGCATAGAAATGGGCGTGAACTAAAACAGGATCTAGCTACCATTTTTTTCGTATAATTCGTGAAAGAAAAAGCCACAGAAAATTAAAATAACAAAAGAATTAAAAAAATAGCGACAAGTCCAAATGATGACGGAAATTGACTCAAATAACAATTTAAGAAAATTTTTTTAACAACGCGTTTAATAATTTAAACAACTCTCCACTGAATATAGTTTTGAAAAAGTTGAATAACTCGATAAAAAGATTAGAAAAGTGAAAAGATTGTTACGTAAAAAGTGCCGAATCGTCGCTGATGGCGAAGCACCCGAGCGATGGTGCGTTGGTTGGCTGAGGACCCAACGTTTTGCACGCGCTCAAATACGCAGCCAAATCGCATTCCACGTGTACCAAAACGCCTTGTCTTTCACTTTTCGTTGGGTTTTCTACGGCATTTCTCAATGGAAAGTGCGAATGTGACTTGGCTGCGTGAAGCGGAAGAGTCACTGATCCAATCGAAAGCGAAATGGCCGTAGAAAGCGGGAAAACAAGGCGTTCAAACTTTGAGTTTACTGAAAAGTTACGTTTTGATCTGAATTGTAATATTTGCCATTTCAGTCTTTTTTTTTTCACAAGTCTTCTTGAAAAGACGGGAATTCGAGGCGTTTCAGAAGCTAGAATTTGGACACTGATTTACGCTATTTTTAGATACTGTTCCTTTTTTTTTTTCATAAGAAAGCATTTTTTTTCCGCATGCTCCGACAGTTTGATGCGTTAAAAAAACTTGAAAAATGAAGATTTCCCTTTGTGAAGCTTTCGAAGGACAGCAAAATTTCTTCTTCCAAGTTTCTAATCGCTAATTGAGCGCGAATTTCTCGTTCTTGGTGCCAAAATTAGAAAAAAAAATACATTAAAAAAGGATACTTTTCAGGTTCCATCATGTCTTCTCTGGTTTCCTCGTTAGGATACAACTTCAGTGGACAGGTTAGTCCGTAAAACTTTATTCAATTCTCGATAAATTCTTTTGTTTCAGTTGGTAGCTAGGATAATATCGTTTGGGATAAATATGTACCTTTTACGGGTCATTGACAACGATGTACTGGGCCTTGTCAATGTAAGGTTTGAAATTTGACGTTTTTAAGAAAATTTGAATTGTTCAAAACTCTTCGCTGAGGGTTTTAAAGGAGCACAGAAGAATTTTGAAATAAGAATTTCGAAGCGAAGTGCCGTTTTCAGTGATTATTTAGGTTACTTGACGCTTTTCAACAGTTCAGTGACCTTTTTTAAACGGAAAATTGCGAAAAATTGCTTACAGGGTTGGCAAAATTATTTAATTTCTCGCTTCGAGACCTTTCTTTGCTCTCTAAAAACCTCCAGCAAAGATTTTTCAGCTAAATATACATGAATAGACAGAGAATTTTCAGATTAACACTATTATATAACACGATTTTGTTCCTGACCCGGGAACCCATGAGAAAAGCGCACATTTTCCGAGAAAGTCTGCCCCAATTTATGAATTTGGTCTGGTTGAGGTTGGAATCCTGAAGATTCAGAAAAGAAGAAAAATCAATTTCAGCCCTTTGATATCGCTTTTTCTGAGCGTTTTATTGGTCTTATTTTGGCAAACTTTTTCAACGAGCGGAACTGAAGTTTCCGCCTTCGTTTTGTGGGCTTCCCCAGTTTCGGCGATTATCGAAGCTTTTGCCGAACCGTTTGCCGTTGTTTCCTTGAGGTAATTAACTTGGAATTTAGGTGAAATCAAGCTTTAACGAATCTAAAAATAGTATCTGAAAATGTGAAAAGCATGTGAAAAATGTGAATAATCGTTTCTGTAAAATGTGAAAATCAAGGTTTGATTACTTAAAATCACTAGAAAATGCGAAAAATTTACCTAAGATCATTGAAAAAAATGTTTTTATTTTTTTATTGGTACTGCACTTTTTTTGATATTCAACTTCAAAATTTTTTTTTGACGCTTGAAAATTTTTTTGATTTGGGCTAGAAGATCAAAATAAACCATTTTTTTCCAAGTATTATTCTGAAAAAAATTGATCCAAGATGCGTGTTCACTGCAAAAAGTTCCATAAGGAAAAATGGATTTGGAAAGAAATTCTGGACTTTAAGACTTTATTAATGTTCGATTTCAATTTCTTTTTATTTTTTTCCAGAGAGTCCTTTAATTTTTTTAATGTAATAAAAAGTAAATAGAAAAAAGAAATAAATTGAGTTATATTTATTTTTCAAAAGAAATGCAAACAATATTGGATTTTTTTGAAGCTCAACTTTTTAAACTGCCCGAAATTTCAAATAAGAGCAGAAAAAAACCTTTTTTTCAGAAAAATTTGCAATCACGCGGTCAAAAAGACCAATTTTTCCCATTTTTTTCTGGTAAAAAAATTTACATATAAAATTAACTGTAAAATCGAAAAAAATTGCATTAATTATTCTTCAGATTTTCCCTGGGCCGTCATTTCGCGATCGGCCAAAGCCTTCTCATTTTCCTCCAACGATTTTTTTCGTTTTTTTCCTGTCTTTTTCTTGTTCCCTTCTGTGTACCATTTGGATCTTTTCGCGTATGCTCAGGTTTAGAAAATTCAAAAAAAAAACTAATCATAAGAAAAAATTCAGATCTTCGCTTCCTGTACATATCTGCTGTTCCATGTCATCGCCTTTTATTACTACTTAAATTCGCAGAAAAAACCGGCCGAATTGTCACAATTTGCTCATTTTTCTAGTCTTTTACCGCAGAAAAGGTTCATTTTTAGAAAAAAAAAACTTTGAAACATTTTTTTTCCTTCAGAAAACTTGTTTTTATTTTTTACGGTTTTTGAAATTTTTGGGATCATTTTCTCGGATTTTCCTGCTTCTTTGAAGATCTTTTTGGTTCATAAACAAGGAAAATTAGAGAAGTTGTCGAATTTCGGTTTCAAATTTAAGAAAACTGATTTTTCGAGCTCAAAAAGTTCATTTTAATATTTTTATCATTACTAGAAATATCATTACACATTTATGAGCCATTTATCAGAAGATTGGTACTGAAAAAGATCAAAATTAAGTTTTTCAGCGCCGGAATCGACAGAGAATCACTAAAAGCCCTGTTCACCATGTTCTCCCATTCGATTTTGAAGCAACTTTTGACGGATGGAAGCGCCTATGTCATGACTTTCACCGAGCTTCTCACCTTGAAAAATCAAGGTTTGGAGAAAAATTTTCAATGGGCAAAATCGAAATTGATTCTGAGAAGTTCAAAGTTTATACCAATTTGTGCTTTTTTTATAAATGTTTAGTTGAGATTTTTTTAGAACCGAAATTTTTGAAATTAACCTCCTTTTTGATCTTCGAATTATCGAGTTATCGGTTGATTTTTTTCCATTTTTTTCGGATCGATTTTTTTCAGCGCTGTGGGAAGTTTAGATTTCTAGATTCCTGGGCCAATTTTTAAAATCGATCTTTCCTACTAATGAGAATCCTGTTGATCTGCGAAATATCGAATTATCGATTGATTTCTCCTTAGATACATGAATATTTTATGGATTGACTCTTTGAGCCGTTTGTCAAGTTGTGATTTAATGATCCCTAGGCAAAATTTTGAATTAAAACTCCCCCACCATTGGAAATCTTTATAAAATGCGAAATATCGATTTATTTTTCTTCAGATTCATTTGTATCGCTTCTATAAGTTTTCAGCCGTTTACGACGCGGTTGAACGAGTTGGAAGCTTGGCGGCACGGATTATCTTGGCGCCAATGGAAGAAAATTGCTACGCTTACTTTGCTAACAATATTCGGAAACAGAGTACTGTTTTCAAGAAGAATTCGGTTGGTTTTAGAGAATAACTTGAGAAAAACAGAAAATATCGTCGTGAAATGGGAAAATTTCTCCGTCGAATAACTGTTTTCTAGAAGAAATTGGTTGGTTTCGATGAAAAAATTTAAAAAATTTCTGAGAAATCGAAAAAAGAAACTCAGGAGATGTGTTGAAATCACTGAACGAAAAATTTCAAAGTTCTTTTATTTTTATTTTTAGGCTTCAGTTGGCGAAATATGGGAAAAACAAGAAACATTGCTGAATAAAAAAAGAAAATTCAGAGAATTTTCTCAAAAAATCATGAAGTTTATATTCTGTGAAGGAATTTCTGATGAAGAGTTGAAATTCTTTTTCCCCTTCTAGGATTCGTATGACGCCCTCGTCCAGACGCTGTCGACGATTCTGCACGTGGTCGGCGTCGTCGGATGCGTCGTCTGTGTCTTCGGAATCCCCTACTCGGCCAACGTCGTCTACATCTACGGCGGCAACCTGCTCTACGAGAATCAAGGTGTGGATTCTGCTCTTTGAGCCTTGGGAAGTGAACTGAAAATCGGAAGTTTTTCACGGAAAATTATGACAATCGGCGGTTTTTAGTTCATATTTTAAAAGTTATTTTGAAAATAAGCAATTACCTTTACAAAACTCAACTTTTACAGCTTTTTTCTGTTTTTTTATGGATTTATTCAAGGCAAGGCTCATTTTTCGTACTGGCGAGCACTAAAAAAAGGAGCTTGAAAACTGGAATTTTAAAAGAATTGATGAAGAAAAGGGGTTTGTGTTGAAAGTCATGTTGTTTTATTATTTTTTTTTTAAATTTATTTCCACTCTCTAACTGATTTTTTTCGACTTTGATAGTAGCTTGTGCCTTTTTTTGACAGGCCTCAAAGGCAATTTTTTTGAGCTCAGATTCGGATTCAGCGTAAAAAACCACATCCAGTGGGAATTTCAAAAGTCCCATTATGATCTGAGAAAATTCCCTAGTTTTCTTCATTTTATTTTTTTACTAACTGAATTATTTTGAAATCACATTTTGAGATCAAATTGGAGTTTTTTTCTCAACCTTTCTCCATTCAGGAGCCCTTCTTCTGTCGCTTTATTCGGTATACGTCTGGGTGATGGCTATCAACGGGATCACAGAGTGTTTTGCCATGGCTAGTATGGACAATGTTGAGGTACTGGAAAAGCGTTTTAGTGGTCACTATAGAGGCTCGCCAAGAACTACTTGTAGAGAACACTGAAGTGGCCACCAAACCCACCTCTATAGTGGCCACTATTTTCCGTTTTAGTGGCCACTATATAGGTTCTCTTTTTAGTGACCACTTCAGTAGTTTTTCATTCAGTATTCCCTCCAGTAACTCTGATAGCTTTAAAAAAAACCGGTTGGACCAATTATGTTGATCCATTGACCCCTAAAGTGGCCACTGAAATTTTTAGTAGTCTAGTATTAGCACTTAGACCTGTATAGTGACCACTAATTTTTAACCCCAAAAGTGGCCACCAATTTGACTAAACATTTTCTCAGTTTAGCCCAATTTTTCCCAGGTCGTCTCACACGGAAGCTTCCTGTTGGCCTCGGCAATCGGCCATCTTGTTCTGAACGTTTCCCTCTGCTTTTATTTCAATTCGGCTGGATTTATCATTGCGAATATTGTTAATATGCTCGTCAGGATCGTGTATAGGTATTTTTCATTGTGATAGCAGAATTTTTGAAATTTCTATTCCAGTTGGAGACATATTCGAAGATTTTTGGGCGAAAGAACGCCGCCCTTGACGACACTTTTCCCGACCCTGACCGTTCTGGGATCGCTGGTCTTCTGCTTCTTCGCCACGTCCTTCTCCTACTTGGTAATCCCGAGATCAAATTGATTTTGGCGATTTCACAGACTTCTCGTTTGAAATGGTTACGCTAAAGTTGAATATCGGAACGCGGGAAAAAAAAATTAGTCATATAGAGACTTTTAAGAACGAAAATCGAAATCTTGGAGTTTTTGGGCATTATTTTATCGACATTTTGGACTGTTCGCCTCAACCCAGTTTTACGCCTTGCAAAATGTGAATTCGGCGTATTTCGAGAAACCTTTTTGAACGAATAATTTGTCTATTTTCAAATCGCTGAAGTTTTTCAAGCACTTTATTAAGGTTCCGGTTTCTGGAATAGTTTTTGATCGGGTCTTGCAGCGGTAAACATGTTGTTTGAAAATCTTTTCAACGGTTAGAAGATAAATCGTAAAGTTGCGCTCTTTCTAAGGGAAATTCACTTGAGGGATCACTTTGCGGTTTTTTTTGTTAGAAGGGCTGCAAGAACTCATAATCAAGTGGAAAGTATGCATTTTTCATTTGAAAAACTTGTGAAAAGGTGGAATCACTTAAGTTATCACTAAGTTGAAAAAATCATTAGAGGTTTTTTTTCAAACGAGGAAGAGGCAATTCTTCTCTAGAAAGGTAATTAAATCACTTGAGGGGTTACTTAATGGCCTATGATCTTCTCAAAGTCAGTAATAGATGGCTTTTTTGACGGCATTTATCTAATTAATTTTTTTTTTTATGTTTTCCGTGATGTAAACTAACGTGAACTTTAATTTTAAAACTTTCGTGACCTTCTGGGTTTTTTAGCACAAAAAAGTGTATCTACCGAAATAATGATAATTCGGTAGGTCTCTTATAACGATACGATTTTCCAAGTTTTTTTTTTCGAAATCAATAGTCGATTCACAAGCTTTTGAAAAAGTTCGAGAGCACAGGCTAGAATAAAACTGCAATAGGTTCCCTTTGCGATATTTAAATTCATTTTGACTTCCTGGAAAACTCCAAAAAGTTTTCTTGAATCTGCGACAATTACTTTAAAAACAGTTTGAAGCTTCAACTTTCCAATTTTTTGCAGCTGTTCGGCTCGACGCCAGGATTTTCTCACGCGGCCGTACATATCGCCATTGGCGGCGTCCTTTTTGGACTGCTTTCTTTAAATATCGCCCAACATGACCCAGTCTTCTCTACCCTTGTCAATTCAGCTTTAAAGCCTCATTATAATTAAATTTCATCTTTTTTTCGTGTTGTTTCTTCATTAATTTAATAATTCAACCTTTAAAGCCTGACCCCTTGATCTCTTTTCTTTGCCATTTTTCATCGGGATTGTTTTTTCAATAAGTCAGACCCAACGGTTTTGTATATAAATCTTCAAAATCTCTTCCCCAGTGTGCAAAGTTTGGAACAGGTGCCTTCGGGCCTTCAAATTGTTTATTTTATGTGAAATGAGGATGGGAACTTTATTGTCTTCTCTCCACGGAGCAGCCCCCGATCCATCAAAAATTGGCCGATTTGTCACATCGTTTCATGTTCTCTTCATCTTCTCCCGCAGGTGCTTTTTGATTCGTCCTACGGAACCCAATGAAATATTTGTGGCCCCAAAAAAGAGGAGAAGAAGGGAAAAAAGTGCCCTCAGGGCTCATTTATCCCAGGCACGCAATCTTTTCACTCGCTGCTTTGCCCATTTACGCTGCCGTGGGTTCGACTCAATTGAAGATTCATGATTATTGCTATTATTTAGTGGTGAGAGCAATGAGCTAATAAAATCAAGGTTACTGTAGCCCTGAAATGAGTATGCATGCAGTGTGTTTGCGCACTGCATACTTTGATTGACGCGCAAAACTGTCTTTTGCCGTTTTTAAATTTTATTGTTTTCAGTTTTTCTTGTAATTTGTCATTCAAAGTAATTTCCTGACATAAATCGATTCAAATTACGATTATCTGCTGCATAATTTTTTTAGCTTCTTCTTAAAAAAAGATAACGAGCGGTGAGAACAAATCAAAAAAACGTTATTTTTTCGAATTTTTTTCAATGGTTTAGCGCAAGCCATAATAAGTTTGCGCATTATTAATTTTATAAATTCAGTTTTTGTTCGTCTTTCTAAATCTTTATCAACTGTTTGATTCATACTGTTTTATTTTTTCATGACGATTCCAGAGTCCGACTCATTTTTTGAAAAAAGCTTCAACATCCCTTTTTTTTTCTGCTGCAACGAGTGAACGGACCTTTTTTTTTGCTTTAGTGATTACTCAGCCGTGAAATGGGGCCCGATTATTTCTTCTTTTTTCATTTTTTATGAGCGGATTGAAAAACGGATGAAAGGTAAAGCGAAGGTCAAGGATCTTCTGTTTTTAGAAAAGCGATGAGAAAAAAAATTATCACGAAATAGACACAAAAATAGCCGAAAAGTAGAACGTTTTGTGATTTTTAAATAAATAGAAAGAGCTTATAAAGTCCATATTTTACAGAACTTTGAATTGCTTCAGTATTGGTAATATTGATATCGAAACCTTCTGAAAAGTTGCCAAAAAATCAAAAAATACATATCAAAACACAATATTATGTTGAAAAAGTGTTTTGATAATAAATTACAACTTGCAGAAGGGACAGAATCAGAAAAATCGTCAAAATATCTTTTCTGATCATAGAATACAGCCGAAAACCGAACACGAACATGGCGATGAGCCGCAGCTCCAAGAAGCCACGCCCCACGATTCCCTGGCGGCTCCGCCCATTTTCTTTCCGGATGGCAGCTGCCCAAGAGTTTGTCGCGTGGTGGCTCACGTCGACGGAGCAGCGAAATTGATCGGACGACGACGTCACACTCATTCCGCTGATCTTCGGATCCGATGGGCGTTTTGGCCGTTTTCTGTGCGGCTTTTCTGCTCGCCCAAAGCGCCGCCTACGCTCCTTTGCCCTGCAAGGTGAGGGTACAGGGAAGACGGGATTTTTTGTGGTTTTCGGCTGTATTTTATGAATGGAAGAGGTTTGGGAAAGTAGTGATGATTTGGAAATGGATTTTTGAATGGTTCTTGTGAAGTTTTGGAAGTTTTTCACTTTGAGATGAAAAAAAAATCACTTTTTTGTCCGATTTTTTTTGATTGGAATGCTCCGGGAAGGTCTTTAGTGATTGAAAATCAATTTTTGAGTGGAAAGTTTCTGAATTGGCTTTGTCAGATCTATGAAGTATTGATTTTTTTACAAAAAAATCTACGGAATCTACAGCAAAACATAGTGTTTATTGAACATTAGGAAGTTCGATAATATTTTAAAAAATAATTTTCGACTTAGTTTCAATAAAAGTGCCGTTATCCATTTTTTTTTATGGTCTGAAGTTTCAAAGTGCGGCATTTACAGTCCATTTACGGAGCGTTTTTTTGAGTTTTTTTTTTTTTTTTAAAGTTCTCTGAAAAAAATCATTATTTGGCGTAAAGTAACTTTTAGAAAAGTCTCTCTGTTTTCATTACATCAAATTAGTAAAAATTAGTTTCACAAAAAAATGCGATAACTTTCAAATTGGCGCCAAAAACGCGTCGCGACCGCGTTGTAAAGTAAATCTCAAGGATGTATGTGAATCCTGTTCAAAAAAGAGTAAAATTGTTTGAGTACTGTGTTTAATAGGAAATTACGTAACAAAACAGCGAAACGAATTTGCATCACTAAAGGGGTTTTTTCCGGACTTTTGTAAGCATCCAACTTTTCTCACAACTTCTTAGGCGACTTTTGAGAAATAATTTGCGATCAGCGGGAAAAATATCATCCAGAGAAATTAGTCTCATTCAGAAGTCTTACTGTAAGCTTGGATCAATCCCTAATGAGAATTGATTCATTTTTGGCTGTTCTCTTGTTTTTTCTTCCTTGGAAGTTTCTTATTGCTTCATCATATTGTTTCATGTTCAGAGACACAGTGGAGGGATCCCACTGCCTCTGGGAGTTTTCACGGTGAAGGATGGCCGGTTTCCGGACGTCATGCCGGCGATCAACGTCGCCGCCCGACACATCCACGAAAGGTCTTGTCTCTTGCTCGGTTACAAGATCGAGTTGATCGTCAAGGACACCCAGGTTCTTCTTTTTTCAAAGCAGAAATTTCAGCTTTAATCTTGTCAAATTTCACTCCACAGTCAATTTTTTACGTTTTATTCCGATTTCTCGTAATTCTTCCAAAAGACTTGTAGGACTTGCCATTGAAACTCAAAAAGCAAAGTTGAACCTTTAAGAAATTTTGAAATGCTCCTTTTAGGGTTTGTTGGTTTAGGGACCACTATAGTGGCAGTTTTGAGGATCCTATTGAAGTAAAAGTTCAAGTGGTCCCTGTAGTGTCCAGTACTTGAAAGCTCCCAATAAGCAGAGCGTATGGGTTCCTAGTACGCTCCCTATAGGGCCACTTCACACTCCAGGGAAAAAGGGCGTTTTTTTTTTACTGTTTTCATCGCTTTTCTGGTGTAAAATTTTTGAAGCTTACTTTTTTTCCAAGCTTTATAAGGGCGAATGTTTTTTAAATGTGGTTTTTGAATTTTACTCTACACCAAAGACACAATAGGTCCCGAAAAACCTCCAAAAGCGCACCTCTAAACTCGATTTCATGCCTAATTTTTCACAACTTCCTAACAAGGCTTTTTAAAGAAACTGTGAAGCTTATCATTAAAATTGAAAAAGATATTTTTCTTCCATATTTTGATCCAGTGACCGAAAAACTGTCTGAAAACGATTTTGGAGAAAATTTGTAAAAAATATTTTTTTTTGGAAGTCAGCGTGAGCATATAACAGAGGGTAACCTATTTAGAAAAAAAATGGTTTTCGAAATTTTTTTAATTTTTTTCTTTAAGGAGCTTTTTGAAATGAAGAGATCACCATTAAGATTAAAAAGGGGAAGCTAATAAGTCAATAATCAATCAATCAATAATCAATCAATCAATCAATCGGTTTTTGAACTTTCTTCTTTAATCTGTTACTTTTTATTGAAATAGTCAAAAGACCTTGAACTTTTTGTACTTAGTCTTGAAAGGACTCCGAAGAAAATTTAAAACAAAAATAATCTCATCTTTTTTTGCTATACCTAACTGAGGGAAAAAGCTGTTTTCTTTGGAAAAAAAAAGTTTCTTTTTCTCGGATTTTATTGCTTTTTTTGTCGGAATCTTAATGTGAAAAAAGGTGAAAATTCAAAAAAAGCGTTCGGCCCAATTTTTTTGTTGATATTGAAACTGGAAGGATGCGGCGGCGTTGAGAGCAAATTGGGCCCTAATCAAATCGCCGGCATCTCAATCGAATTTGATCCAACGTGTCTTGGTGCCTCGAATTTTTCTTCCTTTTTTCCATCCTTCACTTCATTTTTTGTCGTGAAGAAGGAAAACGCTGTCAACAATTAAAGAAAAACTTGGATTGGAGGGGAAATTAATGGAAAAAAAAAATCCGCCTGGGAGTAGGAGAGGAAAAAGTGAGAAAAAAGTTGGAAGGTTTTGTTGAGGATTTTGTAGTTATGAGTTGAAAAAATGCTCTGTGATTGCAAAAGATATACTGCTATAACCTCGAACGAAGTCGGAATGGTGGATAATGGCCGCCAAAAGGAAGAGGTTCGAAAAAGGTTGCGAAAAGGCTCAAAAAAGGCGGAAAAAAGGGTCCCTTTGTCGAGCCTTCCACTTTTTCTGGGATTTAAAGGCTCAAGAAATGGTTGAAAAGGGAGAGGCAGCAAAAATGGTGCATAATAGCCGATGAAATGGCGCAAAAAGGCAGCAAAAAACGAGACTTCCTACCTTAAAAGGGACATTTCGATCGACCCTTTTTTCCAGCCTTTCCGACTTTATCTATGACTAGAGTTCAAAGCAACAATTGAACGATTTTTCACCAAAAATACCATTTTTGATCATTTTTGAACTTATATTGTAATTCCCATGGCTCTTTGATCTTACAGTTCAACACGACCAAATTTTTTTCTGAGCCATTCAAAAAAAAACCAAAAGACCATTTTCCCTTTCGAACTACCGGAAATAGCCAAAATTATGTGCGTTTATTCGGCGCCCGATTGGCTACGCCGCAAAAAAAAAAAAGAAAAAGACTTGCTCAACAAGAAAACAAAAGAAATAAGTTGGTGGTCTCATTACATGCTCCGTTGGCAACACGAGAAACGGCTAATTCATTTGATCCAACGATAAATCTTTTCCTTTTTTCCGTTGTCTTTGCAAGCTCGATTGGGTTGTTGGGGGAGGAGAGAAGTTTGGAAAAATGGAAAAAAATGATTAAGTAGGATATTTTGAATATAAAACAGGTGTTGTAAAGATGCTGATTGCATAAAAAATAGAAGTAAATGCTTGAAATATAGCGTTTCCTGAGATATTGAACAGTTTTTTTTCTAAAATATTCAACAACAAATGGCCATCGAATGGCTTTGGGACGGGTTTAATAATGAAATCCCGATATTTTTATCATAATCCGTCAAAAAAAAAAAACAAAGCAAAAAACGATAGCGGCACAAAGATTCGAACCTTCATCACAGGCTACCGCGCTAGCCACTGCGCCACGCTTCTAGCTGCCACCCAATGGCATGTTGCGGCCATAGATTCCTTCCAAACGGTATCACGCGTTAAAAAAAATTTAAAGAATCATATCTCCAAAACGAAAAGTTTGCGCAGATAGCGACTATGTAGGATCGATTCCCAGTCCATCAAGTTAGAAAATTTCATACCCTACGCTAAAATAAAATGACCTTCCATGTAAGTTGAATAATCAGTTATAACCAAAAAAATTTATGATATAAAAAAAATTCGAAAGGGAGCTCAGAAAACTTATCATGATTAAACGGTCCTTGCTTCATTTTTTAGAATATGTGAAGAATTTTCAGTGCAAGACCTCAATGGGCATGAAGGCCCTATTCGACTTGATCGCGGCGAGACCAAGACCGGTGGCGATTTTGGGCGGAGTCTGTACCCAGGTTAGCCCTGACGTCATATCGAAAATGACGTCGTCCCTCAGGTGAACGAGCCGATCGCGATGGCGCTCAAATACTGGCAAATCGTTCAGTTGTCCTACGCCGAAACTCACGCTAAATTCGCCTCGTCGGATTCTCAAGAAGTCATTTTTAACTCTCGCCAAATAGCTTTTTTTTAGATCAGAAAAAAAAAATTTAGATTGAAGACGGAATTCCTATGAAGGATCTCTACGTGAAAAAGAAAAATCACACATTTTTATATTTCTTGAAAAAAAGTTTTTTAGTGGCCACTTTAGTAGTAGAGCACGTGTAGGTAGGTATAATTTACTCTCGAAAATGTTAGTGGTCACTTAAGGGCCTTCAGTCTTTGAGAGAATCTTTTATAAAGTTTTAAATTCACCAGTGACCACTATAGTGGTATAGAACGTGTAAGCATGTATTCGAGGCCCTCAAAAATCTCAGTGACCCCTTAAGGGTTTTGCAATCTTTGAGAGAAACTTTTTTTTAAACTTTAAAATTGTTTAGTGACATTATAATAACGTTTAGGTAGGTCTATTGTTCTCTCAAAAATTATTATTGGACACTTAAGGGAATCTTGATTTTAAATTGTGTGATATAACACGTGTAGATAGTATCCTAAACATTCAAAAATTTTAGTGGCCTCTTAAGGGGCTGCCTAACTTTGAAAGAACTTTTTTTAAAGTTTGAAATGGATCAATGAGCTTTGAAAGTGATATTTCTCTTTTTTTTTGCATTTGGAAGTGAGAAAGTTTTTAAAGAGACCACTATGTTTATTATCTCTATATTGGCTTCTTGAAAGTTTAATTCATTATTATTTTTTTAAGCTTCAAAAATAACCGCGATTCGGGTGACCACTATAGGGGCAGCTACGAAGTCAAATAGTGACCCCTTAAGGCTCCTCTTATGAAACTTTTGAAACCCATAGGGATCACTATATTTTTTGTCAGAACTGCTTCAAAAAACCTACCCATTCCTTGACCCAACAAAAGCCGTCGGGGCGCGAAATTATTCATAACACGCGCGAAAAGCTTGAAGAAGCAGGAAAAGCCAAGCTGTTGCGAGTTTTTTCTTTCCTTTTTTTTCCTGGCCGGGCACGAAAAATGAAAAGCCATTAAAATTCGAGTCGAGGAAAAATGGGCTTGTCGCAGGCCGCTTAATTGCCGCTAGCTTTTCCCCTCTTTTTTCATAAGCTTACATTTTTTATGAGCTTTTCCGGTCAAGTCGTTTGGGAGGAAGTTGTTTTGGGGTTTTGATTCTGTGTACTTGATTTGAAATTGATCTGAAAATTGAAAAATTGATGAAAATGCATGGGAAAAGTGTGTTAAATTTCTTATAATTTCTTATAATTTTAATTTTTTTCATTGAATGACATTGTTGTCGCGAAAAAAAGGATTTTTTTGATAGAATCAGTAATTTGAAAAAGTTTTTCTTAAAATTGTAAAATTATAATGAATTGTGGTTTTTAACAATCGAATCAGTAAAAATAAAAAAAGTTCTAGATCAAAAATTTTAAGGTATTTTTCAAATTTTTAAAGGCTTGAAGATCTTGAAAAACCCTTCGAAAATTCTACAAGTCTAAAATATCAATGTCAATTCTAGAAAAAAATTAATTGGTCGGGAATTTATTTTATAAGTTTCGTTGGAGATAAGGCTACGGAAAAAAATGGAAAAAAATTGAACTTTTTTTAACGAAAAAAATGGATCAGTTTTTTTCAATAGAAAAAAACCCATGCTGTAGACGATTTTGTCGGTTAATTTTTAGTTATTTAAGACTTTTTTTGAAGTCATAAAAAAATGAAAAACGCTTATTTAATTTTTTTGAAATGAATGTTTTTTTCGAAGTAATCATCAAAAAGTTCTAGAAACTGGAATTTTTCAGCTATTCCCGACGTTCTTCCGCGTCGTTCCCGGCAGTCGGAATACGAACGCGGCAAAATGTCATCTGGTGAAATATATGAACTGGACGAGGGTCGGCACCGTCAAGCAGAGCGATCATCCCCGATTCGCCTTGGTAATTTGGAAAAAGGGACGAAATTGATCTAGCTGTTAAGTTTGAAAAAACTGCGATAGTCATGGCCCGTTTTGAACCATGACAGTTTTAAAATGCGAAATTTATCAACGTAACTTACGATACCGCGAGCGATATAGCCAAAACTCCTTTCAGCAACATCTTCAGAGTCTCACTGCCATTAAGCTCTTTCATATAAATTTAAAATGAAAAACAGATTTTTTCTGCTCTGTTTTTAACTTTTTACGATGAAATCAATCGAATTGAAAGTGATTAGAGTGTTACAGCGCAAGAAGAGTTTGCAGCGAGAGACAAGTGATATCGCGCGCGACACAGCATTTTTCTTCTCGGTTTTTAACTTTTTACGATGAAATCAATCAAATGAGAGCGATATAGCCAAAGACGAGGTCACAGCGAGATGGGAGCGATATCGCGTGCTACATAGTGTAAATATAACTCCGACATGATCTATAATATTGGGTGAAGAAATTTGTGAAGAACAGTATTCTCATTACGACTAAAAGTGTTCCTGACGTTTTTTGTACTGATTTTATTACCTCAACTTCACCAAGCACTGGTCAGATCACAATGGGACCACTTTTTCGAAAAAAAACTTCTCTAGAGAATTTCGCTGTTTTACTGATCACGATTTAGTGTAAAAAAAAGGCCAAGGAGGTCGGTGAAAAGATAATGAGGCTCAAAAATCAAAAAAAAAAAAATCAGCTTCTCCGATTGAGAATATTCTTGGATTGATGATAAGGCTAGGGGCTTACGAAATGTGGAAATTTGAAAAAAAGTTGAGCCAGGCGCCGGTTTTTTTAGAAGATTCTCACATGCGTAAGGCATCCCAGCGTTTTTAAGTCTTGACCAATTGAAAGAGAAATTCTTTTTTCCAGCGGCTATAATTTCCTTCATAGCCTTTTAGGGCCTTTTTTGATACGCAGATTCGAAATGAGAAAATTGCTCTTAATGGACTTGGTCTTATTTGAAAATTGATCTCTTTTCAAAATAAAAGGATGAAACCGGTAGTTTCAGCCCCATGAAGCCCTGACGACACGTTTGGAGCATGGATTCGGCGTCAGAGTGGTCCACACGGCGGGCGTTAATCGGGAGCAGATCGATAGTATCGGATCGCAGCTCGATGAGCTCAAGGTACCAAAAAAAAAATAATCAATAACTCAAAGGTGAAAAATCAATACGACCTTAAGCCTGAAATTCAATGTATCCAAGTCTTTTTTTTTCATTAAGGCGTTGGCTATTTTTCGGAAATATTTTTTTCGATTGACCGTAGCTTTCAATTTCAACTGGATATGGTTTCTCCTGACTGTTTTTTATGTTGGCTGAAGGTAAACCACCTTCTAGAGGCTGTTCTCAAAGAAAACCCTCCTAGTAGATCCGAATCGAGGAGACGAACTAAAACGAAGAGACGAATCCTCCAGGGGCCTGTTTTGCCGCCTGCGACACTTTTGAGACATACGACTTGCGTTTGATGTGAATTTCCTCGAGTTTCGGGCGGAATTCCGAGGGATTCCAGGGTTTTTGGATGATGTGCAACCGAAATTTTTTTTGTTGGGTAGCCGTAGACTTTTTGGAATCGGGAAAATGATTCTGTGAATGGGACTACTATCATTTCTGGTTAAAATGAGAATGGAAATTTTGGTTTAACGTGAAAGAATAATGTTCCAGGAACGTGACGTCAGAATCCTTCTGATGGACGCCGACAGCGAGATGAGCGCTACAGTACTATGTGCGGCCTACCATCGAGGAATGTACGGTGACAATTACGTCTGGATCCTGCCCGGATACCATTCTGAAGCGTTAGTATGAAGTTATCGAGTTTTGCGGCTTGGAAAACAGCTTGGAATGGCTCAAAATGTTGCGGTTTCAAGGTTTGAAAATGGAGTTTAAGCTGAGAAAGGGGATATTATTTTGAGCTTGGGATTTTCTAAAAATTGGCTTTTTTTGATGTACTTTAGGAAGATTTAGAGACCTACAACTTCTTATTATCTAGTTTGTGAAAATAGGATCTTGCTAATAACTGGGAAATACTCTAGTGACCCCTTAAGAAGCTGCTGAGGGACACTAAAGTGGCCACTAAAACAAACTTTATAGACGCCACCATTTGCGCCTTAAGGGCCACTATAGCAGTTCCTTGTGGTCTAGTAATAGATTTTAGGCTTCTAAAGAGGCCACTTAATTTTAGTCACTCAAGTGGCCACTTGAACCGCTACTATAATGGCCACTAAAACGCCAAATCTCTTATGTGGCAGTACTTGTTAGCTGCGCCTGACCCTGACCGTCTTCACATCATCTTATGCTGTAGGATACTCTCCCGCGAAAGTAGTTTCTGGTCGGTTGAAAAGCTCTGGAGAACCGTGAGGCGTTGAGTCATTCTTCGCGGCCATTTTTAAAGTGACCCAATGAAAAAAAAGCCTTCAGTTGGATGAGTGACGTCAACTGCACGAAGGAAGAGATGGATACAGTACTCCGGAACCATTTCGCGGTGGGATTCGCTCTAGCAAGAGCCGACAAGAATACGATTGTTGCCGGGCATACGGTAGATACTGTAGAAATATTTATCAAGCGAGAAATATTTTCAGAAAGCGGTGGACATCTTGAAAGAGCTGGACGAGAGCAACTTGGCGAACATGTGGAAAGGTTTGTGAGGGTATTGTAGATAGGTTTACTGTAGATAGGTGAGGGTACTATAGATAGACAATAGATAGGTTAGTAGATTGAAATTTTTTGAAGAAAATCTGTTGAATAAAACGGGATTTAACCTTTTTTTGAAAAATAAAAGTTGTGGAAAAGAGTGAAAAGGCTATTTTTTGAGTAGGAAAATGCGCTCCATGGATAAAAACTGGGATTTAGGAGTTCTTCTAATTTTTCGTTTTTCTCAAGTTGAAAATGGAGCTGCTGGACTTTCTAGTGAAAAGAAGCGAGAGAGTAGCGTCGTCTTGGAGAGACGGCAGAGAAAGAGAAAATTTGACTTCTCTGGACTCTCTTCAGCCTTGCACTGTTCTCTCGCTTCTTCGTCTTTTTTATCCTCTGTTTTGGCTCCTCCTTCAAATTCTTCGATTTTCGAATCTTTTCCTAAATTTAGGGTATCTTTATGACGGGTTCTGGACCCTGGCCATGGCCTTGAATGAAGCGATGAGCAGCGAGGCTGAATTTTCACATCATCGAATGATCGCCGCCATCAATAATGCCTCGTTTGAAGGTGTTACGGTAGCTTCAAAATACCGTATGGCTCAACTATTACAGTTATCTTTGAAGGGTACGGTAAAGTTTGTGAACAACGAACGGCTCGGCCTTGTTGATGTCCTACAGTACCGCGATGACTCCTACAAGTTCGTCGGACAGTACGATGGCGTCAGGGATTTGTTGCAGATCCATGCGTTGGATGGTGATTTTATTTCTCTATATCGGAAATTCGCGAATGTGCGCTCTATTGCTAACTGGAAGCTCTGGTGTTTAGAATTGTAACATGGTTTACTTCTTGTTCCGTTCGAGCTCTTTTTTTAAAAGTAAGATTTGGGAATGTGCGCTCTATGGCTAAGTGTAATAATCTCAAATGTTCAAGTGAAGTTTCAGGTTTTCTTCAGGCTTCTTTATTATGATTATTTGATTTTTCCGTCTGAATAATATGTTTGGGTTGAACATTGAAAAGTCGAAAATGTGCGCTCCATGGCTAACGACAGATTCCCATCCCGTACCTTATTAACGCGAACGGGACACGAATCGGACGTTTCTAGTGACCACTTTAGTAGCCTCAAAACTCTTAAGTGATCCCTAGAATTGCCCAGAAACGTCCGGAGCACGTCCGTTTCGCGTTACCAATGACCGAGCATACATTCGGGCGGAGTTTATAGTCTAGTGGCCTCTTAAGCGGTCATCGGGCCTCTTTAGTGTGACCCTGAAGAAGTCAGAGAGTCCTACAACAAAAAAAAAAGTTAGCTAACTCAAAAAATAGACGATCGATAGGAAAAAGGACATTTCCAGAGCCAAAGCTTCAAAGTTTCCGACAAAAGTTTCAAAAAGGATCATTTCTGTAATTTTCAGAAAGTTTATTAGTCATGACTTGACAGAATGGCTCAATTATAGACCTAAGAACCACCGAGAAATTATAAAAAAATCAATTCTAAAAATAAGATAAATTTGAATTTTTTTCTCGAAATTTCCTGTGTTCAGTGAAAAAAATTCGAGTATTCCAGACTGGAATCCGCCGTTGGACTCGACCGTAACCGAAAAACGCCGAGAATACATCTCGAGGATGCTTTTGATCGCCATGTCCTTGCTGGCTCTTGTTGGAATTTCCCTGGCCATTATATTTTTATTCATCAATTTCCGCTATAGGAATCATAGGTGAGCGTGGGATGATGTCGAAAATGATTTTTTTTGATCATCAAAGTAGAAATAAAAGTGAAACATTGAATTTTTTGATTTTTTGGTTCGGAAACTCAATGGAAAGCGGACTGAATTTGATGAAGCTGAAAATATTATTCTGGCTTTGATTAGAATGAAAAAAAAACTCTCCTTTTACAGAAAAATCTAGCATAGTTTGTGATAAGAAATAGCTCAGTAGTATCAGAAAAATCATTAAAAAGAATATTTATCCCAGGTTCATCAAAATGTCATCACCCAACTTGAACAATATCATCATTGCCGGATCGATTTGCACCTTCGCTTCGGTTATTTTGTTAGGTACTTATTGATTTCAGAAAAGTATTCAAAGTTAAAACTTTCCAGGACTCGACACGAGAGCCTTATCACCGGACAATTTTGTTAGGATGTGCTATGTGAGTTTGATTAAAAAAAAAATATAAACGTGAAAATTCCTTTTGAAACAGTTGAGAAAGGACTGATTCTAATGGTCAGGATTTCTTGGATTTTTTGAAAGTTTTGTGAAAATTATATGAGAAGCGAGAGAGCATGGGCGTTAGAAGAGACACCAGAGAAAGAGGGGAATTTCAACTTCTCTGCCGTCTCTTGTAGCCTGATCTCTCGCTTTTATAGCACTTGAAATGGCGGTCTCTTAGTCTCTATTCGGAGCTCTCGTTTTAACGTGCTATTTTCGTCTCTTTCTGACCTCACCGACGAGGGAACAGAGAGACGCAGACAGTCGGAAAGTCAGACTAGCTTTTCAAAAACAGCTCTGAAAATAGAGACTGCGGTCGCCTGAAGAGACGCCAGAAAAGTTAGAGCGTCTCTCTCCTTCTCGCGTCTCTTCGGGAGCTTTGCTCTCTCACTTTACCAAAACTTTGAGAATTTTTTCCAAAAGAAAATCAGAAATCAAAAAAAAAGATTAGCAAAAGTCTTAAGAAAGGAGTAACCTCTACCATTCTAAAAAGCAGTTTTTTTAAAAATTTATAGATAAAAAAACTTGGACCCTCTGTCTGGGCTTCACATTTGCATTCGGGTCAATGTTTTCGAAAACTTGGCGAGTCCACTCGATTTTCACCAATATCCGAATGGATCGAAAGGCTATCAAGGTGATTCAAGCGTTTTTTCGAACCTCATCTGAATTTTGAATTTTTAGGACTCAAAATTGTTGATGATTCTGGGCGTTTTGCTGCTCCTGGACGTGGTTGTCCTGACAGCCTGGGCCATTTTTTCGCCCTTTTCTTTTTCGGTCATCGAACTTCCGCATATTGTGAGTGGAAAGAAAGCAAAGATTCATTTTAAAAGTCAAAAAAAAAAGGAAAGTTCATTTCAAAGCGAAAAAATGAGAAAATTTTGAAAATTAGGAATATGAGCGTTCAACGGCGGCATGAAGATTTGGGGTTTATTTTTTTCGAAAATTTGAGTTTTATAAAATAAAACGAGAGATCAACGGCGGCTTGAAGAGACGCCAGAGAAGTGAGAGTTATCTTTTTCTCTGGAGTCTCTCCAAGTTGCTCTATCTCTCAGTTTTCCGGGGTAAAACTTTCAAGATCTATAGATAGTATTATAAAACCGATTTTCTCTTGATTTTGTGGAAGTTCTGAAATTGAAGGTTCAATAATCTTTCTTGTGGAGTTTTAGTTCAGCGGAAGCAAGCATTTTCGAAAAGACCTTCTTTTTCTTTGATTTCATTGATTTTCTTGACATTTTTCTTTTTTCCAGCCAGCCGACAACAAAGTCATCGTGCCTGAAGTCGAAAAATGCCATTCCAATAATTCTGTCGTCTTCCAGGCGATTCTCTATGTCATCAAAGGGATTTTGATGGTGGGTTTGATAAAAATTAAAGATAGAAATGTTCTTGAGACATTAGATAATGTTAAAACCTCTCCTTGGAAAGGCTTTTTATCAAGAAATTTGGAATAAACACGGAAAATTATCTTTCCTTTTAATAGTAAAACGTTCACCGAAATTTGTTAAATTGATAAAATAGGCCAAAAAACATGATTTTCATGGCTCTTTCTAAACCAAATCCTCACTTTCCCTTAATAACCATCCTTCATTTTGTATAATGAGAGTTCGCCTGATTTTCATTCCATTCAAGGCTCATTTGGTACAATAAAACAGTTTTTGAGAAAAAAATTTTTTTAAGAACTTATCTATGATATTTTCATCTTGTCAAAGCTCATAAACTTGATTTGTCTGTCGTGAATTGGCCATAAATTTGGCCAAGTGGTTTTTTCTTCTTTACGGCTCGGTTATCATGCCAAATTTGTTACAAACTGTACTTTTTCCCAAGTATATTTTGATGATACAGATCCTCGGATGTTTCCTCGCCTGGGAAACGCGTCACGTCAACGTCCCGGCCCTGAACGACAGCAAGTACATCGGAATGAGTGTCTACAATGTCGTCGTGATGAGCGTTCTTGGCCTCAGCACCAGCGTCATCCTTCAGGTCGGTCGAGGGGAAGTTCGAGGAGGAAAATGAAGAGTACAAGAAGATTTTTTGAGTTGTAGTATGGGCTTTTTGACTCTTTTTTTGATCATTTTAGACAGTTTTGTCAGCTTTTTTCTTTTTTTATTTTGCTTTTCAAGTGGGTTTTCAGAGTTTTTTTCAAAAATTGAGGACTCTAGAAGAGATAAGGTTCATTTAAAGAATTTTTTCAGGGGCTGAAGGGTCTGTGAAAGAACTTTTGACCGCTTGAAGAGGAAAAATTGAATATTTAGTGATTGAGCTCCTGTAGAGATAGCTTCTTCATATAGTTTTGAACTTTTAAATTGTTTTACTAAGTTTGAAAGCCCGTAACTTCTTTCAAAGGCCTTATGGACAGTTTTTGAGCTCAAACTTGGAATCAGCGTGAAAAACTGAAATTAGTTCGTGTGGATAATATTTTTTGGGTCCTAGAGGCTCTGTGAAAAATTTTTCCGTTTGAAGTTGACAAAGGAAGATTTTGTGAGCTCCGGTAGAGACAGCTTCTTCATATAGTTTCCAACTTTTAAATATAATTTTCCACTTTGAAAACCCATAACTTCTTCAAAAGACCTCTTTGACAGTTTTCGAGCTCAAATTTGAAATCAGCGTAAAAAACTACACCTAATATCGAAAATTATTAAAATTATTCAAGAGAAAAATATTCCAGGAACGGGTCAATGAATCGTTCGCCCTAGCGTCGTTTTTCGTCATTTTTTCGACCACACTGACACTTTGCCTGGTTTTTGTACCCAAGGTCTTGAATTATATCCATATATAGTCGATGTGCCACAAGTTGAAATTTCATGGAACGACACTCCGCCGTTTCGATTTGTGTTTTTACATTATTTGAAATGAAAAAAGAAATGTCGATAAAGGCTCAATGAAGGTTAAATAACGGAATATATTGAACAAAACCAAAGACCATCTCATGAAAAAAACTTTCAAATGTTATAAACGCATTTTTCTCTTAAAATTCGAAAATTACGCTATTTTATTTTTATCAATGAAACAGTCTATCCACTAGAAAAAATAATTATGAGTTTGGCACGAAGAAAACTATTAAAACATAATTAAAATAATGGAAATTTCAAATAAAAAGAAAAAAATGGAAAGCGCGACCGAAATTCGCAAAGGCAAGGCGCTTTCACGGCCACGGCCACCCAACGGAGTGTCGTTCCATGAAATTTCAAGTCGTGGCACATCGACTATAATCGTGATGAATGCCCATTTCTAGGTGATAGAACTGGCACGGAATCCAGTCGGAAATGAGCCGAGAGCCTACCGACGAGGGTTCATGAAAAGCGTCGTCGCCAAGACCTCACAGCCCAGTTCTCCAGCGCCCAACTCGTATGTCGCCACTAGAAAAAAATAATTCGAAAAAAAAAAAATAAAAGCTTTTCACGAAAGTTCAAAGTTATAATGGTTTACTTTTTATTCAGCTTGAAGAAGCAAATAAATAATCGAAAATCGACAGTTTTCAGAAAAATGAGCAATAACTGCCGATTAAGCACAGTGAACTTATCATAGAGGATCAAAAAAAATAATGACTTAGTTTCTTTTTTTTTTGAATATTAATTTTAGTCCTTACAAAGATGCAATTTCAAGAAAAAAACGTAGAAAATTGATAAAAATATGTTTTGATTCAAATAGTTTGAACAATATTTTTTTCTGCGTCTTATCCATACTTTCTCAAAGCGAAGGTATAATTTCAGGTCTCTAGAATTTTGTGAAAATTTTTTGGCTCCAGAATTTCGTGAAAAATGAGAGAGATTCGACTCGAAAAATTGAAAAAAAAATGGGAAAAAAATTGAAAATTATTTTTGAAGAATGCTATCAAATTTTTTTGCTTTTTCGGTCAATAAATTTCAGTTGAAAATGGTCCATATTTCGTTCAAATCACCACTTGACTAATTTCAAAAGAGTTCGGAAGATAAAAATCACAATTTCGATTTATAGAGACAACGCCAGTGATTTGCTGAGCAAGGCCGAAACGGAGAATAAAGTTAGAAGGCGATACCTTCATCAGGTTAATCATGACCTTTATCAATTAAACATTAAGTTTTTAAGAAATCCGTCCAACTATGGGACCTTGTCGAGAAGCTCCGCGCCAAGGGCGACACTCAATTTTTACAGCAAGGTATTTTTTCCAGCCTCGGTCGCATTAAGAAGATCTTCTCTCGATACTTTGAAGCGCAAGTCGTTTTTGGTCGGGCGCTGAGCGATGCGAAATTTCCTCAAATATCACAGTTTATTAGTCATTTGTGCATAAGTCGTTTAACAACAGAACAAGAGAAAAAAACAATAATGATATAGGAAAGGTACCCGTTGAGCGTCTTGAGGAAAAGGGGGTTCAGATTAAAAAAATTGGAGACAATAATAGATGAAAAAAATGGGATGATTATCAAATATATGGTGTTTGGAAGGGGAGGTATCGAGCTGATTTGAAGGCCGTATTGGTCGAGGACCTGAAATTTTGGGTTATTTGAAGGCGCATGGTTACAAATAATAAAAGGGTCTTGCCGCGAAAAGGGAGTTTCTCGCGTTTATGGAAAGTTGAGTGCGTTTGGAGCTCCAATTATGATGAAGATTGTGAATTTTCAAGCTTATTAATGAAAATGTGCCCGATTGGATGGCCACGCCCCTTTTTCGGAGAAATAACGAGCTTATGAAGTTTTTTTTTTTTTGAAGAGTGTATCGATTTTTTTAATTTTTTTGCGTTCAAATAATCACAAAAATTCAGTTTTGGTCGAAAAAAAGTCAAGCTTTTTTAGAAGCCACTCGTAAAAAAAGCCTTTTTGGGTGATTCTAAGAAAAATTCAGAAAACAAAATAAATATTCACCTTTTTTTATTATCGACGTTATTGCAAAGGTCCGTCCGGCAACAGCAGAACTGTGAGTAGCGGATTGAGTTGATTTTGCTTTTCGCGTGGTTTTTTGAGAATATGCTCTGAAATTTACGTTTTGTTAGCTTTATTTTCAATTTTCGAAGAAAATTGGGAAGACAAAACCATAAAAACATATTGTTATGGCGATTCATATGGAATTAGGAATGAAATCAAAGATTTTTTGAAGGTAAAATATACTCAGGAACTCCAGAGTGATCCCTATAGGGGAAGGCTTAAGGGCCCCGTGAGGGTCCCCCTTTAGGGACCACTTTATGCGAAGAAATAAGCGTTTTCAAACGAAGTTGAAAGAGCCCTATAGGGATCACTTAAGCTTTAGGGACTAGGGGGTCAGACCCTAAACCCCTATGGGTACCACCTTGATTTCACCCCTATAGGGACCACTTCTTCGGCCCCTGTAGGGACCACTCTCCAGTGAGATTTTTAGGCAAAGAGCCTTTTTTGGTGTTAATTCAGATCATTTTGTCATTGTACGATTTATGAGGGCGATAATAGTCTAATAAGGGGAAAAATCGAACCTGCATTTTATTATCGAGCTGAGCCAAACTTGGACAATTTTCATCGATTCCCCGGAACAAACAGTGTGTTTCGTGGACGCAGAACCTGTCGTAGTACTGTCGAATCGTCCCGCTTCTGTTGACTGCGTAGTATTCCGAGTAGCACATCTGGAAACGGGCGATTTTTGGGTTTTTGATAAAATTAATGAGTTTTAGGAGCTTTAGGATTGAACTGAGCCCGCAAAAAAAAAAACGAAGAAGATAAAGATCGGGGCTTAGATTTTTAGCACTTAAAGCTCAAAAGCTCCCTATTAGAGCCTCTCAATTTCCTTCAAAAAACCCTTACTTATTCAGTTTTTCCCATGGAAATGCTCCTTCGCAGTCCGTAACAATTATCGACTAGCATGTCCCCTATAGGGACCACTTTTGCAAGTCTTAGTGGCCCCTAAAGGGGTCGGTAACTAGAGGAGACCCTCCAAGAGCCCTAGGGTTGCCCCTACAGGGACCACTCTAGAGATCCTAAGGTCTGCACCCTATTTTCCTTCTTGGTATTTTTTGAATCTAGCGAAAAATAGGACAAGCTGGGAAAAAGGAAAGTTTTGTTTTTCTAAATAAATTGGAACAACTATGACCGACGTATTGCTCAGGCTACACAGAAATTTTGATATATAATTTTTTCTAGATTTTACGAATTCTGTATGTCATTCGTCTCCTTTAGACAACACAAAACAGAGATGAAAAGCTGTTGGTCATGCAATATTCACACATGAAATATCTGTACATCAAAAAAGAGCTTCTGAGGAAGGTTGAATTTAATATTGAACAAGATAATCGTGAAACAATCGGAAAAGTAATGTATTAGTTGACTTTTAAAAACTGCATGAAACGTATTTTAAACTGGAATTTTTCAAATGCCGATTTTAAAATGACGCGTTATTTGTTTAAATTGTTTAAAATGATGTCGTGAATTTCAAAACGAAACACCGTGGTCGCACTTGGAATGGCTGAGAGCGTCGCGAAACTCGTTTCAATTCGGACGCGTTCCGAAGCAGCCTCTGAGCGTCGAGCCATTCCAATTGCGACCATTTTCTTCCTAATAGTTTTATAGAGCTCAATTTTCAGACACCCGGAAACATGCTTTCTTTCCCCTCATTTTGTCCAAATGACATTTGATATTCGCATTTTTCATTCATGCCCCGTTATAAGTGGAATAGACACGCGAACGCCCTCGCTAATTTCCGTTTTGTCCTCCCCAGGCAGGATAATTTTATTTTTGGCTATCAGTTCGAAAGGCTCAAGAGTCCATTATCATGACGGGAAATGGGAAAATTGAGATTTTTTTTTCAATGGAAGCTTGGAAATTGAAAAAAAAAACAGAGAGAACAGATGTTCCTGTGAAGTTTTGGAGGCAACTTGATGATTTTCCGAATTTTTAATTTTTATGACAGCTTTTTCGAATTTATCCATAGCTTCATTTGTGACTCAAAAAAATCAAAAAAAGAGAAATTTTTCAAATTTATAACCTATTTTTGAACAAATGCGATCTCGAATTTTTTTGATTAATGAGCTCAAAAAAATTCAATTTGGGTAGTCAAAGTTTGAATTAAAAAGACTTTTTTTGTTGAAAAACTTTAAAATTTAAAGATTTTATTTTTTTAAGAAAGACGCCATAAATCTACCAATCAAGTCATGAAGTTTGGAAACCCCCCTCAAAAAAACAGAGTAAAGAGCCATTGTAATCTTTGTTTTTGAGTCAAACATTCCCCTTTCCCCCTAAGTAATAATCTCCTCAAAAATCTCCTGTTTTCCCCTCTTTTTTTGACTTTTTGCAAATCCTCTCTTCGAAAAAAAAAATTAGATTGCAACCTGAAAAAAAAAATCTCAAAAATCACTCAAGCAAAACAAATTTCTTTCCCGAATCTCCTGGTTATTCGAGTGAAAAATGAATTTTTTCACGTGAAAAAGTTTGAAAATTGCGAAATCAAGGATTAGTTTCAAGTCAGTGGGGACTTTCCTTATGAAAATTGAATGGAAAAAAAAACGTGACTCAGTTTTTTGATGTGTCAGGAAATTCAAAAAGGATCAAGGAATTTTTTTGAGAGGAGATTAGCGAGATAGTGTGCGGAATAGAGAGGGTTTAAAAACAATTTTTCGAAAAAAAGCATTTTTTGTCGAAAATTTCCGGAAAACCTACACTAATCTTTGTTTCAATGGATTTTAAGCCTTTTTGAGGATTATACGTAGTTTGATGCTTTTTCTGTACTTTTGGAGTTTAATTTTGAAAATTGGAAAAAGCTGATTTTTCTGATTTTTTCTAACGACAAGATGACAATGAATTTAGTATACTGATTCCGGATTTTTAAATTCAAAAAAATTAGCATTGAAAACCTGCATTTTTTTCCCTTTTTTTAAAGTGTAACTTTAGTTCCCCCCCTGTTATATTTATAAAAAAAAGAAACCTCGCCTGAAAATTTCCATCCCCAACCCGAGAAAAAAGAAGAAAAAAAAGTGGGCGAGGGAGGAAAAATATATATCATTTTAATAAATATATTCAATGCAAATTAGGATGTGTCGAGCCAAGAATGAAAAGCGTTATTTTTGTGTTATAATATGCGCCTTTGCTAGTATTATTTTTGTTTATGACAAGGGGAATTTTTGGTGATCACGATGGCAACCGACAACTTCTTGCAAGGGTTTTCGCAAAAATTGGTTCGGAATTTGAGCTTTTCCTTGTTAGGAAAGGTTCATCTGTAAAGCTTGAAAGTCATTTATTAAATTGAAAATATCAAATTCAATCAGTGAAAAAATTTTTTTTGTGAAGAAATGATTGAAAAATGGACAAAATTTTTGGGTCATCGACTAGATTTTGAAAGCGCATTGCCTCTTTTTTCTATCCTGGTTTTTTTTATTTTCGAAAAAAAAAGTATCTTTAAGCCAAGGTAGGGAATTCAGAGATGAAAAAGAAAACTTGCAAAAAGTCTGGTTTCTCTGCGTCTCCTCTTCTCTCGACGCTCTCATTTTTCTGTGCTACTTAGGAATTCCAAAGTGGTCCCTATAGGGGCCGGAAAATTGGTCCCTATAGGCGAAAAATAAGGTAGTCCCTATAGGGGTTTTAGGTCTGACCCCTTAACCCTTAAAGCTCAAGGAGTCCCTATAGGGGTCCTTAAACTATATTCAAAAACCGCTCAATTATTCAATTTTTCGCAAAAAGTTCGACCAGCATGCCCCCTATAGGGACCACTTTTGCAAGCTTTTGTGGTCCCTATAGGGGTTGCTAAAGTGGTCCCTAGAGTGGACCCTTCAAGGTCCCCTAAGGTTGCCTCTATAGAGACCACTCTGATCCTAAGTCCTTTCATGTTTCTATGACCTGAACGAGAAAAAGAGGGCACAGACAGGTCAGATGGTTTTTAGTGTTGAATTCGATTAAATCTTAACCTATAGAAAGGTCATGGCGTTCCAAAAGAAGGATACGTTGCTCATAATTGCCCTCTTTTCTCCGGCTTTTCCCATTATTATTATTATTATTTTCCCCCCTGCAAAATGTACACTCAGCAAGCTGAGAAGATAAGACGGGATCAGGTTTTTGAGCCCTGGATTCTGACTGATTATCGAGGAAATTTAATAAATTGAAGTTGCCGGCACCTGCAGCCATGGATTAGGTTATCATGTCCGCGATGATTGAATTTTCAAATTTTTTAGAAATGATCAAGCTTGGTTTGGTTTTAATGGATAACTTCCGGGAAAATGGTTCAAATGAGATTTGAGGAGAATTGGAAGAAAAAGGGAAATCAAATTCATCCTTGCAGAAAAAAAGGAGTTTTTTCTGAATTTTTTGGATTTTTTCCTTCAAGTTTACACTGTTTAGAAGGATAGTAATTTTTTTAAGTTGAAAAAAATACACTGATTTGTCGGAATAATTAGCAAAAAAAGGGGATTTCAGGTTGCTAATAATAAGGCTTACTCATAGCCTAACTATTTTTTTCTCTTTATTATTTTTTTCGAATTTCCAGGCGAAAATAGAAAAATTTTGACCATAGAAGAAGTGGAAAAAAATCCCAGGATTACTCATAATCTAACTTTTCTCTGCTTTTCCTGTCTCAAATTTTACGTAATAGAAGAAAAAAGTGAATGAATAGGAGCCGTTTTTTTTTTACTAGGAAAGGCAGAATTTTCAGAATTGAGGAAAGTGGCTCATAATAACAAGAGGATAACTCATAATATAACCTTTTTTCTATTCATTCTTTTTCGATCTCAGATTTTACGTCATAGGAACAAAAAATTAATTGAGAAAGATTCTTACTAACAAGGAAAGTCGTTCTACTTAACGATTGGGGGTTCTCTGAAAATTGGCCAGAACACTCCTTGATGTTCCAGGTAAAGATTCTGGAAGTACCAACCTTCAACTTTCTAGTTTTTCAAGAAATAAGGGCCCAAAATAGTCGATTTTTAAGCATTTTGAAGGTTTTTCTTAACTTTGACTCGACGCCAAAAGATCGCCACAACTCTTTCTCTGACACACACTATTTCGTCGTTATCTAGCTGCAAGAAAACGCCGAAATAGTGTAAGTCAGAGAAAGAATAGTGGCGATTTTTTGGCGCCGAGTCAAAGTCAAGAAAAACCCTCAAAATCTTAAAAATTGACTATTTTGGGTCCTTATTTCTTGAAAACTAGAAATTTGCAGGTTGGGACTTTCAGAACCTTTATCTGGTACACCAAGGAGTCTTCTGGCCAATTTTCAGAAAACCGCAACCGTTAAGTAAAAAGACCTTCCTTGTTAGTAAGAAAATCTTCTTCAATTCATTCTTTTTTCTTTCCTATTACGTAAAATCTGAGATAAATATACTAAAAAAAGGGAGAATATAAAAAAAAAGGTCAGATTATGAGTTATCCTCTTGTTATTATGAACAATTTTTTTCTCAATTCTGAAAAATTCTACCTTTCCTAGTAGAAAAAAACGGCTCTTATTCATTCAATTCTTTTTCTATTACGTAAAATTGGAGACTGGAAAAGCAGAAGGAGAAAAATGAAGATAGATTATCTTTTGGCGCCGAGTCAAAGTCAAGGAAAACCCTAAAAATCTTTGAAAATAGTATTTTGGGCCCTTGTCCTTGGAAAACTAGAAAGTTGAAGGTTGGGACTTTCAGAACCTTTATCTGGTACATCAAGGAGAGTTCTGGCCAAATTTCAAGAAATTCCCAACCGCAAAGTGGAATGACCAGGAACAAAGGTTCATAATACCTCATCTTTATTTTCGGCTCTAGTACTCCTATCTCAAATTTTCCGCGTGCACCCGCAAAAAGAAAGATGAAAAAGGCCACTAATGTGACTAAATTGTTGAGGGATTGTGGCCCCTCCCGCGCAACATTTCCTATTTTTTCCTGACCAAGGTTTTATTTTCGAGAGAAACGACGCAACTTTGAAGGGAAACGTGAGCTTGATGGGTTATGCATTGCGAATATGTGCCCCCCAGTATTGTCACACGACTTTTTTTAGACACTTTTTCTGCTTTTTGAATGACGTCGGGTTCATTTTGCTAACGAGGGCCATGGGAAACATGACTCTTTCCTAGGCGTCACAAGGAAAAGCGATGCTTTTTAAACAGAATCAAATTGATCAGAGGAGTTCAGAGATGAGAAATTAGTAAGAGGCTTTGAGGTTCCAAAATATGTGAAAATAAGCTCAAGGATGGTCCCGACAGTACCGAAGTTTCATTGGAATTTTGAAGAAAAGAGAAAAATTTGATACGTTTAACGTTGGGATTGAAAAAGATGAATGTTCGTTTTTAAAATCTTACTAGCGAACATTTTTTTAGGGAGTTTTTAATGAAGGGCGGGGGGTTAAAAATCTTTCCTAAGTAATGATCCTCTACACATTTTTGGTTTCCCCACTTTTCATTTGGAATTTTTCAAAGGCTATTCACCTTTTTAATAACCACTTTAACGTCTAGGAATTTGAAAAAAATAGTTTTTCTCAGTAAATCTAAGATAAAAAGCTAGGTAAAAAAAGTAAGAAAGATTAATAATTATGAACGAAATGGTAGGTTAATCCGTTCATAGAAAAATACCAATTTCGTGACGCATTCAAAATAATTACACATAATACAATGTACAAGAATTGAAGAAAAGTCAAAAAAAAAAAAACTATTTTTGAAATTAAAATAGATTATGGTCTCTCTGTGCTCTCTTAACTCTAGAGAGAATGAAAATTGAGGAAAATGATAGGTCAAGAGAGCGCAGACAGGCTAGACGGTGTCAAGACCAGAGTGCACTCTCTTATTTCTGCGAAATGATGAAAAACGAGATATTGAGAGGGCGCAGACAGGCTAGACGAGCCCTCATGAAAAAATCATTCATCAAATTTGAAAAACGCTGACCTGTCTGCACTCTCTTTCCGCTGCGAAATTATGAAAAACGAGAGATTGAGAGGGCACAGACAAGCCAGACTGTTTTTAATAATCAGGAATGAACAAAAAAAAATCCCCACCATGTCCGGACCGCATTCCGTTTTGCGATGAGGCGTCGGATAGGACGAATCGTAGCATTTCAATGCGAATGACCCCGATATGAACACGCTGATCATGACGATCATCGACGGAAGCTGTTTCAGACTGGTGCCTGTCATCGGCGACGCCGTCGTCCTTTGAGAAAGACTCGTTGCTCCGCAGCAGCAACAGGCGAGCTTTTTTTTCCGAAGCACAATGAGATGATGAAAGGGGGCGTGGCTTGGGGCTCGCCAAGTCTCGCTTTTGGAAGCCTGAAGGGCCACGCCCCCGCCCCCCTTCGTTTTGGCTGGCTTCTGGTCTGGCTATCTTCAGGATTATTATTATTTTTTTGATTGTTGTCCTTTTGATGGGGATCTAGTACATAGGGAAATGAAAAATAAGAGGAATTTTTGAGGGGATTTTTTTGTGATATTTGAATTTTTTTGTAGAAAAATTTTTTTGGTTAAATGAATGGAAAAAAAGATTTTTTTATTCCTATGAAAATATTTTTTTAGGGAGGTTATAAAGGTAATTTTTTTAAATGGAATTTGAAAAAAATTTCAAAATTTGACTACAGTTTTTTTAGTGAGAAAGTAATTTTTTTGTCTTTTTTTCTCAGAAGTTCAAAAAAACTCCCTTTTTACAACTAAACTTCAAGAAGATCTGCGAAAAAGTTCATTCATTTTTCAAAGATTAAGGAATTTTTTTGTTGGAGGGATTAGTAGTTTTTTTGAAAATCTCGGAAGTAATCTCACTTTTTTTCACTTTTTTTCCTATTTTAATAATTCAAAGATCGGAGAATCCTTACAAAAAAATGTATTTTTAAAAAAACGTTTTTCTTTATTGCACTTTTTTTATTCTCACTTATTTTTAAGCCCTGCAAAATTAGTCGCTTTTTCTGGATTTTTCAAAAAAAATGGAGATCAAAGGAAGGGCATTTTTGAAGAAGCCTAAGGAAAAATTTCAGACATGTGCTCTTTATTTTTCCTCTTTTAAATGAGCTTATTCACCTCCGTTTTTTTAGTTTTTTAAAAAAATCTTAAAAAGGATCGGAAGAGGAAAAAAATTAGAACAAGCCTACAAAACTTTGAAAGATACTTTTGTTTTCTCAACTTTAGCCATGCTTTTTCCATTTCAAATTGTAAAATATACCTCCTTCTCCAAAGTTTTTAAAACTCTCCAAGGCCAGAGAACTTGAAAAAACCTGCAAAAATTAAAAAAAAAAGATTTTTCTCCATTTTCGCCGCACACTTTTGACTTTTCCTTATTATCAAAGTTTTTTTTGATTTACAAGCTCCCCAAGAGAATTTCAAAAGAAGGACTTACCAAATTTTTGAAGCTGTGTACTTTTACGGTCTTTGGTCCTCTTTTCAATTCTCTCCTTGCCCCCAATGAAACTCTTCCAAATGAAAAACTTCCGCCCAAATGAGCAAACGTCATTTTTCTATTTGCTGTTTTTTTCAGGGACGAAACCAGTACGTCGGCCGCTTTTTGAAAATGGTGAGTTGGAAAAAAAATGTGTTTTTCCTGAAAAAAATCAGAACTTTTTGGGTGTTTCAAAGTGAAATCGTCAAAAAGGATATTTTTTTGTTGAAATTTTTCAGTTTTAGTGATTCCAGTGCAAATTTTGAGCTAAAAAGTCGTTAAAATTTTTCAAATTATATTTTTTTGATTATTTGTTTAACATAAAAAAAGATTTGAGACAAGTTACCCCCCTGAAAGCTTTCAGTGCAAATTTTGAGCTAAAAAAAGTCGTTAAAAATTCTCAAGTTCTGTATTTTTCGTCGTTTTACATAATATATAATGACTTTTTCGAATATGTCTAGACCCCCCTGAAAGCTCGAAATCGAAATCTCTAATGACGTTTGTTGAAATTTATCTTCTAGAGATTCCAATTTCAAGCTTTCAGTGTAAATTTTGATGTAGAAAGTCGTTGAAATTCTCAAGTTCTGTATTTTTTTTCGTCGTTTTACATAATATATAATGACTTTTTCGAATATGTCTAGACCCCCCTGAAAGCTCGAAATCGAAATCTCTAATGACGTTTGTTGAAATTTATCTTCTAGAGATTCCAATTTCAAGCTTTCAGTGTAAATTTTGATCTAGAAAGTCGTTGAAATTCTCAAGTTCTGTATTTTTCGTCGTTTTTACATAATATATAATGACTTTTCGAATATGTCTAGACCCCCCTGAAAGCTCGAAATCGAAATCTCTAATGACGTTTGTTGAAATTTATCTTCTAGAGATTCCAATTTCAAGCTTTCAGTGCAAATTTTGAGCTAAAAAAAGTCGTTAAAATTCTCAAGTTCTGTATTTTTCGTCGTTTTACATAATATATAATGACTTTTTCGAATATGTCTAGACCCCCCTGAAAGCTCGAAATCAGAAATCTCTAATGACGTTTGTTGAAATTTATCTTCTAGAGATTCCAATTTCAAGCTTTCAGTGTAAATTTCTGATGTAGAAAGTCGTTGAAATTCTCAAGTTCTGTATTTTTCGTCGTTTTACATAATATATAATGACTTTTTCGAATATGTCTAGACCCCCCTGAAAGCTCGAAATCGAAATCTCTAATGACGTTTGTTGAAATTTATCTTCTAGAGATTCCAATTTCAAGCTTTCAGTGTAAATTTTGATCTAGAAAGTCGTTGAAATTCTCAAGTTCTGTATTTTTTTTCGTCGTTTTACATAATATATAATGACTTTTTCGAATATGTCTAGACCCCCCTGAAAGCTCGAAATCGAAATCTCTAATGACGTTTGTTGAAATTTATCTTCTAGAGATTCCAATTTCAAGCTTTCAGTGTAAATTTTGATCTAGAAAGTCGTTGAAATTCTCAAGTTCTGTATTTTTTTCGTCGTTTTTACATAATATATAATGACTTTTTCGAATATGTCTAGACCCCCCCCTGAAAGCTCGAAATCGAAATCTCTAATGACGTTTGTTGAAATTTATCTTCTAGAGATTCCAATTTCAAGCTTTCAGTGTAAATTTTGATCTAGAAAGTCGTTGAAATTCTCAAGTTCTTTATTTTTTTGGTCTTTTTATAACATAAAATGATTTTTTTAAGCGCTTCAGGCCGAAAAATTACAAAAAAATACATGTTGAAAAACTTTGCAGGAGATCATTTGGAGTGGCCGTGGGTCGATCCGGATGAGCCGAGCACCAAACTTTGATCTTGAAATAGCAATTTTCTCAAATGTGCCTATTTTTGTACATTGCATAAATATTCATTGTCTTTCCTTGTACCTTCACCTTGTTATTTGGTCGTTTGAGGCCAAGCAAGCCGGTTTATTTGTGAAATTTAGAAATTTTCAGGTTTTTAAAGGTTTCAGAAGGAAGGATGCTTCATTTAAAAAAGAAGGTCTGATTTTTCAAAGAAAAACTTTCAGACTTCAAAATTTTCTCTGACCTGTCTGCTCCCTCTTACCCCTCATCTGATGAGGTTAGAGAAAGATATCTTGTTTTTGTGCGCTATTTCGAAGTCACATACTATTTCCATGTTTCTCTGACTCTCAATGAGAGAAAAGAGGGCGCAGACACGCCAGAAAATTTCGAGCCGTGAGGGATGAAAAAAAAAGTTGGGTTTCAGATATTTCTTGTATTCAGGGTTATCAACAAATTTTGAAAAAAAAATCGGAGTATAAATTTTTCTCTAACATGTCTACTCCCTCTTCTCTCTCATCCACCGGAGTTAGAGATGAGCTCAATTGTCTGCGCTCTCTCGAAGATATATACTCTTTTCAAGTCTCTCTGACTCTCAATGAGAGAAAAGAGACAGGCTAGAAAAACTCGAGCTGTGACGAATGGAAAAAAAAAAGTTGGAGTCATACTTTTTTCTCTGACCTCTCTGCTCCCTCTTATCCCTCATCGACTGAGGTTAAAGAACGTTTTTATATTTCGCGCTCTCTCGAAGTTATATACTATTTTCAAGCCTCTCTGAGACGCGATGAGAGAAAAGAGGGAGCAGGTAGGCTAGAAAATTTTGAGCTGTGACGAATGAAAGGTCTGGAAAAAGTCCGACTTTCGAAGTCATCTACAATTTGTCGAGCTCAATCAGTTCAAACTTCTTTTTTATCAAGTATTTCCTCTTTTTTCATGTTTTCCAACAAAACTTCAGTCGAACTAAATCCCTCGATCAAAAAATTAAGATAATGCTTCATGAAAAATATTTTTAGGTTAGAGATTGACTATAACTCGTGAGCCAGCTTGTCATCTTTCCATTTCCTCCCAAATAGCCGAGCTCATATTTCCATGTTTTCATAAACAAAAGATTGGAAAATACCTGCGTGACGATAGACGTAGGAGAGGCTCATTTTCGACGTCAGAAGCCGTTTTTGACATCTCAAAAAGTGCGGAAGCCCGTAAAAAAGCAGAGAACCTCGTGTGTCTCTCTTCCAATGACACACGACCCACAGAGTTTTCCTGTGTTCAAGGGAAAAGTTTGACTTGTTAGGGCTTGACTTGAACTCGGAAACAAACGCATTAATGATAGCCTGGCTTATTTTGAAAATATCTTTTTTTAATCTTGTTTTTTTTTTGACATTTTTTGATGAGAAATTAATAGAAGCGCGCCGTAGCGCAACAGGTTGTGTGCCTGTCTACGGTCCACAGGGTCACAAGTTCGATCCCTGCCCCGACCCAACCAAGGGGTTTAAGAAATGTTGGTAGTGGGAAACCACGACTTCAAAAATCCCCAGCCGTCACACACAAGGACGGATATGTCACTGGAGCCAGTCCACTGATATCAGGATAGGACCTCGGCTAATCGACTTGGGGCGCCGACGCCGCTCAAGCGGTACAAAGGCGTAGGAAGAAGAAGAAGAAGATGAGAAATTAATAGAGAGATTTTCAAAAAGTCGACATCTTCTTAAATAACCCTCTAGGGATTGCTTTCTAAATTATGTATTTTAAAAAAATCGCGCCCTTTTCTCATAAATTTTGGTTAATGAGAAAAAGCTTAAAAAGATTTTGAAGTGGCTCAATTTTTTCATTGAAAAAACTTAAAGTCAGAAAATTTTGAATTTATAAAAAAAAACTTCCGAAAAAGCCGGAAAATAGGTTCCTGGAATAGTCACTTCAAGGTTAACTTTGTCAGCAAAAAATAATTTTTTCTGATTATCTTTGAAAAAATCTAGTGGCCACTTAAGAGGTTCCTCAAGGAGTACATGAAGATAACACTAAAGTGACCACTAAACCTGTTTCTATGGATGCCAATAAGGGACCACTATAGTAGTTTTCAGTGGCCAGAATTTACACTTAGACTTCTGTAGAGGTCACTTAATTTTAGCCACTTAAGAGGCCACTTATTCGTTTGCTATAGTGGCCACTAACGGTAAAACCCTAAAGAGGCCCCTAAAAATCAACCCAGATTTTCGTTCTTCTTCAGCCAAAAACACAATGACCTCACAAAATTTTCTCAGAATTCAGTTCGAAAAACTCAAAAATTTACGCCAAGCTTTGTTTATTTTTTTGTTGCAACTTCATTTTTGCAAAACAATATTACAACTGTCCTATGGACTATCATAAACTCCGAAAAGCGCAGAAAATACAATTTTTCAAATCGAAAGATCATTCAAAACCGGCCACATACAGCAAGAAAATGAATGTATTGTTCAGAAATCGTTCAGCCGAGAAATAGTGTACGAAGATGAGAGACGGTGATTGGACGGATGACGTGTGGGGGAAAAATTCTCTTGGTTGTTTGAGATGAATTTTTCGTTATCAACAACAAGGAAGGTACTCGGAAAACAGTTGTTGAGGTATTTAAAGACGGGGATCGCATGGGAAATCGTCGAGTTTTGAACTTTTATTTTCTGATTATCCGATTTTGAGTTTGATATATTAAGGTTTTGAATGGGTTTGAAAATAGAATATTTATTTTTTTTCACTTATTTCTGGTTAATTTTCAGAACGTGATTTGCTAACTTAAAACTTTTTTCCATAGTACTCCATTAGCCACTACTTGGATTTGTCTGACCTGTCTGGGCCCTCTTTTTCTCTCACCGACGAGGCCAGAGAAACTTGAAAATAGCACAGAGAGAAACGAGAGTGCAAGGTTTTTGAGCTGTAGTTTTAAGACTGAAAATCGGAAAGATTACGAATCGAGTTTAATATGAAAATGTCCTTAAAAAAAGGCGATTTAAACCCCCCCCGCGGGTTCACATTCCAATAAAATTAGGTTGAAAGGTAGTTCAAGACATCGTGACCCAAAAAAAAGGAAAATGTGTTTCAACAAATTTTATTAAGAGTTATCGCCATTTAAAGTCTTTGAACCACCCAAAAATGGTCAAAAAAGCGTCATTTTCGAGATTTTCAAGCTTCATAACTTGAGAAAAAGCTCTATTTTACCTTTTTTGGGAGGAAAGTCCAAGTTTGATCAAATGTCGCAAAAGAAGCCCGCTTGTTAGTGAATTTTTCTCAGAATATAGATTTAAGCTGTAAGATTTCGCCCAGTACGGTGAGAGCTTCACGTAGCCTTATAAGTTTCTTTTTTTTTCCAGATTTTGGAGCCAATCTGTTTGATTTTTGTATTGAATTGTTTGATTTGAATAATTATTATATGTTGGAACCAAGTTTCGTGAATACTTGATCTTTATTTTATTTTTTCTCAAGGTCTTATTTTCCCATTTTCAGAATGAAAACGGCTTGTTTTCTTCTACTTTCCTTCTTCGCACAAAGTTCACAATTAGGTATTTTTATTTGTATTTTTTCAGAGTAATCAGGAAAATTATTTTTCAGGAGACATACCCGACGATCACACCATTTGGAAGAAAGACAATGTCGAAGATGCTATGGTGATTTTTTGTGAAATTTGAAAAAGGCGTGAAATTTCAGAAAATATCGCATTGGAGGGTATTTTTGGGGAATTATCTTGATTTATCAAAAAAAAGTACATTTTTTGAAAAGTTACTGATATTATAGTCCATCCGCCGCGAATTGACAGTTTTCGCGTGTCTGCGTCTCTGTGTTCCCTCACCGACAAGGTCAGAGAAACATGGAAATAGCACGGGGAAATGAGAGGGAAGTCGAGAGATAAGGATGGCGCAGAGTAGTCCCGCCCTTCCAAGTCGCGAAAAACGGACTATTATTGTATACCCAGAAAAAAAGGGAAATTTTCGAACTGCCGCAAGAATCGCTACAGAAAAAGCCGAGAAAAATTGAATAATAGACGAATTTTTCCAGGTTTTGCACGCACCTCTGAACCGAGGCAGTCGATTGGAGCGTTCCGGAAGGATCCTCCGTGAAGTCGACGAGATGATGTACCGGATTCAGAACGGCGGAGGTCGCAGCGCTGGCAGCCTGGCTCAGATGACGTCACGCGTCGAGAGAGACGTCGGCGTGTTCCAGGAGGAGCGGCCGAAGCGACACCACTTGGAACAGTCGTCTGGATATTCGGAGAAGATGGTGATGAGAGAGGACGACGAGTCTGAAAGTGGAGCCGGAGCAGCTGGAAGCCGTGTCAAACGCGACTTCAAGGAGAGCATGGGCGGCATGGGACATCGAGTCAAGAGGGGTCGAATCTTACGCGAAGCTGAAGTCAGTCATCTGGAGACGTCTGAGAAGACGATTTCCGATGGAGCTGGAGCAGTTCACCATGAGGAGTCAGAGAAGACACTCTCCCGGCCGACTCGCGATTTCAAGGAGAGCATGGGCGGCATGAGACATCGAGTCAGAAGAGAAGGAAGAGCTGGACGTGAAGCTGAGGTCAGCCACCAAGAGAAGTCCGAAAAGACGGTCACCGATGGAGCTGGAGCAGTTCAACATGAGGAGTCAGAAAAAACCATCTCCCGACCAACTCGTGGTGAAACTGAAGTCAGTCACCAGGAAAAGTCTGAGGCTCTCCTTGGCGGCCTGGGTCATCGAGTTCGAAGAGCAGGAAGAGCCGGACGTGAAGCTGAGATTAATCTCCAGTCCGAGGGAGCTGGAGCTACTCATCATAAAGAGTCTGGAAAGACCCTCTCTCGTCAAGTTCGTGACTTCAAGGAGAGCATGGGCGGCATGGGACATCGCGTCAAAAGAGGAAGAGCTGGACGAGATGCTGAGGTCAGCCACCAGGAAAAGTCGGAAAAGACTATTTCCGATGGAGCTGGAGCAGTTCAACATGAGGAGTCAGAGAAGACCATCTCCCGGCCAACTCGCGACTTCAAAGAGAGCATGGGCGGCATGGGACATCGCGTCAAGAGAGGTAGAGCTGGACGAGAAGCTGAAGTCAGCCACCTGGAGACGTCTGAGAAGACGGTTTCCGATGGAGCTGGAGCAACTCTCCACGGAGAATCTGAGAATACCATCTCCCGGCCAGTTCGCGATTTCAAGGAGAGCATGGGCGGCATGGGACATCGCGTCAAAAGAGGAAGAGCTGGACGAGAAGCTGAAATCAAGCTCCAGAAAGAGTCCGAAAGTACCCTTGAACGAAAGGAAAGAGACACGAATCCCATGGACGGACAGCGCGTCGAGAGGCACGCCAATGAGGAGTCCCGCCACGACGGCATCGTTCAGCGATCAACTCCAGCTCCGGCCGCCAACTACGGACAAGGATTCCAGCCTGCTGCCCTTGGATAGGTGAACTTGGTGAGAATTTCTCATTTTTTTTTTTTGATAGTTGGTTCGGTAGATTCATGTTAGAAGACCAACCATTGAAAAAGAAATTGAAAATTGAAAATTGAAAATTAAAAAAATTTGACAATTGAAGTTTCACACGTTTTTGCGTAACATACACGTAGGTTATGTCATATACGCTTTTTTAATACAAAAAAATAAAAAAATCAAAAAAATTTTTCTGAACTCGCATTAGCCGCGGAGCGCGCTTTCCTCTTCTACATGAATTTTACTTTTTCCGAACTTCGCTTTTTTTAAAATCGACTTTATCATTGATTTCGCATCATTTATCACTATTTTACAGCGATTTTTCCTTAAAATAATATATTTTTGAGCTCTTTTTATACGCTGCTCTCATATTATCCTCAAAATCTTTTTGAATAAAAGGAAAAAAATCGGATAATCTTCATTTGGGATTCTTTAATGACTTTCTAGGTTTTTTTGGTTGATTTTCAAAATAATCATTATTTTTTTCAGAGCTCAACACAAGCTGCACGTCAATATCAGCTGTAAATACACTAATTGTACAAATTCGAATCATTTTTCCATGTACATATTGAACATAAATCTTTATTCTTATTTTTTTGTTTTTCGGAATAAGTTCAATGCTTTCTCCACATGTTATCGTACATATTGAAGTAAAGATCTTTGCCTCGACGGCTCAGGCGTCGGAGCGAATCGAGTCGCTCTTTCCGGACTCTGGCGCCACGTCTCAAACAGTAGATCATCACCAGCGGCGAGCCGAGCGTGTATATTGGCACGAACTGAAGGTTTTTTCAATTTTGAAGCGTGTTTTTGAAGAATATTGAATGGAAATCGAAGTTTTTGTTCATGCCTGAATTATATTTTTTTCGGAGCTTATCGATGATTTTTTTGTAATATTTTTTTAAAGAACATTGACGAAACGCATAAAAAAATATCTAGTCTTTGTTAAAATGACCATTTTTTTACTTTTTTTAATTATCTAATCAAAAAAATTTTGTAGGTTTTTTTATCTATTTTCAAGTCTTTTTCTAATCATATTTGCTGGAAGACGTAATTTATCGAACTTTACACAATTTTAAAATGATCGTATCGAAAGTTTGATTAAAATGAATGAAAATTAAAGAAATACAGAAATCAAAACTTTTTTCAGAATCTATTTAGAAGTGAAACTTTTTTTCAAGTATTTTTTTTTACCATCTTACGTTTTTGTGATTTAAAAACACTTTCACGTTTTTTTATTTTATTTTATGAGGAAAAGGTATATTTTTTATATACATATTTTTAATAGAAAATCGTATAGTGAAGAGAGGGGCCCCTGAAAAAGTTTTACTTTTCATTAAATTTTTTTCCTTTGAATAAATATTGAAGACTTACATAGACGGCTGTGAGGAAAACCCGATAACTGATCTCGTTTGAGAAAAGTGGCCGGAATTTGTTGACGCTCATGACGACGGCACTGTAGGCCACGTAGAAGAACATGTGGAAGAGGAGGAGTGGGAGAAGAAGTTGGAAAGCTTCTTCGTTTTCCATCAGTTGGCTCTTTTTCGGGACGTCGCCGCAGGTTTGTCTTGAAAAAGTGATTTCAAAAAAGTTCTCGAAAAATGACTAGATTTCCAGTGCATTTTTCATGAGTTTCTCAGCGAGGACTTTGAAAATAACTGCAAAATTGAGGAAAATCGACTTGAAATTTGAAAAAAATAGTGTTTGGCTTGAATTTTCCGACGTTTTATCATTAAAATTTTCTTTAAAAGGTCCTTTTTAGCAGAGCTGTTCTCGGGGCGGCCCCGGTCGACCGAGGGCGCCCCGATTTGCGGCGTGTTCGAGGGCGGCCGCGGTCGGCCTTTGGTAAGGGTCAACTCGGTCGACCCGTAGATACAAATTTTTTTTTTGACGCCCGGTTTTTTGCGAGTTATAAGAAAGCGAAAGAAGTGCAAGTTTCACTGAAATGAAAGTGAAACAAAAAAACATTTTTATCGAGCACACAAAGAAGAAAAACCGAGGAAATGAGATATTAATCCAAAAATTCAATAGTTTTCTAAGTGGCCAGAACAGTTTACAGAACTAGAGAAAACGAAATAATTAATAAAAAATAATTTGAAATTTTCACATCATCAGGAATTTCATTTTCGCAAAAAATTCATTCAAACCACTATTTGAAATATTATTTTTTTATTTACAACGAGAAAAACGAAAAAGATTCGAAAAAGTGAAGTCAAAAAGCCCGATTTCTATCAAAAACAATAAAATTAAACTTTTCATGGATCATAAATAACTTAAACATTCATTTCCAATATGAAAAAACGAAATAAAAACAAAAAAAACGGAAAAAAAAATCCTCGCGCTCGCTTCGGGGGCCTGAATGAAAACCGCTTCGCGGGCCGGGGCGCTCAGGGGCGCGTCGCGGTCGGGTCGGGGCGGCCTCGGCCAGGGTCGCCCCGACTTGAGAACAGCTCTGCTTTTTAGGATAAAAACGACTCAAAAAGGTCAGAAAGGTCCGTTTTACGAGAATAGGGCTTAAAAGAAGGTTTTTAATGTTTTTTGGGAAAGAAACTTCTGGTTGCTTTTTTAAAAATTCTTTTTTTTTTGAGTGCTTCAAAAAGCTCAAATCATTTTTTTTTTTTTCGAAAACCGACTTTTTAATAAGCCTCCTGTTGAACTGAAACAGGGCGATCGTGTAAATAAACAGAAATATTTCGAATATTGCCATCGCCAGGGCGGACCACGCGATATCGTCAAAACTGCCAGAATCGGCCACCGAACAAAAAATTGTCGGTTTGGTAAAATTGAAATTCCGTAGGGCGAGTAGCGTAAGAGAGCCGCCGATGGTTATCTGAAATATATATTTTTTTGTAGGGAAGTTATATTTTCGGTCAAAAGTGATACTTTGAATGTTGGAGTAGATTGGGGATTTTCATGACGTTTCGAAATTTAAATGAACAAACAATTTTGTGACTTTTTGCTTCTAGTTTAAGGACACTAACGCGATGAAAAAATCGTTGTGGGTAAATTTAGTTTTTCGGAAAATTTAGAGGTAGATTTACTCCGTAAAAGTTTTCAATTATGCGTCATGATTATGGACACACCTCTATTCTCACTGATTTTTCAAGCAGACAAAAAAATATCTTTCCGACTTTTTTTAGAAAGTAAAATTTATTTTTTTGAATAAATAAGAGTATTTTTCAGGTATTGGGTTTAGGATTATACTCGAAGATCTTCTTATTTATTTTTTTTTTCTTTCAAAATGATAGTCCTTCACTTTTGGGCGGTTTTTTGAGTTGATAAGGCTAGAATTTATGGGCATAACCTTATAAATAATTTATAAATACACTATTTTTAACATTTTTACCATGAGGGCCATTATTACGAATCCACTGGCACCGGATGACTGCCAATAATTGGCTATAATTAAAGTCGCCAGGCTTCTTTCGATAGTCAACCCGAAATGAATCATCGAATACATCCTAAAATTGACCAAAGTCCAATAATCATCGAATTTCCGTTCAAAAATCCATGCTGGAACGTTTAACTGTTTATTTCGTTTCGAAACCTTTTTTTTCGAATCTAGTTCATGCTCCTTTAAACAACCCAGCAAGACTTTTAGAAAAAATGTAAGAATTTCCAAGTTTTACGCGTAGCAAAAGGTGATGGAAAAACGGAAAACGGCGCAAATTTGGCCGGGCATCAATGCGTCGCACGTGTTGGGCTTTTGCCAAGCGATTAGGTGGTAACCCTGGAAATTTTTGAAAAATTAAAAAAAATGAAGTTTTTAAACCATTTGAATGATGACAAAGGTTGAGTGGATGAGGTTGAAAATGACGAGCGATTGGACGATTGTCTGTAATATTTTTAGGTTTTTCTCTTTTTTTTTCTATATAACTTGACAAACTACATGGAAGAGTATGAGCTCATTTTGGGTCGGTTTTTTCAAAATTTTCAAAATTTTCAGGACTTTTCTTGTGTTGAACAACTTGTAAGGAGACGGTCCGAAGGTGTAATTAGGAAAAAATTTTCCGCTTTTTCAATTTTTTGAGTTTAATCGAAGAAATATATAAGCAAAACTGTAAGGAAAAATGCACTGAAAGAATTTTAAATTATATATTTTTCCGATTTTTCGAATTTTCTTTTTTTTTCGGAAATCTGAAGATTTTTAATACTGCAAAAGAGTGGCTATGTAACTATCAAATTTCTTCTCAACCGGCCCTTTTTACCAGTTTTCAAACTCGAAAAATACGGTAGCAGGGGAATGGCTCATTTTTAAGCCGTAAAAGACCGCAACTTTTTGGACAGTCCTCCTAACAAGGGAGGTCATTTTACTTTGCATTCTTCTGAAAAATGGCTAGAACCCTCCTTGATGTTTAAGAAGAAGGTTCTGAAAGTCTCAAGCTGAGGCAAGACGCCTTGAAGCCCAAGAAACCCCTCAAAACCCATAAAAATAGGCTATTTTGAGACTTTAGGCCCTTAATTCTCGAAAACTAAGAAGTTATGAAGGTTGAGACTTTGAGGATTTTCGTCTGATACATCCATAGGATTCTGGCCGATTTTCAGAAAATGTCCCAACCGCAAAGTAAAATGACCTTCCTTGTAAGGTTATCCAAACCTTAAAGTTGGCATGGAAATAAGACATCTTCCGAGCGTAATAGTGAAGCTGTAGGTTGGAAATAACTGATAATATTGCAGTTATCAGTTGAAAAAACAAGGCGTAGTACTGTAATGGGTTGTTGAGCTGTTCTTCAGCCTCATGGCAAGCCATTTTCAGTCGGAATGAGAAATTTCGTGATTCAGAAGTTCAGAAAAATATTGAAAAAACAGAACTTGAAGAGAAGTTTTTCTGAATGTTTGTTGGAAAAGGGTAGAAGCTTAAATAGGCAAAGTCATGCGATGGGAAAGTAGGCTCCTGGGAAAGTAATTTTGGAGGGTCAGGTACGTAGGAGAAAGGTGTTTGGAAATAATTAGTCGGTTTATTTTTGAGTCGGGTCCAAGTAGACCGAATTTTATGGTCTTTAAACCGATTAAAAATAATCTACTTCGGTCAGTTTATGAGTGGAGGTCTGTAAACAAGAGTTTACGGTCCGTAAATACGATTTTCAGTTGTTTTAGTTTACCAGGCACAATCTAAAGTTGAAAAAAAAAATAATCAGTCGGTTTATTTTTGAGTCGGGTTCAAGTAGACCGATTTATGAGATCCTTGGAAGCTTTGATGGTACTTTAGCCGGTGGGAAATGAATTCTTTTGTTCTTTTTTTGAGTTGAGAACTGTGGATGGCAGTTTGCGGCCCGTAAATTGGTTTACAAGCGGAAATATTACAATAAATCTACACTGGATCATTTTTTCTCTTCCGCCATGATACCCGAAGTCTATAGATTACAATTTACGATCCGTAAATAGGGACCAAAGTAGGAATATTATAATTTCAACGAATTTTTACACTGACAGAATTTAAAGATAGATTAAAGATAGTGGTTTATCTTATTTTTCGAATTGGGTTCAAGTAGATCGATTTTTTTGAGAGCCTTGAATGCTTTGATGGCCTTTTTAACCGATTGATAATGAACCAATTTGTTCTGTTTTTGAGTCGAGACTTGTAGAGGACAGTTTACGCCCCCCCTCCCCCTCCCTTCCCCCATTCTCTTAAAAAAATTACAATTTACACTAAATATACAAAAAAATTTAATGATTTTTGTTTCACTGCAGAGTTTAGAACTGTGAGGACAGCTCACGGTCCGTAAATGGGTTTTCAGTAAACTCCGAATGTTTCAACACATATTCTACCCAGGAATAATTAAAAGATGAATAAAAAATAATAATTCAGTCTATTTTTTAAATGGGTATAAGTAGACCGATTTTTGAGGACCTTGGAAGCTTTGATGGCCTTTTAACCGATTGATAATTAACAAATTCGTTCCGTTTTTTTGAGTTGAGGTCTGTAGGAAACACTTTACGGACCGTAAATAGGTTCACAAGCAAGAATATTACAATTTTATTACCAAGTTTTCAAAAAGTGGATTATTTAGTTTCTTTTTCAAGTGAAGACCTGTAGGTGACGGTTTACGGACCGTAAATGGGTTTTGAAATAAGATAATATTGTAATTCGATTTACTCTGAAAGCATTTGAAGTTCTTCATAGTTCTGGACTTTTTGAAGTATTTGAAGGTTTGATTAATTTACGGGGCTGTTTGAAAGCCGTAAATGTAATTTTTTTTTCTCAATTAGAATCATTTATAACTCCAGAAGAAGTTCAGAAAGTGAGAAACTACCAAAATAAAAGTTTATTGGCCGATTTTTAGCTTGGATTCCTTCAAATTACTCAATATTTTATCAAGACAACTCTAAATTCTTACTATTCGAAGTTTTTCTTTTCTTCGAAATGTTTTTTGCGACACGTCTGATATTTCGAGCCATGTGCTCAGACTTTTTCCGTACTTTCCCTACGTTTTTACCTATAAATAGAAGAGATTAGGTGACACGTCGTGAGAAAGTTTCATTACGGGGCCATTTGTCACCTTTTTTTCGAATCTCCTGGAAAAATCAGAAGGGCAAAGGAGAGACACGCAATATGACGCTTATATAGACGTGTGAAAAAATGGAGATAAGCTAGAAGAAAGATCTACAGTGACTACAGAAACAGTCGTTTTTCTCGGCAAGACCACTTACGTAATTTTTTTTACCCTTAATCACTTTAGTAAATTTTATTGCGTTTTCTGGTTTATTTGTGAAATATTATAGACTTTTTTAGTTCAGCCTCATGTCATAGGAAGATGGGATAGAAGCCGTGAAAATTGATTATTCGATCAAAAATGAGAAAAATCTAGCGTGACAGAAATTTTCTCATGGTTATTTTTTTACGCAATGCAACTCCCATCAGGTTTGGCTATCATTCAGAAAAGTTCATTCAGTTTCGGCCTGGAGCAAGAATGAAGAAGTTTAAAGTCCCATCATGAGCTCAGACTGGTCCACCTAAACCTCCTCTTTTTGCGCACTGCCTCGCGAATTTTGTACAGATCCTCGCTGAAAATCTCGAGTCAGCCGTGGGAGAACCATATTTTTTCTGAAAACAAGTAAAGAGTTTGTTTTGCTCTGTTCAAATCGTGATGAAGCTTGTTTCAAAAAAGAAAATCTCGACTTTTTCTTCAAACTTGAGCGGGGATCAAACTTGTGACCCTGTGCACCGTAGACAGGCACACAACCTGTTGCGCTACGACGCGCCCTAGTTATAGACTTTTTTTTGAAGCTTCGAAGCGTCATAAACCGACTATGAAGCAAAAGTCAAGTGATTTTTCTTCTTCTGAAGTCAAGAAACCCTGAAGAACCGTTTTGCAAAGTTTCAAAAACATTTTAATAAAAAATACCTTCCTTGTGAGGTCAAGAAAAAAAAACCGAGATTTATTCATTCAAGGATCATGGCGTTTCGACCTCCTGGTGATGGTGTTGTACCAGATGACGTTGTTCTGTTCAGTCCAACTGCTCTTCGTCATCTTCCTCGACTACATGCCTAGCACTTACTGCAATGACTGTTGGTTTCTCAATGATTTTGGTGTCGCATTTGGAATGGCTCGAAGCGTCGCGGTCAGCAGACGGTTCAGCAGCTTGCTCTAATGCTTTCTGATTCCTTCCGAGGTCATTTTTCTCTGCGGTTAGGGTTATCCCAAAATTTGGCACTTCTTGATATACCAAAAGAGGTTGAGAAAGCTTCAATCTGCACAACTGTCTAGTTTTCGAAAAAATGAGGACCCTTGCCCAAAAATTTTAAAAGATCTCGGTTTATTTTTGACTTTGAGGTGTCCTTTTTCGAAAACTAGGAAATTTTTTGTGTTCTGACCAATTTTCAGGAAATGCTCAACCAAAAAAAAAATAATCACCCTTGTAAGCGAACCATTCCAAATGCGAATTGGCGGTTTTCAGCATGAAGAAAAGAAAGCGCCGAATAATTTTGTTTCCTAAAGATGTTTCTTTGCAGCCGACTACTGTTATAAAGTCAAAAAACCGTGTCTGGCCAACTACGACCCAACAAAACCGAACATTTGTCCTGTGAATTCTACTGATTTTGTTGGTTTTTCGCAGTTTTCTTCGTTTAGGGGTCTCTTGAGGATGCTTCTTTATTCTTCTCGCTCTTTTTAGATTCGGTCTTTCTTAATTAACACCTAGTATCAAAACTCCTTCAGAGATCGCTTGAGCTTCTCCTAGTCCTTTTAAAAAATTTGAATTTTTCGCAGGACGTCTGTGTCAGAGAACACAAGACCCTGCAGTTTCATTCAGCTCAGTTTGACTACCAGCACGGTTGTCAACCCTTTTTTGACTTGTGAGTTCACGAATGAAAGTGAAAAAGTGTCCGGTTGAGAATTTGATGGAACTTTGCCAAGATGACTTCTCAATCAGTCGGAAAAGCTGCGCTTTCAGTTTTTTCGTAGGGTCTTAAAGACGAATCTTCGAAAACTAGAGAGTGTTCAAAAGTCAGAGGATTAGAGTTTTTTGTCTCTCTGCTCTCTCTTGTTTCCCAGAGCTCTCTAGCTACTAGTTACGAAGATTCGAGTCCCTAAGATCCAAAAATAGATTCATCAAGCCTTAAAGTTTGGACTGTACCATTTTAGTGAGAAAAAAGAAGGTTTTTGGCTTTTCTGGTCCGTCTTAACTCTACTAAAAAACGCAAATAACAGTTTTTTTTCCATTTTCATCAGAATCAGGGTTTATTAGAGTACCTCTCTTTCAATTGAGTTTTCAACTTGTAACTTTCTTGAAAAAAAAAAACTGAGAATCTATAAAACTCAGCTTCTCCGCGGCAACTTCGCAATTCTCGGGAATGCTCTTCGGGAATATTATCCTTGGGTACGCTTCCGATAGGTTGGGCCGTCGCAAGATCCTCCTCCTCTCCATGTTGGTCGGAATCCCTTGCCTTGTTCTCAGCGGTATTTATCAAAATAGCTAATTTGTTACATTGACCGATTCCCAGCCGCCATCCCAACCCTCTGGGCCTTTTACACCTTCCGAATCATCAATGGTTTCACGATTGCTGGTTTGGTTGTGAAGAAAGGAAGTTCAAGAAGAAGTATTTGAGGAACTCTAACGGTCGGCTGGTCGTACGGATCAGAAATGATCTCTCCAAGGCAACGGCTGCGTCTTCGAGCCATTCCCAATTGGGTGAGATTTGGGAGCTTGTCCTAGGAAGTAGGCTTCTGTAATGGCCGGCCCGCCAGGCATTTCGTAAGCCCCACCGGGCCCGGGCCTCAAACAAAAATGGCCGACCCAGCCCAAAAAGCTCCGAAGTCAAACATCAGACTTTCTTACGACAAAAGTCACGTTTTTGGTTCTTGGTTTTGCTTAAATATCAATAGAAACTATCATTAACAAGTAAAAAGTTTTTTTCGGGGAAGTTAGGGAAAAAATGGTTTCTGAAAAATTCACTCGCAGCCTGTTCTGACTTGAGCCCGCGCAGACGCAAAAAATGATGCTCAAAGCCCGGACCGGCCACTCCGACGCACCTGCTTACACCGAATAGGTCACGGGATTTTTCGTGACAACAAAAAATGCTCCATTTCGCTTTTTTTAGGGGGGTCGGAAAAATCACGCCTATAGTAAGCTTGTTCTAAAATGTTCTATACCTTTCTAGACTTTTACGGTTGTACTACGTCATAGGGACCTCTCTTTTACAAGTTTCCTTCTAGAAAATTCCATACCTTTCTAAATCAATTCCAGAATGTTCTGTCTTTTTGAAAAACTTTATGTAGGGACCGCAAGCCATTTCTTCAGAACGATTCAAAAAATATGTTTTTCACATTGTTCGATAGAGGAGACTGTCCATTTTCATAATCCGTTTAGTTTTAGAAAAAAGCTCCACTAAGAAAAAAGTTATGGCCAAAAAACTAGCGCGCGCGGCGTTCAACTGGAGGCAAAATCTCACGGTTTACCCGCTGCCGCACGCTTTCTTTTTAATTGTTTTTGCGCGTTTCTGAACCGTTTTCGAATCGGTTTTCTGTTCTGAGAGGTTGTCAGAACTGAGCTTAACGTTTTGGTATGAATCTTTTGTATAACTATCATAAGAATTTTTGATAAAATATCAAAAAACTACTTAGAAAAAAGGTCAGAAGGAATTTTCAGCTTATTTTTCTCTTTTCTAATCAGAAAAATTATTATCATTCGGTTTGGAAGAAAGAAAAAATGAAAAATGATGTCATTTCGAAATAAAACAGGAAAAAGTGCAATTTGACTTCGAAAAACGGCTCCTGCGACATTTAAAAGGGCGCATCGGTGTGTTTGACGCAAACACTGCAACGGACACTTGCACGAAATCTTCCAAAATTTCAAAAAAAATTGCCATTTTTTCGAGGTTTTCAAAGCCGTTATTTTTTTCGCGTCGATCGATTTTTTTCATAATTTTTTCATTGATAGAGTTTTGAACGCTTAATAACATAATCAAAGATATAGACGCGATCCTATTCTCTCATGCGTCAACGAGGCAGACGAAAAAAGGAGGTTTTGGAAAACTCAAATATAATTTGATTCGCTGTCCCAATAATTATTTTTCATTTTTGAATTTTTTTATTTTTTTGAACACATTGTGAGTTATTAAATCAAATAAAAAGTATACCATGTCGCTGAAACTTTTTTTCGCATTTCAGCTTCAAAGTTTGGTGTCACTTTACAAGCTTTTAATATTTTTTTCGCGTCGGTAGATTTTTTTCATTTTCCCTCAAAAAAAATAAAGAAAGTGTTAATGTATAACATACTTAAAATTTAGAAGCGTTCCTCACTTGGTTTTCTGAAACGCGACGATTTTTGTGAAACTTGTCAGTTTTTTTCGTGTTAAATCTTACTTTTTTTCGCTTATTTTTTTGAAAAAAATACATAGTTTTTAAAAAAATATTCAGTCTTGTAGAGCGTTGTCGATTACATAGTTTAACAAAAAAACAGTTCATTTTTTTAAAGTGGGACTTTAGCTAGTATAAACGCCTCAAAACCGTTTTTTTGCAACAAAAAAATCGTCATTTTGGTGGCGTGAAGGGGCGGGGCTTTGCGCCCCCTAACTTTATGGACTTTTAAAGTTGAGAAAAAAATCTACGATTGACCTTATTTTTTGATGCCTTTTTCCTTTCTCATTCTATTCAAAGCTGTAGTTTGAACTAATTTTAAAGTGAAAAAAGATAGGAATTTTTTTTTGTACAGGAATCAATATTTTTTCATCTTGTATTTAGACTTCTTGTGGCTTTTTTCGAATTTTTTGAACCAAAAAAGTTCATTTTCCCCTAACTTCAGGCCAACGCAAGGCTGATGATGACGGGTTTGGCTTGGCTGGCCGGCGAATGGCGATTGACGACTTTTCTCTGTGCCGGTGTATCTTGTATCACCATTCCCATCGTCTGGTATCTACCTGAGAGTCCGACTTTTTTGCGACAAAAAGTTGATTTTATCATTAGAAGCGTTTTGGAAAAGTGCATCTTCTAGGGAAGGTTCCAAGAGTCTGAAGACGCCAGGGAAAGGATCGCCACTCTCACTGGAGAGGAATTTAAGCCAGGTTCATCTTATTTCAAAAAAAAAGCTTGAATATTATTTTTCCAGGGAATATTGAGGAAGTCAAGAAGCTGAGGAACATAACCATCAAAAACATTTTCACCGAACCCGTCCTAAGAAAAAGATTCCTCATTCTTTGCTACATGTAAGCTGGGAAGATTTTTGAAAATTTAAAACCAAAAAAATTCCAAAGGTTAGATGGAAATGTGAACTAGAAGTATTAAAGTCACAAGAAAACACCGAAAAACTCATCTGCTGAAACCCTTGAAATTGACCAAAAACGAAAGAGTTTCCCAACGTGTGGTCTCGCCGCGAAAAAAAGTGGCCACGTAAATTTTGTCCAGGTTGATTTTTAAGGCAGTTTTTACATGCAACATGTTTATAGGAATGGTATATAGTAGTTTTTTGATAAATTTTTTAATGCGTCAGGTGTGAATAGGCTCATCCTACCTAATTTGCTAAAAAATGTGCAAGAATTTAGCGTGCGGACCTTAAAATAATTGAAAAAAACGAGAGAGTGTCAATGTGTGTTTTCGCCGCGAAAAAGAACGGCTGTCACTCAGGTTACTGTAGGCTGCACTTTTTGCGCTTTTATCAACCTCATTTATCAGGAAAATATGTTTCTGAGGATAACTTTTCGATAAAAGTGGAGAATGGCTCTCAGCTTCTGTTGTCCCGAAGAAAATTAAAGGAAAAGCAGTTTTAATAGTAATTATAGACAGAAAATAGACAAAAAGCGTTCTCCAATCAGACCCATTGATTTTTATGACGAATTTTCTAATTTTCCACAAAGAAACAACCTAATTCTATCCAATCAATTTGTAATTTCTTGAAAATTGAGTCTGACCACCTTAAAACAATAAAAAAACACTAGCAAGTAGCGATGCGGGGTGTCGACGCGAAAAATAGCAGCTGCCAAGGAGATTACTGTAGGCTTTTCTGCTCGCTTTTATCAAGTTTCTTTAAGAAATTTTGAGGTTTTTGATAGAGATTTTAACTTCACAGCGTCGACAACGGCCCCAGAAAACTTTTGACTTACTAACTCGAAAGAAATCTCGATTTGAGTCGTTAATATAAGCTGAAATATCATAAAATCGGCGTTCTGACCTGGTTTAAGATCGTTTTTTGATCTATTGCTTAATGCTCCAGGTGGAAAGAGGCTCAGACTAACCAATTTAATATAAAATATTCTGGAATTAGACCTGGTTGCCTTAAAACAATCAAGAAACTATGAAGTATAACAATTGGGGGTCTTGCCGCGAAGAGAAGCGGCTGCCAAGGAGGTTACTGTAGGTATCTATCCCCCGCTATTTCCTCAGTTTTTTGGCTGGATTTCAAAGTATTCCAGTAGGAATTTCCAACATCAACACGATAAAACATTTTTTAAGTTCTTTTTGGCTAAGGGAATCTCGTGAAATTTTGTCCAGTTTGATTTTTAAGGCAGTTTTTACATGGAACATGTTCATAGGAATGGTAGAGTGTAGTTTATTGATGAATTATGCAATGCGCCAGGTGTGAATAGGCTCAGCCTATCCATTTCGCTGAAAAATGTGCAAAGATTCAGCGTGAGAAACTTGAAAAAATCGGAAAACCCAAAAAGAATATAAGTGTGGAATCTTGCCGCGAAAAATATTCGCTGTCACTCAGGTTACAGTAGGTTGCACTTTTTGCGCTTTTATCAACCTCATTTATCAGGAAAAGATGTTTCTGAGGATAACTCTTCGATAAAAGTGGAGAATGGCTCTCAGCTTCTGTTGTCCCGAAGAAAATTAAAGGAAAAGCAGTTTTAATAGTAATTATAGACAGAAAACAAACAAAAAGCGTTCTCCAATCAGACCCATTGATTTTTATGACGAATTTTCTAATTTTCCACAAAGAAACAACCTAATTCTATCCAATCAATTTGTAATTTCTTGAAAATTGAGTCTGACCACCTTAAAACAATCAAAAAACACTAGCAAGTAGCGATGCGGGGTCTCGACGCGAAAAATAGCAGCTGCCAAGGAGATTACTGTAGGCTTTTCTGCTCGCTTTTATCAAGTTTCTTTAAGAAATTTTGAGGTTTTTGATGGCGATTTTCAATTCACAGCGTCGAGAACGATCCCAGAAAACTTTTGAATTACTAAATCGAAAGAAATCTCGGTTTGAGTCGTTAATATGAGCTGAAATAACATAAAATCAGTGCACAGGCCTGTTTGGAGGTCTTTTTTTAATTGATTTCCTAATGCGCCAGGTGAAACGAGGCGCAGACTAAAAATATTTAATAAAAAAATTCCGAAATTTTTATCTGATTGCCTTAAAGTAATCGAGAAACTTTGAAGTATAGCAATGAGGGGTCTTGCCGCGAAGAGAAGCAGCTGCCGAGGAGGTTACTGTAGGCTTTCCTTCTCAGCTTTATTAATTTTTCTCAACCAAATTTTGAGTTTTTGGTGCAATTTTTCGATTAACAGGGTAGAATTAGTATCGTATTAGTTTTAGCCAACAAATCTGATGAAAAACTAGTTTTTTGTAGGCGAAACTGCATGGGAATGCATAAAAATTGTTCTTTTTACTGACCCAAAACTGTTTTTCGATGAATTCTCTAATGATTGGGGTCAAACCAGGCACAGTTTGAATATTTGAGTCAAAAAAATCATAAAGTTTTGCATGACTACCTTAAAACAATCGGAAAACAGTGGAAATTTTCTTCCTGCGGTCCTGCCGCGAAGAATAGCAGCTGCTACTTGGGTTACTGTAGGCTTTTTCCCTTAGATTTTTCATTAGTTTTTTCAATTGAACTTGGAAGTTTTTGATATTAATTTTTCAATATGTAATGTAGCAAACTATTGTCCGGGTTTTTCTAGTTGGAAAACTCCATGAAAAAATAAATGAGGTTGCTGATTTAAGCCGAAAACTCTGAAATTATTTTTAATAAACGGGTGAAAATTTTTCAATTTTTGATACATTTCGTAATGTGTAAGATACATCTAGGCTCAACTGATCCAGTTTGATTAAATTTGTTCTGAAATTCCGTCTGATAACCTTAAAATAATCGAAAATCACTGGAGTTTTTCTATGTGCGGTCCTGCCGCGAAGAAAAGCAGCCGCTAGTAAGATTACTGTAGGCTTTTCTTTTTTATTTTTCATTAGTTTTTTAACTGATCTTGAAGGTTTTTGATGGGAGTTTTCAATATGGAATGGAGTGAACTACTTTTCGGATTTTTCTAGTATAAATAATCCATGAAAAAGTGATTGGGGTTGTTAAGCTAGGTCGAAAATTCAGAATATCTCTCCCAAAGCAGGTGAAAACTTATAATTTTTATAAATTTCGTAATGTTTGAGGTAGATCTAGGCTCACCTGAACCATTTTGATCGAATTTGTTTCGAAATTCCGGCTGATCACCTTAAAATAATCGCAAATTGCGAGGCTTTCACGATTTGTGGTATCGCCGCGAAGAAAACCAGCTGCTACTAGGGTTACTGTAGGTCTATTTCTTGCTGTTTTTCCAGTTTTTCAATCAAACTTGAAGTGATTTTGATCAGAAATCATGGAATCCAAGATTTCTTAACTGAACCAAAGAAATATATTTATAATTTTAAGGTGGTTTTTCGTCGGAACCGTCCTTTACGTGACGGATCTCAACGGCGCCGGCATGTACAAGAACTTTTGGGTCGGCCAATTTTTGACTGGGCTCATTCTGACCATTGCCAAGATTGTTGGTTTCTGAGAGTTGAAATCGATTTCTGGAAATTTTAGGCTATCGGGCTTCTTGATCCGTACCTTCCATGGCTTGGTAGACGAATTCTTTTCATGGGAACTCAGATTATCGCCCTCGTTTGCTACTGTTTCATCATCTATTTCCTGTATACGGATCAGAAGGTTTTTCATAATTCACATGTTTTTTTTGGAAAAGTTTTGAAAAAGGACGGAAAAAAGAATACTTCTATCGAGAAAATTGGTAAAGAATCCCAAAACGAAGCGTTATAAATGCTCCGGACCATTTTGAATTGGACTGAAAACTATCTTAGGGCAGATGAATTGATTTTCGTAATGGGATTTCTCGTGACCTGATAGCCATGCGCCTTTAAACTTGATAACTGTTTTTGACCGAATTTTCTAATGTTTTATTCGGTTTGACTCAGGAACGCCAGAGTGGTCCCTATTGTGATAACTTAAGAGACCCTTGAAGGTATCCCTTTAGTGACTACTTCACCTCACCTATAAGGACCGTTATGTTTTGCAAAAGTGGTCTCTTTAGGGGTTTTAGTTAGTGGTTTTAGTTAGGGAGATTTCCATAAAATATTCAATAAATTAGCATTTTTCTTGTGAAAAGTATTAACTAGGGATTTACCGATCAAGTTTTTTATTAAATATGTCTTTGAACGAAAAAGTTGGAAGGTCCCTATAGGGACCACTTGGGCTTTATGGGGCTTTGGGGTCGGACCCTGAACCCCTATAGGAACTGCGTAAATTTCACCCCTAGAGAGACTTTTTTTCCCTAATCCCTGTAGGGACCACTCTAGCGTATTGAAGTAAGGCGGTTTTTTTTTTGAATTTCCGTATTTCCATTGAGTTGAAGTACAGAAAAGTTACTTTTTTCAAATATTTCGTAACTTTTCGGAGAATCTCAATTTTTTTTTTCGAAGGAAAAAATGTTTTTTGAACCTTCTCGGACCTCGTTAACGAATAGCGGACGTTTTTGAGCAGTTCTAGGGATCACTTAAGCGGTCTGACGCTACTAATGTGGTCACTAGAAATGCTCCGACACGTCCGGGGCGCTTCACGAAAGTCCGAGTTTTCATATTTTTCGATCAAGAAGCTGGAGCAAGGCAACTGCGAACCGTCCAGTCATTATTTTCAGTCTTGAGAGGTTTTGAGCTTTTCAGGGAACCTATGCTTACCTGGCGGTCTACGTTCTCGCCTTCGGAGCCCAGTCACTCACCTTGGAGACTTGCTACTTGTCCCTGGCGGAACTTATGCCCACCGACGTCAGATCCACGGCTGGAGCTCTTACGAACTTCCTCATGAAGAGCGGATCGGTCATCGCGGCTCTTGTGGTGAGGAACTAAGACTTGAAACCTTGCGAATTTCTCGTTCCAGCAACCAATGAAAAACGTCCACGAGCCGGCGCTCTACTGGTTCAATTTGTGTTTGGCTGTTCCCGGCGTCATTCTCGTGTTCTTCTTCTTGGATGTTAGTTTTTCGAAAATGCGAAAGAACAACGACGGTCTGAAGAGACGGCAGAGATGCAGAAATTCTTTCTTTCTCTGGCGTCTCTTCTAGATTACTGATCTCTCATGCTTGATTAGTTGAACAAAGGTCATTTTTGAATTCCATTTGCATTTAGCTGGGAAAGTTTTTAGTGGCCACTATAGAGGCTCGCCAAGGACTACTTGGAGGGGACACTAAAGTGGCCACTAAACCCACCTCTATAGTGGCCACTTTTTTTTCGTTTTAGTGGCCACTTCAGTAGATTTTCATCCAGTATTCCTTCCAGTAACTCTGATAATTTTAAAACAAACAGATTGGAACAGTTATGTTGATCCATTGACCCCTAAAGTGGCCACTAAAATTTTTAGTGGTCTATTAGTAGCACTTATACCTCTATAGTGGCTACTGGTTTTTAGCCCCTAACGTGGCCACTAATTTGACTACTATAGTGGCCACTGAAACGTCAGAACCCTATAGTGGCCACTTAAAGTTTTCCCAGTAGTGACGTAAAAGCAATAAAAACTTGAGGAAAACTGTGAAAATCAGTTAGGTTCATTAAGAAGTTACATCAGCTTGAGAACAAAAACGAGTTCTTTTGAAAGTTACGAATATTTTCAAGGAATCAAGAGGCTGTAACTTGGAACTCGTCGGACAGGCAGGCGAGGAAATCGTATCCGCTTCGAAGTCGTCTTTCTCTCTGAGACCCAGCGCAAAATCAGACGAGCGCTCGATTATCTCGGAGTCTACCAGCCAGAAGTTGGTCAAACTATTAAATATATAAGTCTGACCAAGAAAAATTTGAGTAAAAAGAGGTCCTAAAATGAGCAATAGAAATGAGAAAAAAAGAAGAAAAATTCACAGAATACTCAAAAATTGTGTTTTTTTCACCTCATTTAGTCGTCACTTGAGGGTTTTGAGCACCAAATTATTTTTCCACTCATTTAGTGATCCCTTAATGGTTTTGAGCACCAAATTGTTTTTCCACTCATTTAGTGATCCCCTGAGGGTTTCGAGTACCAAATAAATGATAACTCAAAAAAATCGTGTCAGAAACAAGAAGGAAAAAAATCTAGATTAAAAAAATCAAATTTTTTTCACTTTTTTTCTTCTAAGTTGAGAGGGTTCACTTCAGTGATTTTTTTAGTAATCACTCAAGAGGTTTTTAGTGCCGCTCTAGTAACCACTTATTTTTTTTCTTTAAGTCTGTGTTTCAAAGAGTTTGTGACATTTTTATCGGAAGAAAATACACAATATTCCAATTTTATGAAAGTTCATTCTATTCAAAAATTCTAGAGAGAACTCGAGCATGTCGACGAAAGCCTCGACTCAGACCGATGCCTAATATTTCTTCATTTCTTCATTTTCTTATTCATCCCATTGTTAATTGTGTTGATGGATATGCAAGAAAAGAAAGTTTCACAACTTGAATATTTTTCCGCTTTTTTTGCCCCGCGTTGTTATGGCGACAGGCTGATGACGCGCCGAAGGCAATTACGAGTTTGAACGAAGCCTTGCAATCATGCTCGGCCGCCGCATTTTTTCACGCCTGGCAGCCCTTTTCTATGGCTTTCCGATGGATTGTGTCAATTTATTATTTTTGAAAAAAAATGTTGGCTCAGCGCGCGAAAAATTATATTTTTGATTTGAAACACCTTGCTTTTTCGAGAACCCCCTCCCCCTAACGATTTACTCAATCAGACAAAAAATAGAGTCATTTTCGCAAAAAAAAACCTGCTCCATTCTGGAACTCTATTTTTTCAGTCTGATTCAGTTTCGTGTTTTGATTAACTTTTTTTTCCTGGTCCATTTTCTTGATTTCTAAGAGGGTGGAGGTTCGCGACGCGGTTCTTGGCGGGAAATGAAAATTCAAACGCATTACGTCATTTTTGGATAAAGCTGCCTCCCGGCTGGCTTGAGCCATCGAAAAAGGGTCCTGACACGATAAGAAAAGAGATAGTGCCTGGATCGTGGAGAGCGCAGACAGGTCACGCCCCCTTAGCTAGCCGTGAATCTGCTATGGTTTTGCAACCTTTTCTCGTTCACAAAAGTTTTAATTAAAAGAAAGACTGCTTTTTCTAAATTTTTCACGCTAGAAGCCTCGTCGCGACCGCAAAAAAATATTCCGGTAGAGATGATTTTATCGATTTTCAAAGCAGGAAGAATTGGCTATAACTTTTCATGTCATTCAAGTCAGATTTTTCATTGACTCGGAGTCGAAAATCCCTCAGCTTGATTATTTTAACTGCTTGGAAAAAGATGTTATTGATCTCCAAAGGCGGAGCCATAGATGAAGCTCAGAGCCCTTGTAGGGCTTGATAAGCTTTTGAGAGCGAAGCCTGACTCCCGGGGGCATTCCCGTCGTCTACGACAGTTATTTTCGAAGAAATTTAAGAAGTGATGGGCACGACGCCATCCTACTACGCCCATTCGTACCCGTCGGCGACGATGATCGTCCACCATCAGCCGCCCATCTCACATCACGTCTCCGAGCCCCAGTTCCGTCGAGCATCGGCCTCTCACTTCACCTGTCATTCGGCCACAGGAATGACCAGTGGCACCAACTCGAGCCCGATCCATTCGAGTACCTCTGCCTGTGGCTTCGGCGGAGGCAGCGGCTTCTCCTCGCAGTTCGCCATGCCGGTACAGTACTACCCGAACAATGTGTACGGTAATGGCGTCACGAGGTCCTTCTACGCACCCGCCACTACGGTTTCTACCATGGTTGGTTTTTTTAAGTGCTTCACGAGATTTTCAACCCTCCTTCGGCTGGATCTCACCGGCCTATCCCCCGCAAACTGCAGCCGATTTTGAAGGCTCAAGAAGTTTTTATGAGATTGGTTAAGGTTCTAGCTTCCGGAAGGGGGAGAAGTTCTTTCGATTCTCTAGAGCCTCTTGATCACGATTTTTAAAAGAAAAAGTTCTGAAGTTTGAAATTGAGGATCTTCAGCGTCTTCAAGGGGTTATGAGTCCACTTTTTTTGAGGTACCCCTAAACATCTTTCCAGCGAAGTTTCAGATTTTTGACAGTGTATTGAAATCATACCTCTGATTTTCTGCAATTTTGGCATTTCCGGTGTAGATTTTGAGAGGATAACATTTTGAGAGGAACTTCTTCAACTTTAGATAGCTTTAGAAAATTCTTTAAAATAAGCCCCTCATAAAAAATATTCGATTCGATATTTTTCTATGCTAGAAACTATGGACATTAGTAACCCGACCGTGATCCGGGCGTTTCTGGGCATTTCTAGTGACCACTTTAGTAGCTTCAGCACTCTTAAGTGATCCCTAGAATCGCCCAGAACCGTCCGTTTCGTCCGAGTAGTCATTAAGTTGGTGCAGAAGAGCGAATTTGTAGGTACTGTAGAATTTACAGTTCGAACAGCTTTTCTGTAGAGCTTTTTGTCATCAGACTTGTATCCTGGTAACTATTTTCGAACCACTGAGGGGTAATTATAGTTTAGAAAGCCTATAGTGATCACTTCAGTTAGAAAACTGTAAAAATATTTCAAAAACATTTTTCAGCGCAACGGCTCTTTTTCGCGCTCTCCGACCGTCGTCACGGTTTCTCACTACAGTAATATCCCTTCTACGGTAATTTCCGGAATTTTCTTCCATAAAACCGTAGATTCTCAGGTACCCTCACCACCTGCCCGTCAGATGACGTCACCCTCGGCTCCAGAAGACCACCCGCCGTCCTATGAAGCCGCCACGAAGCAAATTTACCCGAAATTTGACGCTTCTGATCGCCGTTTGATCGATTCGAATACGATGTGATGTTTGGAATGAGATGAATGAATTTTTATGATGAAAATTGAAAGAAAAAGAAGAAGATAGTGTATTTACAGCTAGTTTGAAAATGATCGCGTTGAGATATCTTTTCGTGAGTTCGCTATGCGCCTTTAAATTTTTAGCATTTTCCGGTTTTCTTCTTCATTTTTTTAACAGGTGAGTTATTAGTTGTTGCAAAAAGTTTGATCACAACACATTTATACGATTTTTAAAGGAGCATGGACTAAATTTATTCAGGTCTTGAAGCGATGAGCCATATTCAGTTTTCATTCAAATTTTAAAGGCGCATAGCTACATCGCTTAAGGATATCTTGACGCGAAAATTGGCCGCTGAATCAAGAGGAAAGCGTCTTACAGAGTTAAGGGTAACGCCGAGGAACGAAGGCCTTCTGAATATTCAAAACATTTCCGATGACGTCATAAAACGTGGTCCAAGCGTCGACGACTTCTTGATTGTATCTGTCACCTAGGCACGTCTTCAGGACGTCCATCAGGCCAGGTATCATGTTCTGGAAGTGGGTCAGTAGCAGGAGAGGGCTGAAGAGACGCCAGAGAAGACAGAAACTCTGACTTCTCAGTCGTCTCTTCATGTCACCATTGTTCTCTAAATGAGTGCATTTTTCTGCCTAAGCCATTGAAATTCCTAAAAAAGTATCTCAAAACCGTGATATGCTGCTTGCTAATTGTCCATTTGACGTGACTTATCGCGATCCTGGCCGTGAGATTGACCAAAATCTCATCATCGTCCATTTTTTCAACGATTTCCTGGAAATTCTTGGGAATTTTTATTGCCTAGTATTGCTCACTTTAAGGCCGGACATGTACACAGAGGCGTGATTTCTTAATTGATCCGAAACGATCAAGGAACTGTCGGGAATCGCGCGGAACTGTGGCCAAATGTTCTTGTAGTGTGGAAACTCGGAGAAGTACCTAAAATTTGAAAAATTCTGATTTTGGTGACGCAAACCGGACGAGCCTCGGACGGTTTCGAGCTTTTTAATGGTCCCTTTAGCGATTTCAGCCTCCTTAAGTGACTACTTGAAACGTCCAGGCGCTTCCGGATTTTCGTTATCCAGGTCCGAGGTTACTTGATACGTTTTCAGTTAGTTTTTAAGGGTACCCACAAGAGTTTTCAAGTTTTTTTAAGTTATAATGTTACCTGGCAAAGAAAATGAGTCCGGGCACGCAAACCGGACGTTTTTGAGCTTTTAGGGGTACCTTTAGCGGTGTCAGCCCCCTTAAGGGGTCACTTGAAACACCCAGGCGCGGCCGGTTTGCGTTACCGAATTCAGAGTAGTCTTATCGTATCAGGGAACCTTTTTTACAAGTTTCGAGGAATTTTGGGTTTTCAAAGTTATTAAAATATTACCTCATAAGTTTTCAGTTAATTTTTTAAGAGGCTGTCAAGTTTTTTAAAGTTATATAAAGTTACCTGGCAAAGAGGATGAGTTTGGACACGCAAACCGGACGTGTATGAGCTTTTTAGGGGTACCTTTAGCGAATTAAGCCCCCTTAAGGGATTACTTGAGAGACGCCGGTTCATGTTACCAAGGTCCGAGAAGTTTTATCGTATCAGTGAACCTTTTTTTTGAATTCCGAGAAATTTTTGGTTCAATATTACTTGATAAATTCTCAGTTAGTTTTTAAAGGGTTTTACGAGGGTTTTCAATTTTTTCTAATGTTATATGTTACCTGGCAAACAGGATGAGTCCATTTTTCACAGGTGCCTTGGCGATTTCAGCAAACGTTTCCTGGATGAGTTGCTTCTGCTCCGTCGTCAAACGCGTCAACTCAGTGTGAACCAATTTTTTCACCTCCGGATTCCCTATCAATACTTTTGTTGAAAAATAAATACTTTAACTTTACCTTGGAAACTCCTCCTAAGCTGTACGTCTGTGCTACCTGAACTTTTCGTTTTCCTGGATAAAAATATATAAAAGCAACGAAAACTCACGATTTGCAGCCATGAATGGAGACGTAGAGTGGGAAAATGGGCCCGAGATTAGTCAGGCAGTATTTAAAAAATCGGAAACGTTGAATTAGGCTTATGAGGCACGCGACATGATAATCCAGGAAATGACACTTTTGGCTTTTAGTCTGAGAAAAAATAAATAAATAAATGAATTACAACGTTCGAAACTTTTTGCATCATTCAAGCGTCCTTGTTCAGAAGATGTACACCTTTACAAGAAAAATGCGGAAAGAATTCATTTGAGAATCACTGATCGTCTCCTGAACCACGCCTCAGTAGCTACCGCTCAGGATGAAGCTGAGGGTGGTTTAATTTTACATATACCTGGAACAGGATGCCTACGGTCGCCTGTTAGAGTACAGTATCAGAGTCTACCTCATTTTTGTAGTTTTCTGTGAAACAAGTGACGAAGAAGCAATCATAACGACAAAGAAATCGACTGAAGAATTGAAAAGCCTGAAGCTTCTGGACAAATCTCAATCCATTGATAACCTACATCATTGGTAAGCTGACAACGAGAAAAACCGATTGATATAACCAGATAAGCAGTAGCTGCTCTAAGAACCGAGATATAAGCCTTCACAAGTCTCGTTAAAAATAAACTTGCGCGTGAGATGAAATGTCTTGTATGAGGTTGCGCGTCGGGTCAGGTGCTAGTCTGAGGCCTTCATCGGTGTGGTTTCCTCGCGAAAAAGGAAAAGCTCAGAAAAAAGCTCGTTATTTTCAAGTTTTTTCTGAGGCAATCGATAGAGAAGCGCCTATATAGTACTGTTATCATATCAGTTTTTAAGAAAAAGCTCTAAATTGAGATCGAAAAATTGGCCATTTCAATGAATTTCAAGCTTCATAACTTCGTTCATTTTCAAGTTACAGATTACCTGATCAAATCAATCGATTCGTCTCATTGTCAGCTTTCCAATCGTATATGACTCCAAGAGTTGAAGAAAAATTGCCAACTTCAAAAAATCATAACTTTTTTTCTAGGGGCCTTGGGAGTTTCTGAGTTTGATATTTCCACTCCTGACGTCATTTCCTATCGATTGATATGAAAATCTCCGAAACTTCAGTTTTCGGGAAAATCGAAAAAAGTACAGTCTAACCCCTTAGGTTTTTTTCGAGCTTCTGAGGTCATGGAAGCCGATCTGGACGAAACTTATATCACTCGATAGATCTCGACGAGAAAATAACCGGAGACCAGGTTTGACCTCCGTAGGTCAACTAGGAACGAAGTTAGAGACGATCAAACTTAGAGATCGAACATCTCAATTTCCGTCAAAGTTGGTATCAATCGATAGAGGAGATCACGGAGGTCAGGAAAAACTAGGTCTCTAAGTTCCCAGGTTCCTAGAAGTTGAGATATGAGTAATAGAAAACTTTGAAAAATCATATCTTTTTTTGTAGGAGGCCAGAGACTTTTCCACCTGGATTTTTGGACATCTTACGTCATTCCCTATCGATTGATATGAAAATCTCCAAAACTTTAAATTTCGGGAAAATCGAAAAAAGTGTAGTCTAACCCCTTAGGTTTTTTTCGAGCTTCTGAGGTCATGGAAGCCGATCTGGACGAAACTTATATCACTCGATAGATCTCGACGAGAAAATAACCGGAGACCATGTTTGACCTCCGTAGGTCAACTAGGAACTAAGTTAGAGGCGATCAAACTTAGAGGTCAAAGTTTTTGAAATTGGTCAGATTTGGTATCAATCGATAGAGGAGATTACGGAGGTCATGAAAAACTAGGTCTCTAAATTTCTAGGCTCCTAGAAGTCGAGATATGAATTTTCAAAAAATCAATTATGGCAAACTTCGAAGGGCTTCAACTCATTTCCCAGGGACTTTTTTGACCCAGCTTTGATTTCTGGGCACAGTACATCATTCTGCGTCGATTGATGTAGAAAACTTCCATATTTAAAATTGAACTGATAGAGCAAATCTAAATCTTCTGGATGAAGCTCAATCTGTTGATGTCCTGTATCAGTAGAAAGCTGACGACCAGACAAATCGATTGATGTATTCAAATGACCTGTAGCTGCTCTAGGAGTAAAGATATAAGCCTTCAAAGATCTCGTAAAAAATTAACTTGCGCGTGAGATGAAATGTTTTGTATGAGGTTGCGCGTCGGGTCAGGTGCTAGTCTGAGGCCTTCATCGGTGTGGTTTCCTCGCGAAAAAGGAAAAGCTGAAAAAAAAGTTCATGTTTTTCAAGCTTTGTCTAGTGCAATCGATAGAGCAGCTTCTATATATTACTGTTATCATATCAGTTTCTAAGGAGAATCTCAAAGAATGGATCAAAAACGAGATCAAAAAATGGCTTTTTTCCGACTTTCAAGCTTCATAACTCTGTTCTATTATCAGTTACAGATGAAATGATTACATCAATCGATTCGTCTCGTCGTCAGCTTTCCAATGATATAAGTAATCAACGGATTGAGCATCATCCAGAAGCTTCAGACTTGCCTCAGCTTACAAGTCGATGTTTTGATAAGTTATCAAGGACTGGGGTATATCATTGGATCCGTTTCAAGATGCTCTATTTATTGATGACAATTTTTTTCGATTTGGAAAAAGGGAAAAGCTGAGATGCAAGCTGGAAAAATCTGTGACGTGATTCCCGTAGATAGAAACTCTTAAAGCCCTAAATCAATAGAAAGCTGATAATAAGACGAATCGGTTGATATAATCAGTTTATCTGTAACTTGAAATAGAACAGAGTTATGAAGCTTGAAAGTCTCGAAAATCATAATTTTCGATCACGTTTTTGACCCATTTTTTGAGATTTTCCCAAAAAACTGATATGATAACAGTAGTATATGGGGGCTGCTCTATCGATTGCACTAGGAAAAACGTTAAAAAAACGAACTTTTTTTGAGCTTTTCCTTTTTCGCGGAAATCACACCGATGAAGGCCTCAGACTAGCACCTGACCCGACGCGCAACCTCATACAATACGCTTCATCTCACGCGCAAGTTTATTTTTCGCCGGATCTTTGAAAGCTTATATCTCGATTCTTAGAGCAGCTACAGACTATCTGATCATACCGATCGATTCGTCTTGTCGTCGGCTTTCTCATGATATGGGTCATCAACGGATTGAGCTTCATCCAGAAATTTTGGACTTTTCTCAGCTCACAATTATCTGTTTTGATAAGTTATCAGAGATAGGGTTATATCATTGGATCCGTCTTGAGACGCTCTACCGTTTGATAATGATATCACTCGGTAAGAGGGAGAAGCTGAAATGTAGGTTTGGGAAACTCGTGTCATTATCTGTAATCGGTCTTTTTTGCCTCTCTGGCGGTTGCTTTGGAGAATATTACTTTGAACACAACTCTTCATCGAAGCGATACTCTTTTTTTTCAAGAATTCTGTCTTGTAACAACAAAAAAGCATGATTTATTAAGTTCCAAGAAACCAGAAGATCACAAATCGACTGTCCAAGGAGTGTAAGAGCCGGCCTCGGGGAGCGGATCAATCTGCGGGAAAAATGAATAAAAAATAAAATCAGAAGGAAACTAACGATTTTCATGAACTTGTCTTCGCACGCGACCCGGATACGCTCAGGTGTCGCTGGAGAATCAAAGCGGAAATAGCCGGGCAGACCCTGGTCCAGGCGGTAGGCTCTGACCGCCTCCCGGATCGCAAAGTAGGCACAGCAACCGAGGAAGAGCGGAGGCTCACCGACGGCCTAAATAATTCTTAATTAGAGAGCATTTCTTAACCAATCAGCGCCTATTCGACTAAATCCATGACTAAAACGAAAAATGATTGATTGACTGTGTGATTATTTTTATTAAAAAAGTCGAGAAAAGGCAAAAAAAGGTTTTTTTTTTCTCCAAATTTCGCATTTATAAGAAAGAACAATATGGCAGCGAGACATTGACGATGTCGCAACTAGATCCTTGGCTATATTGCCTGTGGTCTACTTATGACAGCGAGACACAGACGATGTCGCAGTGAGAGGTTTGAGCTATATCGCCTGTCACCCGCATATGGCAACGAGTCTTTGGCGATATCGCAGCAAGAGCCCTTAGCTATATCGCCTGTGACCCACATATGGCAGCGAGACTTTAGCGGTGTCGCAGGGATATCCCTTGCCTATGATTCGTGCGACTTGCATATGGCGGCGAGAGTTTGGCTATATCGCAGCAAGATCCCTTGGCTATAACTCGTGCGACATGCATATACCAGCGAGACTTGGCGATGTAGCAGAAAAAAGCCTTGACCTTATCGCCTATGACCCACATATGTCAACAAGACTTTGGCGATGTCGCAGAAAAAAGCCTTGGCCTTATCGTCTACTGTTCGCATATGGCAGCGCGGCTCTGACGATGTCTTAGTGAACGTCTTTGACTAAATCGCCTGCGGCCCACATATTGCACCGAGACTTTGACGATGTCGCAGGGATATCCCTTCACTACAACGCCTGCGACATGCATATAGCAGCGAGACTTTGACGATATCGCAGCAAGAAGCCTTGGCTATATCGCCTGTTACTCGCATATAGCAGCGAGACATAGACGATGTCACAGCGAGAGGTTTCAGCTATATCGCCTGCGGTTCGCATATGGAAACGAGACTTTGACGATGTCGCAGCGAGAACCCTTGCCTACAACATATGCGACCTGTATATGGCAGCGAGACGTTGAGATGTCGCGAAAAAAGACTATCGCCTACGGCACACATATGAAGATGAGACTTTGGCGATGTCGCAGAAAGAGGTTTCAGCTCGCATATAGCAGCGGAACTTCGGCGATGTCGCAGGGAGAACTGTTGCCTTCAACTCCTGACGATATCGCAGAAAAAGGCCTTGGCTTTATCGCCTGCTGCTCGCATATAGCGGCAAATGGCTTTGGCTTCCTGCGACATTAACGATGTCGCAGGAAGAGCCCTTGACTATATCGCCTAAGGCCCGCTGCGGTCTAGTCAGACCACATTCTCGTTACCACCATGGTTCAAAAACCCACCTTGGAGCTGAAAATGCCCATCCGGTTGCTGCTGCCGTTGAGCAAGGCAACGTTGAACCGTCTCGGGGCGTCGTCGGCCGAAGGGATCTTGTAGTTTCCGGGCCCGCGGGTCAGTCGGACGCCATCGGCTCGTATCCGAATCTCCTCCATCGTGAACAGACCGTAGCCCTGGGAAATTTCGGATATCATTCATGACACCTAGTGAGATATGCTCAATTCACGGCTGGCTTGAGAAAAATGTTTTTAAATAGGCTTTTTTCGCTTAAAGACCCTAAAATCTTAGCTCAAGCCAACGGTGAATGGACTATGAGTGAACCTGGATAAAAGCTCCTTCAATCTGACCAATGTCGACAGCTGGGTTCAGCGATTCTCCGATATCCATCACGATGTCGGTGGAGAGAAGCTGAATCATTTCTTCGTTTGAGTTTGGTCATTTTAGAATTTTCTGTAAATCGGCTATAACACTCATTGATGTATTAGGTCGTTTACTAAGTTTCTTTCTTTTTTCGGTTGAAAGTTATTTGGTGTATAACTTTTCAATTTTGGATTCAAACAGCAAACAATTTCTCCCCCCGTCATTCTCAGCTATCTGTTAACATGACTGTTAATTTTGGAGTTCCTGACTTCAAAACGAGCAATGATATACTCAAAAAAGGGCAACTAACTCGATTTCAACCCCTCTTAGAAAAACTTTTTTTGTTTCTTCTAAAAAAATTTATGATTCAATGTTTTGTAGTTGATGAAAACGAGGGAGGATGGAAGTACAGATAAAGTAGGCAAGCTGACTTTTTAAACAAAAAACCAGCCTAAAAATCTTTTTTCTTTAAAAGTTTCGGTCAGTGATCAATGACAATGACATGGTCGCTGAACATTTAGACGCTTTTCTCATGAAAGGCTTTGAGGATGATTTTGATTTTTTGTGATTATTTAGTACAGACATGGTCTGTATCAGTCACGTTTTCTTCAGAAGGTCTAAACGTTTGACGCCGTCAGAGAGCCTCCAGAAGTTAATCAAGCTGTCATTTCAGTTGATTACCGTTTCTCAAAATTTTAGACCGGAAAAACTCAGTCGAACCACTTCTGCTTTGACACATGGCTGCAGTGACCTTTGTTGTACTTGTTTTTTTATTAACTTGAGAGATAGCAAAAGAACAGAAAATTTGAGAGTGGATAGAAACCACTGCCCTGGTGCTATAAAAATTTTATGATGAAAATAGGCTGTTAAATTAGATCCTCGAGTTTCACGGTAGCTGCCGGTTGCTAATGTTATGCCTATGATTTATTTCAAAACCTCAAACCTGATAGATAATTACAAATGTACTTCGGGGAAAATCAAACGAAAACAGGACGCGCATTGTTTCAACAATTTTGGCCAATCATAAATTTGTATGGTCTGGCTTTTGAATAAATAACTCATTTCTCAAATTTTTTGGAAGCTAACGAAAACTTTCACGAGCAACCACACCACCTCAGTTTACGTTTTATGTAACTTGTTCAAATGATAAGATAGAAAAAGTAAGATAAAAAATAAATTCGCAAAACTTTCCGAAAATCGAGATTTTCCGAGTTCGGACAAAGTTCTGTATTTTTTTTCTGCATAGTGTTATAGGAATACAGTTAGTTTTTAATTTGAACTTCAGATTGTGAAGTAGTAAATACTATATGAAGCAAAAATTGTGAGAAGTGCTTTTCTGGTTGAAAATTTTTTTAAAAAAAGTCTTTCAAAAAAAGAAAGAAACTTAGTAAACAACCTAATACAATAAAAATATGCTGAAAATCTCAACCTGTAGAATTTTCTTATTTTGAGAAAGAACACCTCAAAGTCAAAGAAACCACTCGTAATCTCTCAAATCGGTCATTTTGGGGTTTTGAGCCCTCAGACCTCGAAAACATTGCAGAGTTGAGACTTCCAAGGACTATTTTATAAGAAATCAATCAGCCTTTTGGCCGATTTTCGAAAATCCGCAAAGTAAAGTGACCCTCTTGTGAGTTTCATAGATTTTGAAGCTATTTAATAAAAATTCGGACATTTTCTTAAATCAATCCGCTATCCTGGCTAACATTGTTTCAGAAAATTCTGAAGCGCTTATTTTCCATTTCGTGAAAGTCCCTAAAAACCTATTTTTCAGGAAAGGGACAATAACATGAATAATCCTTTAGAAACTGAACTAAATTTACAAGTAAGACTTTTTTCAAGTTCAGGTATACCTTTGAGAAACTCCGAAATGAATGAGTTCAAGAGCCGATATTCATATTTCCTATTGAAAAGTTCCATCGAAGTCTCTGATTCTTTAGATGAAACTAGAAAAAAGGTCGAGGAAGGTGATTAATTATTGGACTTTTCAAAAAGTTATTCACTCATGTATGACAAGAGCGAGTTTTTCTTTTGCATGGAGTACGGTATGAAAAAGTCCGCATTAGACACTTTGCGTGTTTACACACTGCGCTTGACCCGTCTCTTTTTCACAGTTTTGCGATGCTGCGAAGAGTACGGTATGTAAAAGTCCGCATTTAGCGTTTGCACTTTGCGTGTTTGCAAACTTCGTTCATCTCTCTTTTCTCCTATTTTTGCAATGTGCACGGGGCAAACGCGGACTTTCACATACAGTACGCTCCGCAAAAGAAAAACTCGTTCTTGCACCGTATTTTCAGCCAGATCAACATGTGGAAACATTCTCAATCGTTTTTTTTTTTCGAGAAGCTTCGAAATTTCAACTCTCCCCCTAACTAACATGATGGTCTCCAGTGAGGCAATCGACTTCGACTTCGCAACACGCCGTTCCATAGACACAATATCCGAACAACTCGGCGCCCTTCCCGTTGAAAAAGTCGACGGGCTCGTGATGGATTCTGGAATCTCTCAGGTCTTCCTCGAGCTTTTTCATTTTCTAACATTCCAAAGCCGGAAGCGGCAAGAGAGACACGTTCGACGTAGGCCTCGCGGACCCAATCTTCCCATTTTCCCTGAGGATTCGCCTTTTTGAACGGCTCGAGACGTTCGTTGAGTTGCCGACAAGCATCTTGGACCGCCAGTCCGTTCATGTCGCTGCCTACGGAAGCAGCCGTTGCCGAGGCGTTTGGAACCTTCAAAATATTATTTTGAAAAAAATTTCCCTTGAAAATGTAGGCTTCTTGGAAAAATAGAAGTATAGTCTATTCAGGTTTCGAACATCGAGTACAATGACGTCATTTGGAAACGCTCTAGAGTGCTCGCTTTCTGATTGGTTAGGAACGGAGCTTGAGCGATAACTTGACCATTAAAGTTTGAACAGACAAGGACAGTGAAAAATTACAAGCTTTTTTCTTTTCAAGCCGTTTTAGTGGCCATTCAAGGAGATTTCTTCTAGTATTTGAATAAATTTATTTCTTATTAGAGCTTCTATAAGACCTTGAAATTCGAGCTGTACCTTCGGTAAGAAGAATATGAGGCTATGATGCTACTAGAAACAAAAAAACGTGAAACTATTACATTCAGTTCAGTAAAAACTCTTCAGTGGTTATTTAAGAGGTACTTGAATAGAATTTGACATTTCCATAGAGAACTACCACTTCTTGGAGCTTTTATTAAAATTACCTTATTAGTAGCGGTGTCGTGGATGTGAACCTTCTCGATCGGAACTCCCAAGCAACGAGCGGCAACCTTGAAAATTCTCATTCTTTTTATAAATCTAAATAGACCAATAGATTTCTTCGTGTAACTTCTTCCAGTGTGTGTTCGACTGAATTTTTCCAAAATCATTGAAATGAAGCTTTTCAGAAGGGTGTGACCGCCCATCCCCCCGCCCCTTTCTCCTTTCCAGCTTCTAGGATCACAAAAAAAACCATTCTGTACTACTCGATCGGTTTATTATTTCTTTCGAGGGGCTGAGTAGACGGTACTGCAAGAGGGTCGCGGCCGCAAAACCAATCTGTACTGCTCGATCGATATATCTTACCTTGAAAGGGGGAGGGCTAAAATAGGCAGTGCTGCAAGGGGGGTTACACATATCTTTTTTTCTGTTTTTTTAAAATTTTCCAACGACTTTATCCTAATTCCCTGAATCACCTGCAAAATCTTCGTATGCAGCCCCTGGCCCATTTCCATGCCGCCATGAGAGACAAGGACCGTTCCATCGGTGTAGATCAGAACCAAGGAGCCGGCCTAAAACTTCGGAAGTACACGATTCAAAAATTCCTTCAAACTTGATTCAACTGTTTCAATCCGAAGCCGATGCCGAACTTGGTCGGCAACAGGTAGATGCCTCGTTTCCGGTACTTGTTGACCCTATTTCTCAGTTATTTCTAGTCGTTTTCCTCATTTTCCCACTTGTTGAACTGCTCAACGGCCTTCTTCCGCTCTTCATAGTCGCTCATTTCGCGGCACTCGTGCCAGGTTCTCTGTATGTTGCACTGTCGAAGGTGCATGCCAAAGGGAGTGCAGGCGCCCTCCTCGTACATGTTGAGGTAGCGGACCTCGTCGTGGTCGAGGCCGTACTCCTCGCAGACGTGCTTCACCATCACCTCCGTTCCGAACATACCTTGTGGGCCACCGAAGCCTCTATAATCCCAAAATGAGGAAAATACAAGTCTACGTTTAATCTTCCAAATTCAAAGAGCGTTTAAAAAGAGGGGGGGGCATTTTTCCAAGGCTCTTAGCAATGATATTTCCGCTTTTCAGAAAGGTATAAAAAGCTCAAGTCAACTCAAGATCGTTTCTATCTTTGACCTGAAAGCAGTGTTAGAAGAAGTGTTGGTCTTGCACATGACGCCAGTGATGTCAGCGTTGCCGAACTGGTAGACGTTGTCGGCGTGGACCATGGCTCGTTCTGAAATTTTCTTTTTTTTTCATAATAAGTTCCCAAATGAGCTTTTTCATGAGTCTTTTTTTCCACGAGCGAACCGTAGCGCAACAGGTCTACGGCCCTAAGGGTTACAAGCTCGATCCCCGCCGTGAGCCAAACGAGGGGTTCGAGACATTTTGATTGTGGCTTTCTAATCCAGCTTTCTTGTGCGACATGTAAGGCCAGGCCGGCCCGGGCTTTACACGGGAAGTGCGAAAGGTCGAGGTATTGGACTTTAATGAAACTTAGTATATAGGTATTTCCGAACACCCTGAATCCAAAGCAGTTGAAAAAAAGTGCGCCTTTTTGGTTTTAGTCGAGTTAGGGCGCCTCAAAGTTTGCACGCAAAAATTGCATTGGAAGGGAGGAGGGAATGTGTTGCGGCGGCTAACTCTAGCTTCCAGCAGGCGGCGTGGTGTAGTGGCTAGAGGCCTCGCGCTGTGAAACCTATGATGCGGGTTCGGACCCTTTTTGGTGAAATTTTTTTTTGCCCTGAAGTTTTTCAAAAAAATTGATGAATTTTTGAAGATAGAACGAAAAATACCGTTCAAAGTGTTAAAATTCACTATTTTATGTCGTTTTGAGAAAGACTTTCAACAAAAAAATTTTTTAGTTTTTTTGTTGTCCTCTGTGCAGGAAATTTGGGCGTCGAGATTAATCTCGCGAGAGTTCATAGGTTTGTGATATAAATAACAATTTATTGTAGTTCTATGCTTCTATTCTTATTCATCAAACGGTTTTTTTCTTCGAAGATGGCGGTTAGTTAACCCTTTTCCTTGTCTTTTTTTTCATTCCCTGCAGCATCGCCATATCATCTCGAGTGTGAAAATAAAGTGAAGCTGGACTTTGATACACATTTTTACACACATAACGTCATAAAGGAAGGAAAGAAGAATAAATATCATAAAACTTTGATTTTATTGGTTCATCAGAAATTTTTTTGAAGTAATGAGTCGACCATAAGCCTTATGGTTAGGCAAGGAAAAATGGAACAAAAAATTTTTTGTCGAGATTTTTCTCAGATGGGCATAAAATGGTGAATTTGAGAATTTTGAGCTGTTCTTTCACTCCATCATCAAAACTTCCTCATTTTTCAAATGAAAAAAATTGGCAAAAAAAAAATCACCAACAAGGGACCGAACCAGCATCATAGGTTTCACAGCGCGAGACCTTTAGCCACTACACCACGACACCTGCTGGCAGTGGAAGTTAGCCGCCGCAACACATTCCCTCCTCCCTTCCAATGCAATTTTTGCGTGCAAACTTTGAGGTGCCCTAACTCGACTAAAACCAAAAAGGCGCACTTTTTTTCAACTGTTTTGGATTCAGGGTGTTCGGAAGTACCTATATACCAAGTTTCATTAAATTCCAATACCTCGACCTTTCGCACTTCCCGTGTTAGGTTCATTTTTTGCGAAGAAGCCCGAGCGAACTTGGGCTAGGCAACGCTTCTAAAAAAAGAAAATCTTCGAGCCGGTCATTTTCAATTGAGGTCTTGCTGGGGCCGCCCGGCAATTGCTTGATCCCCAGCCGTCAACACGAGGACGGATGCGTCACCAGAACCAGCCCAATTATTATGACCTATATCAGGACAGGACGTTGTCTCACCGACCTAGCGCCAAGGCTGCTCAAGCAGTACAAAATCACCCGAAGACGTTGATTCTTTCAAGAATTTTTGAAGCTTATAGTAAAATATCATGCGCTACAGTTTATCTAAAAGCTTGGTTCAGTTCCAAGCCACATTTTTTGGCCAATAGCCTGCTAATGAAAAACTGGCGTGATCACTAAAAGAACTTTGGTTATTGATGTAGTGACAGTTTTGAGAACAAACGAGAAATCTCTAAAAACTGAGGGGGAGGGTGAGAGATCAAGTAAAATTCATTAAGAACATAGAAGAAAGTCAATCCTTACGCATGACGCCGACAGAAAGGTCCAAAGTGTGGCCAGCGTTCGAATAGGCCGTGTAGTCGAGGTCGAGGAATATGCCTTTCTCATCGACGGCGATACGGTAGTTGAGCCGGAACGGATGTCTGGTTCCAGTTATGGCCATGTCGTCGAATCGCTCCAGGACTATTTTCACCGGTCGGCGGTACCTAATTTGCTTGAGGTGGGGAAAAAAGATGAATCTTTCAATTTTTAAAACTTGGAGTGGATGCACCTCATCTCTGTGCTTACTGATAAGGCTAAAAAGAGATGCCAGAGAAAAAAAGATACGTCAATTTCTCTGTCGTCCCTTCTTCGCTACTGCTATTTTCACATCCTTATCGTTTAAAAAAATAGGCAAAGTTTTATTCAGAATCGTTTTTCACTGATATTGCAGTAAAGACTAAAGCAACTGAAGAGACTCCAGAGAAGAGAGATCATCTCTTTTCTTTGTCGTCTCTTCAGGGCTTAAAATTTGAAACTCATGTAAAATTTATTTAACCTCCCACCATTTTTCTCAACTTTAAACCTTCAAGTTCAGATTCCCTTAAGCCTAACCTCTCAGTCCAAAATACAGTACAGAAAATCCTAAAGTACAAACTTAAGGGCCGCGAGAGCGGCAGGGACCGCCAAAATGCCGCCAGTACTTTCTTTGCCACCGAAACCGCCGCCGATTCTTTTGACGCGGACGAAGATCTTGTGAGCGCCGATGCCGAGACATTTTGCGACTTCCAACTGTCAAATCGATTTTACTTCATTTTTATTATTGATTATCTACCTGCACATCATTGATTCCTTGATTTGAGGTAATAATATCCAGTTCATCAGCTTCTAAAGGAGTCACAACGCACTGTTGGGTTTCCAAGTAGAAGTGCTCCTGAATGAAGATTGTTTCCTTGTTTCAGAAACGAGAAGTGATCTCTAGAGTGACGTCTTGTGATCTCACTTTCGATGAAAAATCTTTTTTTTAAACTTCCCAGGAGATGAGGGTTCAAATTTGAGGAAAAATCAGTCTCTCAACTCAGAATAATAAATATTTCTGACCTCGGTGATCAAAAAAATGATTTTTTAGTTTTTAATTCTAAGGAAAAATACATTTTCACACCTCACTAAAGTGCCCCCTTGGAAAAATCAAGCTCAAGATGAGAAAATTCCCACTGAGGTTACCACCCTTGTCAGATACTGAAGTGAGATGAAATTCACTGAAGTGGCCCCTTGGAAAATTCAAACTCAAGATGAGAAAACCCACACACTGAAATTACCACCCTAAACAGGTGCTCAAACGATATCAGTTTCACTAAAGTGCCCCCTTGAAAATTCAGGCTCGAGATGAGAAAATTCACACTGAGGTTATCACCCCTGTCAGGTGCTCAAAAGGAATCGATTCCACTTAAGTTTCCCCTTGGAAAAATCAAGCTCAAGATGAGAAAATCCAAACTGAATTTACCACTCTAAAGAGGTGCTCAAGCGAAATCAATTTCACTCAAGTGTCACCTTGGAAAGTTCCGACTCACCTGTCCACCTATGCGGACCTCTCCCTCAACGACACGATCATACTTGCTCCAGTCGTTTTTGGCAACTTCCGTGCCTCCTTCATTCAGCGAAGAATGAACCACCATATCTTTGAGTAGGAAGGATTTGTGCTCTATCGCTTCCTGAATTCTTCCTTCGGCTAATTTTTCTCGGACAAGAAGCACCTCAATAGAGATGATGGGTCTTCCCACGATTGTTTCGACTTTGACGGCGTTGGCGGCTCTTCTGGCCGTTTCGTGGTCCTCAGCAACGATGGCCGCGATCGGCTGACCATGGTAAGTTATCTGAAAAACTTAATCCTGGGCGGGGAAGTTTTTGAGGTCACAGTTTGGATCTTGTCCGAAATTTTTAGGTTAAAACCCAGGGGAAGAAATTTACAGGATAAAAAGAAATCATCGTCCAATCTTTGTAAGGGACCGAGAAGAAGTATTGAAAAATGATCTTTATTCAAATTCAGATGAGAAAATCATCTCGTTGTGCTCAGAACTTTCAAGAAAGTTCAATTTTAAAAACTGTAGAATTAAGTTTCCAGCTTTTTCTTGACAACCTATCGCGTCTGACCGAATTTTTCCATTTTTGGGTAATTTTTTTTTAGGACCACTTATCAAGAAAGTTTGGACCAAATCTTCTAAAATTCCCATAATGAGCTTGAGCCTAGGTCCCGCAAACGCGTTTTTCGTGATAACTTAAGAGTGCTCTCGCCCCTAAAGTGATCCCTAGTAATTCTCTGGAACGTCCGGGCGCGTGTTACCTTCCCCCGCGCTTAATTAAAGGCGCACGCGCATCGAAAGGAAGCTTCCCAGGCGGGTTTTGTAGCTCGGAGAAAATCAAAATCGTCAAACAGTGTCAGTATTCTTAAGTGATCACTAGAAGCACTCAGAAATGTCCGGATGGGGGGGGGTCTAGATTGCGTCACCGAGGTCCAAAAAAGCTCACTTCTAGGTGAATTCTCGGATAGCTTAAATGAAAAGAGCCTTTTTTACTGAGCCAGATCCTAGCTTTCAATTGTAGATTTTCCATCCTGTTGAAATACTTGTCAGTTCTTTTGTTCATTTTTTTTATCACCCCAACCTCCTTCTCGACGAAAATCGGCGTGTCACAATGATGGCCCAACTTCGCTCCAGTCTTGACGTCAGACGCGTCGACGTAGCCGACGACTCCGTCCATTTCCAGAGCCTTTGCGTAGTCGACATGAGACAAGGTTCCGCGGGCGATCGGGGACATGACGAAGGCCATGTGGAGACAGCCTGAAGACGAATGAGGGAGTGACCACTTGAGGGGGGCTACAGACGAGCAACGGGAATGTCGTCGCAGTAGACGGCTTCTCCGGTCGTGTGTCGGTCTCCGGAGGCGTGTTTTAAAGGCCGACCGACTGGATCTTCCGCCGGTTGGGACTCGTCGACTTCCTAAAAACTTTCAAGTTCGAACTGTCTACCTGAAAAAGGTACCTGATACACCTGAGTGGCGTCGAGCGCATCTGGAATCGTGTCCCCAATAAACGTCTTCTCACCCAAATCCACTATTTCAGTGATCTCAAAAAAATCTATCGGTCAATAACCATGGAATGGAATTCGAACATTGTTCTCCTTGGCGACGTGAAGGAAAAACTTGAAGAAGAACGACAACGTGAGGGCGACGCGATATCGCGACATGCCTCCCGGGACTCCCGGCGGCAGTTTGAACTCCTCGGAAAGGCTGGCCAACGCCGTGTCTAGCAGGGCCGTCGACCATTTCCTGAAATTCTTAGTAAGATCATCTATTCTTGAAAAAAAGTTCTTTCCAATGGTTTATTTGAAAACTGTGAAGGTTTCTATTCAAAAAAACCCACAAAAAATGTGGTCAACAGGAAGAAAAATGATAAAAATAACTTTTTTGAAAAAGAAAAGTTCATTTCCTGCTTTTTATTGAACCCTTATTGTCAGGTCTTCGACTTCATTTTAATGACTAGGGAAGGTACGTTTTTCGGAAAACTCTACAAAAAAGCGTGAAAAATATTTCAAAACGTCCAAAATCAATCAAAAGAGGGTTCTAAACACACCTAGGCTTCAAAATTACTATTTGGTTGAAGAATGGTGAAATAACGATAGAAATGAGCCAGTTACCTCTATATCATTCCTTTGAGCACCGAAAAAAAGCACATAGAGACAAAAATTGCTTTGAAATTTTGAGCATTATTCAGAATATTCCTAGAAAAGTGACTAAACTGCCAAAGTCGGAAGTGCGGAAACGGGTGCAAAAAGGGGAGTGACTGAAAAATGGCCATTGAAACGGTTCCGTTTCGGGCCAATATTGAGTCTTTCAATCTTGGTGGGCTAAAAAGCCTCAAAAAGGAGTGAAAAAAGGAAAAGGCCGAAAGAGTAAAGGGCTAAAAAGAGTGGATGAAGGCCGATGAAAAGGCGAAAAAAGGCATTAAAAAGGAAACCGTTGCCCCTTAAATCCGTTTAGAAACAATCAAAGTTAGCTTTTTGCACCCATTACGGACATTCAAAGCGCCCGTGAAGGGTACTTCCGACTTTGCCTATGTACAGTTTTTTTAAGTGGACCATAATTCTTGCTACCACACTTGCGAACCCGTTAATGATCCTTTTCAACCTTAGGGTCCATCTTTTCAACTAAAAAACTGACATTCCAATAAGTTTCTTCGCGGTGTTCAAGGCGAGTTTCGTCGTAGGAGCCATTCCACCGTACGCCATCCTCATATCCTCTACGATCAAAGTTTTGGGGTTGACGACAGCGCTGAAGGCGCCGGTAACGATCGCGATATCGTCCTCGCGTCTTTGGGCCTGTTTGTACGCGGCGAAGAACTCGTTCTGAAGAAGAGCTCATTTCTTCGAGTTTGACAATATTTTAAGGAAATATGAGAGAATAGGTCGGAAAAATTCAGAAGCTCAAAAAAATTGCAAATCATCTTATGAATTTGCGCGCCAAGGCTAATCCTCCGGACTCTTTCTGAAAAACCTTATTTTTTTAATGAGGCTACACTTCAAAAATAAGAAACCATTCAGCCCATCTTAGAATTTTTACCAATTATTTTTTTCAAATAATTCAAAAATTTTTTTAGCCATAGAGCGCACTCCTACGGACAGCGGCTGTTTTGTCATATTCCTCTTTCTAAAACTACCTCTCTGGAGAAAGGGACCCAAACAGCTTTGACTATTTCGTCGCTCCGGATAACTGTCTTACGGTAGCCGAGGAAGAACTTTTCGTCGATGGGAAGTTCGATCTCGCCGCGTTCTTCCGAGTCCAGAACTACCTAAATATTCAGAACAAGTTAAATTCTTCCTAGGAGAGTTAAGATTTTGTATTTTCCCAAAAATTCGTCCAAAAAATTCCTCCACTTGAAGCTTTTCTACAGTCCCTATCTACGCAAGACGTTTTAAAAAAACATCAAACTTAAAAGTTGTAGGTCAAAAATCAGACTTAAAACCGAAATTTCTTAGCTTTATGAAATCATATCTTCAATAATAAAGGTAATGACTATGAGAAATCTCATTTTAAGCATTTCCAGAAAACTTCGACGAGTTTCTGAAAAATCCAAACTTCGACCAAAACGAACCTTGGCGTTGGAAGCCATCCAAATCGGGTTCAAATCGGAGATCGGGGATGCCGTCGCAATGTTTCCAGCCACTGACTGTAAACTTTTTGAGCTAGATTTTTCAATTCACAACTCGTTTCTTAGCTTTTAGCAGACAGGCAAAACGTAAAAGATCCTCCAAAGATTCTCAGGTTTTCGAAATTATTTTTCCAATCATTCTAGGATCTTAAAGCGGAACCTTCTCAGCTCCTTCAAGGGTCTTCAAAAGGATTTTTTCGTTTTACCTGTGGTGTTAGATTTCGTGACTTTTCAACCAAGTTCTCGGCGAATCTCGTTTCCACAAAAAATCGACTTGAAGCAAGTTTTTCCCTTTTCCTTACCGTTAAAACCATAAAACTTCTCATTTTCTTTCTGACTGTGAAATTTTTTTCGGCTTACCGGTACATTCTAATTTTTTTTTAAATCAAGTCAAAAATTAAGGTAATAATCACCAAATAAGTAAAAATAAACTAATATTAACCCCCAAAAGAAGCTCCGAAAACTATAAAAATCCGAAAAACTCACAGCCACGTTCCTAACATGTTTTCCGGCGAACCAATGGAGCATTTCGTGTATCGCCCCGAAAACTTTGGTTTTTTCTGAATATTTTCTGATAAATCTTCTATGGAATGAGGGTAGAACCCTGCGGCAAGGTTTTACAAGCGTCCTTCAAAAAATCGTCGATTTCAGTCAATGAAAGGCCCGTCGCCAGGTACATTCCCTTTTTCGTCATCCAGCCGCTGCTCGTGGAGCTCCGGAACCTGGAAAACCATAATTTTAAGATAAAATATAATTTTTTTAAAGAAATACCTGTTTCGGGTTGATAACTGACGATAAATCAATGAATCGGAATTTCAATTCGATGGCCAACTCAGAATTTCCAGAAATAAGCCTGGAGGATGGTTCTTGGCGTTTTAGCGCTAGGAGTTTTCTGAATTACAATTTTTTACGATTTTCAAAAAATGAGTTGACTCACGCATAACTTGTTGGTTGGTACCATCGAGTCCCTTCGGATTCTATCGCGAAAGATTTTCGATGATAGGATTTTAACTGAAATTTGAAAGGATTTTCTAGGCTATTCCGATTTCTTTTTTTCAAAATTCGAGCTGAAATTTTGATATTTTCCTTAAGAGAATCTACTTAAACATTTCAGAGCGGACCCTAGTGACCACATTTGCGGCTCCTAACCCCTATAAGGACCATTCTGGGATTCCTGATGCCGTGTTCAAAGAAATTTCCGCAAAAAATCAGATTTTTCTCTGACTCTCCAAAATTTAGTTATCTTTTCCTTTCTCTGACGGTTATTTTTAATTTCGCCGACTCGCTTCGAACACGGCAATAATGTTCTACTACGTTCAAAAACCATGAACAGTCTTACATGGCCTAAAATTTCGAGAAAAGCTATTCTTCGGCTTGAGACCCTTGAAAAATAATCCTGTGATCCTTTAATAAAACTAGCAAGGACTTTTGAAAAGACGATAAAGCTTATTCACCAAGGCATTTGCTACGTCCTGTTCACAAAAAGTCGTCGAATGTGATGTATCTTGTGCATGTACCACTGACAAAAATTTACATACTGTCGGATTTTTTTATATTATTGAATGGAAAAAAAGCTTTTGAAGCGTAAAAAAAGGAAACAGTGAATTTTTTTCATTCATCTTCAATATCAAAACGGGAAAAAAAGATATCAAACTTTCATCGAAATAAATTTAAAAAAAATTTAAAGTTAATTTTTCTTCACGGGTGGGGTTCGTTAATCCACCTAGTGGTCTTTTTCCCTCTCTCCAACATCACCATACCATCCCGATGTTGCGAAAAAAAGTGTTTTTTTATTGCAAGAAATTATCAAAAAAATTATACAAAATTACAAAAAAATCGAAAAAAATACCTTCAATTCCGGAGGGAATATGAACTCTTGGCTGGGATCATACGGCTTGCAATCGTCAAGATTACTCAATTGAATTTTCTGAAAAAAGAAAAGCCATTGCACATTATTTTATGTAAGAACATACCGTTTTTCGTGTTCCACTAACTTTGCAGCATTTGTCGCCTTCCGAACATTCGGCTACTTTTTCGGCGACCTGAAAAACTTAAAAAATTTGACTTTTTTCGAAAATTTTCACCCAAATTGAGAAAATTGAGAAATTGAGAAAATAGTTGTACCTTCGCACTACCGTTGACTTTGCAACATTTATCACCCATGGCGCATCCAGAATTTCCAGCCTAAAATTAAACTTTGAGAAAAATGAGGTTGAAAATCGGGTAAATATTCTTTTTTCCATAATAGAGATTCAAAACAAAGACACACTTTAACAGTCCCATCATTCTGAACAGCAAAACTGTAGAAGGCTTCAAGGATTGGCCGGTATCCAGTACAGCGGCACAGATTTCCCTGCATCGCCTCGTTTATATCGGCTTCTGTGGGTCGCGGATTGTTTCGCAGCAAGGAATACATGGCCATCACAAATCCTGGCGTGCAGAAGCCGCATTGAGAACCGTGGGCTCTGTAAAAGCCAATTCAATTCAAAAAATACTCTTGGCATTAAAAAAAAATACGGTGGCGAGTCCCAATATACGCTTTCAAAGTAAACATCCGAAAAAAAAATTTTCAAAAAAAAATCATTTCCTGAAGTTTTATACAACAAACTTTTCGGGAAGTCAAAAATTGAATTTTACGGAAAAACGGAAAAAAAACAACAATACAAAAAAAGAAGAAAACTTCCATTTGGCAAGAAAAGTCATAGTTTGATTCAAAATCGTTCAATACAACTTAAGAAAGTAGTACTAGTCAGTAAAATCAAGATTCTCCGTTTCAGTGGTTGAACTACTAAGAAGTGCCCTCAAGGGACTTGAGAAAGTGCGACAGCGCGAAGAAGTCGCGAATTCTTGGGATAATTCGAATCGATTGAATTTTTCAGTTTTTTTTTCGCATTCCCATTGTTCAAACTTAGTTTTTCGTTTCTTCACAGGTATCAACATGTTCATTTCGTCAAAAAGTGGAAAAATTTTAAAAAATAGGAATATTTTCTAAATTTTATTATAAACAAGCTTCCGTTTTTTTTCTAGTAAGACCATTTCTTTTCATGATTTTAATTTAATCTTCTAAAAGTTGTTTTAAAATATTTTAGATTTCATTCGACTTTTTGAATTTTGACTCGATTGCCACGTGTAAGACAAAAACGTTCTTCTTATCTTCGGTTCCTCGTCAAAATTTTTTGATTAATATCATTTTGGTAGGAACCAACTTGGCTAGGCGTTCCTGAACGGCGTGCATCCTACCATTCACAGCGCTTCCGATGCCTTCGACGGTGGTGACGGCTTTGCCGAAAACCGAGCAAACCGGCATGAGACAGGCGTTCGCCGAGAAGTGTCTAAAGAGGAAAAATTGATCAAGTTATTCGAATATTTCGTCTCGAAAATTGACTCAGACTTTTTAACGTGAGCCAGACATATCCATGACGTTTCTGAACCATTTAGTGACCAATTAAAGGATTCTAGAACGCTAAAGGGATTACTTCAGAGGTTCAAAAACGGCCGGTTTACGGGTCTGATACATACTTATTAGAGTTCTCAAAACCGAACGTTCAAAAAATGACCGTTTGAAAAAAATGAACTTTTTCATTTTTCGATAGTTTAGGATATATCATTTTTCAAACGTTCAACCAAAAAGTTCGAAAAATCGTTTTTCTTATAATAATGAACGTTTGCTTTTTCACATAAAAACGGACGTTCGTTTTTTTGAACGAACTGTTTTTGAAATGGAAAAATGAACGTTCACTTTTTGAACGAACTTTTTCACGAGCGAAAAAAATGAACGTTCATTTTTTTGAACGAACTTTTTGAAAATGGAAAAATGAACGTTCATTTTTTTAAACGAACTTTTTTGGAAATGAAAAAAATGAACGTTCATTTTTTTGAACGAACTTTTTGAAAATGAAAAAAATGAACGTTCATTTTTTTGAACGAACTTTTTTTAAAATGAAAAAAATGAGCGTTCATTTTTTTGAACGAACTTTTTTTGGAAAATGAAAAAAATGAACGTTCATTTTTTTGAACGAACTTTTTTTAAAATGAAAAAAATGAACGTTCATTTTTTGAACGAACTTTTTTAAAATGAAAAATGAACGTTCATTTTTTAAACGAACTTTTCACGAGCGGAAAATGAACGTTCATTTTTGAACAAACTCGCGATCGAGAATGAACGTTCATTTTTGAACGTACTTTCGAATTTCCAGCGAATATTCTTATAATTACGACATGGAACATGATATATTGAGTTTTTCGTTATAGCTGATTCACGGCTGGCTTGAGCCATCGCGAAAAAGGGTCCTGCCACGAATAGAGACGAGACAGTGCCCTAGTTGGTGGAGAGTGCAGACATGCCACGCCTTTTTGCGTCCCAAGTTAGCCGTGAATCATCTATTAATCGCAAACCGCTACTCCCTGACGTCACTATGACATCATTCGAAACACAAGAAATAAGCGTAATCTAAATATTTGGCTATATAATTATTTTATTTACGTGAAAAAATGGCCTACTTTCAACTGAATCCATTCTTTCCGAATCGAATCCGAATCGGCCATTCAACCGAACCCATTCTTTCCGAATCGGTTAATTATCAATCCGAATCGGATATTTTCAACCGAACCCTAGAAAATTTCCAAATATTCTTCCGAATCGGGCGTTCAATCCGAATCGGTCAAAAAAAAATGAAACCAATTTTATTCAAATTTTTCTTTCTTTACTATTTATTTTCATTTAAACTCACTGTATATTCAGAAATTTAATATGATCTGGGAGAGATAAACGGAGTACAGCCAAAGCCTATCAAAACTTGAGTGTGTGCAATATCTTCACAAAGCTGAAGACTTCTCATTGCTACAGATCATTTTTCGGCTTTTTCCTCAATTTTTCTCGCCCATAGCCGACTTTCAGCTTTGCCCTTGACTATTTAGATACATCTGTCCAGATCACTTTTTTTCAACATGATTTTTAACCCAAGTTTGAATTTGAAAGTATCTGGTCTATGACTTCTTTTAGGGTCGTCTGAGAGTAGAAATGAAGTCGCTACAGATACTGCCAAGTTTCCTGATCTTGGCATGACTTTTTCAGATTTTTCCAAACATTTTTTTAATTATTTCTTTTTTTCAGTCAGTCAATTGTTTCTCTGTTTTTAGTCACAGATATTATCGACTGAGCTGGATTCAAGAGCTTTTTGAAGCCCCATTCAAAAATCGTCTCTGGCGAATTGGAAGTGCAAATTTGTAGTTCAAGGAGTTGAAAGCATTTTTCTGACGTTCCTGCGGTTCATTCTTCTGAGCGTAGTTCACCAGTTGCGCTATGACGAGTTCAAAATTTGATTAATTTTTGGAATTGGAGCGCGGAGATCGTGTTACAGGTCAAATCTCAAAAAAATTAGAAATTTTTAGTTTAATCTCAGGTTTTTTTCTGGCTGGAACTTTTTAAAATAATTGCCAAGTTTTTTCTAGATATGTTTCTACTGTCAATTTCTGAACAGGTTTCGCATTAGCGCGGGTGATAATGATTTAAGAAAAGCTCAGCGAGATTCACCTAATAAATGAGCTTGACTAATACTAATTCTCAGTCGTTGCAATTATTCAGAATGTAAGAAAAATCTGCTAGCGACTTGTTAGTATTGATTTCATTTTTTTAAATTCCAAATTTTTCCAATAATTCAAAACGCGTCGCCAGAAGAAATCTTATCTCTTTCAGATCGTTACACAGTCTAAGATTAGTACATGCAGAGTTCAGAGTGTTATGCGAAACAAGATTTGCAGACGGTCACGCGGAAGGCCAATCTCAAGCAGAATTCACCCATTCGAGAACCCATCTAGCTGTTTTCTTCCGAGTTTCATCCGAAACATGAGGAACGAGAAAAAAAAAATCAAAGCTCAAGTTCATTGACTTTATCAATTGGATTTTGAGGCAAATTTTAAAAAAAAGACTGTGTTAAGGGGTCTGAGGAGGTCCAAAAGTCTCTGGAAGCTCTCTCGAAAACCATTGATATACTTTCCTACAGCCTTGAGAATGAGTGAAAATCAGTGCGATCAAATTCCACATATTTAAAACAAATTTCAAAAGAAAAACAAATTTTGGCGTGAATTATCATTCAAAGTAATTTAGCAAAATGATTTCTTAAAAATTTTCGTTTATTTTCCTTTTGCCGGTCTTCTTGCTAGAATCACTTTGAGAGCGGCATAAAGACACGGCACTCCTTTTCACGATATTATAACTCAAACTTTGAAAGGCTTAATTGACATGAAAAATTGATGTAAAAAATTCAACTTTTTGGGCCTAAATTTTGTTTTTTGGAGAAAAGTGAAAAAAAAAGTTCAATACGAACTTTAAAACATTAATTCTTCTCATTGTAGAATATCAGTTGTTGGAAAACCTGAATAAAAAATATAAAACACAAAGTAAAATCAGCGAAATTTTAGGCCAGATTTTTTTTTTCAAAAAATTGAGATTTAGCGTCGATAATTTCAAGTAATTTGACTGTAGAGAGCTAACACTAAATGTAAAAAGTCAAAATGAAAAAAGCAAAAAAGAGCAGAGAAAAAAACCCGCCAGAAACTTATTTTTGGCAATGGAAAAAAAAAATTTTCGAAAACTGGCAATTATCCAAGTGTACGGGAACATAGGGTCCCAAAGCGATGAGATAGCGCGCCAAAACTCTTGGCGCCTGCTTAAATTACGTTTTTTACACCCAGTTTTACGGACGAGGTCGCAGCGAGAGAAACGCTATATCGCGGGGGAGCCGCGAGCTATATCGCTCGCCTCTCGGCGCAAGGTCGCTCACATCTCGCTGCTATGTCGCTCTTTCAAAAAAATTTTTTAGCTCGATTGGGCTTTTTTTTTCTTGATTTGCTTTCTATTCTTCATACTTTTATTGGGTTGTAAATGATAACATATCGGTCTTTATCAACCTTCTTTACTTTTTATTTAATATAAACAATATATTTTAATGAAAACTTGAGAGCATTAAAGAAATTTCCAAATAATTGATGATACATTTTCGAATTCGAAGTAAACTGAAAGTATGTACAAATCTGAAGAAGATTGAATTGAGGCGAAAGAGTGAAGCTTCAAGTAAGAATAAAAAAGGACAATATGAGGAAAAACATGTGTATCGTTCACTTTTCATAGGAAAAAAATGTGACTAGGAAAAGAGTAGTTTCAATAAAAACAGAAAAGTAAACCGATTGTAAGCTCGTAGATGATCTTTAAAAGTTCAAATTAGAAAAAAAATGAATGAGGGAGGCTCGAAATGAAAATGAAAGAAGTTTTGAAAAAGAAAATTAAGTTAAACAATCAGATTGACCCTAAGTTCCCTTAAAAATGTTACTGTAAGCTTTGACTCGATAGTTTTCGGCATATCCTTCATTTGCTGCGTCAAGAACTTTTCTAAATGATAAAACCGGTAAAAAAGAGAAATACTGAAAAAAGTCCAACCTTGAATAAGAGAATAACTCACAGGAGCGACTGTATCAAGACAGCAGTTCGTGCTTTCTCGAAATCATGCCTCATTTCTTCTTTTTCCTTACCCATCGACGCCAAAGTGCAAATCATATCTTCAAGTAAAAAAATGGATATACTGTTTCAAAAAAATAGTTTACCAAGAATCTTATTGATTGTATCCAAAAAGCAAAGTTTCGGTGCCATCTCCCACGGATCTTTCTTGACTTTTTATTGATCGAAAAAAATGTTAGATGCCATTTTGAAATACTAATAACCTGAAATTCTTGGTTAAAAAAATGAAAAAAAAATGCGAAAAAAGGACTTTCAAATTCAAGAAAGGTGTGCAGTTCCGTCAAAATATATACAAAAACGCTTTTTTTTTATCACAACTTTCTTTAATGGGATTTCACCCTTTGAAACTCTCTGGAAATATGATGACTGTTGATTGTAACACCGTGGTGAAAACTTAGAAACACAGCTGAAAAAGTTTCAGAAAGATTGAGCTCTATACGAGGAAGTTGTGAGCGAAAAATATTTTTCCTCTTCTGACGGTACTGTATGAGCGTTACATTAGTTGTAAAATTAACATTTTAGAAATATTAAGTGAAAAATAGACATAAAAAAATCAGAGAGAATATAACACACGAAAAAAATAAAACAATTCAAGTAAAAATTTTTGATGGCACGTAAATAGTGACCAATCGATAATCCGCGACCTCGCGCCGATATCGCGCCGGGAGTTTGCTAGAGCTGAGCGAGATGGCAGCGAGATATGTCGCTGCTATGTCGCGCCACTCTCGCTGCGATATAGTCCACGAAACTGGGTGTAGTTGTTTTTTTTTTCTTCAATGTTTCTTTTTCAATTCTTGTGTTTTCTGTATAGTTTCATCACTTATAGACTTTGCTTAATATTAGTATTTTGCTATAGTCATTCTTTTTTTCTTATATTTATTCGCAGGTTTCACATCTTTTTCAAGAAAAAAATTTTAGGCCCAAAAAATTTTTTTAATCGGTTTTTCGTCATTTAAAAATTTTTTTCATTTCATTTCCCTATCAAGTTTCATGGAAATTAAGGAATAATCCGACGTTACCAACATGTTTGATTTTTCAGCATGAACGTCGGATTATACCGAAATTAAATATCATTTCGGAAGAAATATTGCGTGATAACGACTTTAAATTTTTAGTTTGAAATCGATTGATAAAGTCAATGCAATTGGGCTGTAATTTTTGTTCCGCTCGTTTCGGATGAAACCAGTGAAGTTCGGTATAAAAATATAGGTCATTCCGCGCCAGCTTGTCACGATTTCCAGTTTATTTGGAGCTAGAGAAGCCTTTTTCGGCGCTTCGCTTCGATGCTCTCGGTGTGCCCTCTGCGTGCGCCTTTAATAAAACTCATTATTTTGGAACTTTTGGAATTTTTCCTATTCTACAAAAAAACAGTTGTAACATCAAATTTTTATATCACATTAACCCAAAAAAACTATATGCAAGAAAAGCTCGAACAGCCGGTTTCATTAATAACAATTAAAAAAAGTAGTAATTCAATCTTTTTGATTTTTCTTTTTCTTACAAATCCAGCACAGAATCTGAGTGTGTATAGTCCAAGCGAAAAAAATGAAATCAATCCATCGAAAACAACCTCGTAAATTAATAGAAGAGTGAGAGGAAATTGAAGCAATATCTTAATCAGAAATAATATTTTTATTAAAGGCGCACGCAAGGGAGGGAACACCGAGAGCATTGAAGCGAAGCGCCGAAAGGGGTTCTGTAGCTCCGAGGAAAATTAAAATCGTGACAAGCTGGCGCGGAATGACCTATACTTGAATTCTGCTTGAGACTTCCGCGTGACCGTCTGCAACTCTTGTTTTGCAAAACGCTCTGAATTCGGAATGAATTTCGTAGTGAACAATTCGAAAAAAATTCTTACTAATAAGTCCGCAGATTTTTTTCTATATATAGCGCTATGTAAGCAACGACTGAGAACTAGTTTTAGTCAAGATTATTTATTAGGAAAACCTCTCGAAGCTATTTTCAAGTGACTGTCACCGTCAATTCCGAAAATGTTCAGAAGTTTACAGTAGAATCGCCATCTGACAACTTAAAGAAAACAAAAAAACTTGGCGATATTTTCAAAAGTTATAAATAGAAAAAAAAAACCTGAGTTTAAACTATAAATTATATTTAGTTAGAACAGTTTTAACAAATGAACTGAAAGTTCTGTTCCTAGAAAAGATAGAAAAAGGCGAAAGATCAGCTCTTTTTATAAAAATCTTCCCTTGAAGTGATTTCTTTCATTTCAAGGATTTGAACTAGAGCACGAGCTTCGTGAAGGACCGTCAGACAGTTCTATCCACTCCTTCGACTACAAATTTGGACTTCCAATTCGATGAAGTTTGAAAAACTCTTGCATCCAGCTCAGTCGATAATATTTGTGCCTAAAACAGCGAAATAATTGACTGGCTGAATAAAATAATAATTAAAAATGTCTGGAAAATCTGAAAAGTCATGCCAAGATCAGGAAACTTGGCAGTATCTGTGGCGACTTCATTTCTACTCTCAGACGACCCTAAAAGAAGTCATAGACCAGATACTTTCAAATTCAAACTTGGGTTAAAATCAAAAAAAAATGTTGAAAAAAGTGATCTGGACAGATGTATCTAAATAGTCAAGGGCAAAGCTGAAAGTCGGCTATGGGCGAGAAAAATTGAGGAAAAAGCCGAAAAATGATCTGTAGCAATGAGAAGTCTTCAGCTTTGTGAAGATATTGCACACACTCAAGTTTTGATAGGCTTTGGCTGTACTCCGTTTATCTCTCCCAGATCATATTAAATTTCTGAATATACAGTGAGTTTAAATGAAAAATAAATAGTAAAGAAAGAAAAAAATTTGAATAAAATTGGTTTCATTTTTTGACCGATTCGGATTGAACGCCCGATTCGGAAGAATATTTGGAAATTTTTCTAGGGTTCGGTTGAAAATATCCGATTCGGATTGATAATTAACCGATTCGGAAAAGAATGGGTTCGGTTGAATGGCCGATTCGGATTCGATTCGGAAAAGAATGGATTGGGTTGAAAGTACGCCGAAAAAAATTGAAGAATGGGAAGAGCCTGAAATAATATGAAAATTTTTTCGAGTCGAATCTAATTTTATAAATTTAAAACGTGAAAAATAAATCAAATAATATGGCTGCGTGTGCGAATCGCCAAGCCACGATGACGTCATAGGGATGATGTCAGGGAGTAGCGGTGTGCGATTTAACTCGAAATGAATTATTGGCAGAGGAAGACACTCAGAAGAAAAATGGCAGACCGTTTTCTGTTGAAATTAGCATGCCAGCGCGCAGATCCTCGACAGTGTGGAGAGCGGGGAGAGTACGAGTCTGGTCACTCCAAGTTTACAATTCTCTCTAAACGGATGTATGCGCGCTGGCATGCCGTTTGTTTTTTGACATTCGTGCTGGCTCGCATGTTTGAGACAGTACCACAGCGGCCGGTGTCCGGTCAATATTGCGCAGTCAGTTTCGGAGCCAGGAAACTTTTTTTAATTTTTATTACATTTTGCAATTAAAAAAATCGAACAGAAAATGAACGTTCACATAAAAAAACGAACGTTCGTTTTTTGAACGAACTTTTTTAAAATGAAAAACGAACGTCCGTTTTTTGAACGAACTTTTTACGAACGAAAAATGAACGTTCGTTTTTTGAACAAACTTTTTACGAACGAAAAATGAACGTTCATTTTTTGAACGAACCTTTTTAAAATGAAAAATGAACGTTCGATTTTTTGAACGAACTTTTTGGAAATGAAAAATGAACGTTCGATTTTTTGAACGAACTTTTTACGAACGAAAAATGAACGTTCATTTTTTGAACGAACTTTTTAAAATGAAAAATGAACGTTCATTTTTTGAACGAACTTTTTGGAAATGAAAAATGAACGTTCGATTTTTTGAACGAACTTTTTACGAACGAAAAATGAACGTTCGTTTTTTGAACGAACTTTTTAAAATGAAAAAAATGAACGTTCATTTTTGAACGAACTTTTTGGAAATGAAAAAAATGAACGTTCGTTTTTTTGAACGAACTTTTTACGAACGAAAAAAATGAACGTTCATTTTTTTGAACGAACTTTTTTAAAATGAAAAAAATGAACGTTCATTTTTTTGAACGAACTTTTTGGAAATGAAAAAAATGAACGTTCATTTTTTTGAACGAACTTTTTTGAAAATGAAAAAAATGAACGTTCATTTTTTTGAACGAACTTTTTGAAAATGAAAAAAATGAACGTTCATTTTTTTGAACGAACTTTTTGGAAATGAAAAAAATGAACGTTCATTTTTTTGAACGAACTTTTTGAAAATGAAAAAAATGAACGTTCATTTTTTTGAACGAACTTTTTGAAAATGAAAAATGAACGTTCATTTTTTGAACGAACTTTTTGGAAATGAAAAATGAACGTTCATTTTTTGAACGAACTTTTTGAAAATGAAAAATGAACGTTCATTTTTTTGAACGAACTTTTTTTGGAAAATGAAAAAAATGAACGTTCATTTTTTGAACGAACTTTTTGAAAATGAAAAAAATGAACGTTCATTTTTTTGAACGAACTTTTTGAAAAATGAAAAATGAACGTTCATTTTTTTGAACGAACTTTTTAAAATGAAAAAAATGAACGTTCATTTTTTTGAACGAACTTTTTTTACGAACGGAAAAATGAACGTTCATTTTTTTGAACGAACTTTTTTAAAATGAAAAAAATGAACGTTCATTTTTTTGAACGAACTTTTTGACGTGAAAAAAATGAACGTTCATTTTTTTGAACGAACTTTTACGAACGAAAAATGAACGTTCATTTTTTTGAACGAACTTTTTTTAAAATGAAAAAAATGAACGTTCATTTTTTTGAACGAACTTTTTGGAAATGAAAAAAATGAACGTTCGTTTTTTTGAACGAACTTTTTACGAACGAAAAAAATGAACGTTCATTTTTTTGAACGAACTTTTTAAAATGAAAAATGAACGTTCATTTTTTTGAACGAACTTTTTGAAATGAAAAAAATGAACGTTCATTTTTTTGAACGAACTTTTTGAAAATGAAAAAAATGAACGTTCATTTTTTTGAACGAACTTTTTGAAAATGAAAAAAATGAACGTTCATTTTTTTGAACGAACTTTTTTGGAAAATGAAAAAAATGAACGTTCATTTTTTTGAACGAACTTTTTGAAAATGAAAAATGAACGTTCATTTTTTTGAACGAACTTTTTAAAATGAAAAAAATGAACGTTCATTTTTTTGAACGAACTTTTTTAAAATGAAAAATGAACGTTCATTTTTTTGAACGAACTTTTTAGAAATGAAAAATGAACGTTCATTTTTGAACGAACTTTTTAAAATGAAAAAAATGAACGTTCATTTTTTTGAACGAACTTTTTTTGAAAATGAAAAAAATGAACGTTCATTTTTTTGAACGAACTTTTTGAAAATGAAAAAAATGAACGTTCATTTTTTTGAACGAACTTTTTACGAACGGAAAAATGAACGTTCATTTTTTTGAACGAACTTTTTAAAATGAAAAAAATGAACGTTCATTTTTTTGAACGAACTTTTTGGAAATGAAAAATGAACGTTCATTTTTTTGAACGAACTTTTTGAAAATGAAAAAAATGAACGTTCATTTTTTTGAACGAACTTTTTGAAAATGAAAAAAATGAACGTTCATTTTTTTGAACGAACTTTTTACGAACGGAAAAATGAACGTTCATTTTGGTTGAACGTTCAAAAGCAAACTTGAACCAAAAAGTTTGGTTTCAACATTTGTTCGAAAAATGTTTGGTCGAACGTTCGTTCGAACGTTTGGTTTTGAGAACTCTAATACTTATGTGTATACAGCGAGTTTAAATGTTCATTTCAAGATCATAATTTCTATTATTCAGAGTAGAATTGATAAATTTATGATAAAATCTTTATTGGACCTTGAAAAAATGCAAGAATTTTTCTTTGCTGAAATTTTTTTCACTCCAATATTTTCAGTCTCTTTTTATCTCAACCATACAAATCTTCTAAGAAAAAAGCTAGGAAAATTTTCTTTTTGAAACTTTTTTTGAAAAAAATCATTCACAGGTCATTTTCGATATTGCTTATGTGAAGATTTTAAAATCGAAGCTCAGTGGATTTTTTAAAATCCAGAAATCCCGAAAATGGGTCTCGACAAGTCCATTGAATACTATTGAAACCTGATTTTGTCAGTGACCACGTCGAGCTCGCTGATCATCACCGTGCAGGCGCCACAGCCGCCCTCATTGCATCCAATTTTTGTACCGGTTAATTTCACTGAAAATTTTTTGAAATTCCAAAATATTTGAATAGAAAATACAATGATCTCGAAGATAAGTGGCCAAAGTGGTCTTCGGATCAACGTCCGTCGTTTTGACTCGATTCCCATTGACGTAGAAGACCAACTTCTGCATGTCGTAGCTGCGAACGTCTTCTAACACGACCGGCTCCCTCATTTCTACAATTTTCTTGGTTTCCAACAAATTTTTCGAAAATTCGGGGGAAAAAGTGGGGAAACGTTGTCAAGAAAGGTCACTTTTGCTTGGAAATCAGAATTTTTGTTGGAAATTGTTCAGTTTGGCAGCAGTTAAACTTGAAACTTTTCTTAAAATGACACGCCATGGTCGCATTTGGAATGGCTCAATATGTCGCGGCCGGTTTAGACTCCAAACAGCCCGAAAAAAAGATTTTTAAAAAACTTCTCATTTGAAAAAATTATTCACAAACCATCAAAAAAATAATTTTTCCGTAATACAAAGAACGTGAGAAAAAAAAGATTGGCGAAAGTGATTTTAATGAAAATAATTCGAATTTCGGTGAGAGATTTTCAAAATGAATCATTTTAAGAGTTCAAAAGTTCAAAATCCAATCACCTGTTGAACAAGGAAAATTTCAAGGTTCAAAAAAAACTTGGAATGCAGACGAATTTTCAAAGTAACTTTTAAATTGCATGTAGAACATCAAACTAGACGTAAAAATCACAACAGAATCCTCGAAAAATCATCATTTTTGGCAAGCTCAAAAACTCTGTTGATAAATTTGTCCATCAAGCCCGAGTTCAAGATAACCGTCTTATTGGGGCTGATAAGAAAACCACGCGTGATTCCTAGACAATGTGGAGGTTTTGATAGGACCACTGATAAGACTGGAATAAGGCAAAGGTGAAAAATAAGTACGTAGCAGGCCAAAATCTTCGAAAAAAGGCGGTTAATTTTGAAAATTCCATCATTTTTTCGAGAAAAATTACAGTATCATCTCAATTTTTGTAATAATCTCGCAGTAGATTGATTATAGAAATATAAAATTATGAAAATAACGGGAAAGGGAATAATTCGGTGGTCAAGAAAATCAAAAGAAAATGTGCGAGACGGCGTAATTGATACCACGCGCCGTGTGTGTATCAATTGATATCGTTTGGAACCGGTTCATTTATTTTGATTTTTTTAAACATTGCAAGTTTTGAAATATCTATTCATAGTTCAAGTTGTCCGCAAAATTATTCCTTTTTCAAAAAAAAATTTCTAACCCTTTAAAAAAATCCTTCCTTCACCTGGAAATTTTTTTCAGGGTCTTGAAAAATTTTATTAGTCAAGGTAGCGAAAAAGTCGATTAAAAATCATGATTTTTTTTATTTTACATATTCGTGTGTTTATTGATTCATATCGTTTAGAACCGGTTCATTTTTTTGTTTTTGATGATTTACAAGTTTTTGAAATATCTATTCAAATTTCAAGATGTCCGAAAAAAACAAGGTCTATCTCCTAAAGAAAAAAACCTACAGAATTGTCCATTTTACCATTTCTCCGCGATTGAAACAGTCTGCCATGTCTGCGCCCTCTTTTCTCTCCTTTGCTCGGGACGAGAGAGCACAGAAATGCCAGAAAAACCTGAAAAACACGTAAAAGAGTTCAGATCCTTCTTTCGAAGTCATGTATAATGGCGGAACTTTTTTTCAACTCCAACTTTTTTTTTTAAACCAATAAAATATTTATTCAAAGTGACAAAGAACGATTTCAAGATTTCAACGGTAAAGTTCATTCACAGCGGCTTTCTGGATTTTTGCGCGGCGAAATGTTTTTTAAAGCCTTTCTCTGCTCTTTTAATAACGTCTTTTTTACGTCGAGAATTCCTAAAACTTCGCTTCGAGACCGTTTTTGCAGAAGCGTCTTGAAGGGAATGCTCAAAAAAAGTTGTGCTTACGGTAGCTTTTATTAATCTTCAGAAAGTCGTTGTGAATGTACTATACAATTTTGGCAGAGTCGGAAGGGCCGGAAAGGATCAAAAAAAAAAGAGGTAGCAAAAAATAGTCATTATAGGATAAGAAAAGAAAATTTTTCCCATTTTGAAAATTTTAAAAGGCCCTTGCAACTTTTCCTACGAGAAAGATATGGTCAGATAAAAGGCAGAGAGTTTTCAAGCAAATGTAGAACCCGTAGAATCGTCTAGACGGTGGTTTCGTCTTGTCCCCCAGTCGTGCTTCCGTTGGAGGAAGGTGGCGCCATCTTGTCGTTGACGAACATGTTGAGCCTCAGTTCGGCGTCTCTTAGATATGAAGACGGCGAGTCTCTGACGTCGTTCTCCAGCAGCGTCGAGGAGCCGACCGAGCGGTCCACCTGGAACTTTCATATATCCTCAAAAGGGTAGTTATTTCACTTTGTAGTCGGGAATTTCTTGTAAATTCAGCAGAAATTTTCAAAATGTACTAGTTGGTAATTCTGAAGGTTGAGCCTACTAAATTACCTAGGTTTCGAGAAAAGTCTCCTCAAAGTCTAAGAAAAACTTCAAAAATGGATCGAAAATTGTGCAGGTTGAGACTTTCTAGAGGTTCATGTGGTACGAAAATGAACAGCGGAACTTTGAAAATCCAAAATTCGAAAGTTAGAAGTTTGCAAAGGTAGCAGAAATGAGAACTATCTTTCTAGGCCTTCAGAAAATTCTTGATCAACTTTCAGAAATTCCCAAATTTCGCACTAAAACTGAATTTCTGTCGTACCTCATCAGGCAGGACGTTCAGAAACCGTCGATTCAGAATCGCATGCTGAGAAAGAGACGTGAAAGGTCTCCTGGGGCCGTTGACGTCTTCTGGAGCGCCTTGGGTCGACGTCGACGGGGAAGACGTGCCGAAATCAACGGACTCTGGTCGGTCAAAGATGTGAGCCGCCGGGTCGCCAAGCCCTCGGAAGGAGAGATTGGTTATGGATCTGAAATTATGGGAATCGTGGCTCAGTGGCTAAGATTATATCTAGTGTCAGAACGGTCACTGGTTCGACTCCCAGCAAGACTCTTGCCATTAAAAAAGCTAGAAAGTCTCGTTTTTAATGTAAATCCTCACTTCCTCGCTGCGGCAAACGTATTGATTGCAATCTCTGGAGGAGGGGGTGGAAAATCATCGCCAGACCTAAAAAAAAGTTATTTTTCCTGATTCTCTGAAGGACAATTAGGTGCCTGAGAGGCCACAGACAAGCTACAAAATTGCACCCGACCACAAAACGACTTACGCTTGCTAGTCGAATCCTTAGGATTCGCGGCATTTTTTACGAAAATCATTACTCAAATAGCTGACGCTGCTCAGGAAGAAGAAGAAGAAGATTACTCAGACCGCAGCGCGACCGCGACGCCTTGAGCCATTCCCAGTGCGACTCACCCGCTAGGTTGATGACTGTAAGTAGTTGGCGGAGCTGGTCGTCCTCTCAGCACATCGAGCCGATCCGAAGATTCGAAGATCCTAGAAGACGGCCTCGCAACATTCGTAGAAGACGTCGGAACCGAAGACGTCGTCGGGAAATCGACTCTCGAGCTGATTTGCTGACAAGATCCGGTCGTTTGTTTCGACATATCAATTCCGAAATCTCTTATAGACAAGGCCGTGGGTTTGGGCGGCGGTTTGATGGGAGTTGGCGGCTTGGCGGGAGGGATCGGCTTCTTCTTGAAAAGTTCCTTCCTAGTGATCTCCTCCATGATCATCTTCTCCCTGGTCCGATGCAGTTGCAGGTTGTCTTTCTGGCCTTCGTCGAAGGACAAAGGCCTGGCGACGTCGTCGATGACGGTGGTCCGTTGCTTGACTGGGATAGATTGGGAAGAGGAGGCGAGGTTGCCGGAGGACGGGAGAACTGAAAAAAATGATGCGGATAGCGAGATAGTATACGGAAAGGAGAGGTTTCAGACTCTGTAGTTAGTTTTCTCCAAAGATCGAGTGTAATTTCTCACGTCTCGCGCTCTCGACATCCGTATTCAGCGTGGAGGTGGACTGCCGGGCTTTAACGCTATTCGGCTCCAAATAAGTGTCGGCGATCTGTTCGTAGACTTCGTCGTAGGCCGGTCCAACTAGCTCTTTGGTGGGAGTTCTGAAGCTCTGGCTTCAACGTAAAGTTGAGGTGAGACCTTACCGTCCGCCCAAGAAAGTTGAGACTCCGATCGTCGAGTCGCAAGGCATGTACTCGTAGTTGACGTCAGTGACGTCACGCCTCTGCTGGATCGGAGTCTTCAGAGCGGACTTTCAGCGGCTGTTTCGGTGTGGAAAGGGCCGCGGTACCGGAAGTTTGTTGGGTATTCAAGGAGTTGTTGGATCCTGAAAGTGGGGTGAGATGATTTTCAGAGAAGCGCAAATTAAAGCAGTAGGAAACACACTACCTGAATTCGTGAATTCGGTGATGTTCGAAGTAGAAGAGAAGAAGTCGCCGCTGACTCTCATCGACTTCCGGTTCTGGAAAAGTTCCAAAGTCAGTCTGATTTGAATCGCTGGAAATGGCTATACAGAAGTTAGCAGCTTTCCGCATGTGACAACGCGCCAAACCGTTTCAAGTCGGGTGCAAAATTCAAAGCTGGTACAAGCCAAGCCAATTAAATTTGTGCACTTTCTTAATGGAGTTCGAGAGATCGAGTCCTTTTTGGGAAAAGATTTTACCCTTCTGCGAAATTCCCATGCTATTTATTCACCTATTTCAAAACCAGTTAAGCCTGCCTGTGGTCCATGTGTTCATTTGCTATTTTTCTTGTTCCCTTAAAAATTTCGACGAGAGAGAAGAGAGCGCAGACATGTCAGAATGTTTGAAGTCGTAGTGAATGACGTATATTGTATCCGAATAAAAAGGACCGACGCAAAAAGTAAGATTTTGATTGGGCTATAAAAAAAGCAAAAATATTTATTTTGAATGACCCTTTCACAATGAAAAAATCTAAGCCAACCTTATTTTTCTGCTTTCTTGGAGAAGTTCGGCACGGAGGCAGTCCTTTTGAAGTTGTTCTTAACATTCCGTTGATAACAAAACTATCAAATATTAACAAAAAAGACCTTCTCGATAATATTTCGGTCCCTCTGCTGTTCCCGGACATGCCTGAGGTAGTCAGCTTCCCATTGTCGGAGTGCCGCCGAGTCGACACGATAAATGGCGGAGAAGCTTCTTTTGAAAGGAGCTTGAGAAGAAGAGGACGAAGACAGAAGTTGCGACTGGTCGTTCTCCACCACCTGCCAATATGTTTCATGTTTTGAAGGATTCGGTCGCATTTGGAATGGCTCAATGCGTCATGGTCTTGAGTCAACTTAAAGAACCGATATTTGTAAATTTCAAGTTTCACAGCCGCAGTTACAAGCGCCGCAGCCGTAAATGACTACCAATAATTGAATTTTTAAAGTTTCGCGGCCGCATTTGGAATGACTCAATGCGTCACTCCGCCTTGAGTCAATTTAAATAACCAGTTTCCAATATTTTTAAATTTCAAGTTTCCCCAGCAGCATTTGGAATGACTCAAAGCGTCGCGGATGCATTCAGCACTACACTTTTATATTTTACGATTCACGGCCGCATTTGGAATGGCTCAAAGTGTTGCGGTTGAACTCAACTCTCGACATGGATTTCAGGACCTAGCTAAGCTGAGCTCTGCGCTCAAAAACTGACAAAAAGGTCTCTGAAAGAATTCTTTTCGCTCAAAATTGAAAAAAAAAGACATACCAGGTTTGCTTGTTGAGCCGCTTCAGACATGTAAAAAACTGCTAAAAAAAAAACCAAACTTCGGCTAAAAATTTCATCCAAAGGCAAAGAATTTTTTTTCTCAACTTTTTTGAGAAAATATTCGAAATCATGGTATACAACTGCTTCTAGATATCGATACCAATTATAAGCCTCTCTGTGAGTTCAGACCAGTGCCTTCGAATGCAGGCCAGGTTTAAAAAAAACCGCATTGCAGCCGCTACGCGCGTCGAGCCATTCCAAGTGACCATCGCATTCAAACCTCGATTTTGACGAGCTTGGCTCGTTGTTTGGAGAAGGAAATGGAAGTTACACAGCAGCCCGTCATGGCGCAGATCCAGTTGAGAATCGTGCCGATAACTTGGGCGTAGAAGGCCCAACCGAGGGTTTGCTGAATTTAGTAGGTTAATGAACGCTTTTCGAGTTTTTGAAGGTGCAAAAGGATATAAAGAGCCTAAATAGTACATTTTCCTCGCAATATTCGAGGAAAATCAGCCAAAATCAGCAGAAAATAGCTCAAAATGAAGAGTTTTAGATGATCTAACGGAGAAGAAATTTGAAATTCAGTCTCGAAAATTCCACAACTAGGACTTAAAAGAATATTTACCAGTCGATTACCTCGTAAACCTCGTCCTCATCCTCTTCCTTTAATCACTTTATTGTCTTGGTAATTGGCCCAGGCGTAGAATATGCAGACGCCCAGCGTCGATAGTATGGCTGAAACAAATGCTCGTGAAAATTCAGAAAAAAATTGCTTGAAATCTCTTCGAACGTCCAAAAAACATTCCGTATTTGTACACTGAAAATCATAGAAAGAAGAACCTCAGCAAAAATTTTTTTCAAACTCCATTAAGTAAAAATTAAAAAAGTTTATTCACAGATTTTTTTCCGATCACTTATTTCTCGTTTTCTAGAACGATGAAGTTTTTCGACAAATTAACGCGCACTTTCTGAATTTCGCTTCAAAAAAGTTTTTATTTTCAACTGTTCTGGTAACAAAACCTAGGCTCGATAATTTCGTTTTCGAAAACGGGGAAAAAAAACGAACAAAAGGATAAAAAATGATTCCGTGAAATTAAAAACAGCCGTCAGAAAACTGAGAAAGATAAAATAAACTTTGGAGTGTCAGAGATAATTTCAAAGTTCGCGGAAATCACTTTGAACAAGGATAAAGAAAGAAGGAAGCGATGCATAACAAAGGTCAAACAATGACCAAAATGTGGTAAAAATAGAGCAAAAGTTAATTTTCTTCAAGGGATTCCAACTCAAGATATTCCTTAAATACGAAATTATGTTCTACATTTTCCACATCTTTTGCTTGGTAAGAAGTATCCAAAGCTTCAAAAAAACTAACCTGAAATTGTGATCAAAACCGTGCAGGCGCAAATGAAAGTCCTATGGCAAAATGAACAAATTCCTGTAAATCACAATTTTTCAAGTGAAAAGAACAATTTAAAGTTACCTAAAAGAAGTGTAGTGGCCGAGAAAAGAACGCCGACGCCGACACCCACAAGCGCCGCGATTTTCCAGCCTGAAGTTTGAAATTATAATAAAAAGCTGAACTTTTTGCAAGAAATCCCACTTTCAAAGAAAAATGATTGGAATATTTTGAAGAAATAAATTTTGACGTTTAAGAAGAAAATTCAACGTGAAATTGAACAAAACTCATTTTCATTTTTGAAATCCTGGGAAAATTTTTAGTGGCTGGCCACTATAGGGGTCTGAAGTTTCAGTGGCCACTATAGTAGTCAAAATAGAGGCCACTTAAGAAGTTTTAAAGAAAGTGCCCACTATAGAGGTCTAAATGCCACTTAGAGTTACTGGAAGGAATACTGGATGAAAAACTACTGAAGTGGCCACTAAAACGGAAAATAGTGGCAACTAAAGAGGTGGGTTTTAGTGTCCCCTCCAAATAGTCCCTGGCGAGCCTCTGTAGGGGCCACTTCCCAGTACTTTCTTGATCATTTTCGTGCTACAAAACCCTTTCCCTTCAAGACGCGCGTCCTTTTTCTGCGCATGCGCCTTTAATTAAGCCTGAAAATTTCAGTTACATTTAAGGCTCGCCCTTTCCTACAATACGCGAAGCTTGCGCCTTTGATAAAGCCTAGAAGTTTCCTTCCTATTAAAGGCGCATGCTCACAGAAAAGCCGCGCACATCGAATATAAGGGTTCTGTAGCTGTTAGGAAAAACATCGCGACCGTCCTATTGAAAGGCGCTTGCTCAGAGAAAGACCACGCGCATCGCAGGGAAGGGTGAGAAGGAAACGACAAATTGTGGCGCAGAGTGAGCTATACATATTTTTCTGAACCTACCTAAGAACAAGTGTTGATACGCGTCGTTCTGAATACGATTTTCGTCATGGTTATGGTCGTAGAGATCTTCAGAGTCGATGTAGTAGTCGAATTTATAAACGCATTGGAGTTGGGGCAGGTAGAAAATGTCGAATGGCGAGCCTTGCATGTCTCGTCTGCAGTTGAATCATAATTTTTTGGGAAAAAGAGCCAAAAAGGTTATTTTTGTCGTGTCTTGAGGAAACTTCAAGCCCTTTGGGCCAGACTGGCCGTTTTGGAAAATGGCCGGGGGGCCTTTAAAAAGACCATTTACGGTCCTCAAACAAACCTATAAAGCGTCTCGTAGTACTCCCTCGTTCTGCCGTAGTCGAAAGAGTAGTCCCGTTTGCAGTCGAGCCAAAGGCCATGGTGGTGCTCGGTCCGGCCGTTCTCCAAGTTGGCGTACTGCCAGGAGGGGCTGATCAACGCCAGCAGGCAGAAGAGGAACGCCAGCAGGGACAGGGAGAAGAAGATGGCGAGCGCCGTTTTGCGGCCACATCGCGAGACTCCGGCCATCTATCCGCTACTTCCGGTCATTAACCACTTTTACGTCTTCTTCGATGTAGATGACCACTGGAGACGCTGAAATGTAGATTTTTTAGAGTTGTAATAGATCGCAGGACAGCGAAAAAACGTTTAAGCAAAAATTTTGTGAGGTGAAAAGTAGGAATAGATAGGCTGGAACCCAGAAATTTTCAAATTTGGAATTTTTTTTTATAGTTCATTCACCGTTGACATGAGACAATGATGCTTAAAAAATGTCCAAATCTCTTCTTTACCCACGCTATTTCTCAGTTATCACTCGCTTATGCCTTGAAACTCAACAGAATTATCTAAATCTCCTTCTTTCGTACACTATTTCGCACACTTCCTTAACTCAGGTTCTGAAAAACTACAGAAATGTCTAAATCTCTTCTTTCCTCACGCCGTTTCTTATTTATCACTAGCTTATGCCCTGAAACGCTACAGAAATGTCTAAATCTCCTTTTTTCTTACACTATTTCGCTAATTATGAGAAAACCCTCGATATAAGATTCAGACAGAGGCGAATAAACTATTGGGGAAAAGCCCTAGTTCATCTTTAAACTGTAAAAAAATCCAAAAATCTTCCCCCCAAAATTTTTTCCTCAATGTTTTCTCGAGGTTAGATCCATTCACTAACCCCTAAAAAACGCCGCAAAACGGGAAAAGAAAAAAAAAGTTGAAAACGACAACGACAATGACGATGAGAGAGCGATTGGTTCTGGCGAGGACAAGGGCAAAACAGAAAAAAAAAGATGAAGAAAAAAGGGCTGCGGGTGGAACCGAAAGTCAAAACTGTTTGAACAGCGGGTTTTGACAGGTTCAGCGGCTCGAAGTCGGTTTTATTAATCGACAGGAAGGTGAGAAAAAAATTGATTGTTCTGATTTCAGTCTTCAGAAAAGTGTAACGGGGATAGTTTCAGTGGAAAATAACTAGTCAAACCTTGAAAATTCGCTTTAAAAAACTACTATTCCAATTTTGAGTCATGTCCTTGTTCATGGTTTTTTTGAATTCTTCTGAAGGATGAAAAAAATAATTTTTAAAAACCAGAGTAGCATGTAAGAAAAAAAGTCTCTTTAAAAAAATCCAAACTGACTTTGAAAAAAATATTTTTTTAGAAATATGAAACACAAATTTTTCTTCTTGATGCCTTTTTTTGAACCCTCATAGCCTCCTTCAAAAAAATTTTTCGAGCAAAACAAAAATTTGCATCAAAAATTCAAAATTTCAGTCAAGAAACTTTATAAAAATCCCGATAAGGATGAAAACTCGAAAAATCAGAAGAAAATATAGTAAAAAGTCCAAGCCAAAGGTTCTGAAATAATCAACAGCCGAAGAAAAATTCAAAATGTTTTCCGTCCAGATCTTAAAAAAAGCTCAAAATCGAATAAAAATGCAATAATCAGAAAAGAAAATCGTTCAAAAAAATCAGCGGTGACAGTTCTGAACCGCACTAGAAACTTCGCGGAAAGATTCAAAATTTTCCGTCCGAATCTTCAAAAAAAGCTCAAAATCGATTAAAAAAAATGAAATATCCATTTTTAAAAAAATCCTTTCAAAATCAGCGCTGACGTTTCTGAAGTCTACCAAACCACACTAAGAACTTCGCGGATAGAATCAAAATTTCAGTCTTGAGCCTTTAAAAAAAGCAAAATCAATCAACAAATAAGTCAATAAATAAATAAATAATTTTTCAAACTGAACTTTTATGAGGCTTCAAAAAAATGCCCCAAAAAGCTATCCAAATGAAAAATTCAAAACTCGGGGTTGAATTTTTGGGGCCTGGAGGCGTGGTGCGAATGGACGTAGGAGGGCCGTTGTCGGTTTGAATTTTCAGGGTCGTTCGCATCGATTTTATCCGACTCCTCCAACACAGTCAAATTTCACTCAGGAGGGGGGGGGAGGACGGACGACCATAAAAGTCGGTCAAACGCATTTGCATAGAAGAATGGATTTGGAGGACAGGGAGGCCCTCCGGCGGCGGCTAATCGACACGGGAAGAGAAAGCCTTGGCAACCTGCCATCTACAACTTCCGTCGAGTGGTCAGGACGTTCAACAGCTGTCTTTGGGATTTTCAAAATCGGAAAATTTGCAAAACTGTTGTTATACTCACTAGGAAATGACCTTAGTGGGACTTCTGAATGAAATTAGGCTCACTAGATGCAGTTTTTTATGCTGTTTATAAATCTGGTCTCAAAATTTGCCCTTGAAGCCTATGAAAAAAGTTAAGGATTTTTAAAAGTCGAAAATTTCGAAGTCCTAGATGCATTTTTTTTATGCTGATTCCGAATCGCTGCTCAAAAGTTGCCCATGAAGCTTATGGAAAAAGTTAGGGACTGTCAAAATCAAAAAGTCCAATGATTTCAATCGAGCTCATTTTTGGAGGGTAGATAGTTCTTGTCCCTCTGGTCTAGAAAAACTATCTGTTTCGCTCGGAGTAGACTTTCGAGCCTAGATACGACCTTTAAAAGCTAAAAATTCAAATTTGGGATCCAGAAAAATTTGAAAACTCTTGGCAACCTGCTATCTGAAGCTTTGGGCTTTGAAAAAAAATGTATCTATAACTTTCAAAAAAACTTTCCAGAATTGAAAACATTGGAAAAATTTTTTTATCTCAATCCGAAGACGCTATCACCATTTTTTATTACCAGAATCCATCATAACTACAAAAAAATTGCTACTTTAAAAAGCTTCTCTTTCCTTCAAAAAAACAGAAAAAAAGCGAAATAAAGATGAAAAAAACCCCAAATTTCTAAATTCTCAATGGAGCGCACTTGAGTGGCGAGTAACAGCGATTTATTGAGTTCAAAAGGAATTTTTCATTTTTTTCGTCTTTGAAAAAAACTATTAGATATTAGATAAGATTCTATAAAACTTTGATATCATGGAAAAAAATTGTGTTTATAAAGCTAGTATTTTCAAAAAAAAATCGAAAATTTTTTTCTAATTTGTCTCCCAAAAGCTTTTTAAAAGCATTCTATTGACACCTTCTCGTTAAAAATAAGCTTCAAAAAATCATCACCAAAAAATAATTTTTCCCAAAAACCCTCAAAAAATCCGTTCTCTAAATAAAATGAGGCCCCCCTGCTTTTGAAAAAGCGCAGACAAAAGCGCTTCAGGTAGACAAAATGAAATTGTGCGGAAAAATAGCCAGGATTAACCCAGATACTACGGTTGGCGGCAAGCCAGCAAAATTGAAAAAGGACATGGACGGGGGGAAGGAGACGTCCTTGGGGCGCACAAACGGCGTGGACAAAATAGCCGCGGCGCAGTTGCATAACAGTCCGTTGGCTTCGAATAGGGGTGTGTCCACTTGTCACACGAGTATTGGTCATTTCGAGGTAATCGTTAATGGATTAGGGCTTTGAGTGATTGAAAAGGTCCGAAAAATCGATAAAAATAACGTCTAGCTAGAGAAAAAAAAAATAAAAATAATGAAAAAAAATTTTCATCCACAAGATTCGAACCTTCGTCTCCAGTATTCCAGACTGAAGCTTTTACCACTTGGTCATACGCCCTAAATGATTTTTGGTCTTTCTAGAGCTCTGAGTGATTGAAAAGGGCCAAGAAAGGGAGAAAAATAACGGCTAGCAAGAAAAAAAAATAATGGCAAAAATATCTTCATCCACAAGATCCGAACCATCCTCCTCAGTTTTCCAGATGAATGTTTTTACCACTTCACCATGGGACCTACGAGAGCCTCTGAGTCCTTGAAATCCACCAAAATGGATAGAAACACCATTTGAAAAAGAGCAAAAAAGTTTTTCGACAGGACTTGAACCTTTGACCTGATTTTTCATGCTAACGACTTTGCCAGTGCGATATGGTCATTAGAGCTGATCGAGAACAGTTTCAGGGGGTAATTTTGAGAGAAGAGGACTCGAACTTGCGTCCTTGGATTAACAGACAATCGCTTGGACCACTGAGCCATTTTTTGATCTAAAGATGCCTAGCGTTTACACTAAAATGTGGAAAAATGTTTTTTTCGGTAAATTTTTAAAAAGTTGGAAATTTTTTATGTTCTAATAAAAAGCTCTGAGAAGCCTAATCAAATATAAAAAAATTCTAGGGCTTCAGAGATATTTTTTTCCGAAATCAAGTCCCGAATCGGGTCAAAAATACGGACATTCCCGTTTTAAAATCACTAAAAAAAGTTTTGAAAATCTATCCTGTCTTATAAATTAATTCCTAACCCTCTTAATTTCCAAAAACACGGGGATAATCCAATCCGATCAAATCACCCCGCAAATCCCCGCTTTCGTCCCTCAAGAAACCAGCTTATTCATGGGAAAACGAATGGAAGGAAAATTCTGTGTTTGATCTGCTTCGGAATGTGATGGGATGGATGGAAAAACGTCGAAAATTCAGACGAAGATGCGTTGGAATGGAATGGGACGGGAATTGAATAGGAAAACACGGCGATGAGTCATCCTTGGCGTCGTTTTGGAACAGGGAGATTATGTCCGAGATTACCGATTTTCTACTCATAGAGGAGATTTTTTTTTTTAACCGTTTTCAAAGTTCCGCGAAAATCAAATTCATCTCTGACTCTCCAAAATCTAGTTATCTTTTATCCTCTCTGACGGCTATTTCGAGTTTCGCCGAATCACTTTGAGCACAGCGTTTTTGATTCGTTAAATCAATAAAACTACAGATAAGGTCATCATGTGGAGATCAAATAAAGCTTTTCCGAACTTTCAAGAAAAATATTCTGATCAGTGATTCGTTTTGGCTTTGTAAAATTGATTCATTTTTTTGAAACTGTAAAATAAAAAAGTGATCAGCCTCATTCAAATTTTGAAAAAAAACTGAAAACTATTCAAAAAGTAGAAAGTAACCTCAAAAAATAATCAGTACCGTATGAAAATTGTCTTTTTATTCTGGTAACCTCACTGAACAAAAAAATTGAGCTCTTATATAATTCAAATAAAAAAAAACGTAAAGAAGTATATTATGGAAAATGAGCTCAAATTTTGTAGCCGTCTTGAGTTTTTTTCCTTAGGTAGAATTAATTCAAAAAAACTCCTAATTAAATAAAAAAACAAGGATTCAATTTTGAAAGTTATAATTATAGTTTTTCCTATAAAGTAGGTCTATTGTACCAAAAAAAATATAATTCTGATGAAAAAAATCTTCTAAAACATGACATCATCATTGATCCGTTGAAGTTAGAGTTTAACTGTCAAAATCACATCTGTGTTGTATGTATTTTTTTCAACTTCTTGATAAAAATCTGAGAAGTCTTGACAAGATTTCATGATAGAAATCTTAATCAAGGTGTTCGGAAAAATCAAAAATTTGAAACTAAAGTCTATGTACCTAAAAGCTCAGCCTATTTGACCAAAAAAAGTTGTTTTTTTGAGAAAAAAATTTTTCAAGAATATGATCCTAATCGATAATCTCATAAAGAACACTAGATGAAAAAAATTTAATTCAATGAGTAAAAAAACTTTCATATGGTCTGCCTGTACCTAGAAACTCGACCTTTTCTATAAAAAAAAATGGTAAAATAACCCTAATCAATATAAATTCAAGAATATGATCCGATAAAGTCAAAACTTAACCATAGAAGCCCTAATAAATAAGTCAAAAAAGTCAAAAAAAAAAATGTTGGAAAGTTTTAAAAATTATGTCAATGGTTATCCTGTATCTAGAAAACTCGACCCTTTTCATTCATTCATTCGTTTCAAGTGTTTATTCACCATTCCGCAATCAGCACGACAAATAAAAAAAAATAAAACATCAAGACAATCAAATAATCTAACAGCTGATCTGTGGAAACGGCTGGAGGAAAAGATTGTCTGAATAGACGGTGCTAACCCCCATTTGGTATTTAAGTTTGTTCTTTGTTTTTTTAATAAGTTAGAATTTTTTTCTAGATTTTTAGTAGGATCTAATGATTTTTAAAAAAACGATGTGTTTGATTCGAACCATGAGGTGAGCATAATCTGAAACTTGCCGATTTCGTATTCAATGATAGTTTCTCTCTCCAGTTGGTTCCAAATGGGTATGACTCTATGATTTAGGAAGCGTTGTTTGATCAATTCATTCCTTGGTTGAACAAGTCTCATTCCATTTCCTTTGAGTTGATTATTTCTACTCGAATTCATCATTAATTTAACAGGCGACTCACTCCAAAAATATCCATGAATGTATTTGTGAACGCAACAAACGTCTTTAAAAAGTCTTCTAGTCCATAACGTCGATAGTTTCAGTTTGGCTAATCTACTGCGATAATCCAATTTCGGATATAATCTTTTGGTAAAATTTTTCTCTGGACTGATTCTAGTTGATTTATATCATTCAAATTTAGCGGGCACATTAGTTCGGATCCGTACTCAATGATAGGCAAGATTTTTGGCTTTATAGCATTTTTAGAAAGTTATTTTTGAGAGAAATGAAAACAGCGAAATAAATTATTTATTATTTTTCATACATTTTTGTACTACTATACTCACATGGTGCCCCATTTTCAGATTACTCGTGAAGAAGAATCCCAGGTCTCTGACATTTTTGTTTAGTGCAAAAGAGTTTGATCGTTAATTTTGTATGTACTGGGTTCTGTCTTTTTTTCCAAACTGAACTAACATGCACTTCTCAGGAGATATGGATAGTTGACGGCGTTCCAACCATTGGTATACATTTTTTAAGTCTTCTTGAAGTTTGGCTTTATGGTTCGTTACATTACTAGATAAATACAGTTTGCAATCACCTGCGAACATGCTCAAGTTACAGTATTTAATAACTTCTGACAAGTCATTGATATATACTAAAAACATAAGAGGTCCTAATGAGCTACCTTGCGGTACACCTGACGATATTTTTATCTCATTCGAATTCTATAAGAAAAATGGTAAAATAACCCTAATCAATATAAATTCAAGACTATGATCCTAATCGATGATCCCATAAAGGAAATCAAGATGAAAATCTTAATCAACAAGTGATTCAGAAAAAAAGTTTTCATATGGTCTACCGGTACCTAAAGATTCGATCACTACCATAAAAAAAATAGTAAAATAACCCTAATCAATATAAATTCAAGACTATGATCCTAATCGATGATCCGATAAGGAAGGTCGCGTAAAAATCACAAAGTCAGCGATGCGACGAAAATGTCCTTCAACTTCTCCTCGGACCTGTGATAACCCCTTTGACGGGACATCAAAGGGAAGACACCTTTTCTCTCTTTTTCTTAAATTCCCTTTCGCTTCTTTTTTTTAGATAGGAATGGGATACGCGCGAATAACTTGGAAAGTGCAAAGAGAAATGTTCTTTCAAGGGTTTTTTTAGATCAACTTGACCTGGGAGGTTGGAGGGAAGAAAAAGTTGGTCTTTATCTGGAAGAAGAGGGCTTTTCAAAAAGGATTCTCGAAGGAGTCAAAGCTCACTAGAACTTACCGGGATTTTAAAAAATCCAATAGATGATCATCATAAATAAAAAAAACCGAATAGTGTTCTTAAGGCACTTTGAGATTTAGTGGGCCCTATAGGGTGTGTGTAAGGGCCTCCTTAAGTGGGCCCTATAGGGAGTTTTTTGAGACATCCTTAAGGGAGAAAGTTGAAGGATCCCTTTCCTTCCGATCATTTTTTGTTGGAAAAAAAATGCTTATCACCCTGGGAAAAGCTGAAGTGGTCCCTAAAGGGAGTTTGAGATTCAGTGGGCCCTATAGGGAATGTGTAAGGAGCTCCTTAAGGGAAAAACTGAAAGGACCTACTTATTTTGATCCTTTTTGCTGGAAAAAAAAATGCTCATCAGGCTGTGAAAAGGGAGTTTGAGATTCAGTGGGCCCTATAGGGAGTGTGTAAGGATCTCCTTAAGGGAAAAACTTGAATGACCCCGGAAAAAGCTTCTGTTTTTGTTGGGAAAACAGTACTTACTTCATTTTCCTCGATTTCGCAGCTGTCGCGAATTGAATGGCTCAAAACGTTTCGAAATTCGTGATTTCCGCGAAATGACGCGGATAATCGTGGCTCTAGGAATCCTAAAAAGGTGCTTCTAGAAAAAATTTAAAAAATAATTTTTTTGGCGCCTTACTCATCCTAAAAACCTGATTTCTGTGAGTAAAAATGAGAAAACTATCAATTTTCCTTAAAAAATTTTTGGGACCTTTTTAAACTAACAGAAAATTTTTAAGGGCCTCAGAAAGGTTCAAAAAATCCTGTGTCTCCTGAAAATCTTCAAATCATCATTTCCGGTCGTATATAACGATCCGATTCCAGTCCTAAAGACCTCGCCCCGAAAAATGTCGTTATTCATTCGGATTGAGATTTCAAACACCTGCGATAATTATCTTGAAACAGGCGTCATTTCACCTTCAAGAGATTCAAATTCGAGATAAAAACGTCTCAAAAATCTTTATTTCCAGCAGATTACACTTGCGCGTTATGGCAAACTTTTGAAAAGAGCATAATTAAATTTCACTAAAATGTACACTTGGCAAGAATACGGCCGCTGTGAGAGTACGAAAAAAAGCACAATAAAAAGAAAAAAAAAATACAAAGAATAGAGAGACCAATAGAATGGGATTCCCTGACCGAGGAGCTTAAAAGTCATTTTTTTATGATCATATGTAGGAAAATGGGGATTTCAAGGCAGATTCGGTACTCGCAACGTTGGAGAAATGCCGAGGATAAAATAAAGTGAACAAAAAAAAAACGAGAGAACAGTGGCAGTCTGAAGAGACGCCAGAGAAGTCTTAAATCTCTTTCTCTGGGTGCCTCTTCGAACAAGTCGATCTCTAACAAAAAACGCGAGGAACTAGTAAAAGCGTGAGAGAAAAGGTTTCCTGAAGAGACGCCGGAGAAGTCAAGAAATTTTCTTTCTCTGCCGTCTCTTCAGGCCGCCCTCATCTCTCTTCCGAGCTTTGAAAAATCAGAAAAAACTTCCTAGAAAGACGAAAGTACATAGGAAAAAGGTCACTTGTTGAGATTTTCGAAAAAAAAAATCCACTCTAACTAAAATATTTTTTTGAAAACCATACCAACCGGTATACAATAAGTGAACGGCCAATGATTTAAAAAGAGTAAAAACTCAAAAATTAGAGAGAAATTGGAGCCTGAAGAGACGCCAGAGAAGGAGAGCATTTCTAACTGTCTGGCGTCTCTTCAGGCCGCTTTGATCTATTTCTTTTTCGTAAAATCGGATTTTTTTGAGCTAAAGATACGGGTTTTTTTCGAGGAATAAGATGATCAAAAGAGAGCTTTCAAAAAAAATTAGACATAAGTAATGTTCAAAAAAAGCAAAAGATAAAGAGATTCTGGAGCCTGAAGAGACGCCAGAGAAGGAGAGCATTTCTAACTGTCTGGCGTCTCTTCAGGGCGCCCATGACCTCTTGTCACTGCTAAAATGGGCGAAAGAATTTGGAGGCACATCAAAAATTACAACAAGAAGATCAGAAAAGAAAGCTTTTAGCAGAATCAAACACAAGTTTCGCTCTTGCGACGGACTCGCGGGGGGAAGAATTCGGTAGAGGGGTAGGCGCCACGGACGCCAAGTTCGGGCATACTCTCGGCGACGTGATGCTTCTCCTCGTAGCGAATGTTGGGCACTGGCGTGTGTGGCGGGTACATCAACGGCGCGTCAAATTCCATTGATCTGAAAATTTATTAGCTTCACATAAGGTCATTATTGAATGATTTGGAACCTGATAGAAGGAAAAATGATGGAAATTAAGATTTAAACTCACAAAAAACCGTCTCTTTCTTCCCCGTACTGGTATAGACTCTATTAAAACTCAGTTTGATGACTGATTTATTGATTTAAGTTTTATCGACATTGTCGTTATCCTTTTCCTTTGAATTAGCCTTTGAAAGCATCCTTGATTTTCCGAGGTTATCCAAGAGGGGATTTTCAGGATTTTCTCCAAGAAAAAAATTATGTTTTTTTTTTCCTGGATCGAGATATAACTCATTTTTTTCCGTTTTAAAAAAATCTGGGGTCCATTTTCAGCCTCAAAATTTGGCTCTATGGAATTTTTCCAGATCTTGCCCCCCGACCTCAAAGGGGGGCGCAGAAAAAAATGAGAATCATATCTCAAGAAATCTTCTGGAAGTCGGTTATAGACCAGCTATGCGGAAACCGGCGCGTGTCGGGCGCGTGCCAATACCGTTTTCTTCGTGGTAAAAGCCAGAAAAAAAAAACTGACAGACCTTCCAATGTTGGTGACGTTGGTGCGGCTGCTCCTTTGAAGGCTGAAGCCGTCCATCGAATCCTTGGCTCCGGCAAACGAAAAGTAGGTGAAGAGCATGGCGGCGAGGAACGAGAAGAAGTGGAAGAAGGCGGCAGCCATTTCCAAGAAGAAGGCCAGGCCGACCCGTTGCTGAACAAAAAGCCTATGAATTTTTGAAAAGATCGTTTAAAAATCAGGAAATTCGCTTCAATTGAAGACAGTGAAACTTACAGTTAAAACTCAAAATCACAATGAACCTTTAAAATACGTTAAAAAAAACTTGGAAAGAACACAGTAAAGTTATTTTTTGAGCGAAATCGAACCTCATAAGTTCCGACGATACCCTTGATAAATCGGTTATCAGCTCGATGGGAATAGAAGAAGAAGATTCCTTCGGCCACAGTCGAGAGGAAGGCTAAATTAGTTAAATAACGTAATTTCTGGCGCTGAAAGGCAAGAAAAATGGCCCGACGAGAAACTACTTGCGCACTTGGGCATTCTCTAACATTGCAAAAAAGTCAATCCCAGCCAAAAGACAGTTGTACTTTGACCACGATGCTCCGAGCCATTCCACATGTGACCAGGGGATGTGGAATGGCTCGAAGATTTTTAAATAACGTAATTTCTGTACGAACTGGTGATCAAGCAGAATCCTGTGAAGATGAGCGACAGGGAGCCGTAGCAGCAGGAGCAAATCCCGATGCACGTCGACAAAAACGACGTCAGAAGCGCAAAGCCGAGGAGAATCATCGTCGCCGTGTGCCAGCCTTAAAAGTTAACAAAATTTCTTCTTTTTGACGAAAAATTTGGGATCCACTATAATTTTTGAGGTTGAAGGCTTGTGTCTTTTAAAATTGCTCATATAATCATATTTTCTGTGAGCTTCCGCTAACTAGAATTTCTTTATTTTTAGATTTGTGTCGAAAGTTCGAAGATCACAACCAAGGGTTTTCTAGAACCAAAAAAAATCTACTATATTTTCTATGAACCACCTGCCTATCTTTGAACCTTAGCTAATTGAGTAACTTGAATTTCTCAATTTCCACTTTCTCTCCAAAACGATCCCAATTAGCCGTTAACCCCAATAAGCAGCGATCAACTCGAAAACGGTCAAACTCGGGTCGAAATTTATTGAGTAAGTCTTCTGTGCGCCGTACGCGCAAGGCCATTTGGGAGGGTCTCTCTGGCCTTGCGGATTCCCGCAGACGCGCATGGTTAACGGCACGTAATTAACCGTCGGAAATGAGTCGTCGCCGTAAAAAGAGCTCATAATAACAGGTATTCACTTATTGTTTGCCAATACGCAACATGGCGGGGTTATTGAAAATTCTTCCAGTGTAGAAATTCTTTCAGATTAGGTCTCAAAAGGAAGGTTCTCGCATTTTGAAGCTTCAAACTCACTTTAAGCTTGAAAATAAAAAAAAAGCTCCTAAAGTGGTCACTTCAGAAAAAAAAGCTTCAAAATCAATAACCCATCCTTTGATGCTTACATGGCGCTGTGAAAACTTCAAAAAATACAGATTTTCCAGGAAATCCTTAAAATGATCACTAAACCAATACCCAAGTGATCCCTCTAGTGATTACTAAGAAGCTGATAGGCAGACTCTCCATAAATCTAATCCAACTTACTAAAGTGGTATCACTTGACCAAATCCCTAAAGTGGTCACTAACAAAACCTCAAGTTGACAGTCTAGTGGATGAAGCTCAGCTTCATAGAAACTAATGCGAGCTAAAACCCTAATAAAGCCACTTCAACTTTGAAAAATGAAAAAACAAGATCCTAAAAAATGAAAAAAATTTATTTTTCCCACTTTATTCCTAGAAAGGCTATAATAGTCTTCAACCTCCGATATAAAAAAACTGAACGAACCGTAGAACTTGTGGCGGTTGACCTCTCCGACGGGACTATTGTCGTCTTCCAGGTCGAAAGTTCCCGAATATTTGTCATAGTCGAACTTGTAAACGCAGTGAAGTGGCTCTGTCACTGTCGCGTACCTACAGAAAATCCTTTTTATTCTATTCTTGCTAAATTTTCCTCGGCCAGAGTCTTTTTTATAGAGTTTGAGCGCTTGTTGGAATTCTACTAATTAAGGCTACGTCTTCATATTTTCACTACACAATGATTTTAGAGAACATTTAGAGTTTCGCTCCAAAAAAAGAGCAAGTTGTCTTTCAGAAGGTCAATGAAGACCTACAAAATTTCTGAGAAACGGGGTTGAACATAATATTTAAGATCAATTTGGTTCCGTTGACAGAACGCATATCTTGTTAACGACAGGAGGTAGTACTAAAAATAGCTACGAGACAAAACGACATCGCTTGCGGTGCATTGACGATATCGCAAAAGAGCTGTTATGTGGCCGCGAGGGTCATGTCTTTTTTTTTGAGGTGATCTCGAATTTTTCTCGCGGCGATTTCGCATTTCAAAAATTTTCCAATTCATTTTTTGAATGCGTGGGAAAAGCGATGTCGCGCGCGATAAAGCAGCACTTTTGCAATGTTGTGCATGTACCGCCAGCCATGTAGCATTTGACTAGGCAGTTTTCTTCAAGTTTTTATTAACACAAAAAAACATTTTTAACCTCAGGAGGTACTGATTTCTGTACTGATTCTACTTTGTAACATTCCTGAATTTTCCTGAAGAAAATATTTTTTTTTTTATCCCAGGAAACCTTAGGATATAACACTGGTCAAATTCAATATGTTTCGAGAGGGGGGTCTGAGGCCGTCAAGTTATGATCCAAGATAAGGTCTTGGCAGCCAATTTATAAGCCTCAATAATTGATCTGCCGTTCCGGACTAGCGCCAGAGATTTTGGCAAAACGGATAGAAAAAAAAAGAGAGCTGTGCAAAACCTGGAAAAATGACTCACCTCTGAAGGATATGATTTCCATCTCGACTGTGGCGTGTGCAGTCGAGCCAGAGGCCGTGCTCATGGATCGAGTTGTACTCGCGGAGGTTGACGACCTGCCAGGACGGCGTCAGGATGGCGGCGATCGACAGGCCCATGCCGATCAGCGACAGGACCAGCGCCACGGTCAGCGTCCCCTTCCGCGCCAACTCGTTCGTCGTTGACATCCGTCGCTGAACAAAATCGTAAGTTTCCAGGAAGAATATCCACATTTCAGTGAAAATCGAATAAAATCAACAAATTTTTACTATAGAACATTGCAAAACTTCATTTGCGCAGTTTTAGAACTTCTAGGCGTAATTTTATTGTTTAACCAAGCATAGACAAAACATCTTCTCAAAAACTAGTGTTTTAAGGTTCTACAAAGTAGTCCCTATAGGGGTAGCCTCAGGGGCCCTTGAAGGGTCTTCTCTAGGGGCCACTTTACCAACCCCTATAGGGGCACCTAGAATTCGCAAAAGTGGTTCCTATAGGGGACATGCTAGTCAATAATTTTTAGGAACTCTATGCGAAAAACCAAATGACTAAGCGTTTTTCAAATTAAATCAAGAGACCCTCATAGGGACCACTTAAGCTTTAGGGACTAAGGAGTCAGACCCTAAACCCCTATAGGGACCACTTTTTAGGCCTCTATAGGGCCAGGTTTAGCAATTTAGGAATTTGAGATTTTCAAATTTTATTTTAAAAAAGAGAGAACAGAGTTTCTGTGAAACCAAATCGTCAAACAAGAGATAAATTTTCCTTAACCACATTTTTAAAAATATAAAAAAAATATTTCAGGCTTCATCCAAAGAAGAAAAAAATCTTGAGCTAAAGGATTTTTTTCGAAGGCTCTTTTTGACATCTCCATTATCGGAGCCTCACTTTAAAGCTTTCTTTTTGGATAAATGGAGAAAAATAATTTTTATCCTGGTTTTTTTCCTTATAAAAAGTTGAATCTCCCAAAATTTATACATACGTTGAGCATGGATGCGATGTCTGTTGGTCCTTTCAACCCAAAATAATCGGATCAAACGTAGATCAAATCGATAAAAATCGACGGAAAAGAGAGAATTCGGCAGGAATAGACAGGAGCGGCGGCGGCGGGCGAGAAAAGAGGGAAAACTCGAAATTCGATCGAAGTTTTGAGTGCATGTGCTACCGTAGCGAGAAGTAGGAAATAGTGTTACTTTTTGAGAGGAAGAGACACTTGTATGCACCGCCCATATTAGTGGATGAGTCATGACGAGGGAAAAAAAATAAACAGCAAATAGGAAGAGGAATAAAGACCTTGGGATTTGGTCGCTCGAAAAAAGAGTGAGTAGTGGGATTTTCTGGTCGCATGAAGAATGGCCAGATCTGTATTTGAAAAGGTGCGCCCGACCATGAAAAGACTTGAGCGAGCTTTAAAAATTTCAACTTTAACCGCAGCGCGTCCGCAACGCTTTGAATCATTCTGAGTTGATATTGAACCGCAGCGCGACCGCAACGCCTTAGGTCATTCTGGGTCCCACCAGAAGACTTTCAGTCATTTTTAACGAAGAAATGTACGTTTCAAAAGCTAGTAAACTGCAGTGACTAAAAACCATGGTATTCAATATACGTTAGGGCCATCCATGACCATTATTATGCGCTCCACGGACAATTTAACCAAAAATTCCATTCAGTTGATAACCTTGACTGTTGCAAGATCGACCACGCGAAAGTTGGAAGAGAAAACAACACGAGGCGAATTTTGTTGTCCGACCTTGGAACTTGTTTCAGCAAAATAAATTCCGCCAAGTGGTTGGTTTTTCGTTCTTGATTTTCTAGTAAGAACCATCAACTTTCGACTTTTTTCAAGTACAAAAAACCGCGTTTTTGAAGATTCTAAACGAGCGTCTAAAAAATTTATGACCGTCTCAAGGAATTTCATATGTGAAGGTTTACAGAGCAAAAACTCTGTTCTTTGAAAAAGAGGTACAGTTTTTTTCTAAACCAATTAAAAATTTGACAAATTTTGATCTCCTAGAAAAGAAAAAAATTGATTATTAGGACCGAAACTAGGCTAAAAAAATTCATTTTTTTCGCAACAAAAAAAACTTGAAAAAAATAAAAAAATATGAAGAGAGGCTCAAAAAAATTGCCTATCTAAACTGGAAAAAAAATTGAATAGCTCAAAAATAAAATAAACTAAAAACAGTCGAATCGAAGCTTTACTGAATAATACAACAACATAATTTAACGGTCCCAGACGAAAAAGGATGGTTTTCTGAAGCTATAGCTAATGTTAAAGGCAACAAAGTCGGCTAAACAAAATTTCAAAAACTAGAAACAGTAAAAAATAAATCTACAAAAATTCCTCTGAACCAAAAATAGCAAACTGAACAACCTTAGATGGATCAAGGTTCAAGATTCAAAAAAAAGAGCCGCTAGGATTTGAATACGCTTTCGTTTCAGCCAGGTAATTGTAGCCGGTCAAAATGGGCAGCCCCTCCTCCGATCACACAGGCAAGGGGTCGGAAAAATCGCAGCGAAAGTGCTATTAATCGAAGGAAATAGCGCCGGCGGGCCGGAGAGTCGCCTGGGACCGAAGAAGGTCATCGGACGGCGGTGGCCGTTCCGCAGGCTGGTTACAAAACTCCAAAGGTTTTGTTGTGTCCACCTCAAACTTGGAAAGGAGGGGGGTACTGGGGAAGGCTAGGAGTGGAACGGATCGAAAGTCTAGAGGTTCCTAACTTTGGGATCTACAGCTTGATTTCGAGTTTCTGTACGTTCGGAAAAAGTTTTTTCGTGTTCACCTCAAACGGAAAGGAGGAGGGATACTGCGAAAGGCTGGGAGGTGGTCTGGTACGAATCTAAAGGATTCTTAGACTTTTGGAGCTTGTTCAAAAGGAAACTCTATTTGCAGGTCGACAAAAGTACGTCTAAAAGCTGTCCGTACTGTTTTCTGATAGGGTTTGACTGATTTCGAATCAGTTTGAAGTTTCTGAACGTTTAGAAAACATTTTGTTGTGTCTACCTCGAACTTGGAAAGGAGGGGGATACTGGGAAAGGCTAGGAGAGCTTCTAGTACGATCCCAAAGTCTAGGAGCTTTTTCAAAAGGATACTACAAATTCAAGATGTCAAAGAACATGTAAAAGCTGTCCATACTGTTTTTAGACCGGACTTGACTTATTTCAAATTAATTCAAAATGTCTGAACGTTCGGAAAAGGTTCTGTTGTGTCCACCGGAATCTTGGAAAGGAGGGGTACAGTGGAAAGCCTAGAAGTAGTCTGGTACGAATCGAAAGTCGGAACGTTACTGTTCGGTAACAAAAAAGTTTTTTTTTTCTGTTGAGACTGGGTTACGCATGACTGAGTTCGGCACGACCAAGACTTTTCGATAAACCGCATAGAAAAAACAGAAAAAAATATTCTCTGAAGTTTGATACGGTTTTCGAGGAGCTCCGAAGTTTTGAAGTTTTGAAAAAAAAAGAAAAGCGAATGAAGACTTTATATATAGATTCATATTTTTTAAGTTATTTTTTTCCAAAAGTTGGGAAATACAGGTTAGAAATAGCAGCCAAGCTTCTTCCATTTACCGTAACTGTTAATATAATCAAGTTTTTGGCTTACTTGAAAGCTTCAATATAATGTGAAATACTAGCGTTGAAAAAAAATTCAAAAAAAAATTTTTTTCTTTTTCTATAACGCGTCAAGGCCTTAGCAAAATGAGTTCTCACCGATTTCTAGCAAATTTTTTTTATTTCGACGCTAGAAAATCCAAAAAAAAAGTTGATTTCAGAAGCCTATGCAGTTTGATAGCATAGAGGAACGATAAAAGTCGGTGACCAATGCAAAAACGAAAGAGTGAAGAGGCGAAAAACGAGAAAAAAAAGGCTATATAGCGGGTTCCAGTCACCGCAGGATAATGATTTACGTGCGACGCTATAAAGCTCTCAATTCTTCCAGTTTTTATCTCCTTATTCAAAAAATGAATATTTTTAAATAGTTCTGATCAAATAGGAAGCTTTAAAAAAATTAGAAAAGGGCAAAAAAGCTCATTTTTAGATTTTCTCAATTTCTGAACTTTGCTCTACCGGACTAGTTCTTTAATTAGAAGCTTTTTTGCAATTTTTAGTCGCAATAAAAAATTTCGAATAATCAGAAGCTGAATATAAGACCAGTGCACTTATATTTTAACAAAAACTAAAAAAACTAATTTTCGGCTTTTTTGGAACCAGCAACTGCGCCCTACCGGACTCTCAGACTACGGTCCCAATCTCAAACTTAAAACGACAAAAATAACTTTACAGGTATGAAAAGCTAGTTGAGAACGCAGTATAGCTATACTTTGAAGCTGCTGACAGAAAGAGAGGGAGAGAGGCGGAGAAAAAGCGTCGAAAAGCAATGAGGCGGGGCCCTTTTCGTCGTCATCGTCAGAGGATCTTGATTCTCGATGAAAATAGGTGAGAATGATCTGGGAGACGTGGAAAAACGGACCGGCAGGGGGTCCGGCGGATGAAGAGGCTGAAGTGGAGCGACCGACGGCCGACGGCCTTGGCACCGGCGCAGATCCCTATCGAGCCTCCCATGGTTCTCCTTGTTTTGGATTGGTACCGACCAGCCAACCGACTGCACCAATACCTTTTTCCACTTGAGGGACCAACAATTTCAAGTTTTCGGAGTCTGAAGAAAGAAGATCAAAGTCCGAAAACCTATTCAATTCCAGCGAAAAGAGGAGTTGTTTGGGGTTTGAAGAAATTTCTAGGTTCTTTTTAGGATTTTATCTTTTTATCTGTCCCTTTTTCCACAACTAAAATAAAAACAAACTGATTGTATTCAATAAACAATGAAATATTTCAAGGATTAATTTTTTTCCATTTTCGAGAAATCAAAAAAACGGACACGCTTCGGAAAGGTTATAACTGTTGTTATTCTCAATCTATCTTCATAAACAAAAGTTTTTAAGCTGGCGAAAGGCTGGATGGACTATGGCTAGTTGCAGTTGAAACATTTGAAAGTTTTGAGGCTTATGAGAAAATAATGAAGCAAAGTTATGTTGCAAAAGTTATCTCGAAGTTTCGGTTCTCTCAAAAAGATTTTTCGGCAAAAAAAAAAACTTTCGAGGCCTTTATCGAGGACGTAAAAGAATTTATGAGCCAAATTGAAAAAATTTGAGAATTTTGAGTTATCTTTCTTGTATGAACCTAGTAAAATACTTGATATTGATCAACTAAACGTCCATAAAAACTAAACCTCTCTTAACAAAGTTATTCGTCTCAAATCTTGAAGACATGAACATTCTACTATTCTGCAAATTATCGTAAGCCTTCTAGAATAAATAAAACAGAAACCTCTGCTTCATTGTAGAATCACTTTTTCAATATTTTTTTCTTGTTATCTTCCAAATATTGTTCCTTAACAACATTTCAACAAATTTAAAGCTTAGAAAAAAAAATATATATATATATATATATTACCCCTTGGGTTTAAAAACCTTGAAAAATGTATTGTTAAATAACTTTTTTTACTTCTCCAACTCCACGAATTTTTTAATCTTTTCATAATTAATTGCCTGGCTTTCAGTATCTCGAATTTTCAACTATCTGAAAAGAATGACTCGGAAAACCTCAAAAAATCGACCATATCGAAGTTAGAAGAGCTAGAAGACGAATTGAACAAGGCGAGCTTCAAAAAAGCTTCGGCAGCAACGTCCAATCTCTGAAAAACTTCTTGAAAACTCGTTCATTTTTTAAAATTTCACTTCAATCTCCAATCTTTTCTGGCTCCTTCATGAGTGCCTCGGATTCGTGTGCATTTTCCTTTTGTCCGGTATAACTTTTTTTTTCAAACGTCTTCGGTCATGTCTTCCATTTATTTTTGTTCGCATCCCAAAAGATTATTTATTCCTGTAAACCCTTTAAATTTGTGAAACGCGAAGAAAAACGAAGAAAATTCATTTTTTTTTCCAACAAAAAAAGCAAAATTCCTCCAAAATCAATCTTAAAATTCTTGACAATGAGAAATAAGCGATAATTCCTTGCAAAAAAAAGTTTTACGCGGATCTTTTGAAAAACAATAATTGATACGCCCTAAACGCTCATTTTAAACTACATGTTCGATTTCTTCAAAACCTTATGGGTCGATCATGAAGAGGTGAATGAATTTACATGAAAATTAACAAAATTTTAAAACTAACAAATAAATCAATTTTACGGATTTATTTTACTACGGATATTTCTGAACATTTCGAAAAATCTTCTCCAATGAACACTGAATGCATTTATTCATATGAAAGCATCGAAATTCATTTTATTTCGTAAAAGTTGGATAGAAAACTCCTCGAGGATTCCAATAGAAGGCAAAATTTTAAAGGCGCAGAGGGGTGGCCATAAACGTGTCCCGCTGGTCTGGGTCGAAAAATTGAAATTTGCTGGCCGCAAAGACCGAAAATCGATCTTGTATCTTCTATCTAACGTTGTTTCCCCGTTTATGTATTATTTATTTTTATTATTTTTTTGTTTTATAACTCAGCGATGTTGACAGCACCAGTAAAATAGCGCCTAATGACGTTTCGCATCCTTCTGGACGTTTAAAAGCGATTAAAATCGAAAAAAATATCATATTTTTTTATGTTTTTTTGTCTATTTTTTTGGCGGTTCTTTTGTTCATTCTCTTCACATTTTAATTTTAAATGTGCATATAATTCGAGTTATAGCGGTAGCAAGGCGCAAGAAAAGGTTTTTTAAATTTTTTTTTATCATACGAAGTTCATTTTGAAATCGCATTTCGTAAATTTGTTTTACAAAATATGGAAAATGAATTCAAAAATTCAGGTACCTTTAAATCAAAGCAAATCCAGTCATGTCGTACGATTTGAAAACCGCTGAGGCCGCCGCCTACGCTCCGTTTTTCGGCTACATGGGAGCCGCTTCGGCCCAGATCTTCACCGTTCTCGGTGCCGCGTATGGAACAGCCAAGTCGGCCGTCGGAATCTGCTCGATGGGTGTGATGCGACCTGAGCTCATCATGAAGTCCGTCATTCCCGTTATCATGGCTGGTATCATCGGTATCTACGGTCTCGTCGTTGCCATGGTCCTGAAGGGCAAGGTGATGGCCTCCAGCGACGGCTACAACCTCAACAAGGGCTTCGCTCACCTGGCCGCCGGCCTCACCTGTGGACTTTGCGGTCTCGGCGCCGGCTACGCCATCGGAATCGTCGGAGACGCTGGAGTTCGTGGAACCGCCCAGCAGCCGCGTCTCTTCGTAGGAATGATCCTCATCCTTATCTTCTCCGAAGTCTTGGGTCTCTACGGCATGATCGTCGCTCTGATCCTCGGAACCTCATAAACGACCCCCAACTCCATCCGCTTAAAACTATATTCTTTTATTTTTAATTTTTTTTTCCGCTTCCATCACTTTATCTGTCTCTGTGATCGATAAATAGTCTCGTTAGACTCAGTCTCTTTCAGGATTTTATGTATTTTTCATCGCTCGACTGATTGCCATCTTTTTTTCAATCAAAAGAAAGTGTTGTTCAGAAACACGGTCACTTACACATTCCCTTTGTTCCTTAGGCAATCGTCCGTTTTACTTGTACTCGTAGAAACATTTGTAGTAGCCACATCCTCCACTCGTTTAATGAGGAACTGGTGCTTTTTGATCCAATTCGTTTCTTTTTCTTTCGTTCGTGTTCCGTTTGCGTTTGAGATGAATAAATAAATAAACCAAAAAAAAAATTTAGGAGATGTCCTTCTCTAACGGGGAATTTTGGCTCATCTCCGCGCCGGGCGAGAAAGGCGCCAACGACGCCTGGGAGCGGCTGAATCGCGCCACTTCGAATCTGTCCTCCAACCACAAGTTCACCATCCCTGATTTGAAGGTTGGAATTGAAGCGGAATATTTAATTTACTTGTTTTTTAGGTCGGTACTCTTGATCAACTTGTGGGATTGTCCGATGACCTCAGCAAGCTTGACACAACCGCTGAGGCGTGAGTTTTTTTGGTTTTTCGAAATAAAAATCTCTTCATTCTTCAATTTGCACCCTTTTTTGTTTCATAGGCCGTTCAGTTTCCGATATTCACTAAATGCAACTCTTATCCTTCAAAAACAGATTTTTTAAGGTTTTGAGAAGTCTTATATTCAACGTTTTTTTTTTCGTAAGAGCATACGCAAAGTTCAAAAAAGATTTTTAGAGCGTGAAGAATTTTACAATTTTAAGTTTGAAAGTGGTTCATATCCGCCCTTAAAAACCCCAATGAGCTGCTCTCACGATTTTCGGCTTCTATTTTTAGATTCTGAAACTACATATCAAAATATTTTTACCATGAAAATGTATTTTAGTATTGTAGTGTTTCAGCGTGACGCGCAAGCTCGTTCAGTACTTCAACGAGGTCGTCGAGGAGGACAAAAATAAGCCGCCAGAAGTGCTCACCGTAGGAAATAGTAATTCAAATTGCTTCTGATTCGCTCGTACACGCTATTCTTTAGAGGACGTGAACACGTATGTGACTAAATTCCAATGGGAAGGCGCCAAGTATCCGCTGAAGCAATCTTTGAAGATCCTTAGCGAAATTATTGGAAAGGTTTGTTCATTTAAAAAAGGTGAAATTCTTCGATTTTAGTCATTTTAATCATTTCAGTCAGATTTCAGTCATTTTAATCATTGAACAGCTTTGAAGATTAGTAACAAAACGATCAGACTAAGAAAACAGGAATTTTTGATGAATTTGCTTTAAAACCATGTTGGTTAGCTTGTTGAGAGGAGAAGGAAAAGAAATGAAATTTTTATTTTACACATATTGACCAAAAAGATTTTCTGCTCCCGATTTAAGTCTTCAATTTTTCTCAGGGTTTGAAAGATATTCATAAACTTGAAGATTTATGAAGTTAACAATTTTTTTTCAGCAATTAACGCAAATCGACAACGATCTGAAGGCAAAATCGTTGACGTACAACAACTTGAAGAACAGTTTGGCGTCGATTGACCGAAAATCGACGGGATCCCTCCTGACGAAGGACCTTTCTGATATCGTCAAAGCTGAGGATTTTGTACTCAACTCTGAGTACCTCCAAACCGTCGTCGTTGTTGTACCCAAGTGAGTTTTGGCCTTAAAAAATTGGCATTTTTGTATGGAAGTTCAAGAAAATGTTCATTTTTGCTTAGAAGTTAGGAAAATGGTTTTGTAAAATTTTTCAAAAGGTTTTAAAAATGGTAGGAGAATTTTTTTTTCCAGCAGTTCCTAGGAAGTTTTCTAATGATGAGTTAAAATTGAAATTTTTTTTTTTTGAAAAAAAGTGGCTACTTTCAAGATTTTCTCTACAACTTCATTCGTTTTCGAATGATGAGTTTTTGACATTTTTTGTTGAAGATGAATTTTTTGCTTCTTTCTTATCTTTATTAGGTACTCTGGTCCTTCATTAGCGGAGATAAGAAGGAAAGGCGACTGAAAATGATGATTTTCGCTGTTTTCAAGCGATTTTGTGGCGTGGATCGAAACGTAACATGTCTTGAAACTTGAAAGCTTGCTTTAGAAGAAGTGCTCTGAAAAAGTTGAATACTTTCAAATTTTGCTTGTTCTTAACTAAAAACTTAAAAGGTTCAAAGGAAAATAAAGATTTCAAAAATAGGTAAATCTTATTTTTCTCCATAATTTCCCCTATAGAAGAAGGAACTGTCCCCAAACAAAAAAAAAATTTTTTTTCAGGATTTTGATCAAAGAATGGGACACGAAATACGCAACCCTATCATCAATGGTCGTCCCGGGATCTTCTCGTTTATTAACAGAGGACGGCGATTTGGCCCTCTACTCTGTGACGTTATTCAAGAAGGTCATGGACGAGTTCAAGAACACGGCTCGCGAGAACAAGTTTTCAACAAAAATGGATGATTTTTCATGATTCTGCCGGTTAAGATTCACGGTCCGTGACTTTGTCTACGACGAGGAGTCGCTGAAGGCCGGCAAAAACGAGCGCGACAAGCTGGTGGCCGAGAAACAACGCCAATACGCGCCGCTGATCCGTTGGTTGAAGATCAACTTTGGCGAAATCTTCGCCGCCTTCATGCACATCAAGGCTCTGCGCGTATTCGTCGAATCCGTTTTAAGGTAATTATTTTTTGCTCTGACCAAGGAAAAATTGAGACATACATTTGTTTGATTCATGAGTACTTATCAGCTAGAAAATAAGAAAAAGAATCGAAAGATAATCGACGGAATTAATTAAGGTTTTCAAGATTTTTGGATAATTTCAATTTTTCATAATGATGATTTACAGTCGACGGAAAAAAGAATATGTCAAATTTCTATAGATATCGACAATCTAAAGAAAAGGGAATATTTTCAGCGACATGACTTTAGTACTTTCTCACGTTATATTGATTTCGTGTCTTGTTAAAGTCAACTAATTCACAGTCTTTTTGAAAATTGATTGAGAAATTTTTAGGTTACTTTCATCTTTCGTAAGACTGTAGAGAAGTTAAATTATAAGCACAAAGAACTTTTTCAAAAAAATGAGAGGATTTCGCCTAAATGGATCAAGGGGGAATTTTAATTAATTTAGAATTAAAATTCCCCCTTGATATTGATAAAATTTTTTTTGTGCTTCCAATTTCTATATGAACGTAAAATTGGTTTTTTCGAAGTTTAATGGAAAATCTGGTTGAAATAAGCATCAGTATTGAATTATTCTAGTTATGCGCGAAGAAATTGGGATTTTCCGGACTTATTTTCACGAAATCCAACCTTTTGTTTCTTTCAGATACGGCCTCCCTGTCAACTTCCAAGCGGCCGTCGTAGAGCCTTTGAAGGGTACCCAGAAGAAGCTCAGATCTGAGTTGCACAAGCTTTATATCCATTTGGATGGTTCCGCAGCTGGACCAATCGATGTGAGCACCTTTTCTTTAAAAAAAACAGTTTTCTACGGATTTTAAGAAGCTCAAATAAGGCCCCAGAGCGAAATTTATTGCAAACGAGAAAATTAGAACGTTTTTTACGGCTTCAAACTTCGCACAAAGCTTTTTTGAACTGACTTTCCTTATTTATTTATTTTTTTCCAGACTTTCGAAGATTCGCCTGCCTTGATGTCTCTCGGCGTCAACGAATACTACCCCTACGTTTTCTTCAAATTAAACTTGGACTTTCTTCACAAATAAACAATTAACTCCCTCCTAGATTTTCCTCCCTAAAATCTTCCTTACCTTCAGATGTACCTTTGACCTAGAGTTGTTTCATAGTGTCGTTAGTTTGCCTTCCCCCCTCCTTTAACCATATTGCCTAATTTTGTTCATACCAGAGAGACGTACTAATAACGAGAGAAGAGTAGGTCGTGATTTTTTTCACTTACAAAAGATATATATTTATGATCGATCCTGTGAATTGAACCTTTTTTTTCATTCTGACGACGACGAGAAATGTATTTTTGACATTCCAATGCTATACCGCATGTGATTTTAGTCACGTTTTTCTCGATTCTGCGGCCCATCTTGTGTAAAAAATAAATTTTTATTTTTTATCATTTTCTTTTTCCGGGAAAAAAGGTTGAAAGTCAAACTAAACAAATATAAGCTCATTCAGTGGCTTTATTATGATCATTGAAAGAAATATTTGACAGAATATACTGAAATTTTTTCAGAAGAACCGGAAATTAATTTTTAAAATTTTGTAAGGTTACTGTTTTCATTGCCGCAAGCACAGTGCCAGTTGAATTGCGGCTAATGCGCATCATTTTCGAACAAACTTTTTTTTTTGAAGAATCTGGATGCCGTTGTCAAAGTAATGTCGGCGATTTCAAAATTAACGCGTTATTCGTTTAAAATGATTTCGGGAAATAGGCAGAATTGGTATTCCGGGAAGGCGCGGAAAAAGTGAGTCCTACAACGATATATCGTTGGATACGCATTTTTACGGTGAGTTTTACGCGCGAATTTGAAATTTCAGTAGAAAATGCACAAATAACTTTAAAATTTTGAGTTCCCGCGCAGATGTTACAGTAAAAAGGCATATAAAACGATATATTGTTGTAGGACTCACTTTTTCCGCGCCTTCCCGGAATACCAATTCTGCCTATTTCCCGAAATCATTTTAAACGAATAACGCGTTAATTTTTGAAATTGCCGAAATTACTTTGAACACGGCAGGAAGTCATCAAAATGATAATTTTTTCGAAAATTTTGCGAGTATAGTCGATTCACGGCAAGCTTGGGCCACTAGGAAGCCAGTCTGCGCTCTCCACCAATTAGGCACTATCTCTGTTTTTCTTGGTTTTAGGACCCTAATACTTTTATATTTCACAAGAAACCGTGCTGTATATATTCTGAGAAGTAATAAAGATCCGTACTTTCCGAAATTCGCGCGTAACAGACTGAGCCTCGTTGCCATGGAAACGCATCCCTCGGCTTTCCTATTTTCGAGCCACCTTCCTAATTTCTGCTGTAGAAATTCAAATATCTATCCAATATAAATGGCAGAACTATTTATTAGCGGTCAAATCGAGTCGGCTGATGGATTCGGCGACAATCGAGTCTCATGCCGATGGCAACTTCAAATGGGTGGGTTTTTTCGAAAAACATTTTTTGATCAATCATACTTTTTTTTATCATCGAAGAAAGATTCTATATTTTTGGAAAAATCCCTTTCTATGAATTCATTTGGTTCATTGGTTTATTGAAATAAAAAAATGAAGCTTTTTCAAAAAATCACAAGAAAAGTTCGAAAAAAATAATCTTAAAAATGTCCTTCTCAAGACCTTCCTAGTTCTTTTCAAAAAGTTTTTTTTTTCAAAACTCGAAAAGGCCCTTTTTTTGAGATCTAAAAAGGTGTCTAAAAGAATTTCATAAAAATCCCACGTAAAGGAGGAATATAAGACATAGGTCTTTTCTTTTTCTTGAAAAAGCTGAAATGAGCTTAAAAGAGGTTTTTTCGACTTTTTAGGGCTTAAAAAAGCTTTTTCTTTTAAATTCCTCAAAAGATCGCCTGGACTTTGTCCCTAAATGCGATATAAGCTTAGATTTTTAGGATTTTGTTGCGTTAAGGCAGTAAAAATAGAGGTCAAACTTAATAACTCCTTCTCATTTTCAAGTAAACCTTTTTTCATACAATGAAGAGGTTCTCTACAAAATTGAACAATCATCTTTATTTTATCCAATTTTTTTCATCGTCAAAAATTGAAATTTCTTCAGGCGGAGGCTGGCGCGTGGTCCAAGGCGAAACGGAGGGACAAACGCAGACGGATCTGCCTTCAGTTTATGAAGAAGCCTTTTTTGGGCATCCTATCGACTTACACCTCGCCACCAACACTATTCAAGGTTTTTCCTACTTTTTCATCGGAAATAAGAATTTTATCTTCGAAAGTTAGAGAGCGCTCAAAATTGGGAGGGATTTCTCTGAACTCCCTCTTGTTTGTCAGTGCTCTCTAGCTTTGGTATATTCATAAATAGACTTGAATGTATAGTCGGTTCAGATTTTGAATGTCAAGTACAATGACGTGATTATCTATTTGCAAAAAATTATTTCTTGATCGTTAGAATCTTCAACCATTTTTCTCATTTTTTTCTGTTGTTCACATCGGAAAAGCCCTTTTAAGGTGATTAATAATAATAAGAAAAAAAAACGTTTTCGATAGTATTTCTGCTATTTTTTTTAAAAGCAAATTTTCTAGTGTATAGACCCATTTTTCTCATAAAATTGTTAAGGTTGGCCTCGTCTGACCCTCCAAATGTGGCACCACGACCACTACTCGCGACAAGATATCGCTGGTTATGGAACTGTTTTTCTACCCACCACCAGTGGGTCACATGAGGTTTTCAATTTTGAGATTGAGGATTTATTCTGTCAGGTCAGAAAGTCTGAAAAATGGCTAGAACATTTTTTGATGTTCTATATGTCCCTGTTCCTGGAAGACTCTAGGAACAACTCTCTACTTTTTGAGAAAATATACCTGAAAGTCAACGAAAATCCGTGAAGAACCGGACATTTTTTGAGCCCTCATTTCTTTAAAACTGGGAAATTGTGGAGAAATTCAGGATTTTTTTTTTCTGATGAATCAATAAGTGTTTTTTTCCGATTTCAAGAGCTCCAAACGAGAAGATGAAATTGATTTCCTTGTTAGCCCCTTTACGCAAAAAGATACAAAAAACCTCATTCAGTTGATCTGTCGAATGTGGCGACCGAAAGGAAGTTGGCGGGAGGAAATGATGCATCGTTTTGTTGGCGGAGGATTGCAGGTTTGTTCAGTTAAATATTATCAACGAACCTGAAAAATATCATACTATTTTGAGAAAAAAACAGATTCTAGTTGAAAAAAACTCGGAAAGGTTCGAAAGACTAGGAAATGGTATCAGAAAGGCCGCAGAGAGGTCTCAAAAAGGCGTCAAAAAGGTCGCAAAAAGGTCCCTTTTTATGAGCCTTCAATAATCTTCATAAGTCTCAAAAATCGGAGAAAAGCGAAATTGATAAGAACTAATGAAAGTGAGCAAAACAGCAGCTTGAAAGGCCTCTTTATCGCCTTTTTGAGCATTTTCTGAAAACCTCAGCGCTTTTCCGACTTGGAATCAGAGATTTTTTTTTTCAATTCATCATTTTATTTTCATAAAGTAGGCTTAGAAATTCGCGAAAATCTTGTTTTTCAAGGCATTCTGGTCGAAAAAATGCAGTGAAAAAGCCCATTTTTCCAAGTTTTTTGACTTTTTCACGTCCCTTCGAGATTTCAATAATTTATTCAGAAGCTTATCGAACATCCCAAATGTCATGGATCCTGCCAAAAAAAGGAAAAAACCGATTTTTCTCAAAACTTTTTCATCATGTCGCCCACTAACAGACGGAGCTCATAAATTCCGAATTTCAATTTATTGGACCAGTTTTCTGACGACCTTGGCACATAACATTGACTGTTACAGGTCGAACGAGAACTTGATTTTTTTGAGAAAAAAAATTTTAAGGAGAGTTTTAATGGCTTTTTTGAAAAGATGCGACATAAAGTAAGCGGAAGTGAAAGAGAGGCTTGACTGAAGAGAGGCTAGAGAAAAATGTTCTATTACTTAATTTCTCTGGTGTCTCTTCAGGCTCCCCTCTAGGGACCACTTACCCAACCCCTGAAGAGTATTAACAATAGTGGTCCCTATAGAGAGTTTAGTTAGTGACCCCTATAGGGTAAATGCGAGTCCATAATGTTTATGAACTCTATTCGAAGAAGCATTTCCATCCGAAAAACAAATAACCTTTTTTGAATAAAAACGAACGACCCCTATAGGGACCACTTGAGCTTTAGGGGCCGAGGGGTCAGACCCTAAACCCATATAGGGACCACCTTGATTTTACCCCTATAGGGATCTCTTTTTCGGCCCCCATATTTTTGGTTTTTTCCTTAACCCCTATAGGGACCACTCAAAATTAATAAGTATCAAGCTTGTTCAATGTACTAAATTTCATGTTACTGCTGAAAAAACACCAAAATGAGATGTAGCGAGAGACAGCGACGGCTTGAAGAGACGGCAGAGAAGCCCAAGTTTCTCTCTTTCTCTGATGTCTCTTCAGGCCGCCACGGTTCTCTCGCTGGCGCCTCTTCATCTTATTCCAACTCAAAATCTCAATTTTTCCTTGAAAAATCATGAATATTTTGAGGTGTCTAACCTGAGTGTGCTGGACGATCCAGAAGAAAGGGCCAAAATCGACGCCGTTTCAGCCGGTCGCGTCGTTTTGCGCCTTAACTTGATCACCCGCAATTTTGAGCGTTTTGGCATTGTTTCATAGTTATATTCTGTCACAAAATGTACATTCCATTCACTTATTGTCTTTCTGAAAAAGAATAAACTATATTTTTCTTTTTTCGCTTTAAAATAATGACTGATAAAGCTTTGAAAGATTTGAGAAATAAGTTCACTTCATATAAAAATGGCTCGCTTTAAAACGCATCCGACTTGAAACGGATTAAGCCAGCTGGTATTTTTAAGAAGACTTTAAAGTTTTTTTGGAACCGCAACGCTTCGAGCCATTCTAAATGCGACCACGGCTTTTTTCTGCACAGGCACTTTCTGAAAGTAGTGGTTGAGCTTGGAAATTAATATATTTTTCGAAATTTTTGCTATAGCTGGTTAAAATTCATTTTTATCAGGCCATGGTAGTTCCGGAATTCAAAATTTTAGAATTACAAATTTATTCTCACGAGATAATTTCTCAAAGTATCTTCGGCGGTAGGGACCCGCACAAAAAGCCACGTTTTTCACGTTTCATATTTTCGGATTTTTCAGTTTTTATTCACTATAAATAAATCAATATTCTTAATATTAGAAGGGCGGTAGATTATAAAAAAAAATCCCGTATTTTCTCAGGAAACATGGAACCAGAAGGCACGATCAATTTTAACAGAGAAAAAAAGAAGAAAAGAAACAAGTCAGCTTTTTTCGTGGGGCAGTTTCTACACGCAAAACTAAAACCTCAATTCAGTCATATTCAAATCAAACTGATTCGAAATGGGTAGTTAAAGCCGGGAGAACAAGAAATACTGTACAAAGAAAAGGGGCAAGGATGCAATAGAATATATATCGTTTTAAATAATTAATAAAATTTGAATCAACCAAATAATCAGAGAGATCAAATAACTACGAAAAAAAAATTGAGAAAGTTGAGCAAATTCGCTCCACCGAAATACCCTGGGAGGTGGCGAGAAAGGACAGGAAATCTCAGGAATTTTGAAGGTTTATGGTCCGTAAATGAGCTCGAAAACAGAAAAATCAAAAATACAAGTATTCGACGTATAAGCTTTGTGTATCAATTTCGAGTTTTTGGGTTCATTTACAGACCAATTCGGGGAAGTTAGAGAGTAGGCATTTTCAGAGGAACGGTAGGTGTTTTCAAGGAATCAGAGGATGGGTATTTGAACTGATTCGAGCCGGTGTTGGACATCATAAAGGGCGCCATGGGGCTGATGAGCGAGCTGAACGGGTTGATGAGCGTCGAGTTGAAGCTCGATGTCGGTGGGAACTGGAACACCTGGAAAAAAGCACTTGAAACTTGGATTTTTGAAAGAAAAAAGGGACTCGAAATTCTTGTGCCCTTTATTGAGACTGTCAGGATCACACCTGGCTAATTTTGGAAAATCATTTATTAAAAAGCACAAAAACCTTTGAATGTCCAAAAAAAGCTAGAAATCTGTAAGGAAATCAATAGTCTTGAGCTAGTTCTAGTAGTTTTGCAACGGGGAATAAGATTTTTTGATAAAAATGACTTTTTCTAACATGAGAATGGTCTTCTTTTCCAGTGGGAAAGAAGATTCGATAATTTTCCGTGACCAGGGAGACAAGAACTATACATCTTCCAAAGATGAGCTCGATTGGATTTGAGGGCCCCTAACATTTTTCACAGACTTCGAGGGCACCAGATTTGGAATCAGCGTGGAAAACTACATCTAGTGAACCTAGTCTCATCCAAAAGTCCCAATGGAGACCATTCCCTAGTAAGTAGATTTCCACAAAACAGACCTGTGGCTGTGACGTAGCAGTAGCACCGGCTTTCGGCGTCGTCAACGGCGATCGGAAGGGCGACGCAGCGAAGAGGGGCGACATCTGCGGTCCGTAGAGGCCTGCCGACGCGAGCGACGCCGACGCGAGCGCATAGAAATGGTTGATGGCGGGTTGGAGGAGTGGCGAGTTCGGCTGGAGGAGCATCAACGGCGAGAAGTTGGATGCGGCCGAGAAGGGGGTGATGATTGGGAAATTGCTGGCAGCGCTCAGGTTCAGCGGATCCGGCTTGGATCTCCGACTGGGCGGTGCTTCGTTGGTCGATGTCGAGGCCGAGGAGGAGACTCGTGGCGATCCGGCCGTTCTTTTACGGCTGGAAACGGTCGCCGGAGAGGTTTCCTCGTTGTGTGTGGACTCGGGCCGGGAGCTTGGGCCAGGCGATGAATGGGCTGGAAGGACTGTCGTGGGGCCGGTTGAGGAGCCAACGCTGCCAGGTGAACAGGTGCTGGAAAATCAAGATTTACTCAGAAAATTTCCAAATAGTTTATGAAAAACTATTTCAAAGACTGGAAAGAAGACATCAATTTTGCTTTTTTCTCTTCTACAATACTTCAAAATGTATTTTTACCTATCCGTCGGGGAAGGTGTCGAAATACTGTGAGCCGTACTCGGCGTATTCATCGCATTCATCAGGTTCAGAGCCGGGTAACTTGAAGGAGGCGTCGAGAATGGCATGTTGTTGCACATTTGTGGTTCTGAAAGAGAATTCCATGGAAGTGGTCATTATAGGGTTCTGGTTTTCGAGTGAAACAGGAGCTTCAATCCATTCATTCAAAGTGGACTTCAAGTTGATGCCGTATCTCTGGCCTATCTCTGGCTCTCCAAATTTTAGTTATCTTTTTTTTTTCACTGACGGCTATTTTAGATTTCGCGGAATCACTTCGAACGGCATGAGAATGATCATAACGGATAAATCCAGTCGAGGAAAAAAAGTTCAAGTGTTTTCTAAAGGGGGCTCAAATTCAAGTGGTAACCTAAGGGGTATCTCAAACTCGACGTGACGCCCTTAAGTGATCACTAGAACTTATATATAAATCCAATTTTCAAAGGAAGTTTCTAACAACTTGTTTAGTCACTTTTTCTAGAAGGTATTGTTTAATCTGGACAGTTTTCTTAAACTCAACCTTTATTCTAGCGGTCACTCTAGGGCTCTCTAAGGTAATAGTACCTTTTTCGTCTTCCATGTGTATTTTTTTCCGTTCTTCTCAGAACATAATCGATACTTTGAATCCTGTTTTTAACTAACTTTCCAGGCACCCCTCCAGTGGCCACTAGAACTTTCCTGTGTATTTATTCCATTCTCAAAATAATTCGAATCCACTTTTCCATCTTCTTTTAAGCTGCTCTCCAAGCACCACTCCAGTGACCACTAGAAAACTTCCCAGCAGTCCAGACTCACCATAATCTTCCTCCTTTTTGCAGAAAGTTCCAGTTTCAGCTCGTCTCGAATTCGTTCCCAACGATCTAACGGTCCCCAAACTCGCCGTATAACCCAGGATTTCGGCCGTCACATTTTCCGGATTCGTGACGAATCGGTAGACGAACTTCTGGCCTATCACCTGGAAAAAGGGACAAATGAGGCTCGAAAAAGTTGAAATAACCATACCTTTTTTATGATGTTCTTTTCATAGTAGTACCGCAAAGCTCGGGACAACTTGTCGTAGTTCATGTGCGGTTTGGCTTTTCGCTGCCCCCACAGTCGCGCCACGGCTTCCGCGTCAACCAACTTCAAAATAAGCTTTGAGAAAAAATTTGGAAAATTGAGTAAAAAATTCATTTTTTGTGGCAAGGCGTCTATGATGAGCTGCTTCAAAATTAATTTTTAAAAAAATTGAAAAATACAGGAAAAATTAATTTTATAAGCGTTCCATCTCTACAGACTTCGGTCATAGATTTTCCAAAAAGGCAAAAATTGAGGAATATGGAATAATTTTTTAAACAAGGGCTTCAGCTTTTTCAAAAAAACATCAAAACGAACAATAAAAGTTTAAAAATAACTTTTCAAAAATCTAGAAAAATAATTCAATTCATTCGAAGCCACGAAGTCACGTCGAGATGGTCTTTTTGGGAAGAAATTCAGAAATTAAGAAAAATAAACTAATTTCGTAAGCCAAGGTCTTCGAGAAGAGCTGTTTCAAAATAGTTTTTTAAATTTAACAAAAGGTAAAAGGTTTTCATCTTTCTTCAGATTCCAGTGACGTGCGTCTTTGTTTGGAACATTTAAATCGAGCTGAATTAACGAGGCAAGGACGTTCGCCACTGAATTTTTTTATCGCCAACAAATCGAGGGGTGAGGAGGCAAAAGGCCACAAAGAAAATGGACACGTCGCCACCGTTAATTACGATGGGAAACAGTCGTGGTTTCCAGGCGGCAAACATTTTTTGAATGGAAAAAGCTCAAAATTTAGAAAAATCACAAAAAACGGATATATTGTGCTTTTAATCCAAAAAATATCTGATGATTCACCTTGAACTCGCCCTCCCTGGCGGTCCACTTGATCAGCTCCGGATGGTCGCCATGGACGAGGAGCTCGAGCAGGAACTGCCACAGGGTGATGTTGGAGTCGCCGGAGGAGGCGCCACTCTGCGACGACTGTCTCTGGACGGCGTCCGAAGGCTCTGCTTCTGACTTCATCGTCGGAGGCGGCGGCGTCGACGGCGACGACGTCGGCGACATTTCCGCTGACGAAGACATCTGGAAAATATATTCTGATGAGAAAAGGCAAGAGAAACGCGAAATCGTGTCATTTCGAAGTAGTTTACATGACTTTTTGGGGTGCAAATTCAGTCTTGGCTAAAATAAGGGCAGAAAAAAGGCTGTAATTTTTGAAATCTCTGTAAAAACTGGCTCTCGGTCTTCAAAAAACGAATTTTTAGAAAATGCGGCCAAGAAAAAAAAAATTTCGGATCTTGTAGCATAGAGAAGTTGGTCCAGAATCAAGGGAAAAAACTTTCGAAAATGGCTCAATTTAAAGGCGAAGAGCTTCTGGAACCCTAGAGTGATCACTTGAAGTTCATTTAGCGGAAAAGACGATCATCAAATCAGGGAACATGCCTGAGGAACAAAGTAAACGAATGAGGAGATTCTTTGGCGATTTCATAACGAGGACAGACGGTAAAACGGAAATTAACCTAATTGATATGAGAAAACGCGGCTTTTTTCCTATCATATCACTATCATGAGGTGATATTGGTATTTTCGGCTTGATTTCAACTCTCTGATCATCGCCATGGAAAATTTTCGCGAGAAATGAAAATTAATAAAACCAAAAAAAAATCTCAGACAAGGTTTATTTAACCATAGCGGAGGTGAAAAAGTGAGCTTTCAAGTTTTTCTGATTTTTTCTCCAATGAAAATTTCAAGAAACAAGAAGATTATCAGTGGAATGAAACGATAAGAATATAATAATCATCACGAAAAATCGAAAATCAACAAAAATTGACGAAATTGACTTATTTTGTAAGTTTTTCTCAGCTGTTTTTTTGAGTTACGAAACAAAAAACTGAAGTCGTTTAGGAAAAGTTGAAGTCTTCAAAATAAAGTACACTGATCAGATTAAAAGCTAAAAATATCGAATTTTAACTTTTACCGAGCTCCACCAGTATACAAACAGTGTGTATAAAAAACGAGTCAAATTTTGGCTACAGAAAATTTTTTTTAAGTTCGATTAATCTCTTTTTGTCGAAAAATCAATGGATCACTGACAACTACAAAATGAAAAATTGACGAATTTCGGACTCGAAAAGTAGACGAAACGGGAAAAATCTTAATTTTTCGAGTTCCTCCGGCTCAGCATACACGATTTATTCCGTGTCAAAAAATCGATGAAATTACAAAATGAAAAATCGATATTATCCGGCCTCAACAAGTACACGAAACGGTAGGTTAAATAAATTAAAAGAGCGTCAAAAGTGGATTAAGGTGAACTTTTTCCAAGTTTCTCCTGCTTAATATCCACAACTTCTTCATCAAAAAATCGATGAATCACGGCTAATTACGAAATGAAAAATCGATACATTTCGGCCTCGATAAGTAGACGAAACGGGAGGTTAAATGAATTGATGGAGGGTGCGAAGAAATGGAAAGAGAGGCCGGAAACTCGTTTCAACTGGGTCCTCTGCCAAAAAAAAAGTGGCGGTAGGTGATGGTGGTTGGTAGGTAGGTAGGAAAATATTATGTGTGACCATGTTTGGTTAATTCGCAAATTCTCTTCTTCTTTTTTTCTCTCTCATTTGATAAATTTCGAGAGGCGATTGTGTGTTGTTTTTGTTCTTCACAGGTGAATCAAGTCGGTGAAAACGAGAAAAAAAATAATTGACCTGACGGCGAAAGTACAGTACCTTCTTGGAATGAATCACAGAGTCGTTTCTCAGATTGTCTCAGTTTCAATAAGCCTTTTTGAGTTTTTAGGCTTGTAAAAAAAATTTTGATTTAAGATCGTGGTCGCATTTGGAATGGCTCAAAAGCGGAGCTTACTAAAACGCTTTGCGATGCTTTCCCGCGCAAGTAGTTTTGGGTCGGGTGCGCTTTGCTTTGTGCTCTTCTTTATGAGACTGAGAATTTCGATTTCTCTATCCCATCTTCTTCGATGAAAACTCAGATCCAAAAAATTCGAAAAGCCCAAAAAATTCAAAAAAAGCTCTTCGAAGTGATGATCCATTTTTGGGAATATCTAGATCAAAAAAAAAATTTAATTTTTGAGCATTTTTCAACTACAAAAGTTCAAAAAGTGAAAATTATAAGATCAAGGTCTCTTTTGAATTAAAAATAAACCTTCTAATCTAAAAAAACAGTCAAAGGAAGCAATTGAGTCATTTTGTCAAACGTACTGTATGCAAGTGATAATTTTTGATAAGCTCCAAAATTTTCCAAAAAAACCCAAATTGTGAGTTTCAAGACTTCTCTCTCCATTCATTCATGATCCAAAGTTATGAAAGAGAGAATATATTTTCTAAAGAACAATGGAGCAGGCCGAGATTGAGCCGGAAGAACACGTAACCGTATCGTCTGTCGGCATGAAAAGACGAAAAAAAACTTCTTTCTTTCCGTCTTTCTTTCTTTCAATCAACAAAAAAGGAGCATGAAAAGACGGGGAGTTCTCCATCGTTTTTCGACGGTCCACTCATCGCCTCCGGCTCGGTTTTTTGGGCTTTCCAAGTTGCCGACAGATGTGACGTCATCTCTAATTTTTTTTTTTGTGGAGGATGGGTGGAACGGATTGAAAGAGTTACAGTAGCAAATTATAGCGTTTCAAGGTGAAAAAAAAAAGCTAGAACCACGGTGTATGGTCAAAAAATGGCTCTCGTGCTCAAAAAAATAATAAATTTTGAAGAAAATTTCCTTCTGAAGGGCCAAAATGAGCTTGAGAATAACTTTTTAGCGTGCAAAATGAAAAACGGTTTCAAAGCTTAAAAGTTTTATTTTAAAATCAAAAAATCGAGAAAGAATTCAGAAAAATTTCCACAATCTCGAGAAGCCTTTAAGTACCTAGTATTTAAAAAAATCAGTTTGAGGTGTCAATTTTAAAGACCGGAGGCTAAAAAAATTACCTTTACATTATTGAAAAATAAAAGTGAAATTTTTGAAAAAGAGCTCGAAAATCAGGTTATTTTTTTAAGTACAATAATAGCTCTTGAATAAAAGCAAAAATTCCATCAGAGTCGAAAAAAAATTGATACTCGGTTCCTAACAAGACAAATAGTGCGAGAAAAAAAAAAGAGTCACAAGATTTCCAATTATTGATAAAAGCTACAGTAGGCCTGATACATAAGAAATTCAAAAAAAGAAGTAACATATGAGATTTTGAGCTTGTCTTAGAAGAAGATAATATTTTTGAGAAGTAAACGGAAGGAAGGGGGGAGAAACCAACAGCGGGAAGAACTGTAGAGACAAAAACGGACGGCCTCCGATGACTGCTGTGAAACGGGTTTTTTCCCTTCTTTTTCTTCTTTTCGCCTCTCCCCCCTCTGGTCTTCTACCAACATCAATCCGTTATCATCGACTGTGTGTAGGAGGGGGGAGACACGAAGAAGAAAAAGAAGACGTCACCGATAACCGATAAGCGATTGGCGAATCGGCGTGTGACACCGACAATCTTCCCCCTTATGAAATGAACACAGGGAGAAGAAAAAACATCGTTTTGGAACGGATTCAAGATCCACGATTGTGCTGATTTTGGATCAGATGATGGATAAATCCTGATGGATTTCTTAGTGATTACTGAAGGGAATTAAGTGAAAACTTTTACCTAATCTTCTCCCTTATGAAATGAACACAGGGAGAAGAAAAAACACCTTCTGGGGACAAATTCAAGATCCACGATTGGACTATTTTTTGATCATATTTTATCTTGGACAAATCCTGATGGATTTCTCAGTGGTCACTGAAGGGATTTCAGTGAAAATCCCGACCAAATCTTCCCCCTTATGAAATGAACACAGGGAGAAGAAAAAACACCTCCTCGAACAGATCCCAGATTCACGATTGGGCTGATTTTGGATCAGAAGAAGGGTCGATGAAGCGATTTTTGAGCTTCTTATGGCTTCGAAGGTAAGTTTCCGATAAATGAAGTGTAAAGTGAACCTTAGTTTCAATTTACATAACTTGTTACTTTCTGGAGCTTCAAGTCTGACTTTTTTTTTAAGAAGAGGAAGAAACTTCAAGAATCTTCCTTGGGTGCATAGAAATCTCTCAAAGAATAAAAATTTCAAGTTAAAAGGGGAATTTTAGGAAGCAATCATCCAAAAGGTCTTGAAGAGTTGATTTTGCTTACGGAAGCTCTTCCTCTATAATTCGAGCTAGTTTGAAGCAAGAAAAATTCTCAATTAGTTGTAAAATTGACGATCAAAACAGGAAAAATTAAAAAACTACGCAGAAACGATTAGATTTTTTTTTGATAGCTTCCAAGAAAGGACTATTCAAACTTCGGAAAAGATAATCCAACTCCCTCCGCTTGGAAAAACTTAGGATTATTCAAATCTTCCGAATAGAAAAAAGGAAGTCTCTAAAAAGCGTACGAGGCGAAACGCATGCAAAAATGTGTTTTAGGAGGGGGGCGGAGAGGTTCGGCGCACCTGAAACGTTTACCCCCCTCGAAATAATGTCCTTTTCCTGTGCGACGACAATATTTGGTGAGCGTGAGATTGAAGAGTTCCTGTCGCCACTTCAAAGTGTAGTCTTTTCGCTTGAAAATTTGGCAGCACGCTTTTTAAAAATGTTGGGGTCAAACGTTTTCTCTTAACTGATCTAGGAGGATTTTCAGTTGCTATTCGGAGAAGCCCCTTGAGTTGCTACTTTCAGGTTCAAAAGCTTAGTGATCATTCTTGAGAAAATTTGAGATTTATCAAGATTTTCAAGCGGTCAAAAGTTCTCTAAACATCTTGGAGAGTTTTTAGAGGCTAGAGGGTACTCGGGAGAAGCCTCTCAAGTTGTCCCTTCAATATTAACAAGCTTAGAGATAACTTCAGAAGAAATTTCAGAATTTTTTCAAAATGTTGAGGTCAATAATTTTCTATTAATTGATCTAGGAGATCTTTCAGAAGCTTGAGCCACTTGAAGAAGCCCCTCAAGTTGTCCCTTTAAGGATGACGAGCCTAGAAATCATTTCAGAGAAAATTTGAGAACTTTCGAAAGTTCAGCGGCCAAAATGTGATCTATGTATTGCTCAGAATACTTGAAGAAGCTACTAAAGTTATCACTATAAGGATAAAAACAGTTCTTTTTTTCAGAATAAAAAAACCTCAAGTTTCGATCGAAATGGTCATAATAGGGTTCAGGAATATTTGAGTGTTTTACAGAGTTGTCACTTTAGGGATCAGAAGCTCAGTGATCTCTTCAGAGGAAATTTAGAGAGTCTGACCTGACACGATAGTTTTTTAATGGAAGTTTGTACCTACCAACATTGGGCTCGTGGAAAATTTGAGATAGACCATTTCAGAATATCAAAAAATTATTAAGCTGAGTTTTTCAGAAAATTTTTTGTCAAAAGATTTCGCGTACATCACTTATGAAAACTTTCCCTAATGAGGCCACTAGAAAGCACAAAAAAAGTGAAATCATCAAAATTTAGCAAATGCCTTCGCAAAGTTTTCATGTGTTTGTGTACGTGGGCCGGAAACTCTCTGTCTCTTAACCTCCGAATGAGGCGTGATAACAGTTGATTGATATGATAAGGAGCCGAAACGAGTCCCAAAACCCATTAATTCATGCAATCATGAAAAATTTATCAAACTCGAAACGTTTCAAAGAAATGATCCAATTCTTGAAATTTTCTGGATTCTAAAGGTATTAGTAAGTCTAATATTAACAACGGATTTTTTTAGGTGGCTGTAAATGATGAAACAAGTGCGCTCTATGGATAAACGGTGGGAGAAAGCTTTGGATTTTTGGAAAAATGAGCCGTTTAGCATACTCTCTTGGTTGAATGATATTAGGAACTATTCCGAATCAAATATTTAAAATGATCAGCAATAAAATTTTTAAAACTAAATCGAAAAAGCGCGTTGGATTCAAAAAAGACTTTTTAATCCATTTTGAGGCTTGGTTTTGAAATAAATTTGAAACTTCTTCAATAGGAGAAAAATCCGCCTAATTATCGAAAAATGACTTTTACACAAGTTTCATCACGTCAACTTGATTGAACTTGGCTTCCGAAAAAAAAATTCTGCAAAAAACCGATTTTTCAGCAATTCTTTCCGCTCCTCTGATTGATGAGACATGTGTGAGGCTAGAAAAATGGATAAATGATTTTGTGGGCATCGGAATAAAGACGAAAAAACGGTTAGCCCCAAAGTCCATAAGGATTGATGGACGGAAGAATGGACCACATGTTTCCAATTCAGCGCGAAAAAGTTTCCGACCGACGACCCCAACCCTCATTTGACTATTATCGATCATTCAGGAGAAGATTCGAGGGTCACAGTTCATTGAAAAAAAAAAGAAAATACACAGACAAGTCCAGAAAACGGCAGTGACTGCGAAAAAAGATAGATTAAAAAAAAATTAATTATCACGTCAGATCGAATTCAGACTTCTCACGAGCAAAAAATCAAGCCAAGCATAAATTATAGGATTTTAAAGAATTGAAAATCGTTATTTAAAGTTAAAAAAAAAGAACATTTTTTCGATTTTTGTAGATACAAAATAATTTAGTTCAAAACTTGAATCAGACTAATCAGCGGCTTGAAAAAAGTCCTGAAATCTCGCCTTTTTTTTTCAACTAGAGCTCTTTTTAAGCGCTTGGATCATACAAAAGATTTAGAAAGTGGAAAAAGAGCATAATAAATAGAGGCACCTTTAGGGAACTTAAAGAAAAAGCTGAATTTTTTTTACTCAAAAAAGGCAGAAGGAAACTGAGTTAGACTGCTCGAGCAGTTGAAAAAAGTCGAAAGCTAAGAAAATCTTCAACCTGTAACAGTGTCAAAGTACTGTGAGAAATTGATCTTCAAAAAACTCTGGAAAGTTCAACATTGAGAAGAAAGAAGCTAAGAGAGGCTCAGACAGACAAAAAAAAACCAAAACCGAGCTTTCAGGCCCATGAAAGTACCGAAATCAAACGATCATCAAGAAGAGACTTCTGGAAAAGAGCAACCAGTACAATAGAAGGCAAACAAGACGAGCAACAAAATCAGAAACTCCAGAGCCTTGAATCTGTAACAGTATCAAAGTACCGTAACCGACTGACCACCAAAAAAGGTTCAGAAGTCACAGCGACGAGAAGAAGGAAACTGAGACTGGGCGGCAGGACTCCCACCGACAAAAAGTGGGCGTGGCCGACATAATTGGGAGCCTCTGAACGCCTTCAAAGGGGCCGGCTTGAGGTGCGAGCCTGAGCCCTGAGCCTCGAGCTCCATCAGAACCACGACGACAACAACAACAACAACAACCGCTAGGCATGTGTGAGTCGGATCAAATGGCGAGCCGACGCTCACGGCGAGTTCCACGAGGCCGACAAACGTTGAAATTTGGCACCTCATCACGGCGGCCGTTTTATGGCGCCTTTTTTTTGACAAAATTCCCAATATGGCGAATCTGATCTGTGATTGAACGGATTACGGTACGATATAGGAGCTCTTGAGAGCAGACTTGAAGCTAGGAGCTTCTGAATATTGTCAGAGAAAAAGTCTGAAACAAAATTTCAAAACTTTTTAAACTTTTACTTGATGATTCTTGTGAGCTCAAAAAAGACCTAAGCCTCTAAATTTAATACTCAAGGTGGCAATTCTTTAAAACCTCATTTTTATAGTTTTTTTTCAATAAAAAAAGCGTTTTTCAAAAGTTGAAAAACCGTAAACTGTCAAAATTGAGCCTTGGAAGGTTCAGAAAAGGCGATTTATCAAAATTTCTTTCCAAAAAACTTCTATAAAACACTTTCTTTCCCAAAACTTCTTACCTCACCGATCAAACATAGTACCCTAATCCAATTATTTTGTAAACCAAACCCAAAACACCCAAAAAAGGGACCAGAAGAATGTCGTTAGACCGGAACCAAACGGAAACGCGAGGAAGTGGTGGTGGTTAGAATGATAAGATAATGATGGGGGAGAATGGTTGTGCGCGGCGCTCCTGGTTGAGAGATACTGGTAAATCAATAGTGAATGATTACCTTTCTAAAATAGAAACTAGGTTCACTAAATATTTACTAAAGGTACAAAAAGTTGGAGAGATCAAGTTCTTCTCTCTACTGAACTCAAAAGGCAAGTCGAAAGGCCGAAAAAAGTCCTAATAAGGAAGTAGCTGCAAAAAGGTCGTTAACAGGATTCCCCTTTGGGAGCCTTTATCAAGTCGTTACTTTTTTCTAGGATTGTGAAGGCTCAAGAGTGGAAAAAGGCAGATAAAAAAATCAATATAGGTTAATAAAAAAACGAATTTTTTTAAAGGATTCTATAGAGAAATTTTCAGGAATTCCCGACTTTTCCTGTGACGGTAAAGGCCCTACTGAAAAGAGAAAATATAAGCGGCCTTTGACTTTGAAATATAATCCAAAAAACAGCATATAAAAGTGTTTTCAAGATTTCCTCCTAGGAGCCGTTGAAGAAGCTTTAGACGGTCTTCTCGATTTTGCCTTGGACGTTAAAGGCCCAATTTAGAAGAGGCAATATACAGAATATCATTCCAAGATTTAGTGCTAGGAACCTTATAGGGAAGCCTCAGAGGATCTTCCCAATTTTTCCTATGAAAATGAAAACGACCTATGGCTTTAAAAAACTCCAAAAGGCAGGATACACGAATGTGTTTCAACCGTTCCAAGGAAGCGTTAGAGGATCTTCCCGACTTTGCCTATGATTTAAAGGTCCTTTTAAGGAGACGACGGCAAAGAAGAGAAGATGAAAGAGATGTGCGGTTATAAAAAAGGCCGTATACAGAAACTCATTTCAAGATTTAGTTTTAGGAACAGCTTCAGAAATCCTTAGAGGATCTTCTCGACTTTTCCCATTTAAAGGTCCTGCTAAGGAAACAACGGAACAAAAGAAAAGATAAAAGCGATTTATACAGCATACATGAATCATTTCCAAGCGTTCTAAACACCCATTCCAAGAAAGCCTCAGAGAATCTTCCCGACTTTGCCCATGACTGTAAGGGCCCTCCCAAGAAAGAAAAAAAGGGAGAAGATAAAAGCGGCCTGCGGCTTAGCAAAGTGAATCGCGTGAAGACGGAAGAAGGAGTTGGAGAAGAACGGTCGAGGCGTAAGGACATCGAGAAGATAGAATCAAGACCGGTCGAGCGACTGCTGCTGCGGAAACAGGCGACGAGGCGAGAAAACAGCCAGAAAGAGAGACGCGCTGCTGAGAGTTCCGGTGGGGGCCCGCTGCAAAACACAGAAGCCCCCGACGAACGGCTTCTTGATGCCATTCGCGAGATTCTCCTCTTGCAAGGGAAAGTCCAGTCCCACAATCTGTAGGGCGATTCGATTTTCGGCCACGACATCGAGTGAGGTTTTTGGTAGGATGTTATCTGGGTCTGGAACGTGGATCTTCGGAAATTTCCATTTCGGCAAAGCTTTCAAGTTAACATCTTCAAGCCGTTCCTAGGTAGATTCGGACTCACTGCTTATTCCATCATCAAATGCGGACAGGTCTTTTAGACATTTCTGGAGTCTAAGGCACGGCTTCAGAACCTATCTTTGATTTTTAACATAGCATCTGAGTAAGGTACAATTTCCAAGACGTTCTTATAGGAACTGTGAGACATGAAGCTTCCAAATAACTGCTCGAAAAAATCACTACAGTCTCCAGGTCTCCGAGACATTCCTGGAGCCTGTTTGACATCTTCACAATCCAAAAGTCTCTTAGTTTCAGACTGAACTCCATTCTCAATAATATCAAAAGCTTATTTGTTAACTCCACTCAAGAACAATCTCAAGCGCATGTTGACATTCTCAAGTGCGAAAAATGCCGAATCAGCCCAATAAAAAAGAGGCGCCAGATAAGAACACCGGAAGTTTGGGCGAGAAGCTTGAAAATAGACGAAATGGAAAGGGAGACGAAAACGGAACAGGTGTCGAAGAGGAGCGGAGATCGAGAAGACAAAAGTGAGGCGAACAAGAAGAAGAAGAAGAAGACGAGGAGAGGAGGACGAGACTCGACGATGCCTAATGACTGTCGCTTCCAATTCCTTGCTTCCTTCCAAAAACATCCGGCACCGGACCGGTGGATGTGAGAGCTTCACCATTTTTCGCAGGTCAAAAACAGGCATCATCATTGAAGTGGACTTGTTCTTCAACTTCTTCATCCGTGGAACTTCAAAGTCGACCATTTTTGGCTTTAGTAAGTCCCTTTCCAGTCCTCAAAGCTTTTATTGAAAAACTTTTTCTGAATTTGTGATTTGAGTAGTCCCTATAAGGTTTTTCGCTATGAGGGGTCTTTCTAGAGAATGGAAAAGCTTTCCATTTAGAAGCATTTAATGACCACTACAGGAATTTTAGTAGAGCCTCCAGCCCCAAATAGAACCTCTAGCCTTCTAGAAAAAATATTTACAATTCTGAACCTCAGAAAAAATGGTCTTACTGATCTTGATTTTACTGGAGAACCAAGAAGTCCAAAAAAAGCTGACAGGAATCCAAAAAAGGGATACCAAGCATACCTTTGCGGGTCTAAACAATCAACACAACTTTTCTTGTAAATTTGAAGCATTTAAACATCAGATTCAAAAAAAAACGGAGGTTAAGAGCGTGAAATTGGGAAAGGACGCACTCAAATCGGAAAGAAAGGCAGTGAAGGCAGCTAATTCGACCGACGACGACGGCGACGGTCAAGGGTGCACACCGCAACATTTTTCCTCACTTTTCATTTCAAATCCATCATCTTAGGAGTTCACGATCTACTTTTTCTAGTTCTGAAGGTTGTTTCCGGAAAAAAATACCAAACTTTTCGTTCCGACCCAGAAGTAAAGAACAAAAATTTGTTGTCTTTTCGATTTTTGAAAGATATACTCTATTTTTACTATGTTTAATCCAAGCCGAAAAACTATGACTGAGTTAAAACATATAGGAGTCTCTAAAATGTCCATACACGGGCTCCACTATGAGATCCTAAGTAATTTTGTAATTTTGAGAAACGAAAAAAGGCGAAAAGTGGAGATTCTTGACAATTTTTTCGTCTTGATACGTTAGAATTGAACTCCCTTACCACCAAAAACGTGAAGTAATTTAGTCGTTCTCAAAAAAACATGAAAAAAGTTTAAAGGACCAGGTAGCTTTTGAGAAAATGGTCCTGGTATGAAGAGCGAATGTAGAGCAAAGGTGTTGAAAAATGAACAAAAAGCTCCAAGAAGAAAATAATCGTTTCTGTATCGACAAAAAGACTTCTACAGTGAAAAGGAAAGGAATAAATACAAAAAGCAAGTCAGACAACTGAGAGGAAAAAGTTGCGCCGACGATGAAGTCATCCCTTTCAGGTTTACCGCCTGTGGGAAGGGAGGCCTCGGAAAGGCGTGCCGCGGTGGCCGTTACCAAGAAGACGAAGACGACGAAGGAATTACGGTCGAGCCGTTTGGCTGGCTCGAGCCCCGTCGTCGTCGCCTTTTTGGGTGGCAATTACACCTGGGAATGTCACCAGCCACACAGCGCTTTTCATCGTCGTCCTCTTTCAAGTTTCCTCTGGGAAAAGCGGCACTCCAAAAGAACTGTCCCGATAAATATGGTGATTCGTGTGTTTATTAACGATATTTTCCTTTCTTTTTTTGGCTGTATCTTGCGCGGAGCTTCAAAAAATCAAAAATGGTGCTAGATCAGTTATTTTCTCGATTTTTAATCGGTCACAACTTTAACCAAAGAACTCGATAGAAACTTTCAAACAAAGGTTCGGAAACTGCGTAAAAAATTACATTATTTGGGCCTAGTTTTCTTAAAATTCTCACTAATTTTTAGCCCCTTTTCCAGGCACAGCGAGAACAAATAAATTCGAGAAATCAACTTTTTTCGAAAAAACTACCTAATCCAACTGATTCAGCTCACAAAAATTCATTAAATGATCTTTTTTAAGCATAAACAATCATAAAAAGCTTTCCACGTCATTCTAAGTTCCACAGACTATAGTGTCTCAGAAATCGACTATAAAATCGGACTTTACAGACTAGAAAGTACATAAAAACCGAAAAACCATTGGTGAATCACCAGAGGAATCGACTGATACATTGATAATGATGTCCACCCTTGTTTGTGGAGCGTGGATGATGTCATGATTGGCCGGAAAGTGGGGAAGTTGAGTCAAAGTTCAACGATTAAGCTGCACCTTTTGAACTTCTTTTTAATAATCTTAGAAAAAAATTAAAAATTTTTTTAACTAGCCGGGATACAGTATTTGATGAAAAAGCTCACCATCAAGCTGAAGTTGAAGAAAGAGAGAATTTCAGATAGTTCAGTATTAAAAAAACCTTAAACTAGTCATTTTTCTACAATTGAATCGAAGTGAAGCTTCTTGGTCGCGTTTGGAATGGTTCTAAGCTTTGCGATACAGCCAATTCAAGTCTTAGGATTCTGTTTCAAAGCTCATCGATAGGCTTGCGCGCAAGTCGGTTCAGGTCAGGTGCTCCAAAAAGCAACCGCTTCGCGACCGCAACGCTCTGAGCCATTCTACACGCGGTCCGGCATCTACATAGCTATGATACAGTAGATCAACTTTCCAGACTCAATAAAGAATATATTTCAAAAATTTGAAGGAGCTTTCAAGATTCAATAAATTGAGAATCATCTTTCACATTCGATCTCACTAGTCAGACGGTACTGTAGACTTCAAAAAAGTCAAATAAAGGTTCTACCGGGTTAGTTCATGACAAAGAAGACGAAGAAGTCCAGTTCAAAAGTGGCAAAGTAAGAAAGAGGAAGGACGAAACGGAACAGAAGTGTTTACAGGCGTGGCGTTTACGGGATCGGCCCTAATCGCCGATCGACTTTTGCGGATCAGGCCGCACCTCTTGACATTCTAATAATGCCTCCACCCATTTTCCTTTTTCGACCGCACAGTCTCTCCGACGACCTTATGCAAATTATCAAAACCTTAGGAACTCTAGATATTTTGAGAAGTACTAGAATCTCCGTACATCCTTGGACGGATCAAAAGCTCAAAATTCATGAAAATTGTTATTTTTTTCGAGTACTGGGAAAATTTTTAGTGGCCTCTATAGGGTTTTGGCGTTTTAGTGGCCACTATAGTAGTCAACTTAGTGGCCACTTAAGGGGTAAAAAATTGGTGACCACTATAGAGGTCTAAGTGCTACTGCTAGACCACTAAAAATTTTAGTGGCCACTTTAGGGGCCAATGGATCAACATAACTGGTCCAACCTGCTTGTTTCAAAATTATCAGAGTTACTGGAAGGAATACTGGATGAAAAACTACTAAAGTGGCCACTATAGAGGTGGGAATAGTGGCCACTTTAGTGTCCTCTCCGAGTAGTCCTTTGCGAGCCTCTATAGTGGTCATTAAAAAATTTCCCAGTCCACTCCAATATCAGCACTCCTACGAAAAATCCTTGAAACTCGACAAAAATCTGATCCATTTCAACTTTTGCCGCCTTTTTCACACGCACATTTATAAACTACAGGCAATTGACTCGGCGCCAGACTGAATCCAAATGAAAAGAATTGTCGGAACGAAAAAAATGTCGTGTGTACCGTAACAGAAAGGTGGATTGCCTTGAGGACCGCAAAGAGGGAAAGAGAGGGAATTTTTCTTCAGAGTTCAATGAGGGGTGAAACCGTCTGTGGGAAGGCGCCAAACTTTTCACACCGCTATTTTTTGGTTATCTTCTCCGGGTATGTGAATAAAGAGATGCGAAAAAACTTTAAGTGAATAAACTTTGGAATATTAGCGTAGCTTCTTAGAATCTCGTGAAGCGAATTTTCGAAACCAACTAGTGCTCAGTGTTACAACTTTTCGACCCTACTTCTCATCGGCAATTTTTACCTCACAAGGGAGGTCATTTCACTTTGCGGTTGGGATTTTCTTGAAATTTGGCTAGAAATCTCCTTGAGGTACCAGATGAAAATTCTGAGAGCCTCAACCTACAAAACTTTCTACTTTTCGAGAGAAGACGTCTCAAAGTCGTAGAAAACCCTCAAAATTCCTTAAAATAAGTTATTTTGGGCCTTTAGACCCTTATTTCTGGAGAAATAGAAAGTTGTGCAGGTTCAGACTTTCAAAATCTTCTTCTGATACATCAAGGAGTGTTCTGGTCAATTTTTAAGAAGGATCTGACCTTCAAGTTAAACGCCCCTCCCTGTCAGCTCGTTTATACTCGGCTACAGGCTTACAAGTTGTAAAAAAATATTAATTTTAATCACATTCTAAACTTTAACACAAGAATCCTACAGTTTTACAGAGAAATTTCTGATTGATAAGACGCTTTTTCCGCTGCTCTTTTTGAACTTTTTGAAAATCGCCTATAACTTTCTCAATTTTAGAAAAATTCCGAATGGGCTCAAAGCCCTTCTGAGCTTTCCTTCGTCGAAAATTAGGAAATTCTGCAGTTTAAGACTTCAGAATCTTCCTTTGATAGACCAAGAGCAGTCTGGCCAAATTTTGAGGGAAGCGGTTTCGAAAAATTCAAAAAGGCCGCCAGAATTGAAGAGATAACTAAGTTTTGGAGAGTCAGAGATATTTTTGCAGATCTCGGAAATTATAGTCGACTCACGGCTAACTAACTTTTTTTTTCCCACAAACCAGGCAATATATCTTTTCTTATCGTGTCAAAACCCTTTTTCGATGGCTCAAACCAGCCTTGAATCAGCTTTGCCTGTGAGGTATCAAATCTCTACCTTTTTCTCCGTCTACTGGCTACACCGAGAAAATGTTTGCCCCATTAGAAATCGATGAATTTTCTTTAAAATCTTCCTTGGACTGTAATAAAATCCGTGACATAGTTTCAAGTTGCTCCGGACTTCAAGTGCGGATCGGAACTTGGCCGCCCCGCTGGCAGCGATAAATCGCGTCGCCTTCGACACTTGTGTGACCGCTTTACGGGCTCTCCGTATTGTGCCCACGTCTTTATGATGTGCCATAACTCTGGACATTGTCCAGGCAGCCCAGTCCTGACCTCCTCTGCACTTGGTATTATATTACCATTCTTCCTGAATCAATCATTTCCTTTTTTCAGGCATAGCTAGAGGTCAGGGCGGTGAACAAGAAAAATGGTGATTGGCTGGATTGGAAGCCGATTTTTTGGTGATACTGAGAAGGACTTTCTCGTTATCGGAGCTGTCAGGATCCTTAACTCAAGAAAAAGCTTATGAAAAGAAGCTTCTTTATCCGCTTCTGAGGCTTCCCACACGAACTTTGGGTGGCAACATTCCGCGAAACTATAAAAAAACTGATTGAACTGACAGAGCCTCAGTCTTGTACAAGAATCAACTCTTGACAAAAAATCACGAAAAAGGCTGAAAGGTCGATTTTTAGGACTTTTTTTTGAAAAATCCTATAGAAAACTATTTCTGGGCCTCTCTGATTTTTATAGATTTCAGAATTATTATAGGACCATCCTACCACCAAGTCCTGTACTAAAACTACAATGACACTTATTTTTCCGCTCACTTGAGACTTTCTCCACATAATAATAGCACAGTTGTGAGAACTTTAAAACAAAAAATTTGAAAAACGACAAAATTTCGACCGCTTTGCGACCGCGTTGCATCCCAATAGCCGACCCCGATCCCGGATCTGATTTTTACACCCCGCCTCCTGACCAAGAGGCGATAAGTCAATGATAAATGAGTCTATACGGAAAAAAAAAACTTTGCGCAACACGTGTGCAACACCACGCCGCCAAGAGAGATAGAAGATCGAGATCTGGTGCTGTTCAAAAAGTAAAGGCGGACGCGCGCGCGGGGAGTCTTCCGCAGAACATGATGGATCGTCGGCTCCATCCGCAAGGACGTTTTTTTTCTCTTTTCTTGTCCTTCTTTATCGCGCACGAGGTGTGGGTAGAAGAAAAAGAAAGCCGCCGTCACACCTTTCATTGGTTTTCCCAGCGCTGAATTGAGAGTATACTTCTCGGTTTGATGAAAATTTTCAAAAATAGGCGAATCCAGAAAGCTCAAAATTCTATCCGCTCGATGAATCAGGCCTTAAAATTTTGATCGTGTTGCAATCGTAAGTCTGGAAGAAATAGGAACAAAAAAGCGTCAAAATCGCTCTGTAGTCGCTGAAAAAGATCCATTTCGAAATTTTTAAACAGAGCTTCAAAAAAAAAGCTGGGAACAAAAATACCCTCGATTTTCAATGGTTTCAGTCATTTTTCGGACAGGACTGTCCCGATTTCAAAAAATCACTAGAGAGTCCTCTTACCACGAAATGACCAATGAATATCAAAAAAATATAAGAATTCTTAAATAAAAACTGTTCATTTTGGAGCCCTTCAATATATTTATTCTAACGAAAATTCGTAACGAAAAAATCAATAATATTCAAAAAGTAGCTGGGAAGAAAAACTCATGTTGAGACTGTTTTTTTTTGTTGGCTCTGTGTAACTTCTCAAATTTCGAGGCAAAGCAAAAAAAAAGTCCTGAGCAGTGAAACAAAAGTTCAAGGTAGAGACACGTTTTCTTTCCGTCATTTTTTTTAGTATTGAGAAAATTCTGACGTGGTTGTGTTGAGCTTCTAGAGACGTTCTCAATCATAAAAAATTTTTTTTAGGATTAGAAAAAAGCCCAAGAACGAGATTTAGTCTAATTTTGTTCAAAATTTCGAGATATTCAGAAGATTTTTGGTGAATTCTGGAAAAATGGGTTCTTTAAGACGAATCTACCTTGCTTCAAGCAAAGAGCTGTACCTTTGACCACTGAAGGTACGAAAAAATGGGTTACTGTAGCTCGGATAACTGTTTAGAGGTACTGTACGGAAACGCATTCAAAACCACCGAGTTCACACTTTTTGGACAAGGAAAGGCGATTCTGATCGGATCAGATTCGCCCTCCGAAGAGATATCGCGCTTTGTTCCGCCGGCACGAGTCACGCCATCCGCCTCGCGTTTTAGGGAGGTTTCTCGGTCATGGATAAACACTCTGATGAGAGTAACCAACAACGACAGATGTCCAAATTCGGGTCGTCTTTGTAAGAAAAAACAGTACAGTCTATTGGAGTAACCTTGGTTTGAAACGATGTCGTGGTCGCGTTTGGAATGGCTTCAACTGTGGGACAATGGCTTCTTTACTCTCAAAAGATGACCGCACTTGGAATGGCTCAAAGTAACCATGAAAAAAAAACTACAGTCTATTGGGGTAACCTAGGTTTGAAAAGATGCCGTGGTCACACTTGGAATGGCTCAAAGAAAATATAAAAAAAGTGTATGTCATTGGAGTTCCTTGGCCGCACTTAGAATGGTTCAAATTTTTAGTTCATTGGGATATTACCTTTGGAAAAAAGCACAATTCATATGGGTAACCTTGATTTAAAAAGATGCCCTGGTTGCATTTGGAATGGTTTGAGTTTTTATGGAAAAAATCACAGTCCAGTTTCTATGATTTGAATAAAACGGCTCCTCTGTCGCACGTGGAATGGCTCAAAGCGTCGCGGTTTGAAATTTACAGCTTTTTTCTAACGCGTCTCTATGCCACCGCGTGAAAATTGTTTAGTGTCGGATGCAAATCCGCGCTGAGTCATTCCACGTGTATTTCCTCAAATTTCAACCAATTATAGTTTTATAAAATTTTCTTTTTATTTTATTGATATTAAAAGTTAATTATTAATTTTTTTAAACCGGATATAACATTATTTTTACTCCTTGTTTGCCCTTTTACCCTACCTTTTTTCAGGACCAATCTAGACACTCTCAGAAACTGTTAGAAAAAAAAACTTACGTTCAAAGAAGAAGAGCCTTCCCAATGTTGATTGATCCTGTCGTCGTCTTGGCCGCTGAAACAAAAAAATGTTGTTATCATTTTTTTTCACTATTAAAAGAGTAACGTATCTGATTCATAAGATATTAAAAAAATCACAAACATGTATGAGATACTGAACAAAATTTACGAATTGATGTATGATTTGGAAAATTGACTCGATTTGAAAAAAATTTTGAGAAATAGGGTGAAAACTAGACAATTCACAAGAGCTAATACTCTGGAAAAATAATGAAATACAATTCAAAAAAGGAAGAAAAACAACTTTTCAAGTCAAAACTTCTACAGGAGAAGCTAGAAATCTCATAGTTGCTGACCTCCTCGACTAATTGGATTATCCTCTAAATAAACAAAAGGTCAGTTATTATTACACTGGTACAAAGGTCACCACGTGGTGGGAAAAAAAGTTTTTTTTTAAAATCTTCCCAAAAGTGATAAGAATCTTTTTCGACATACCCGATGAAGATACTGAATTTTTCAACTTGCGAAAATTCCTGATTTTTTTGTCGAAACAAGGGTAGAAAGCCTGGAAATGGACAGGTTTCGATTATTTTTTTTCAACTTTCAAGCGATATTTTTTGAAAACTAGAAAGTTTGGCCGATTGAAACTTTCAAACCCTTCACTTGAGAAATAAAAGTATCCGGACCATTTTCAAAAAAATAAAACTCCAAAACAAGTTCTAAATAAATGCTTTATCAAAACTGTTCAAGATAATACTTCACAAGATGTAAACCTGAACTTCTCGAAATTGTGACATTTTTCAAAATAAAAGAGGGTTACGGTAGTCAAGTCGGATGCCAGTAAAAGTGTCGCGAGGCGCGATTTATTGCTGCCAAACGGGCGGTCAGACCCGCCTCTTTCTCTCTTTTTTTACGATCATATCAAATTATTTTCATAAATATCACACAGTGGAGCGAAGTCGCTGGCCAATCAATCATTTTTAAAAAAATATTTTTTTTAAATAACAGATACGTCTATATCTCTCCTTTTCGCACACTATTTTACGAGGCACTCTTTAATATCCCCAAAAAACCGAGGTGGATGAACTATATCATGGAAAATTGAAAAATTTTCAAAAAGGACATGATTCACCCTTTATCGCCATTTTTTTTTTTGAAGAACTTTAAAAGTTGAGCTTTTAAAACGGAAGAAAATGCACGTAAAGTGCCACGTTTCCAAGAAAAAGGTGTAAAGAATCTATTTTTAATTTCGGCATATACTTCTCGGAATAATGAGAAAGAGATTATGAAAAGGCAAGAAATAATGAGCATGAATACTAATTTTGAGTGAGCTCGAGGAGCACAAGGAAAATTCTGAGAAATATCAAAAGATTAAATTTTAACAAATTTACCCCCTAATTCAGAGAATTCTTATTTCGGAGCCTTTGAGGGACCTCACTATGAGGTAATTTTTTGCATAATTTACAAATTTCCTGAAAAATCGTTTTAAAAAAAAACTTTTAGAGCAACCTAAAAAGGACTTTAATTTTTCCAAAACGCATCCACTTTTGGCGGATGTTCAATGAACTTTGACAAAAGCTCAAAAAAATCTATAAAAAATACTTCCAAAGGAATTATCGTCAAAAAGCGCGAAAATGAGAAAAATTTAAACTATAGGAAGAAGAAGAAGGAAACGAAATAAATGAAACTTTTTCGGTAGTGAAAAATGAGGATGAAGAGGGAACGGCTGTGTGAGTTGGGATGGAGAACCGTCGATTTGATGAATGAAACAAAGGATAACATATTTCGGAGCGTTCGGCCGGCAGTTGATTAATGCCGACCGCCTTTATGTTGCCAAATGGATTCGATTTGTCTCTCCGGATTTTTCAAAAATTACAATGGACTTTTATTTATGAATACAGTGCAAAAAATCGGATTTCAAAAATTTTTTGAAAATTGGCCATGAAGAACTTTGGGACACTCTTCTCTCATAAAAAGTAAAATTTCTCCGTATTTCGCTTTTTAGTAGATTCCTAACGGCTGAAACTTAAGATTTTTTTCTCTGAAATTATTTAGACTAGAACATAGTTCAAACCATCCAAAAACTGTACTTTCCTTCTATTCGAACACGTTGCAATTTTCGAAGGTCAATAGCCACTTTTAACTGAAACATCCACGTTCGTAGAACTGATTAGCTGAAGTTTAATCGAGAAAAAAAAATTAGGTTCACAAAAAATCAGGTACAATTCTTAGGCTAACGACCAACTTGGAGAGGTTGACCGTTTCTTTGAAAATATTTTTCGCGAGAAAGAAGAATTGAAATTAGGATCAAATTTTTTTTCCAAAAGCATGATAGACAGAAACATATGCTTGAAATGAAATGAAATACGCGTTTCGGAGATAAAACACAATATTCACGCCGGCGCAGGGCTGAAATATGAGAAATCACTTCGAAAAAGAAATTTTCATCTTAGGCTGTCTTTGGAGACAAATTTTGGAATGATCGAAAAACGAAACGCTTTTCAAGTTTTTGGAAAAAAGTTGAGGAAGACTTAAAAATTTTAAAATTCCCCAGGTTACCTTCAACAATTGCTGAAGGAAAATTTGGAGAGAAAAAAAAGAAATTTTTGAAGAAGAAGCTCCAGAGGAAAATTTTTGATGTTATTTTTTCTGGTTTCAACTCTCGGGGATTTTACCTTGGTGCCTCAATACGAAGTGAAGTCTTAAGTTTTCTGCCATACAGTAGGAAAAAAAACTACAGTAGGCCAGAAAAATATATATAGAAAACGAGGATGCGTTTGAGACTTGCAAGCATATCGCGGGTAGACATTCCTTAACTGTCAAGGTAAAAAAGAGACCTTGAAAGTCTCAATTTTCAAAAACTAGAAAGTTTCGCAGATGAGAAGTTGAATTTTCAAAGTCCGAAGGTCTCTTTATTCCTCAAAAGAACCGTTCTGAAGGCTTTCCTAGAAAGAAAAAAACTAATTTAATTCAGAAAAAAATATTCGAACAGAAAAAAATAAACAAAAAAATAGAAACAACCGATTTTTCGTGTTGTAAGCATAAGATAGGAAGACGAGAAAACTGTCAAGGGAAAAGCTCTTAGAATTTTCAAAAATTATTAAGTTGTTCTAGTTTTAACTCTCAGAATCTTCACCTCAATGATTAATTAAGTCAAATTCTCAGCAAATTTAGAATTTTTCTTCCTTGTTGTAGGAAAAATAAACTACAGTAAGTCACTGAACCGCAAAAAAAAAGAAACATAAAGAGGGACGACCGATTTGCGTCTTGCAAGCATATGGCCGGGACACAAAACGAACACACCGGCAACTGCATCATCATCACATCGCGACAGTTGTACCCAAACGGAACATCCATCGCTCAAAAACCTGCCCCGGCGGTACAACCTACAACGGATGGAGGGACAAGACTCGCGCCGCCCTCCTCACAAAATGACCGACGAAGGAGAGAGAGAGGGAGAAGGAGGCTGGCACGCGTTGGGTTACGGTAGCTTCTTAAGCCGATTTGAAGAGCTCCGCCCCATATTTAGGTGTTTTTTGGTAACGATTTTTAAGAGTTGAAAAGGCTACGGTAACTTTTCAAGCCAAGGAAAAGAATTCCGAATTGTTCTCATGGTACGTTGACGCCGTGTTCGAAGTAATTTCCGCAAGATGCAAAATTATCTCTGACTCTCCAAAATCTAGTTGTCTTTTTCTTTCTCTGACGACTTTTTTGGATTTCGCGGAATCACTTTGAACACATTAAGGAGTTGAAAAGGTCACGGTGAGAGATGAAGAGAGCGCAGACAAGCCAAAACATTTCAAGATGTGATTTTTAAACATTCTCTTGCGGCTAATGAAGAGTTGACAGTCTTAGTGACCTTTATAGTGTCTTTTTTTCCAAATAAAAACTTGAGAGGGTCAAATAAACCATCTGAGAAATTTGTAGTAGTCCCTACAAGGATCTTTCCAGACTTTTTTAGTGACTACTGTATACTACTGTAGTGTTTTAAGCAACAATTTTTGTTTTTAAGCCAAATTACTTTCGATTCGACATGACAAAACTAAGACATAAGTTAACAGATTTCCTCGACCGGCAAGTCTGTAATTATTTTCCGCCCAGTTATATTTTCCCCTTTGACGCACAAGTGTGAATCCCGAGCCTAGCCTAGGTGCCAAGTGGCGCCAAGCAGAGAAGGATGAAAAAAGTTGGGCGCCTTTCTTCTCGGAGGCCCAACTGTCGTTTTTGTTTGACCGGAGCTGGAGACAAAGAGGAAGAAGAACAGCGGATTAGAGCGGATTTGAGGCGGCAGATTGCGCCGCCGCCGTCGAACCTAAGCCCAAATCCGCGGTCATCTTTTGGCCGGAGACAAATGGGTTCAGGACAACAGTCCGCGAAACCGTGCTTTTTTAAAGAATGGGGATCAAGTTCGTATCGAAAAAAGGATCTTTTTTATTGGAGCACATTTGACCAGAAAAAAGAGCCGATCTAACCGCGAAAATTTTAGAAATCAAAAAAATAACTTTCTGACTTTTTTCGTCTGTCGTGAATTACTAACTTTCCAAAGAAATTTTTTTTGGCTTAATCCAAACCAGGGGCCTATCAAAACCCTGAATTGTTCTCAAACTGAACTAACTCAGTTAGAGCGCCAAAAAGAGGCTCAGAAATTATATTAAGAATGAATTTATTCGACCTGATAAAGAGTGTTCTAAGTGAAAGAATAATGTGAATATCTAATGTGAATATATATGGTGTCCTTGGAGTGTCCCCTCGAGGGGCTACTAGAGTTTGCAAAAGTGGTCGCTATAGGGTTTTTGGTTAATGGCCCCAATAGGGGAAATTTTAGTCGATAACTTTTATGAACTCTGAGCTAAGAAGCATTTTCATGAGAAAAACTGAATGAATAGTCGTTTGAATGAAATTGAGACACGCCTATAGGGACAACTTGAGATTTAGGACTAAGGGGCCAGACCCTAAACCCATATAGGGTTCACTCTGGAATTCCTAAGAAAAGTCTATTCAAAATTCCCTATTGCCACTACTTTAAAAAGACAGAAATTTAATCCACTCCGACAGAGGACCTAAAGGCAAACTTTCAAGGTTCAAAGGTCCGCTTTTTGTTATATTTTATCGGGGTTGGCAAGCCGAAAAGTGAAAGGTGGCATGGCTATCGGCCCATCCAATCCGATGACTATCGCATAATATTTACGCTGCCGCGGCAAAACCTATCATTAGCCAAGTTGCGCGCTTCGCCTGTCGACTTTTGTAATAAATTTTCGCCTCGCGTAACTTCTTTTTCGTTGAGCTAAAAAGGCCAGGAAGAGATTTGGATCTTGTTTTTTGGTTTGAATTTAATGAGACTGATCAACTAGGAGGTTGGAGGGTCAAAGGGAGCTTTGGATGAAGCTAAAAAAAACTTTGAATCAAGCTGACGCGCTCCAATTTATTCCGGACCATCTTCACATTTCTCCTGTTCTCCCACAATTACCCTAAACTTAAGAACTCCAGAGTGGTCCCTATAGGGGCACTTGAAGGGTTCCTTTCGGTCGAAAATTGTCATCTCTCTATGCGAAGAAGCGTTTCCATGAAGAAAACTAAATAATTAAGCGTTTTGAATGAAGTTGAAAGACCCCTATAGGGGCCACTTGAGCTTTAGGGGCTAAGGGGTCAGACCCTAAACCCCTATAAGGACCATCTTCATTCTACCCATATCGAACAAACAACGCCTATGGGGACCACTTTTCCGGCTATAAAGGAGCTGTCTGTCCCCAAACCCCTATAGGGACCACTCTTGAATTCCTAAGAACTGACTTCTCTTGTGAGCTTTAAATTTAGCCAAACTTATTCCAAACGAATCGTCACATCTCTTCAATTTATACAAAGTCCGTGGATTGTTTCTAAACAAAAACGTCCAGCCAGCCCAACTAATGGACCAGATGACAGTGCATTAGAGCCGCGCGGGACAAAAATTCCTCGGCTCGCGGTGTAATCCCGAAATTGCTCAACGAGGCGCCTTTTGATGTTGAAAAAGGGCCGTCGAGCTCGTAAATCAACGCATCAGCATTACGTGTGTCCAGGAACACGGACGTTGGGAGGTTTTCCAGCGAAAAATGACCCTGATTTTCGACGATTTCGAACCGGGTGGTTTTCCTTGGAGGATTCTTTTTTCTTTCGCTTCTCGACTGATTGATACGCTTAGTTATTGTCATTCGGATTCGGTAAGAGCATAAATTTGCGATTTGGGTTGTTTTTTTGGGATTTGGAGATCAGGAAAGTTGAAAAAGGCTGCTTATTTTTGAGATAAATGAGTTTGACAGTCAGTCTTGAATACTTTACCAGGGAAATTTCATTGCAAAAATCGCCTGAAGTCAAACCGGAGGACGTCTCCTAATTAGAAGATTCAGGACAGCTTTCAGTAAAATTTAAAGGCGTAGAAGTTCAAAAAAGGACCAGAAATCGATGAAAATCAGTCATAAATGTGGTAAGAAAAAAACCGTAGGAGTCCAGAAATGCTTTCTTTTCGAGGATTATCGCCAAAAAAAAAATGAAAAAAATTTTTAGAGGAAATTTTCTTGATTCACAACAGAAATTATCAATTTGACTAAAAATCGAGGCATTCAGGCCGTGGTAATTTTCTTAAATGAACTAAAATTAAAAATATTAATGCTTCTTCCTAACTGAAAATAGGGAAAAGATTCATCAAACCACTATTTTTCAAACTTTCAAATTTCAAGTAGTTAAATCTGATCCAAAAAAGTTTCACAACAACAGTAAATGAGCATCAAACATAAAAATAAATCAATTATTATTTTTTCAAGATTCCCTGGTCATGAAAGGCTTTCTAAAAAAGATAAAAAGTCTAACATATTAAATAAACACTCAAAAACTTGAAAAGCAACAAGGAATAGGCGAATTCCGGTGTAGAAAAAGGTCGAAATCGTGGAAACTGGGCGATTTGTTCAGGCGCCTCTCGCCTCGAACATCCGTCCGTTCTTCATCGCAAACAGTCCATAGTACTATTTTGTCATTGTCTTTTTGATGGCGTATTTTATTGATTTGAATCAATAAAGTATGGCCTCAAAACAAAAGGTGAAGGTGAGAAAATTTGGAAAAAAAAAACCGACATTTCCGTGCAAAAGAGCCGCGTTTGAGTCACAAAAATCGCAAAAACGGACGGTTCGGCGACTTGAAAGAAAACTTTACTTGTGGCTACCTTTTTTTATCGAGAAAAGACAAAAAATGTGCGAGACGTCCTTCAAAGTGGCCAACAGGTGAACTTCTTCTGAGGGGATGTAGTTTTTGAACAAATATTGAAGAGACTTTCTTAATAAACGAAAAAAAAAAGGTTTTCAAAAAAAGCCTCTCCTGTAACGCACCATTTTCGTTCGGAAACCTTTTCAATATAAATTTTTGAAAAACCAGATTTTTTTACAAAGATTTCCCTAATGGCAAGAAACTAATTGGGCGGATAAGTTCTGAGGGAAAATGGTTTTGACAAAAAGCAGAGGGGGCGGTAAAATATGACATAACCACAGCCAAGGTCAGCAAAATTAGCGCCGCGATTAGTGCAATGTGCGCGCCGACGCCAAAAAAACGACAAACAAACAAAGGAAGAGACGATTTGAGGGTTACGGTAAGGTGCAGCGGAACCCTTTGAGCCGCGGCTGTCAACTGTGGCACAGCGACGAATTACCGCATCTTTCGGAAATTGTCCTTGGCTCGTGCCAAGTTAGGCGCACCTCGTTCTTGGAGGAAAAACGAAGTTGGGATCGAATCTTGGCCCAGAATGAGAATTATACTTGCTTAATTCACCAATAGAAACATTCCAAAATGTAAAATTCCACGAAAAATAAGACTTATAGCCACAAAAAGTCATTTTACGAGAAGCCAATCGCGGATTTGGTATAATCGACTGACCTTCCTAGACGTTCAAAGACTTTTTTCTCAGAAAATTTGAAAAAAAAACGACTAGAGGAAGGAAAAAACCGAATTTCACTTCTCTATTGCTGATTGTTTCATATGAAATTTTTTTAAAAAAATAGTAACAAAATACTTTTTAAAAAAACCTTTCGAAACCAATAAGATCTATTTCTGTCCAGATAAAGTGCATCGCAGCCAAAAATATATATGAAGAAAGTTGATAAAAGTCCATCGAAACTTTCTAAAACGTTCAAAAAACCGAGCTCAACCCACGGTGAGAGTTGATCAAATTATAATCAATCCAAACTCTTTCAAAAACCAAAGCAAAGTTTATTCAACAAAATAAGTTCTGAAAAAAAAGAGGCTCCTAGTTAATTTGATCAATTAAACTACCGAAATTCTATCAGAAATTTGATTAAATACTGAATGCCTACCAATTGAGCATACGGTTAAATTTACGTGAGCAGAAGAAAAATTTCTAATTCTTCTTTGAAACTCGATGTTTTTCTATAAAAAAAACCGTCCTTTTTCTATTTTTTGTGTGTTTTCTCTTAGAAAATCGTCCTCGGCCCGAACTAAAAAGCCCAAAAGAGTGATTTGCGACGGCATTGAGCAGGGATTTGAGCTGATGGGTCAAGCCCAGAAACAACAAGACGGATGAGGCAAAAGATTTGCGGCCCGAACAATCGAAAAACGGGGGGCAGCTGATGGCCAGAAGACGTGCAGATAGGTGGAAGTAATCCGTTTCGAGGAGCACCGCCAAAAGGCCACCAATTTGCATTTGTTGCACCGTTTTCGGCCAGACACAAAGACCGTTTTGTTACACGCAGAATTGGGTTTTTTCCTCTTTTTACAAGACATAGTGCGAAAAAAAAATCGAAAAAAATAATTTAAGAGGCGGGGCGGGCTTCAAGAAATGAGCGTGAACAATGATATTTATTTACAGGCAGAACAAAAAATGTGCAAGAATGGTTTGTAAAAAAAAAAAAGAAAAAATTGGAAATTAAGCCTCAAATGAATAAATAAAAGACGATTGAGACCCTCACGAGCCTCTGAGCGAGTATTCAAAAAAATGATCAGGTAAGAATTACAATTGAGGATTGCGTTAACTCGAGGGCGTTAAAAATCTATAAAACATTTATTTAAAAACTCTTAGTCTACAACATTCTCATATCCGTGTACAAAGTCCAGGTTCCTCCACTTTGAAATTAAATACGCGATGAAATTCATGCTGCGTGAACCTTAACGCATACGAACTAATGTAAAATCGCAAACTAAATTTTTTTCTAGCCTTAAATAAAAAAATTTTTCTAATAAAAATTATCATTCAAAGTTCATTATCGATTGATCTTTTGCTCAAAAAAATGTGATAACTACCCAAAAATGTTCTTATTCAAAAATATCTTGCTGGGCTTTTTCAAAGAAGAATTTAAAAAAACCGCGAAGATCTCGTGACGGAAAGCCATTTCCAAAGCAATTTCCTTTCAAAAAACCCAACACCAGACTTTGAGCTGAAAATATAATTTTTCAAAATGTAGCATACATTAAAAGTCAAAAATTTTCTTCAAAAATTAAATGAAAAAACTGCGTCGAATGATAAATTCACTTGATTACATAGTCAAAAAAAAATCCAGAAAAAGAAAAAGACATGGAAGACCAATGTAATTAAATCCGGAAAATCAGAAAAAAAGCGAGGCGATAAGATTTGTGGGAAAAGGATCGATGGAAAGGGCCGCAGGCGTGGAAAAGAGTTGCGAATTCTTACACAACGAGACGCGTGAGGCTCCTGTGATCAGTGGAAAGCCGACCAGCAGACAGATGCCTCGTTGAGGTTGATGACAAACCAAAAATCCTAAGTGACTTCCTCATTTTACCACAAAACCTGCAGTTTTTTTCCGAAACGAAAAAGCCAATTAGAAGTTTGAAAGAAGAACGCGAAAAACATCCTTAAAATATTTCTATGCATGGATCAAAACATTGGTAAAAAGTTCGCAGCCTAAAAGTAAGTGTAAACCGATACGAGAGAAAAACAATAACTTATTCGGCATATTTTCATCATCAGCCTTTGCATCTTGCACTATAAAAAGTTATTTTTAGCACGTTAAAAAGCAAAGTTTCTCAAAAATTTGGAGAAAAAAGGAAATTTCTTTAAAAATGATAGGAAAAACCAATTTGGCATTTGATCCTGGCTATAATGTGGAAAGTATCGATAAATAGTAGAGCAAATTTAGAAAGAAAACAAAAAAACGAACTTCGAAAAATAATATTCGAATCCATTCGTTTAGTATGGCTCCTCGCGCCAGATTAACTTTTCAATACCGGGCCTGCGCCTTTAAATTATCACAGCACTCGCTTTTTTTCATGTCGTGTTCAAAGTAATTTCCGCGAAATGCAAAATGATCTCTGACTCTCCAAAATTTAGTGATCTTTTCCTTTCTCTAACGGGTATTTTGCATTTCGCGGAAATTACTTTGAACACGGCATCAATTTCAATATCCATTTTTCCCCCACTTTTTTTTTCCTTTCTTGTTTGCTAAGGAAGAAAGGCTGAAGAAATCATTAATATTATTTTTGAAGTAATTTTCAATCCATCTTATCCTTAAAAATCAAGCTGATTAAGGAAAATAGTCGCGAAAGCAAAAGCGAAAAAAGACGCTCGTTAGACAATGTCGAGCGGAAGAAATCGAGCCGCTCTGGAAGGCAAAACGCAGGTAGTTAAGCACGGAAATGTGATACGGACGGCTCCCTCGCACTTGATATTTGTTGCTGCATCTCGGCTTCTTCTCCATTTTTTGCGCCCCTACAATTTCTATTATTTTTTTAACGAGTTTCTTTTACTCGTCGTTTCTATGCCCTTTTTCCAAATTTTAGAGAAGAAAGCTGTTTTTTGAACGAGTTATTGCAGTCGTTTTGAAGGATTTACATTGTAAACGTTTTTGTTTTCAGAAAAATCAGGGGACCGAAAAGGTTTATTCGCAGAAAAATCGCGGAGTAATGAAAACTAGTCAGAGCTTGAGGAACATTGTCGTTGCGAACTTGAGATTTGGATCCTTGGAAGTCCAAGTTGTGCCGTCGGCTCGGCGGTACAACGATTCTGGGGCCTGAAATCCAGATAAAGTTTTTTTAAATTCTATTTTTTTCTTCTATAAATCAATAAGAAGAGTTTTTTTTGAAGTGTCAACTATTTTAGGCCGCCTTTTTATCTATTTTATGTGTTTTTGCAGTTTTTAAACTTATTTTTTATAAATTTTATGACTGCCGTTATTTTGAAACAACAGAGAAAGGTTACAGAATCAAAAAAAATGATTTATTTTAGATACATTCTGAAGACTGGAAAAGGTTGATCTTTCCATTTCAAAAAGTTTTTCTTTGCCTTCTTAAAACCAACTGCTCTCTGCAAAACTTCCCCCTGTTCTGAAATGTGAGAAGCTGACTTGGCCGTGCTTTGAGAAAAAAAAAAACTTAAACCGATCAGGTGACGAACGTAAACAAGAGGAAGTACAGAGGAGACTTTCATTTGAAATAGTCATTTTTAAAGAAAACCTCATAAATTGCTTTGTATCCCAAGGCTTCCAAAGTGTTTTTGGATTCGATGCCGGTGACAACAGCGATCATTCCATCAATATTTTCGCCTTGCTGAAAAATTCCCTACTCGGTTTATTGTTAGATAGTCTCACAGGGGAGGTCATTTCACTTTACGGTTGGGACTTTCCTGAGAAATGGCCAGAACACGTCTTGATATACCAGATGAACTTCATCTGATGAAGATTCTGAAAGTCTTAACATGCACAACTTCCTAGTTTTTGAAAAATAAGCCCGAAAATAGCCTATTTTCATGGATTTTTCTTTGACTTCAAGGCGTCTTTTCTCGGAAACGAGGAAGTTTTGCAGGCTGAACCTTTCAGAATATTCTTCTGGTACATCAAGAAGAGTTCAGGCCACTTTTCAGGAGATTCCCAACCGCAAAGTGAAATGACCTACCCAGTGAAATTTCATGAAAAAGGTCTTGGCGGCGAGGTGGATTTCGCAGTGTAAAATGTACATTTTTTGAAAATTTACAACAAAAGTTAACGATAGAGCGCACCTTGACGAGCTTTTTCAGCCGACTAAACTGTTCATTCAGCATTGTGGTCTTCACACCGATTCCCGTGTAATCTTTGTCTTCGACTATCAGTTCAGCTTCAATCACCTGAAAATTTGAAATCAACTTCGGTAAAGACAAAAATTATTTAAACCCGATAAACCGACGGATTCTCATCGAAAAATTTCCTCCGTGAGTGTTCGATGATTTTCGCTGAATAAAGTATATGTTTCTACAATAAACGTAGGAAAAAAACGGTGAGATTGAATTTTTTAAAAGAGGATGAAAATTCGTATTCATATTGCCGCTTTGATCAAGGTAAACCAGTAAGTTTCCAAAAAATTAATCCCAGAAAAAAAGTTTCCAGTATAGTCTGTATACCAGGACTTGGAATTTCACGGAACGACATTCCGCTGTTCCGCTGCGCGCCTTTGCGAACCTTGGTCGCGCTTTTAATTTTTTTTTTCTTTTTATAAGGTACTCTACTTTCACGGGCTTCCACAGCAATAACAATCAGTTGAAATAGTGACCTAGATTCGAAAGGCGCTTCGCGAACGCACGGAGCGGAACAGCGGAATGTCGTTCCGTGAAATTTCAACTCGTGGCACACAGACTATAACCTTCGAAGTTTTCTCCTTTTTTGGATGTGGAAGGGAACCTCTTTCTGTCTTTTTTATAAGTATTCTACTGATTCAAGGTTTTTTATCCAATTCCTATCACATTTGCAACTTTCGAGTTATTTCCAGAGAAAGGTTCAAAAATAGAAAGAACTTAATCTTCGTTCATATAAAGAAAAACCTTAATTTTTCCTCTGATCGAATTTAAAATCGAAAAAAAGGTTACGAACCAACAGGAGAGATCCCACATACAGGGACTGGGCCGAGAACTCGGAGGCTGTCAACATTTGGATCTCTATTACGGACAGTCATCAGACTGCAGCCGACCAGTTGGTTGGACTTGGCTTCGAGGGCGACGAAGGAGTAGCGAAAACGAAGGGCCGACCGGATCCAGTACTCGAGTAACGGCGTCGAGTCGTCGACAGAGCACCCGAGACCCTGAAAACAAAATCATTATTCAATTTTTCTTTGATTATTGGCCAGACAGCCATGATGTTACAGATTGCGGGTTCTAAACTTTCAAAACTCCCTAATTTCCAAGACAGAAATTGCTCAAAGTCTCAGAAAAAAAACCCCCATATTTTCTCGTAAAGTCAAGTGTGTAGTGTGCATGCACTGCGGCGCTCTCGCACATACCGCGTTCAAAATAATTTTAGCGAAATTCAAAATAATATCAGGATTTGTCATATTTTTCACTTTCTGGCGGTTATTTTGAGATTCACGGAATCACTTTGAACACTAAAACAGAAAAATTGCGTTAAAAAAAAAATAAATCGGTTCGTCTCATGACCCATTGAACCCGCGCCTTTAATATTTTATTTTTTTTTTCACGGTTTTTTTCCCATTACGTCACATGGGAACGGAAGAGTTTTGGCTCCGCCCCCTTCATTTTTGGTTTTGCAATTTCTTCCACTAATAGAACCGCCGTGAATTTAAAAAATCTCCTAGTATTTCAAGAAAAAAAGGCTCAAAGCCTCAGATTTTGATACTTATATTTGCCTTGGAAGCCTCTTTTCTAGAAATTAGGAAGTTGAGAATTTAGTTCAAGGTCTTCCCTGGTACATAAAAAACCCTTCTTTTCCTTTTTCGCACACTTTGAGCCGACATTCCACGAGGCTGAACTCAAAAAAATCACGCAAAAAACCTGAAAATGCATGTCCTCGGCAATATGGCTCTTGGCAAGCCGTAGCAATTGCGCCCTATCGAGAGTCTTCGCCGCTCGGTACACGACGTCGGCCTTGTTGGCGGAGCTCCGGTTAGGCTCAGAAAAAAATCTTTTTCCTGATTAAAAAAATAATTTTTGAGTTTTCCGAAAAACTCGCCTGGAGAGGAGAAAATCCGGTTGGTGAGACGGAGACTCATCCGTGTGAGTCTGAAGAGATTTGATGAGTAGCGAAATAGTGAGCGAAAAAAAGAGATTTAGACGTCTCCAGCAGTAATTTTTGTAGCGAGAAATGTAGTCAAGAGTAACGACAAACTTGAACAGGACTTTTGGTGACTCTGAAGCTAGAAATGAGCAATTGAGAGTGAGTTTCTTTTTTTTTTGAGAGAATTTGTCGATCGAACTGAAGAATTTCGTACCGTGACGTCAAAATTAGAAGTCTTAAGTCTTAAGATGACGTCGAGCTTCAATCTCAACTTATGTGGAATCAAAAAACAGCTTTAAAATCAGCAAAAAATTCTGAAACAAATAGACTTTTCATCTGAAATTTATCGATAGAATTGAAAATATATTTGTTCTGTGATGTCACGTCAGCACGTCTCTAGAAGACAACGAGCTTCAATTTCAACTTCTGTGGAAACTAATAACAGGTTTATAATCAGCAAAAAATTCTGAACCAGAACTTCAAATTTTTAGATTGAATTGAAGAATTTGGTACCGTCAAGTCAGATGACATTGAGCGCCCTTTTTTTCAGAACGTCTTGAGCATCTTCGACAGATCCTTGGAAAAATTTCCTGCAAAAACGTTCAAATTAGCATTTTTTTTTTTCAAAAAAAGTAATGGTTTACGCCGAGGATTTCATTGCAAAAATCAATTTCGTTTGAATTATCATCAGAAAAAAAATCATTTTATTCGTTGAAACTTTGAAAAAAGATGAAATGAGTCGCGTGATTACGTGCTGATAGCGTGTAAAGCCACGCTTCAGAAGTTGGGTGAAAATTTTCATTTCTGATCATCAATCGTGTCTTTCGAGTGCGGTAACATTTGTTCATTCTTTATTCGAAGAGCCTCAGATTTATGATTAGAGATCCGCTGAGAAAATTTATTTCCGATGCCACACAATCAGAAATTTCAAGTATAGCCAAAATTTCCCGACTTGAAAGGCGAAGGAGGCGGGGCGAGGGGCGGGACGCGTAGCTTTTTTAAATTATTTATTGATTATGTTAATTTTTGCATCAAAAATTAGTAGAAAATACAGAGAAAGAGCGGTTGCCGAGCTTTTTAAGTAGTCTGTAGCGCTTGAATTGAACTCTTGCCAAGAACCGCGCACGCACACGCTACGCGTCCCGCACACCTCTCCACCTGCTTCGTCTTTAAGGTCGGGATGGATTAACTATAAATTCTTGACAAGGAAAAAATACATTCTTTGAGCAGTAAAAGTTGAGGACAAATCGACCTGAAAAACAATTGTGAGATTCGTAATGATTTTTGTTTACGAGTTACTTTGTGAAACTTGACTGTCAATGTTTTCAAGGCTTTCTCGAACTATGAATTTATTTATTTTACACAAGCAACTTGATAGAAAAACTGCCTAACACTTTTGAAACGAGATCATGTTTCATCCCGTTGTTTTTCAGAAAGAAGAAAATTGGCGCTTCGATTTACAGACTATGTAGTATTACCTGCGTCCAAGTGCACTATAGAACGTTACAGAACCCGGAAATTAGAAAATCGTCACGCAAAATGCGCTCTAAAAGTATTACCAGGGTGTAATTCAAGAATTCATCTGAAAAAAACCATTTTATTTGTTGAAACTTTGAAAAAAGATCAAATTAGCCGCGTGATTACGTGCAATACCACGCTTCAGAATTTGGGTGAAAATTCATTTCTGATCATCAATCGTTTCTTCCGAGTGCGGTAATATTTGTTCTTTCTTTATTCAAAGAGCCTCAGATTCATGGTTAGGGATCCGCTGAGAGAATAAGTTTCCACCGCCACAAAATCAGAAGTTTCAAGTAACCTCAAATTTGGAAGCTCCAAGAATAATGATATTTTTTGACCTCAAACTCGTAGTCATAGAACCTTACTTTTTTTTGTCATACTTCATATTTTTTATTCAGAACCTCTAATGTTCCTTTAGATCGTTCATTTTTGAAATTTCCTCCCAAACTGCGCTAAATTTCGGCTTTTTTCATTCTAGCCATTTCAAATCAGGCTTCTTACTTTTCTGAGGCCTACATATAGTTTGATCAGTTTCTGGGGAAACTATTTCAATTTTTAAATCGCAGGTTTTTTTAAACATTCGAAATTGAACTCAATTATTCATTTTCAAACTAAAAATATTTTCACTCGAACTTGCAGAAATATCTTTTTCAGATAGTTGATCCAAGATCGATCACGATCAAAGCCAACAGCAAATAGCTGAAAGCAAAGTTGGTTTTTTTTTTCGAAAAAACAATGTTCAATACAATAAAACTTCAAAAAAAAGTCAAATAGAAGTTGCCGAAAAAGGAATTTCAGCCTTATCATGATTGATAATCCTAAAGTATCGGAAATATATTGAACGGCGACCTGAATAGAATACAATGAAGTGGAAAAATACTTTCCGTCGCTTTCCTGAAAATGGAAAAGACCTGAAACTCTCCAGAAGTTCATTCATTTCGACTTTATGTGATTTAATAAACTTTTTTAAGAACATTAGGGCAGGGAAGACAAAGTTTCAATTCTAAAAAGACAGTTCAAAGTCATTTAAGCTTCCGAGAAATGGCGAGAAATCGTTTTCCCCTATTTTTATAAGGTCTCCGGAAGCTTTTACAACAAAAAAAGTCGAACAAATCTCGTTTGAAATAAAATTTTTCAAATACTTTTCAAAAATGTAAATGGTTACAGAGGTCCAAAATGGACACAAGCTATCAAGACGAAGCAAACGCTTCGCAACGACCAGACCGCCCAGACCCAGTTAGTTTTCGACTGCAATATTTCATGATTCAAAAAGAGTCAACACCATTGAGAATCAATTTTTTGATTTAGAAGATGCAGAAATATTGATATCAGATTTCAAAAATATATTCATTTTTCAAAACTGTCCTTCGCAGAGACTACAAGTTTCTCGAACTTCGCTTATTCTTCGATAAAATTGAGAAAAGATTCTTAACATTATTCGTCACATCTATCACATAGCACTCGAGGGGAATCGAACCTACTAAAAAAAGTCGATCATGAGACTGGCCCTCTAACCACTGCGCCAGCCCTTCTCGATGATAGAGGACGGTTCAGGCGTGTAGAAGGCTCTTCTTGTATTTCTTTGAGGAGCTTCTTCTCAGAAGCCTATGTGGTTTAGCAGAGAGTCTATATTGTTTCTAAGAGCTCTTACCTAGGTCTATGAGCCACCCTCGTCCCCGAGCCCGAGTAGTTCCCCACGGCGTTCCCAAACGGGGTGGGGAGACGTCAAAAAAATTTTGGCGCGAAATTAGAAATATCAAGTACGCAGCCAAATGTATTCTTCATGCCGTTCAATACTCAGTTTAATTTAATACGCACTCACTTTTTTATGTAAATTCAGAAACTTTGACGCCTCGCTCACCTTACCTCACCCCATTAGGAGTGCCGTGCCCTAGTGAGATTGAAAGTGTACCTTACTTATCCGTTTCAGTGAAAACTTCCTACTGAAATATCTGTTACAGTAGGTTTAAAACGTTAATACAAACTTGCGAAAAAAAAATTGAACATTCGAAAAATTGAAAATTATCGATTGGGTCTTATCGCCACGTTTTTGACGTTCCCAAAGCCCACGTAAATTAAAGGCTCATTTCTGTCGTTTGGCTGAATTGCTTGGCTTGGCATAGGCTATCTTTCCAATCCTCAAGCTCGAGAGGAATCGAACCTACTCAAAAAAAAAAAATGAAAACTATGAGACTGGCCCTCTTACCACTGCGCCAGCCCACCTCGGTGAAAGAGGACGGCCCAGGCGCGTACAAGAAACTTGAAACATTATCTTATTCTTCGAAAATCATCGAATTGAAAAATTCAACTGCAAACAAAATTTTCTTTTACAGCCTCAACCGACTCAATCCATCCCGATGTCGTACTACTCGGCGGACGCTGTAAGTTTCTTTGACTTCCTTCCAATCTTTCCCAAAAAAAACTTACTCTGCATTGGCAAAGTCGGGAAGGTTGGATAAAGGCTCCAAGGAAATTTTCCTTTTAGGTTGATATTTCCCAATATTTCTTGAGCCTTTAAAATCCCAGAAAAATGGAAGATTCGATAAAGAGATCCTTTTTGCTGCTTTTTTGCGGCCTTTTTGCGGCCTTTTTGAGACCTTCTTTGAGCCTCCCACTTTGAGCAGTCATTATCGGCCATTCCGAAGTTGCCCGAGTGAGGAGTTTCAAAACTTTTCAAGAAGACAAATGGAAGTAATTCGTGAAACTATCTAATAATTTTGCCCATACAGAAATTTATCACGACCTTTTGGAAATTCCGTATCCAAAGTAATTTCTTCAAAGTTCAAAATCCTTCCATGACTTTTCAAAATTTCATTGTCCTTTTCCTTTCTTTGACGGCTTTTTTTTAAACTCGAAGAATCACTTTGAACACGGGGTTAGTCTAATTAGACTCTAAACACTTGAAGTTTGAAATTGAAAGTAAAAGAAGTATTAAGAGAATCATCGCAACTTCAGACCATTCTAAACACGGTTGAGATGAGTGACAATAAAAATATTACCAAATTCATTTCACTGATATGTCCATTACATCTAATAGATCAAATAGATCAAGTATGAGTAAAAAAAATGAATATAGTCGGTTCGTCACGACTTGAAAAGTAATGGGACTTTTCGGCACCCTCCTTATCTCTCGACGTCTCTCTCATGTTTACTTGCTATTTCCATGTTTCTCTGACCTCGCCGATAAGGGAACAGAGAGACGCAGACACGCGAGAACTGTCAAGTCGTGGCGGAAGGACTATATTGGCGGATATTGATTGAATTTTTCCAAATTGGCTATTTTATAGGTGACAGAGTTCCTCCGCCGAAATGAACGTCTTATGGGCCTTGAGATACCAACTTACCAAGTCGCCGTGAGAAGAAACCGCAGTGGGGAAGCAGTAAGTTCTTTGACCCGCTCGATTTTTTTTTGAACTTTTTTTAAAGAGCTTCCAAAGCCTTAAAAATCTGGGTAAAAAAAGCTTTAAAAAAAGAGTATTCTTTTAATTTTTTTCTCCAGAAGATTTTTTTGAAGAAACCCTAATTATTTTAAGTTTTTTTCGAATGATAGTGATTTTTTTGATTTACAAAATTAACTTCAACCTACGTTATGGAAACCTTCCACCTTTTTTTAGAAATTTATTCGACCCGAAAAAAATTCCACACATTTAGGACCAAATGGTACCTTATTGAGCTTCCAAGAACGAAACAAGCTAGAAAAAAAGTCGTTCAAAAACATAGTTTGAAAAAAATTATTATCGATCTAATCAGTTCTAACCTCAATAACTAACGAACTGTAAAAAGTCCTGAACAATTTAAACCGCAAAGGACGATTTAAAAAGAAAAATTTTTTTAGCGTCTCGAGCTGACCTTGGTACCCGCACGGATGAGCCCAGATGTTGGTTTTTTTAAATTTTTTTATCCCATCTTTTTTTGAACTAGTATGTTCAGTATTAACTATGCATAGGACAAGTTGGATTACAATAAGAACGTATCAAAATGAAATTGAGAGCAGGATCGAAAAAAAAAATTGAATTGAATGGGAATTTCTCGGAGTTTTTTTAGGAAGAAGGATTCTCCTTATAAAAAAACTAACTGGATCTTATATATTATTAAGAAAATAGGTTTCTTTATAGATATTTTTCCCACCTGCAACAATCTGCGTCTATTTTCCCAACAAGAAAACAGACTTGCAAAAAAAAGGGAATTCCAATACTCTAAGAAAATTTTGAAGGCTTTTTTCGTAAAGAAAGTTGGATCTAGTGCTCTCAATTTGATCGATTTGTGAATCCAATGAATAAAAAACTCCAGACTGACAAGAACTATGTCGATTTTGATTTTTAATCAGGATTTTTCAGACTACAATGGCTATAGAAGGACGAAGAACCGAGACGCCCAGAGAGGAATGGAATGTTTACCCAGAAAGGAATAGAAGCGATGTGTCCCAGAACTTGGTCAGTTTTTTGACTCTCTTCCAATACTTTTGAACTCAAAATACTCTTGTTCTGGATAAGAAAATAAATAAAAACCAAAAATAAAGAAGTGAGCGCAAATATTTTCAAACGGTTTTTTCATTTAAAAAAAAAATCATATTTTCTGACCTTTCTCCATTTTTGGGTAAAGGTCAGATTCTAAAAAAAGTTCTGTGAATTTCAAGCTCTCTGATCGGTTAGGGGCGGAGTCTGAGCAATGACTTGACGTTCAAAATCTGTACAGGCTGTTTCAAAACCTCTGATTTTTGAGCATTATGTTTGTCGCTGACTACTAGACTTGCAGATCCTTTTCTAATAATAACGGAGAAAATTTTCAACGTTTTTTTCCTAGACTTCTCGGAGAATTTTGTCTTTTGAGTGTGGCATGTTTTGCATTGAACGAAATCTCTACTAAATCAGGACTTTCAAATTTTGATCGCAGTATTTTAAGACCGAGGCCGTGAATTTTATTGACAACGACACGAATCTGGACGTTGACGACGGAGAAGAAGAAGGAAAGGTGGAAGAAATGGTCGCGAGTCCTGAAGGCAATCCGGTCAGTTTTTTTTTCTTCTTCTTCTTTTTCATTCAGAAAAATAAGGACAAGCTTTTGAGTTAGAGAAATCTCTTCTGATTTTATGGAACTTTGTATCTTTGGGTTGAGCTCATAAAAAAAAATATCGAATGCAAGTTTCTCTATGGACTTCAAATACAGTCTTTGACGGTTTTGAAGAACTCAAAAACATAACAAGGGATTTCGGCAATTGAAAATATATTTTGATAGAGACAGGGCTCCCGAGACTCGAGTGCTGACAATAGTAGCCATCTCGTTTTCTGTGCGAAACCCCAGTGAAACCATTTAAAAACTCGAATTTGCAGGCTATCTCCCGTGCAGAAACATGGATCACGATGAGGAAACGCAAGGCTGGCGAAAGCCGCTCAGCGCAACCGCCAAAGGTTAGTTCGATAAAAATTGAGACCTTGAAAACAAAATATAGCCTTAATTTTTCGGGTTAGTTTTCCATTTCTACATACAAAAAAAATGAGGAAGTTTCGAGACTCGAAGAATCAATAAGCGATGAGAAAAACTCCTTTTTTCTGCGCGGACTTCCAGGGAAATCTTTTAAAATTTCGAATTTATAGGCTTCTTCTCACGCAGAATCATGGATCACCATGCGGAAGCACAAGGCTGGCGAAAGCCGCTCAGCGCAACCGCCAAAGGTTAGTTTGACAAAAAAATGATACTTTGAAAATAAAATAAATTATTCGCAATGATAGTACATTTATTCATTGTTTTACAGAATACGATGGCTGACGAGGTACACAGAGCCGAGGCACGAAGGGACGAGGAGGACTTTTGCACAGTCCAACATGAAGGCGAGCAGGCGCAGAGTGATCCCGTTAGTTTTCTCGCCCTCTTCCAATACTTTCGAACTCGAAATACTCCTGTTCTCCGGGTTTTAGATAAGAAAATAAAAAATCCACAAAATCTAAAGTGAACATGGAAAGAAAAAAAGGATTTCAAACAGTCATTTCATCAAACGGAACTCAAGTTTCTGTCTTTTTGTCCATATTTGGATGAAGGTCAGGCTCGGTCTGTTCAGATTTGGAATGTCAGACAGCAAGCTCCGCCCCCAACAGCGCTCTGTGGATCGCAAGGTCTCTGACCGGTTAAGGGGCGGAATCTGAGCGATGACTTGACATTCAAAAATTGAACAGGCTTCATAACCTCTGATTTTATGAGCAGGATGTTTGTTGCGGACAACTAGACTTGCACATCCTTTTCTAATAGTAACGGAGAAAGTTTTCAACATTGCTTTTTTTTCTGGACTTCTCAAAGAATTTCGTCATTTGGGTGTGGCATATTTTGCATTAACAAAATCTCTACTGAATAAGGAGTTTCATATTTTTTTTATCGCAGCATTTTAAGGCCGAGGCCGTGAATGGCGACTTAAATGTGAAAGACGAGGACGTAGAAGAAGCAAGAAAGGTGGAAGAACAGGTCAAAAGTCCTGAAGCCAATCCGGTCAGTTTCTTTCTCTTCTTCTTTCTCATTCAGAATAGCCAAACTAAGAAAAGCTTTTGACTCAGAGGAACCTCTCCTATTTTTTCTGAAACTAAGTTTCCGATTGCAACCTTTCTTTTTCCGATTGCAACCTTTCCGATTGCAACCTTTCCATCTCGTTTTTCTGTGCAAAATCCCAATGAAACCATTCAAAAATTTTGAATTTGCAGGCCGTCTCCAACCCAGGCTCGTGGATAACCGCACGGAAGCGCAAGGCTGGCGACACACGCTCAGCTCAACCGCCAAAGGTTAGTTCGATAAAAATTGAGACTTTAAGAACAAAATATAGCCTTCACATGAACCCTACATTCATGGGAACAAAAATACACCAAACTAAACTTTTAATGAAAATTTTTGGATCGGTTTAACATTTGAAAACATTTCAAAGATGCGTATGTTCTCGGAAAAGCTTATTTTTTGAGCTCTCTAGAATTCATAAAAGCTGACTGATTTTTCGAAAAGTTAACTTTTCTTTTCGTATACGTCTTCCTTTTCATACTTACGAATTCCAGAGTGGTTCCTATAGCATAGAGAAGGAAAACTGAAACCCCTGGAATCACTTTTGCTAGTGGCCCTTACTATTAGAGGGGTTGGTAAAGTGGTCCCTAGAAAGTGATTCCAGGGGTTTCAGTTTTTCCACTGGTCCAATTGGTTTTATGGTTGCCCCTCTAAGGAGCACTCTGGAGCTCCTGAGTATGAGATCAAAAACAAATGAAAAGTAGTGACGAGAACAATTGTAGTGATGTTCCTTCGAAGAACGCCAAAATAAGTGATATTAGATTTTTTCGCTTCGAAAATAAATTGATTACCATAGAAAAAAGGGAAATTCAGAGACAGTTCCCGGGACCGACGGAATGCAAAGAAAGGGCCGAAGAGCTTGAACAAGTCGGCCATGAGGAGGAGCCGTGGGTCGAGGAAGGAAGCCAAGATGGAGAAGAATTGCGCCGACCGGAGGAGGGAAACCTGAATGTGGATGGTTCCCCAGAAGAAGTAAGTCTTTTGACGTCTCTTCTAAATGCCTTTCAGTTTCAGTGAAACTCAGCTTTTTTCTAAAATTTACGGGGATTATAGGCCAGTTCGGAAAGGGTCGAAAAAGGCTCTATGGAGATTTTCCTTTTAGGGTGATAAAGGTCCCTTATTGGTGCCTCTTTGTGCCAATTCATCGGCTATCATGCACCATTGTTGCTCCCTCTCGATAAGACTCGATAAAAGGACTCTTTTTGCTCCCATTTTGCTGCCTTTCTCCTGCCTTTCTGCTACCTTTATGCGGCCTGTTTGCTGCCTTTCTCCTGCCTTTCTGCTACCTTTATGCGGCCTGTTTGCTGCATTTTTCCGGCCTTTTGCCTTTTTTGAGCTTTCCCATGTTAACGGCCATTATCCACCATTCTGACTTTGCTCGAGAAGGATAGAAACACTTGCAACTAAATTAACGAAAAAATGAGAAAAGATAAAGTTTAGAACAATCATTTCGCTAGTAATTATTTTGAAGTTTGTTCTAAGAAGCTCAAGATCTTAAGAATCTTAAAATGAAGCCTGTTTGACTTTAAAAAAATTGATTCAGCAGGTACTCGACGACCTCGAAGAAGTCCCGGCCGAATTTGAAGATTTCGACGATTCGGATGAAACGTCATCTTCCCGGGTAATTTTCTCGGCTATGCTTTATGAATTTATCAGTGGATTCACTTGACTGTGGAATACAAACTATTTCTTTGAGCCACTCGTTAAGATTCCTGTGGAACTTCCTGAGTCTTCATTTTTGCCGTGTTTTCAAGCATTCCTATCATATTCTATCCCTAGATTCTACATTCAACTTTAAATATATCACTTTAACCTATTCGGTGGGAACCTGGAAGCTTCGAAAACCTCCGAAATTTTGAGGAAATGGAAGTTTTTAATATCTGACTAGGGAATGGTCTCAACTCAAAGTGACACTTAGACTTGGAAAATTCGAATCTCGAGTAAGCAGCAAAAAAAGACGTTAATAACGTTGAATACTCAGTGTAATTTGTGACGTAGAATGACCTAATTTTATCCGGAGGGCGCAATTACCTTTTTGTAGATTAACAAACTTCTCCCATTAGGAATGCCGTGTGAGATGATAAAAGCTGAGAATTTTCGGCAAAAAAGGAAAAGCCTGAAAAACCAAATTCAAATCAATGTATTCCAATTAGGGAGAACAAAAAGTGGTAGTAAATACTCATTTTTGAAGATTTATCAAATTTTCTTATGACTTTTCACTTTATTATGAAGTAACTGAAAATGAATAAAATACAAGAAAGTCATATTTAATTTCAAAAGGGTGGTCTTACCTAAGTTTTTTCTCTTTTTATTCATTAAAAAGGAAATTTTTAAGGCGACGGACGAGCTCGTGGCGGATATCCGCCTCTTGTTCGAACTGGAGGCGGACGAGGAGTTCGACGTGGACGAAGACGAGGAAGACTCCGAGGTCGGTTTTTCGAATCCTTTTTCTTTTGTCATTTGGCTACCCTAAAAAAACGTTTCCTAGTTAGAAAGTTTCCTGCCGCTCTAATCTGAATAGTATTTCCAAAAAAATATCATTCAGGACGAGTCCGAGGACTCGTTCTTCCTCAGTGAGAGAAGGCTCCGCCGGTTCGCGGCTGCAGCGCTTGAGCGCGTGGCCCGAGAAGACGTCAATGGTGACGAAGACGGCGTCGAAGCGGGAGAGGCCGTTCCCGTTGAGGTAACTCTCCTAGTTTCTCTTCCACTTGCTTTGCTAAAACCCAAAGTTTTTTTAACATATCCGAAGAACAACTATGGAAGTATAAGAAAAAGACTTTATAGCCGATTCCCGGCTAGCTTGGAGCGCTAAGGGGGCGTGGCCTGTCTGCGCTCTTTTCGTGACACGACCCTTTATTCGATGGCTCAAGCCAGCCTTGAATCAGCTATACTAATGGTTGAAAAAATTCACGCTAAGCTTGTTTCTTCAACAGGTCATGCAAATGATTTAGGAGGAAAGAAAACTTTTTTTTCAACACTTTTTTGTTGAATTTTAAGGTTTTATTTTGAATATTTTGGCCTATTCTCCTATTTCAAGGAACCGGAAGCCGAAGAGGGCGAGGCAGAGGGCGAAGCCGTCGACGACGCCCAGCAAACGGTCCCGGTCGCTGTCGCAGCAGGACAGCCACCAAGTCCGGCACCTGCTGCTGCGGCTCCGGTGGCCCCGGCCCAAGCTGGACCAGCGCCGCCAGCCCATCAGGCCGCTGCTCCGGCCGGAGGGCCCATGCGCCGTCGCGGTCCTCGCCAGGTAATTATTTTCTTCACCTCTCTTGCGTTTTTCAATTCGACTCGTTATGAATTAAGGTTTTCTATTGGATAATCAGTGAGGAGCTGCAAAATGATACAAAGCTAAAAAGAAGTTAATTTGAACGTTTTTGACTCAATGAAACTTCCCAGACGTACTTCTGTATCACTAAAAAAAAATTTCGAAAGTTATTAAATCATGAGAATCTTCTCAAAAGCAGTTATTGAAAAGGTTTCGCGCCTTCAAAAAAAAAAAAAGCAGCAACAAAAAAACAATTTAATTCCTCACCATTTTTTTCAAGTAAACTGACTAGCGAACGTTTTTACCAACACCCCCGTTTAAACTTTTTTTCGAGCATTTGAAAGGGGGTGAACAATGTTCCCTAGTTAGTAAAAAGTCTCGTGAACAGCGCGTTTTTCAAAAAAGATTTCTCATTTTAATGTGGCAAAAAGACTGTTTCAGCGCTTCCAGGGGGCTCCCCAGCGCGGCTCTCTCCGCCTCCGCAAGCTCCCCGTTCCCCCGAAATCTCCGAAGCAGTTGCCGGACTTCCACCAGACTCCGGCAACGCTTCTGGAGGAACTCAGGGGCGAGCTTTGCAGGAGAGCCGCTGGGGGCATGGACGCCCAGGAGCTCGAATTGACCGAGCGCCTTGGAGCGGCCATGACGACGCTCAGGAGCTGGGCCGCCGGGAAGCCGTTCACGCAGGCCCAACTGGAAAGGCTCCAAAGGAAGGTCGCCAGTGGCTTCTGAAGTTAGTTTGAACACGATCTTCAAATTTATCTTAATAGATTTTGGGTTGAAAATGATGGATCATTGTCGCTTCATGGATTTGTCAATAAGAGTCATAGACGGGAGAGTACAGACCTTAGTTACGCCGGGAGGGAAGGATGGCTTGAAAAATTCTAGAGAATTAGAAATATGATCAATCTTACATCTCCGGGAGGTATTTTCGGTCACAATAATACAAGTTTTAGCCTTAGGGGGGTGGTATTACTTTTATTTTGGGAAAACTTGGGAGGAAGAGTCGGTGACCTTTAGAAATGGTCTGCCTGTATGATACAATACTAACTTAAAAATATTCGTTTTTAGTCCATTTCAGGAGGAAAGTTCATTTAAAATTCTCTTGAAGTTTGAAGTTCACACTTTCTTATTGAAAAACAAACTGAAAGTTTTTCTAAAAACGAAATTGGCTGGAAGGCACAGGAAATTCTGCAAATATTCGAATTGATTCATCTTGGAACAAAAATAGTTGAAAGCTTTATCCTGAAACTGAAGAGGTTAACATTAAATGCACTCAAGTTTAAATGATTCTAATAGCGATTTTTCGGATCTTTATTCCTTTGAAAAAAAATTTGATTTATTTTTAGCTTGTATAGAAAAACAATGAACTTACAGCAAGATTTAAATTTTACCCCATTTTTGACCCAATAGATTAGATTTTTGTTTTGAATTTTTTTTAAAAAAGAATTTTTTAAGGGTCGCCCCCACCAATGCCTACTCGTTGAAGTCCCGAAAAAGGGCCGTTTTGTAGCCTCTTGTTGTTTTTTCGCTGTTTTTTCGTTTTCTTTCAAAGTCAAGGGGGATAGTTTATCAATCTGCTCAGGGATAGGTTTTCACAAGGCTCCTTCACCAAGTTTCCATCAAGTTTTCATTTTTTCCTATCTATTGCGAAATTCTAGTGAGAAAAATGACTAGTTCAAGGATCGAAAACTAGGCTTTTCCGGTTCCCGAGGGTATCTGCCAGGAATTCTTGGTGGTCTACCCGACGCTGATAATATTTTCTATTTTTGCACTTTTTAAGCTATGAAAGTTGATTGGTCTCGGTATGAAGGTGAGGTTTCCATTAATTTTTTCGAGTCGAGTTCTCCCCGTAGGTCCCAAATTTCTCCTGTCGATTTCGGTCATTTTATGCGACCAAAGTTCGAGTTTCAGAATCCAATAAAAAACCCTAGATCTCTATTTCTCTCAAGCCGGAGAGAATTTTTTGATTTTTCCGTCTGTTTTTCCCTACAATTTTATGATTTCATACTGGGAACTCAGCGGTTCAGTCTCCTTGCATTTAGTTGGCCTTCTGGGCTCTTTTCCACTTTCAGTCCTTACAATTATTCATGAAAAAATTTTTCGGTGTTGAAATGTGTACTTGGAATAAGTTTCTAGCGAATAGAAAATTTGAGCGAGCTTCGAGCTACGGGTATCTTGTCAAAAGAAAAAGAGAATATACGAGATATCTGTTGCTCGCAAAAAAATCATAAAGCTCGTAGTTTTTAATTCTTGCGGAGATTGGTTTCCACTACCTCAGAAGAAGCCCCCCGTGATCGAAGTTCCGAGTCCACTCATACCCCTTCTGCGCGCTGGTTCTAGTCATAGAGCCAACCACTCCGTGCGCTCAGGAACGATACTCACCCAGCTATAAGTTTCCTGTCACGGTGGTAACGTGATGGTCTAGGGGGAGCCTGGCTTGGTCGACGAGGGGTCCTGTGAAATTCTCATTCACGGAAAGAATGACGCTCCAAACCCCTGCACGCATACTCCCCATTGAGTGCTCCATACTTTCGATTCACTCCTTTTCTTCTTGTTTTTGTGGGTACTGATTCTCCGCAAGAAAAGAAAACTTTATTGGTTTCGAAAAAGGGTTCGCGGCTTTTCTAGGTATACTTTCGATTCCGAAACTTTTTTCCTTGAGTTATTGAATTGACTGGAAATGGAAAACGTGTCTGGAAGAAAAACTAAATGCAAGAAGTAGACTGAAAGGCTGAGTTTGTAGTAGAATATCGTAGATGCTGTGAGAAAGGCAGACGGGACTATCAGAATCTTCTCTCCGGTTTTGAGAGAGAGAAAGATTCTAGCGGTTTTTTTTGGATTCTGAAACTCGAACTTTGGTCGCATGAAGTTTTTGAAGTCGGCAGGAGAAAAGTGGGTCCAGAAAGAAGTTCGGCGGAAAAAAAAAGATTTGGGTCGCATAAATGTTTCAAATGGACAGGAGAAAGTTGGGTCCTACGGGGAGAAGTCGGCCCGAAAAAGTTGATGGAAACCTCATCTTCATACCGAAATCAATCACTGTTCATAACTTGAAAAGGGCAAATAATAGAGATTATTATCAGCGTCGGGTAGATCAACGAGGATCTCTGGCAGGTATCCTCAACAACCGGAAAGCTTAGTTTTCGATTCTTGAAATAATCGATTTTTCTCACTAGAATTTCGGAATAGGTAGGAAAAAATGAAAACTTTTCGGAGAACTTGGTGAGAGGGGCCTTGTGGAAGCCTATCCTTGAGCAGATTGATAGACCATCCCCTTAGACTAAGAGAGAATTCGATAATTGCTAAGAAGAAACAACGAGAGGGCTACTTAATGCGCTTTTTTTTCGATCTTCCCGATGCTCCTGAGGCCACGAAGTCATGTAAGTTTTTTCTAAAGATTCATCGAAGATGTAGAAATTCCAGTCCAAGGCGGTCGTTTCATTGCCAAAAGTTCTTCGATGTGAAAAGGTGGCTCCCGTTCTTTGGGAGGATAAGAAGCTCTCGAACCCATGGCGTATGTTTTCAAATGTGCTTCCGACCATTTTTATCTTTTTCCAGGTCCATGAAAACTTCGAGTGAGTCGATGGACTCAAATTCATTTGGCACATTTGATCCACGAAATGGTGGTCAACGAAGAAAGACTGGCGAGATCCTTGAGGTAGGGTTTTAAATCAGATCGTTATTTTGCATTTTTCAAGTAGTCTCTTCTAAAATTGAAAAAAAAATAAAGTTCTCTGAACACTCTTAGGCTCTAAAAGGTCTTTCTAGTGAACTCGCTTTTCCCAATTTTCGATAGTTTTGAAGAACGTCGGTCAATTGGATCAATAACTTCTTTTAATTTCTTTTTTGGTCAGAACTGATTATTAGAGTTTTCTGACCAAGTTGTAATTTTTCAACTCCATCAACTGAACCTGGAGTCATGAAAAAAGCGAAAAATTGGTCGAAAATAGAACTGACAAAGGAAATGCAGGTCGAGTCCCGGAGTTCAGGACCTTGTTCATGACAAAGGCTCCTGATTGTCCGGCCACTCGACAGATTTCGCCAGTTGTTGGGAAGGTGCATGAGAAGAAGTTTTTCGTGGATCCGAGAGGTTTTTTCATAGTTTTTAAAAAAAATATAAAGGTTCCCTTTTAGCGCCTTTTCGCGTCGATAATCCGATCTTTTTGGGAAGTTTCGGGCTTTCCCTTCAGTAGGACAAGGTCGTAGGAATCGCCTCCAGCGAATCCTTGAAGATCCAAGTATGATTTCCTTCTCTTACAACATTAATTATTCTACAAAAATATAAAAATAGACTTTTGATGCTTTTTGAGTGTGCTCAGGCTCACAACAAATGTAGACTTTCACATACAGAAAAAAAAAACCCTTGTCGTGGCATTATTTTTAAACTGTTTTGATGTTTTTGAATTTAAACGTTGGCTCAGGAAAATAGTTTCTCTCATTCAGGAGCCCTCCTATTACATCTATCTGTTTTGGAATTTTGAACTTTGAAATTCACATCTGTTCAGCCCGTCCAATTTGGCACACTGTAGGTTGAAACTGTGCATACACTCATGTCGGTTTTTGGGCGATATTAACGAGTTTTTTGTAAGAACAAAAAAACAATTTTGAAACAAAAAAACAAAAATTAGAACATTCAAAGATACTAATTTAGTTTTAAAAAAATCAAGTTTTTTTTCAAACGCCAGCAAGTTCAAAAAAATAGCCTAATTTGAGATATCACTCTTTAAAAATGAAAAAGCGTTGTTTCTCTGTAATTTTTTTCTTCTATCAATGTCGAAAAAAGTCTTATTCATTTTATTAAATAGAAAAAACGGTCAAAAATGATCCGGCCAGGGGAGACGGCGCAGTGCAAAACGAACTGAACTGAACTGGTGTGATTTTTCTCTTGTAGTTTTTGAATCTTTTTTTAGAAATACTCGCTCATACCTTTGACAAGATTTTCAATGATAATCCTTTCAAGGGATCTACTTGTTCCGAAGGAGAAGGGAAGTCCCCAGAAGGTCGCGGTTGAGAAGGCCGTTTGGAATGGAATCGCCTTCAGGTGGCGGCAATTGGAAAGTCGTGATTCGTGTTTTTTTTTTCCTTTTTCGTTGCATTTTTTTCTCTTCATACTCTCATCATAGTTTTTCATTTTACTCTTTTTATTCTTTTCCTTTCAAAAAAATTTCAAAAAAACCCCAAAAAAATTTAAAAAAATATAAAACCCCAAAAAAATTCAAAAAAATATAAAAAAACCCAAAAAAACTCAAAAAAATTCAAAAACCCAAAAAAATATGTTCTTTTTTTCCTATAGTTTTTTTCCTTCTTTCTATTTTTTTTATGATTTCTCTTTTCTCTTTTTCTTGTTCTTTTTTTTGGCTGTTTCCAACATTACGAAGTCCATTTCGCCAAGATTTCCGTTAGTTTTTGGCTTTTGGAGTTTTTGAAAGCTCAGTTTGTGGCGAAGTTTTCCAATTTTTTTTCCATTTTCCAAATTTTTCTTTCGGACACAGTAGGGAGGGTGGGCGGTGTGTCCGAGGAAGCTATTGGCTTTTTAAAAAAAATATTTTCCGCTTTACTTTGAAGGTGGATACCCTTGTTCAGTAGAAACTTGACGTTTCATGCTGTTCTGTGGATCATTTGAAATTTGTAAACTCAGTTTCTGGCGAAGATTTCAGAGTGGAGGCTGAAGCTTCGTTCAGAGTTAGCGTAGAAATGTTCATGTCTCTATCAAATATTCATTTTGAGCAATTTTCTTGCCATTGAGACTGAAAATCGAGTTTTTTCACGTTTCGGAAAGGTTCAGTAGTTTTATTTTCAAGCTACGGATCAATGGGATAGCTTTCGAAGGGCTACATTTCTCAATTCTTGAACTAAAGTTCCTGACGAGTTGTCGGTTGAAGCCTCGTTTGGAGTTGCAGCGAAAAAGCAATCGTTCCAGCACATTTTTTCCAATTTCCAACTTTTTCTTTCAGACACAGTAGGGAGGGTGGGCGGTGTGTCTGAGAAAGCTATTGGTTTTTCAAAAAATAATTTTCACTTTACTTTGAAGGTGGATTGTTTCAGTCAACTTGACATTTGATGTTCTCGGTCTGTGGATCTTTTGAAATTTTTGAGCTCAGTTTCTGGCGAAGATTTCAGAGTCGAGGCTGGCTGAGTTAGTGTAGAAATTGTCGGGTCTTTATCAAGTATTTTTGAAAATTTTTTCGGTCATTGAGACCGAAAATCGAGTCTTTTTTCACGTTTCGGAAAGGTTCAGTAGTTTATCTTTTAAGCTACGGAAAATTAGGATAGCTTTCAAGGGCTTTGTATTCCCTTTCATGAACTGAAATCCTGACGAGCTGACGCCTCGTTTGGAGTTGCAGATCGAAAAGAAAATCGTTCCAGCACATTTTTTGTTCTAATTTTTCTGTCAGTCACAGTAGGGAGGGTGGGCGGTGTGTCTGAGGAAGCTGTTGATTTTTCAAAAAAATTTTTCCACTGTACTGGGAAGGTGGACTACTTCAGTCAACTTGCGTTCATGTTCTTGTTTCGTGGATCTTTCGAAATTTTTGAGCTCAGTTTCTGGCGAAGATTCCAGAGTAGAGGCTGGATCTTCGTTCAGAGTTAGCGTAGAAATTTTCATATCTCCATATAATATTCATTTTGAGCAACTTTCTTGCCATTGAGACCGAAAAATCGAGTCTTTTTTTCGTTTCGGAAAGGTTCAATAGTTTATTTTTCAAGCTACGAATCATTGGGATAGTTTTTCAAGGGCTTTATATTCCCATTCTTGAGCTAAATTCCTGAAGAGCTGTCGGTTCGACGGTTGACGACGTTTGGAGTTGCAGCTCGAAAAAACAATCGTTTCGTCTTTTTTTCAATTCCCAATTTTTCTTTCAGACACAGTAGGGAGGGTGGGCGGTGTGTCTGAGGAAGCTATTGGTTTTTCAAAAAAAAAGTTCACTTTACTTTGAAGGTGGATACCCTTGTTCAGTAGAAACTTGACGTTTCATGCTCTCGTTTTGGGAAACTTTTGAAGTTTTTAAGCTCAGTTTCTGGCGAAGACTCCAGAGTAGAGGCTGGCGTTTCGTTCAGAGTCAGCGTAGAAATTTTCATCTGTCATTCATTCCGAACTTCATTGAAAATTCGAAAGTTGAATTTTCGAATCCGTTTTTTTTTTCAAATTTAAGCTCGATTTTGGGAAACGTCGTTAGTGGCGGCTCGCGCTTTGACTTAAGTATGCTTAGATTTTTTGTTCACTACTCTTTGCAAACAATTGAACGATTTGTTTTACAAAATTTATTATTCAATTCAAATTTTGGGACTTCGTGGCAGAGGTTCACGTGCTTTCAAAATCTTACGGTTTTTTTTAAATTTGGGAGCTCAACTTTCATCGAAAGTTTCAGAGTGAAGTGTTACCCTTCGTTCACGTTTAAAAACTTTTTTCCAATCATCTCCGAATCACACCTTTTTTGCCCTACAGCTAGCAAATCGACCGTTTCTGTTCCTAGGCAAAAACGCCTTTTTTCAGCATTCAATCGTTTTTTCGCTCTTTTTTTTTTAAAAAAAGGCTGCAGTATACATTTTCGCACGCTTTCACCCAATTCCATTTTGGAGTGAGAAGCAGAAAACGCCGACTTTTTATTCCAGAAATTTCATGGCTTTTGAGGAAAATTGAGATATTTCCTATTTTGTTGGAATTTTTTCTTCTTCAAAAAAAGGCCTTCTCGAAATTACTTTTGCAGCTTTATTATTAGCTGATAAAAAAGTAGTTTTGGAAGCTTTTTCTGGCTGTAGGGAGGGAGGTTGGCCAATTTATCAGGAATCGCCATTTTTATCGGCGATTCTCATTAGTTTTTTGAACCTTCTTATAGGGTTTGAACTTCGAAAAAGAAGCATTTGTTGAAATTCCTTTTTCTCTAGTGAAGGCAAACGTTAGGTTGTTCCTAATTCGACTTTTTGAAATTTTTTATTTTCTGAAGTAAGCAAATAAAGCCTCCTGTAGGGGCCCACCCCGGGGCCTAACTCAGCCCCTATAGTGATTGAATTGAAAGGGGCCCCTATAGTGATTGAAATAAAAGGGGCCCCTATAGAAGTTGAATTAAAAGGGGCCCCTATAGTGATTGAAATAAAAGGGGCCCCTATAGGCGTTGATTTAAAAGGGGCCCCTATAGGCGTTGATTTAAAAGGGGCCCCTATAGGCGTTGATTTAAAAGGGGCCCCTATAGGCGTTGATTTAAAAGGGGCCCCTATAGGGGTTCAATTAAAAGGGGCCCCTATAGGGGTTGAATTAAAAGGGGCCCCTATAGTGATTGAAATAAAAGGGGCCCCTTTAGTGATTGAAATAAAAGGGGCCCCTATAGTGATTGAAATAAAAGGGGCCCCTATAGAAGTTTAGTTAAAAGGGGCCCCTATAGGGGTTGAATTAAAAGGGGCCCCTATAGGCGTTGATTTAAAAGGGGCCCCTATAGGCGTTGATTTAAAAGGGGCCCCCTATGAGGGTCGATTTGAAAGGGGCCCCCTATGAGGGTCGATTTGAAAGGGGCCCCCTATGAGGGTTGCTTTGAAAGGGGCCCCTATAGTGATTGAAATAAAAGGGGCCCCTATAGTGATTGAAATAAAAGGGGCCCCTATAGGCGTTGATTTAAAAGGGGCCCCCTATGAGGGTCGATTTGAAAGGGGCCCCCTATGAGGGTTGATTTGAAAGGGGCCCCTATAGTGATTGAAATAAAAGGGGCCCCTATAGTGATTGAAATAAAAGGGGCCCCTATAGGCGTTGATTTAAAAGGGGCCCCCTATGAGGGTCGATTTGAAAGGGGCCCCCTATGAGGGTTGATTTGAAAGGGGCCCCTATAGTGATTGAAATAAAAGGGGCCCCTATAGTGATTGAAATAAAAGGGGCCCCTATAGGCGTTGATTTAAAAGGGGCCCCCTATGAGGGTTGATTTGAAAGGGGCCCCTATAGTGATTGAAATAAAAGGGGCCCCTATAGGCGTTGATTTAAAAGGGGCCCCCTATGAGGGTCGATTTGAAAGGGGCCCCTATAGGGGTTGAAATAAAAGGGGCCCCCATAGGGGTTGAATTAAAAGGGGCCCCTATAGAAGTTTAATTGAAAGGGGCCCCTATAGGCGTTGATTTAAAAGGGGCCCCCTATGAGGGTCGATTTGAAAGGGGCCCCCTATGAGGGTTGATTTGAAAGGGGCCCCTATAGTGATTGAAATAAAAGGGGCCC